ATCATCCGTGGAGAATAGGATCAATAGACTTCATTATCGGTGGAGAATAGCCTCGGCCTGATTTCGTGATCTGTAGCCTCCAGAATCGAAAGAAAATGTCATTTCGGAAAAATCGCCAAAAATCTGTGATGGTACCCCTTTGCAATCTGCCAAAAATTGACCCGGAATAAATCCTCCCAAATCGGTGCTTAATGGACTTAGTCATCGTTGAAGAATAGTCTCAGGCCGAATCCGTTATCTTTAGCCTTCAAAATCCAAAGAAAATGGCATTTCGACGCCCACAAAATTAAGAAAATGCCATCCAAAAATAAATTGGCCCAAATCGGTGTTTAATGGACTTATCATCCGTGGAGAATAGGATCAATAGACTTCATTATCGGTGGAGAATAGCCTCGGCCTGATTTCGTGATCTGTAGCCTCCAGAATCGAAAGAAAATGGCATTTCGGAAAAATCACCCAAAATCTGTGATGGTACCCCTTTGCAATCTGCCAAAAATTGACCCGGAATAAATCCACCCAAATCGGTGCTTAATGGACTTAGTTATCGTTGAAGAATAGTCTCAGACCGAATCCGTGATCTGTAGCCTTCAAAATCCAATGAAAATGACATTTCGACGCCCACAAAATTACGAAAATGCCATCTGAAAATAAATTGCCCCAAATCGGTGTTTAATGGACTTATCATCCGTGGAGAATAGGATTAATAGACTTCATTATCGGTGGAGAATAGCCTCGGCCTGATTTCGTGATCTGTATCATGGTCTGACAAAAACCATAAAGCAGAATGGCGACAAGATGAAAGTTTTATAAAGCAAATTAATTGGCCAACGGGCCGAGTAAAAGCTAGCAACGATTGTGAGATGCTCATTTCCCGAAAACTGACGGGATAGGCGATTTTTTATTCGATTTTCTGGAATTCGGTTTCTATAAAACTTACTCCACATCATCATATTACCAGAAACAATATTGTTTCACAAGTTAAAATGTACTTGATTTTTGTTCATAAGGCCGATTTTTGATTCGTTGCATCATTCGTGTCTCTTTCCTGCTAAAATTTACTATTTTTTATCACGTGTTTCCAAAAAAATCTATACAACAATAAGCTATAAACGCCATTACATTATCAAATTTCATACCTCACCTTCCTCCGGCCAACTGAACGGGGCAGACGCTAGTTACTATTTACTACAACATAGCTACTCACAAGTTCTCTCTCACTTACTTCTTAGTTGTAGCCCGCATTTTAAATCGTAAATTGAAGTCAAAATCGTTCAACATTTAGATGGGTGACTATCACCTTAACTACGGCTTGACCGAGTCACCGAGGTTATTTTCTAGCTCATAATGCGATGATTGATCTTTTTTTTTAGAGGAATGGAATCTTTGGCAAGCACCATGATTGAATTAGTAGCATGTTACCTCATCCATGACAGCATCATATATACTCTCTCACCATCAATACAAAGTGATTAAGACAAAAGAGCACTTAATTGCTTCTTGATTTTTTTTCTTTTCTTTGTAAAGTTGGGACTTTTATGTACACATGACTCACTTTATTTGGGGTGCCAAATTAATTACTCCATGTTGCCCTAATTAACTAATTCTTATTAACCCATTCCCATTATTAGCAAGTGGAAGCCTTCCCTTTCATCATCATTTGTTTTCCTCTTTTGGCTTAGCCTAGACCTACTGTTAGTTAGGGTTGGAGGTCATAATTGGAACATTAAATTATAATAAAATTGTGATCAAGCCAAATAGCATTAGTTAGTATTTTAAGTGTAGTATACGTAATGCAGAATCTCGATGATTAGTGCTCGTATAATTATTTTGTCACAAAATTTGTCATTGTCAGTTTGGACCTGTTTGGAAACAAGGGAGCTTTTTGTTTGTTTGTGTTTGTTCAATAATGCAATGTATATATATGCAGACGTGCTCCTTTATGTGCCTCTTAATATTGGCAGTTTCTAAATGATGAAAAAAAAAATAAAGAAAATGTACATCTACAAGGGAATATATGTAATAAATAAATTGAGAAATACAGTGAAAATTAATACGGTTTTGTTTCTGGTCGACGAGAGCCTGGAGGTTGGGTTTTGCAGGATCCAAACGAATCATAGTTTTGGTTGTGACAACATGCCACTTATGTTGGGGTTGATGATGCTTTCCTTGTCGAGGTTTCGACTTTGAAATTGAATGATGCAGTTGGTTTGGTGAATGGTCCATGATGTGGTGAGGTTCGTGATAATTAATCACATGATGATGGATGCGTTTGGAGGCGCGATATTTTCTTACACTCACAGATCGGTGTGACATTGATCGACTAGCTAGTTAGTGTCTTTTAATCATCTTGATGTTGTTTTCGCTGGTCATTCATACTCGTAACAGAGTTGTCGTGCTCGTGGTGCAAAAAAATAGAGCTTTTATTTGTTAAGCCTTGTTTGGTAGCATTCAAAAAAAAATTTAGTTGTTCCTAGATTCATTCGATTTTGTAATTACGTTCGCGACCCTCTTTCTTCTCAATTGTAATCGTCAAATACTTAATTTTAATCCATCATCGTACTGCGAAATCTCGACTCCGTCGCTCACCAGACTGATGATAAGTTTAATCTCGACTATAACGTGAACAAACAACGATGAGTAATCTCTAACTCGACGAATTAACGAAAACACCTCGTTAAAAACTCTTGGTTGTCATTCTCTCTCTCTCTCTAGCCATCACATTAAAAAAAAAATGCTATGTATGATGATGTTGGAGAGCGACCAATTCATATTGGGACTACACTATGCTGCATGCGTGCGTACGTACGTTGCCTAGACTGCACCGCTCTTCTTAACCCTTTTATGCAAAAGCAGAGAATATATGCATTTGCATGCAGTCTCTGCAGATCTTTTCTTCAAACAGCATAATAATGCGCAGCATCGGCATCGAATAGAGAGAGAGATCTATCTACATATATGGCACCAAATTTCTAAGTGACAAAAGTGGGAATTAATGTACGATCTGATCATTGCTTGCCACCCTGTGGCGAAACCAGAAACTCGAATGAGGAGGGACGGAAGATAATAAATCGTAACAATTTTCGACGACTGAACTTATGTCTGGGAGGTACGGGGGGCTGTTAGCCGACATCGTCCTGCCATTTTTCTATGGTTTCTTAAGGTATGAGTGCGCACATTATGACTTTATAATGAAAAATTGAGGAGGGGTTGCTGTAGCTCCTCCTGGGTTACTGCACATTCTCGGCTCTCCTTATATATAGCAACGGTTGATTTAACCAGATGGCATGATCAGGCTTTTTGGTTCCAGTTTTGTACGACTGATTAATCTCTTGGACGACCTCCTCGAAAAATACTAACATTATATTTCTAAGTTCTAACCATATCCCTCAACTCTTCATCCCGTTTTTCGATCACTATCCGAGTATGTCCCTAAAGAAAACCCCTCAGAATCGGTCCAAGAAGCTAGCCTCCCTCTCAACGTAATAAAAACCGAGCCTTAAAGACTATGTTTTTACACTTTCTAGATCACCAAAATGCTTCTATTCAGAATCACGTTTTTTCCCTTACTAATAATGTAGTCAAAATCAAACTTTATAACTTAAAAAGTTGACTCTTTTACGCTTGGTCGTGGCTAGAATCGCAACTTTCGACTGCATTGCTTCCGTTTGCACCCCGCTGATTTCATTTGTTGCTTAGTGAAAGACAAAGAACGAATTTGTCAGCCAATAACAGAGCATCTGAAACCTTCATGATATGGAAGTCTGAAATCACACAACAAAAGAACATTTTCTTGATGAGAAATTTGAAGAAAACAGACAGAGACAACCCACCTATAGCTGTATCTACGTACTGTACTACGCCCTCTTTTGTCTTTGGTCCTTTCTCTCTCGTTTCAACAGCGATGGCATAAAAACAGAGAGTGGGGGGAAAAAAACAGAGCTTTAAATGATCCCGGTTCCCACCAAGCTAAAGGAAACCCACCAATTTACGAAGGCGACGAGTTCCTTTTTTTCGTCCAGCTCTCTACAGTAGAGAGGTTGATTTGATATCAGTTACAATAGAACTAGATTGGAGCCTGGATCCGACGAATTCATTTGGTTTTGAAACGAATCTGGTAATCGTTGTAACTTAGCTTATATGTTTTCAGATTGGTTGGTTCGGTTTCGATCGGTTAGGTTGATTGGGTTTGACTTGATTATGAAGACCCACTTTGTGTGGTTTAGATGATTTGATTCGATTATAAACTTTTATGACCGGTCGGACCGACTAACCAATTGGTAGTAGCTGCATGGATATGATGTTGGTTGAGAATTAGGATACTAATCATAGTTTTGGTGGGTGGCTACAAGTTAGTTAAGAGATTCTATAAGATAGGAAAAAGTTAGTTGATAGATCGTTGATGATTGAAGTAGGATGATAGAGTATGGGTATATTGGGTAAGACAAGTTAACTAATCAACCAAAAACTAATTAAACTTCGGTTTTGGATTTAGAGATCTTGGTTTAAGTTTTTACTTGGCCAAATTTGGTTTGCAAAGAGAGTGAATGAGATTCGGATGACGTCAAATCGTTATACAATAACAAGGTGAAGGAGAGTGATTGGGATGTGGTGATCCGTCAAATTGTTATACAATAACAAGGTGAATGGACATGAGTTGTGAGGAAACTAGACGGCTTGGAGTTGGACGAATTCGTTTGAATCGCATTCACGTGCACTTATAAATGGATTGCGAGCATCACGATAACTTCACTCCCCGGATAAAATTGGCTAGCTTATCGGATCCATTTGGTTGATTGGTTTTACTTGATCGATATCCTTATATCCGGATGACGTCAAAATCGTTATACAATAACAAGGTGAAGCAAAGTGAATGGGATGTGGTGACGTCAAATTGTTATACAATAACAATGTGAATGAACATTAATTGTGAGGAAACTAGACGACTTGGAGTTGGACGAATTCGTTTGAATCACATTCACATGCCTTATAAATGGATTGCGAGCATCACAATAACTTCATTCCCCAAATAAAATTGGCTAGCTTATCGGATCCATTTGGTTGATTGGTTTTACTTGATCGATATCCTTATATCCGGATGACATCAAATCGTTATACAGTAACAAGGTGAAGGAGAGTGAATGGGATGTGGTGACGTCAAATTGTTATACAATAACAAGGTGAACGGACATTAATTGCGAGGAAACTAGACGGCTTGGAGTTTGATGAATTCGTTTGAATCACATTCACATGCACTTATAAATGGATTGCGAGCATCACGATAACTTCATTCTCCGAATAAATTTGGCTAGCTTATCGGATCCATTTGGTTGATTGGTTTTATTTGTTGGATATCCTTACCCAATTTGGCCGAAATGATTTGCTTCAATCATAGACTTTTGTAACCAGTCAAAGCAACTAGTCACATAGATATGATGTTGGTTTGCCAAGGATACTAATGATGGTTTTGGTGGGTGATTATAAAATTAGTAGTTAATCATGATAGCTTTGGTGGGTAATCAAAAGATCAATGATTAAAGTAGGATGATAGAATATTTCATACATTGTGCAAACAAGCAAGTTAGCCAATCAATCAACCAAACTATTTCCTTTTGATGAATAATCAACCAAACTAATTTAATTTCGGTTTAGTGAATCTGATTCATACTTGACCGATTTCGTATGAGTTAATTTGTTCAGCAGTCAACACCAACCAATCGAATCAAATGAAAGATTTAGACCATCCATTTAGTTTAATCGAATATCACTATATTAGCACAAAAACTGGATGTAAAGAGAGTGAAAAGTAAACAAATCAGTTGACGCGTCGAAATCATTCTTCAATAAAACTTAAATTCTAAGTACACACAGGACGTCACCATTATTTACAAATCTTAGGCACCATTTACAAATAACAACAACGTTCACATGTAACACATGACCCCATCCTTTTAGCCCCTTCTAAAATAAAACCACAAAAAGAGGCTAAAAAGATCTTTCATATCAGAAAATGCAAACAAAAAGAGGAAAAGAGAGGCCTCAAAAGAAAAGACAGCAAAAATCAGAAAATTAATTAATAAAAGGAAGAAAGAAAAAAAGGCCATTGATAGCGAAATTAATTCAAAACAAAACACCATTACTCCTATTTTTCTTTTTGGTGTTATTATCATCATCATTATTAATTATTTTAATAATAATTACAAAATAATCCATCCCCAAATCCATTCCCGTCACCGCCGCAAACATACCTACCCGCCGTCCCGCCACCGCAACCACCGTCGTCCGGCGACCACACCGGCGGGTACAGCCACCCGTCCATCACCGAGTCAACGAACACGAACTCGCTCTTTAACTCGCCCCCGAAATCGCCTAGATTCGGCAGCTCAGTAATCTCGCTCAACCCCTCCTCCTCTTCCTCCTCCATCGACGACAGCGAAGACGCCGACGCCGACGCGGCCACGGCCGCGGCGGCGCCGGAATCGTCGTCCGTCACCCTCTTCCCGTCGAATTGGTCCATCAGGGCAGCTTTAGCGGCCGCCGCCTGAACGTCGCGTGGCGCAACGGAGGCCGGCCGGGGCAGGGAGCTGACCAGGTCGGGGAAATTGAGAATCGCGGAGCTCCCCTTGATGCAGAGCGCCGCCACGTCGTGTGCGCGCGCCGCCATTTCAGGGGTCGGGAAAGTGCCCAGCCAGATCCTCGATTTCTTGCGGGGCTCCCTGATTTCGGATACCCATTTCCCCCAGCTCCGCATCCGGACTCCCCTGTACACCGGGTGCTTGCTGCAGTCCCGCATCCGCTTCGTCTTCTTGCTCGTGGAAGCAGGGGAATTCGGCGAGTCCCCATCGTCGTGATGATCTTGCTGCTGCCGTTGACATAGTTTCATTGGGGAAGACGGAGGTGAAGAGGAGGAGGAGAATGAGTTGGAGCTGCTCTCCTGCTCTGTATTTCGTCCTCGTCGTGGTTCAGGCATTTCGTCGAACAGGTTCAACGCAAGCCAGGAATGGGAAACAGTAAGACGAAGCACGAAATGGGTAGTGACGAATCTTGGAGAGAAAGAGAGGGCAGCGGGGGGAAATCGAACTTGTCGTTGGATGGTGATCGACAAATGGAGAAAGGGACTAGGAAGGGACTAAATAGACAGAGGTTTTGGGGCGGTATGATGGCGGGTAAAGCTACTACTTCTAGTAAGTAGTAACAGTAGTGGCAGCAGTGGCAGCAGGGGGAAGTGGGAATGAGGAAGAAGAAGGAGAAGAAGATGGGTTGATCTAATAAAGGGAAAGAAGTTCGTTGGTGGGCAATTATTCGTTTCTATCATATTTCTCAATCGGGCATTTGTAACAGAGCTAACATAGCAGTTCATAAGCAAAGAGTATTGTTGTGGGTGTGTACATACATGGAAGAAAACAAAACATCAAAATAAGTAAGATAGATCCTTGTCATCATAACTATAAGCCTGGTTGAGACAAGTGTTCGGCCGAAAAAAAGTTATCCACGTGATGCGCGCAGGTCAGATAAGCCACGCGTAAGTCATACCAGATCTGTCGGATAAAATGAAGCACATATATAAGAAAGCTCTGAGTTGCTTCTTCTCATCTGAACAAATACAACGAGCAACGCCTGTTCATATATGTATACACAGAATGAGCGTTATGAATACCTACTAACAAAACAACATCATAGATTCTATGCTCAATCCATCGTCACCACAACTCATAAACAATCCATTGAATCATACCCACTTCAGTCTACTCCAAAATATGATGATGGTATGAACTCGATTGCATACCTAGTTCAACGAAATCGACCGATCCGATCAACCCGAGTTTAGCTTTGCTCACAAGTTTGGGCTACAGGTTGCCAAATTGCCACCTCCATTCGATCCCATTCTCCACCAAAATAATGGAGCCAATATTACTGTGGAACCTTTTCACCTCTTTTTTCCCTATAGAAATGCTCTTGAGTGTTTCGAATTGACCAATTTTCTCCCCTCTCTCGACTCTTATCCCTCACTCTAGGCACCAATTATTTCCCCCAATGTCTCCTCCTCCTCCTCCACCTTATCCGACTCGACACAGTAACAATTCGAAGACGCGCATCGTACATACTTCACATTATAAACCGACTTGATCGTCGGAGTGTAGATGGGAGGCCACTAGCCCTCGTACATCTAATCATTGTTTCGTGCCATGATCGAGTACTACTATGTAATTGAGCAAGTTTATCGGACAACAGTACCAGTATAGTAATAATTTATAAAGTATTCGTACTGTATTGTATTTTTGTACTTTTGGGTACAAAACAGAAAGGGTTGATATTTTATGGTACCACTAGTCACTACTGCCAAACGGGAGGGGAGTGGGAGGGGACTTTTGGCGACGACTGGTACTGTCTTTCGTTGTCTTTGCTTACACCTGTGAGCTTCCGAGAGGCCAAATAATGATTTTGGCAATTAATGGGGAAAAAGAAATCAGTGTAATTAGAGGAGTCAAATCCACACACAATTTCATCAATCTTAGAAATCTATGATTTCAAGTAAAGCCAATTGCTTAAATTTGTATGTTTTGTATGGGTTTGGAGGTGACTCCTAGGTAGAAGAAAAACAAGCTAAGCCACCGTATACGCGAGTGTAAGACACGTCTATCTGTTGCGCACGTAAATTTAGTGTCTTGAGTGTGATTGTACATTTAAGTTTTTTTACCCACTTCCTTTTATTTTGTCAACGACAAGAATCTAAGTTATTGAAGATCGCATTCGATGTTTCATGACAATTGATACGAGTTTTATGCTAGGAGAAACATATCGAGATTCATGTTTTGTTTGTACATGAGGTTCGACAAGTTGAAATATGAAGACAAATTTCTCTCTCTCGTGAATTCGAAGGTTTGTCGTGGTAAGAGAAGGATGGAGTGAGGGTTGGGTTTGGGAGAAGGGTTGAGAGCCCCTTAGAGGTGGATTTGGAATTGTGTCAACCTTATGATCCGATCTCTCGATTTTACCAAATTGAAACCTAACATGACGATTTTGATTGCAACCAGACTGGCTTATAGGTCCGATTTCTGGTTAAATCAGAAAACTAAGAACCGAATCCCAACCCGAACAAACCCGATCCCCAACTAACTATTGATGTATATTCTTGTAAAAGTACACATTTACCCTCTCAACATTGTCGCCTTCTTTTGTGTTCCATTACACAAGGGTGAATAAACCATCAATTCAACAGCAACCCTTTTTCCACCTCTTTCCCCTTACATATTACCACCACACATTTTTACTTTCGTCGAGCAAGATCCATGGCCATGGGAACTTGTGATAGATAGACAGTCATCATCATCATCATCACAGTAGGAACTCAGATTTCACCACCTTCTTTAACCCTTTTTCCTTCTCTCTTTTCATCTTTCCTTTTCCAGCCTCTGGAAAAGGATGTGGAGAGAAGGCAACAACAGCAAAACAAGGAACATTTCACCTTGTCGTACGCAGCAGCAGTCTCGCAGGGCCAGCTGCATGCTACTATCTATCGTCGTTCTCAACTCCAGACATGGGGTTTGAATGAGATTGACGCTGAGATGACTGAAAGGGAAAGCCTCCAAAAGAAAAACAGACATGGACACTGACTTATGATGGATTAGCAGCAGCAGCGCCATTAAATTCTTTGTTCTATAAACTGTATTACTAGTACTCATGTGCAAATTTGGCAAAGTAGGTAAGAGAAAAGGGAAGCTAGGCTTAGGGAATATATCAGAGTTCTTCAGAATCTTATTAAGCACTGATTCTCAGGCAGCTTTCATTTACCAGAATGGCAGGCAGCTTTCATTTCTTGGCCACTTTCCAAATTGGTAAATGGAGTGATGGGGCTCTTCTTAACTCAGCTTGATGTTTCATCAAACACACCGATCGACCACGTAACTTACGTTGATGAGATGTGCCAAGTCTTGTTGCCACTCTAACTCGACTCGAGCTCCTCTCTGTCACTCTGCATTTACAGAATTAGAGATTTTATCAATCAGACGGGTTTCAATTTGGTATAGCGTAAATGAGCGCCAACACGACGTTTAGTGATATAGCACACAATGTCAGCATGCTAACTAGACAACACTCTAAAAAAGAGTAGGATGAAGTTAGGAAGAGCAACCAAATTTTGCTAATACGTTCATATAGCACATCCCATATGCTAACACATGTGCCTGCAATTATATAACTGTTACATCGGATTGTACCAGTCATGGTCTCATGGATTATAGACAGGACAAGTGGTCGCAATTCATTGACATTTGACACCAATCCTATTCACATAATTCAATCATGCAAACTTAGCAGAGCGTAGCTACCCACACAACCCAACTCTAACACCCAGAAAACAAAGAAAAAATGAGAGAGGAAACGAAGGAGCTGTCTCCTTCCCTTCACAATCAATAACAATCAGCATGGCTTGTCTGGGCCAAATGAATACCATGTACTTTCCCCCCTCTTCATTTACCTCATGCAAGATTTTCTATTGGCAGAAGGAGAAGAGGTTCATAGTGAGTATCCTACTGTATTCTAATATCTGCTGAAGACTCGGACATCGGAAGATTATACGATATCCTTCCCGTATGCCCTTGATAAATCGCGACAGGTATGACAAGTCCGAGTGGTAATATGGAGATGATAACAACATTCCTCACATTCTAAGTTCAAAACTTGAGGCCAGTTATCATTTAAACAAAGATGTAATGATATGTCAACTGCAGAAGCTCTCATCACACATGATTGGAGCCACATAAACACAAACAAGAGGTCATAAAGAAGCATCCAAGAGCCAACCCATAACTTTGGGTTTTCACTCCATCTTTATGGGCAGGGGGGTGAAACTTCCATCAACTTCTGATGATGGGACTTGGATCCCAGAAACTTATTGAAATGGCTCAGAAGGGATCAGAGGAAAAAGGAGGCAAACTTTAAGGTCATTCCATCTATAAGACAGTACTAGTAGTCTTACATGTAAGCGGATTCATCGCTTGTTTCTTCACATGTACTGCCCCCTATGCATACATAAAACATTAATGGTTTCAACCCACATTGAATTCCAATGTTACGCATAGTCCTGTGATATATATCTATGCCCCCACCACTAAAGATCTAAGCTTTTTTCACAGTATACAGCTGTTAGTGGTGGCTCTCTTACCTTTGCTCATGTCCAAACAAAAACCAATTAATGCTGGGTATAGCGATGGATAGCAGCTGCTGTGATCTCCTGTAACTTTACTCCCCGCCACCACCTGTATTACCATTTCCCCATCATGACTTGAAATGTGAGAAGAAGAAGAAGAGAATGCAGACAAACGAGATATGGGGTCATATTTATATAAGTGAAATGAAAATCTTACTTACAGTGGTGGTTGGCTGTATGATGGAATGGGAACTGGCTACCTGGAATAATTGCAGCCTCTGATATTAATGCATATGGTGTATTCTGTATACGTATAATGGACTGTATTTTTGCGTGTACACAACCTCTAATACACATGGCTAGTTGAGGAAGAGATGGAGAGACATGACTGCAGTCTTCTTCTGCAACACCTAACCATAGAGGTGGGTCCAGAAAAAAAAAAACCTTGTGTTCTTTCCCAAAGAGTTCCATAGCAGTAAAATCTCCCTCGATATGGAATCCTTCCTACTTGCTATGTATCAATGGCCATAGTATGCAAAATTATGCATGATTGCTCAAGCAGGGTACATGAGTCAAGACTCCATTCAAGGGAGAGGCATCTCATTCAATGGCATTATATGTCATAAATTTGTCGATGGACAATAAATATTCAGACCATTGCCTGTTATACTTGCTGCAGTCACTAGAGATAAAATGCATAGACTATCTGTCGAAGATAACATTGCTACAGTAGTAAATAGCCAAGCAAGTGATGAATATTAAGCTTATGTACAATATAGTATACAGGAAGAGTAGGAAAAGAGAGGAAGAGCAATGTTGAAGTAGTAACCAAATTTAGCTCTATGCACTCACACGACATTCCATTCCTTATTCACAAGTAACCCTCCAAAGAGTCAGTCTTGATTGCTTATTAAAGTACGTTTCAATTCATCAAACAGATCATCGACAGCAGGCCATTCAGTACGGCGAGATCAGAACATGCATCTAGTAGAGAATAAAAGAGGAGATGGCAGACTATTAAGGAGAATTCGAACTAATGCATAATATTTGACAGCTTTTGCTGGGAGAAGAAGGACAAGCATAAAATCTCTGTCCTTTGAAGTCATAAGAAACTGAAATGGCAAACAACCAAGGTCAGGCAACATTGCTTGTTAGGATGGCACAGCCAACTGGTCTTTACCAACAAGCTTAAATGGCTGGATATGGAAGGTACAACATTATTGTCATGTCAAGTGCCAGACCAGAACATGAACAGAATTAAGAAATTTAAGGGTGCTGATATAATTTCCGCTCTGAGTATAGAAAAAGATTGTCTTGATCTATCAGGTTTCCAGTAGTTCACAACCAACAACACTTGAAGATTGAATGTGTCCCTTTCTCAATCTAAACTAAGTGGCTATCCAGAATCGTGATGTTTTCCGCTTACCCTTTCCTTCTTTTTGCACTTAGTACAAGATTATCGTCATCATCACTGTCATCGGCTAGTCTTCTCTTGGATTTTATATCAACTTTCTTTGTAGATGCTTGTTGCTGCCTGTGAGAAGAACTCTCGGGTTTGCTTGGTGTTTTGGGAGACTTAATGGGAGTGCCCATGCGTTGCATCTTTTGCTTTCTCTGTTTCTTCTCATATGCCTTCTTTGATCTTTCAGGGGACAGCAACCCATGTTCCATCATCCTTCAAAAATTCAACCAAATTCATCTCAAATAACTCATACTTGCAAGACCTTTACTCCATGAAATTACAGTTTGTTAAAAGGCAAAACTATGAGCAAATTCTTCTGCCTTCTAAGGGTATATTGATCACAAATAAACAAATCATCTGTGTTACTTCACAATTAGTGAGAACCGTGAAACATAGCGAGAAAGAAAGAGCAGCAAACAAAAGCAGCAATTCACTCAATGCACGAGGCACAGATCATCACCCAAATTAAACTTAGCGGTGCAGTCAGTAAATGAGATAAAAAAAAGGCCAAGAAACATCTAAATGCAGAGTGACGAAAATTTAAATTAAGGCGAACAGAAGAACAATCTCAATTAAAGAGGGAAGTTGGAAATTGCAGGGAAGACAGATTAACCACAATAAAAATATATATATTGGGAAGTCTATCCGCCCATCCGTAACTCTCGGCTCCATATAATCAAAGCTTCAAACTTCAAAGAAGTGAGACACCTTTCCGGAGAGTCCACTACTAGCAACAAATTATCAGGCTAGGAAGACATGTGATTTATGATCATATGAGGCATATGATGTACATGGGCTACGTACTAGACAATATCAATGAAAGGAAACTTTTTTCTCTGATACCATGGCCAAGTGATGAAAGGACATCTCTAAACTAGTTTGAACTTTGTTTGGGCAACTGAAATGAGTTAGACTGTTCAAGAGCAAAAGTATTACATCAGAAACATCTCCTTACTAGGTGGGGAAATGAAAGCGGCGATATCCAGCTCAAAATTTCACTCATTTCGTAGGCTCGAGTTCAAACAAGGAATCCTCAAAGAGAATGGAACGAAACCTTACCAAAATTCTGCCATTTCACTTGATGGAATTTGTTCAGACAATGACTCGTAGAAAATCCTAACAGGCTCCCTCTGCAAAAGAAATGTAAGCAAAATCACCAGACATTATCAGGCCACGTCATTGCGCGTAATCGTATGTAAACCCGAGCACGAAGAAAGAAACTTATGAACATAGACAGAAGTCAGAACCTCTTCAGGTGGATCATATTTCTGGCCAGCCAAGGAGAAGACTTTCTTCACTCTAGCAGTTTTGGTTGTCGTTGTAGCTTTTGATGTACTTGATGTAGATGATTTCACCTTCACATTCAATAAACAAGGGAGTAAATCATAACCAGTCCGAAAGAATTGAATCAATAACCCTGATCAGCACAACCCAATTGGACAACTCAGCTCAACGATGAAAAATGAGCTCAAACCCAATCAAAATCAGACGAAATCCAGCTGACCCATCAAAGCTATAGCGACAGGAAAGGTCAGACCAATCGAACCTCAAACAGCTGAATGGAGATAAAGAAGAAAAGGAGGGAAATTTGAGATCCGCACCGAAGTCGAAACGGATTTGTTCTTCGAATCAGCCAATTGCTTGCTAGAGCTCTCGATCTTCTTAATCCTTGATACATCTTGACCGCCGCCGCCCAGCTTCACCTTGGCCACAGTTTGCTTCGTCTGTGTGGCCATTTCTTCTCTGCAATCACAAATTCACAATCCTCCTTTCTATCGCCGCCTACCGAATAATTGAATCCACAACAAAGGCCCTTCGATTTTACCATACAGTAAAAAAAAAAGCAGCGGTAACAAAGCCGTTCCTTTGCCGTTAAATTTCTGCCGCCAAGCTTTCAGGAGTTGGCGTAACCGGAGGTTGACGGAAATGGGGTAAATTGACGGTAGTTGTGATCGGACGGCAGATAATGGGAGGTGTAGAGAATCCACGGTGGAAAGAGTTTGCTTCGTGTTTGGCCTTGTCAAAATAGATCAGGAGACGTGTATCTTGACGGCCTCGGCTCAATCAACCCATGTTGATGTAGGATTACTAGCGATTTCGACTTCATGTTCTCGAGTTACAAATAATCAGTGTGTCGTGTTGATATTTGATAACTAATGATTTCGATTTCATGACGTTGAATTATCGATAATTAGAGTACAAATGCTGAAATGCAGACAACGATTACTTTGTAACAAAAATAGCTAATTTCCAAAATCGCGTAGCTCTTCATAACGGTCTAGTATGATCCCTCTGTAACCAAAATCTCTTCTTGAACATACAATCTATGAAGTCTACAACCTATACAGTTTACACTACATTTCAGTTGACAAATTCTCAATCCAATATCTTCTTCACATTCTCATCTGAAAGACTCTGTTATACCATACAGAGTGAAGAACCATGTGGAACAGATCATACTTCACAGGCTGGTGATGCCAAAGGAAATGCCTCTGCACCATCTTCACCCTCTTGTGCATCTCTCTGTACCTCTCGTCGGATATCGCCAGCAGTATCTTCTTCAACTCGGGGATGTCCTTCTCCAGCACAAACACGGCGAAAGATTCCCAGTCCAAGACATCGAAGAACGGGGGCACGAAGTTGTCCGATATGATCACCGGAACGCACTCGAAGAATATCGATTCCACGATCCTCGGGCTGTTCACTTCGAACCCTCGTGGGCATACGCAGAACTTGCTGCTCTTCATGAGCTCGATGTAGTTCCTGCTGCCTCGAACGTGAGGCAGTGGGCCCGTGATCCTCATGTCGGGGTCTTTGTTCTCCCAGTGGGAGAGCAGGATCGGACGGAGGTAGCCATGGATGCCGCCTGCAAAGAACGCAAGGACGTGTCTCTCGGAGGCTGATGGCAGGTTCGGTTCTAAGTTCTTGAGAGGATTCTCTGCTGACCTCACGTAGGTTTCGGGTAGGGAGACATCTTTGCCAACGTCGAAACCCACTTCGAGGTCAGCATTGCAGAGGGCTCTGATAGACTTCAGCATTCGTCCCCTCGTCTCAGCTGGTGCCTGCATAGGTAGATAAAAAAAACACGAATAAGAGGCGGAACCTAATCCATTTGCCACCTCTGCTAACCAAATTGAATCAACAAATTGTCACGGAAATGGAGCAGCACACAAAACAGATACCATACCCAGTCATGGCAGGCAGCAACGAAATGATCAGTGCCATCAGTTCTATTCCAGTAAGGATATTTCACGCCCAACATGTCCACAAAGTTCTTCATGTACTCAACAAGGTTTTCTCGACTGTGGGACTTTCTGACGTAGAGCTTCAACTCCAGAAGTCGCGAGCTGAATGGAATGTAGAACAAGTGAGCTTTACTGGGGTCTTTGGTGACGAAATGTTGATTGTTCTCCATGAGCTTCATAAACCATCCTTCAGAAGCGTATATACCATTGAGTAAATACTCATGGAAGATGGGCTTTTCGCCTTCCTGGTACACATACACTTTGAGCAACCTCTCCATCAGTTCATAGCTCCTGCCATTTATATATGAGCTCTCATTCATCAGATCATTTGACTCTAAATCTCTGAATCAACATGTAGTGATTGGCCCAGAATGCATTCAGATACCTTTTGAACATAGAAACATTGCGGTAGAGAGGTGCATAGAGATCTATATCATCCCCAATTCCACCTGCTTTCTCAATTTCTGATCTCGCATGGAGCATATCTTTGTCAACCTCTGATGGCCAATGGGGTATCTAAAAAATACATGAATTCATCAGATTCTTCATGGAGCTTCATGCATTCCCATGATAATGCGGAGATTTGAATCCATCACATACCATGGAAGATGATGATGAAGCGTATCTCTGATGTAACATGATGTTCATCTCTGATATAGGTACAACTTTGGATGGTGGCTTATACTTCTGGTTTCTCTTTGCAGAAGCTGCTTGTGCAGAACTATTTACAGTCACAGACGATGAGTTATTATTTAACAACAACCCAGAATTGGCATCCTTGTTAGGCCCAATTGCTGCATGATCTTTGGTATTCGATGAGATGTTTAACCTCGAAGGAGAAATCGATGAGCTCACTGTAGTTGCATTCAATGGTGGTGGTGACGCAGATTGTGAGAGAGAAGCTTGATCAGGCTTACTCAATGACGACAACTGCGAAGTGGCATCCTTGCTAAGCCCAATTGCTGCATGATCTTTGGTATTGGGCGAGATGTTTAAGCTCGAAGGAGAAATCAAGGGCGGACTCGCTGGTTTTGCATTTGCTAGTGGTGATGCAGATGGTCGGACGACACCTAGATCAGGCTTAACAAAGCTGCCATTTTTACCCGGTTTCAACGCAATGTCGAGTGGTGGCATAGCTCCTCTCTCAAGTGGGTTCGAAGCATTATGATTCGAATCGACCAAGCCATCATTTCTCACAGCATTGCCGAGGAATAGGGAAGTGAAAGCTCCAATTGATGGGATTTCAAAATACTGAACCACCATAACTATAACGAAAGTTGCTCCCACCAGCATAAGCAACTTCCCTGCATCTCTCTGGCACAGAAACTGAACTCCCTTGTACATCTTGCATCCAAAACCACTCTCCCCTTCTCCCACAGATTGCACTGCCAAGCTACAGCACCAAAATTTCAAGGGTTCCATAAATTGCACGAATCACAACCCAGAAAATGAATCGAAAGCTAAATTCTAACCACAACCCAGAAAAAGGCCCAAACCCCAAAAACAGGGGAAACCGGAAAACCATGTTCATTAATTGGACTCCGCAACCAAAGCAATGAAATTTTTTTATAAAGATCGCGCAAGTCTAGATTGCTGGGGAAGGGAGATGAGACGGGTAAAACTCACATTCACATGGGGAGGGATTCACGATGTCAAAGGCGTCGACTTGAGATCTAAGGCTGTCGGTGCGAGCCCATTCCTTGCAGAATTCCCGCCTCCTGGTTTGGGTTTACAGCAGAATCGAAGGCAGAGATAGTGGATACCTTGATGGCGATTGAAACAGCTAGAAAGCGGATCGCCAGACCTTCTTTACTTTATCTTTTTGTTTGTTGTTTTGTATTTCTGATGCGACTTTCTCCAGACCCTTTTTTTTTTCCACGGAGCACCGAAACAGAGGAAGAAGGTAAAGTGCAGTTGTAGAAATAAAATAATAATTTTTTTTATCTCATGTAAATTACTAATGGTCCAATGTTTAGATCGTATGAATCTTGAATCATTAGTGTCAGTGAATTGATCAATAACATAAATTTACAAACAATATCTATCAAGAAGTAAATTTGTATATGAAATTTTCTTCAAATGAATTTATCACCTTAAACACTTAAAAATGGATGCGATTTCGGTCTAGTTTTTATTCGTTGGAAGATTTATCTATACATCTTCATTTTAATTCTCACAACTAAAATGTTACAAAATGTGTAAGAATTGTTGCAAAGCTAATTATATACGCAAAAGATATGGCAAATGTGATAGTGGCATAATCGACCACTACACTCATTTCCATTTCAGCGAGGATTCGGTCCATGACTTTCTCCTAGTAAAGAGTAGAAAGCTAATTCATCGTTGGTTCAACAACTTGTTGATCATCATCCATCATTATTTTTTTTGTCTGTTTTGATCTTGTTTCTATTCTTGTATCTTCTTGTTTCTGTCGGAATATTTTTGAATTTTTTTTTCAAACGTAGTAAGAAAATAACGAACATCTAACCTATGACAGGAGTCAGGGGACTATCAGCCCGTCAACTCCGGAACACTCTGTTGTACCAAATGGAATGAAGCACCATATGAAACACATCATACTTCACAGGCCTAGGGTGCCACAAGAAATGCTGCTGGACCTTCCTCACCCTCATCTGCATCTGCAGATACCTCCTCTCCGGGATCCCGACCAGTATCCTCTTCAAATCCGGTATGTCCTTCTCCATCACGAACACGGCGAACGACTCCCAGTTCAGCACCTCCAAGAACGGCGGCACGAAGTTGTCCGAGATGATCACAGGGACGCAGTCGTGGAAGATGGCCTCCACGACTCGCGGGCTGTTCACCTCGTAGCCTTTGGGGCAAATGCAGTACTTGCTGCTCCTCATGTGGTTGATGTAGTTCTTGTTCCCTTTCGACCTCGGCATGTTGCCATAGATCTTCATTTCTGGGTCCTTGTTCTCCCAATGCTGCAGCAGGATCGGGCGAACATAGCCGTGCATATTGCCTGCGAAGAAAGCTAGCGTCGATCGCTTCGATGGTGGCTGCCCGCCGAGGTCTCGTAGTGGCTTCTGCGCGTTTCGGACGTAGGTCTCGGGGAGGGATGTGTCCTTGCCGAAGACGAATCCTTCCTTGATGTCTGCATTGCAGAGGGAGCGTATGCAGTTCGACATGTACTGTTTTGTTTCAGCTGGTGCCTGCAGAATTCGGCGATCAATTGTAATCCTTATACCATTAGGATTTGGGGGGTGTGCTATGATTTTGGCCAAATTGAGCTGAATTATTCCACTGGTATGGTTCAATTAGGTTTCAATTCTAATTCTGCATACCCTAGGATTAACAATTTGAGAAGGGTGGTGAAGAGGATGTTACCCAATCGTGGCAAGCGACGAGGAAATGATCCGCGCCATCTGTTCTGTTCCAGAAGGGGTGTTTTGCAGCAACCATGTCCAGGTAGTTTTTGAGGTGCTGTATGAGGTTCTTGTGACTGTGCGAACCAGGGACGTAGAGGGTTTCCTCCAGGTTGCGAGAACCGAAAGGCAGGTAGAACAGGTGAGCCTTTCGTGGGTCTTTCGTGACGAATTTCTTGCTGGTTTCCAAGAACTTCATGAACCATCCTTCGGAGGCATAGATTCCTTTTAGTGCCGGCTGATGGAATATAGGCCTTTCTCCTTCCCTGTAAACGTACACTTTCAGCATCTTCTCCATCAGTTCATAACTCCTGCACACAAAATTGGTGGAAGCATCAAATTCTGTCATGTAAAAAATTGCTCTGCATACTCTGTATGTGCAAAGCAAGTCTGGTGATGGCTCTACCTCTTGAACATGGAGACGTTATGGTAGAGAGGAGCATAGAGCATTGGGTCATCTCTCACAATGGGCGCATTCTCGATCTGTGATCGAGCACGCACAAGCTCTCCGTCAGCAGGTGAAGGCCATCGCGGTCTCTACAGAAAAAATAGAAGTGCCCAACCAAATCATTGATGAGTTCTTCAAACATACACATTGGTGAAAAAACACAATGTCGCGTCTCAATTCATACGTACTATCGAATTCGGAGAGGACAAACTCTGAAGCATCAACTTGTTCATCTCCGAAATCGTAAAAACTGCTGGTGCTGCTGGTGGTGGAGGAGGAGGAGGGGGAGAAACCTCTGCAGGTTTGGTTACATCAGCAGCTTGCAGTACTTTGTCAGACGTGACATTGCTGTCCTGCTTTACACTTGCTTCTTCTTCTTCTTCACGTACACTAGGCGCCATGGCAACGACATCACCAACAGGTGAACCTGCAGGATTCACACTGCTGCTAGGCTCCACCTCCATTGGTGATGTGGGGACAGCTGCAACAACAGAAGTTCCTTCTTTCGCTTCTTCTCGATCAGCTGCAACAGTGACATTTTCCCCTTGCAAATTGCTGCTGCTTTCAGCTGCAGAATCATTCTTCAACCCCGTGATTCGTTCAGACACAAAGTGATCACTAGAAATCCCTTCTGGATCACCATCACCATCATCATCAATTTCCTGATCAGGAGCAGCCTCAGGAGACAATGTCGAACTCGAATTCGCATCAACCAGCCATTCATGTAACAAATCAAACTCCGTGGAAGACCTGTTGTTGTTCATGATTCCTTCATAGACAAACCCATCGCTGTCCGCCACTTCCTCCAGAGCAGGATGGAGAGTGGTGGAATTTACAGCAACAACATTGGCACTAACACTACTACCGCTACCAATTCCTTGCCCTGGCGCCTCGTCGGGGGAAGAAGGCGCGGAGGAGGACGGCAAAACGACGCCGTATGGGAGTTCGAGGAATTGGAATGTCACAGCCAGAGCAAAAGTCACCCCTACCACCGTCAGCAATCTCCATCCAAATTCTTTACCCATTTGGGCGGGGAGACAAATAGCCATTACCCAGTTGCCCCTTTTTGTTTGGCAGCCGAGAAATTTCCGCGAGAAAGAAAGTTCAAGCCGGGGAAGGGATTATTACCATGGAGAACAGAGAGGTTGACTTTTTTGACTCATGTCTCGACTTCGGCTCCTGTTTGGTTACCGAGGAGAAAAATAAAAATGGGTGAGAAAATTGGGAGCTCGAAGACGACGACGGAGGGGTTTTGGTCAAAATCGGAAGATTTTGCCAGTTGCCACACTGAAGGAAAGGATTTTCCGAGAAAGCGTGTTTCTCTTGCTTTTCTTTCTTTTTTTTTTTTTTTTTGGGGTTCAAAGATTCTCGGCGAGCAAAAAGCTGGTTATTGTGGGTTTCTTTCTCGCCGGGGCGGTTGCATGGCGGCGGCGATGAGAGTCTCTCTCTGCAACTCTGCTCTGTTTCCTCTTTATTGGTATTGGAAACCGAGAGGAAGGAAAAGAATGGAGAAGAAGGAAGGGGACAGAAAACGGAAGTTCGTTTTCGAGCAGAACAAAAAAAAAAATTACGTCTGGGGAAAGAGAGAGAAATAAAGGGGGGGAAGGTTCCGTTATGATCGGGGTTTTGCCATTACGCCGTCCCGTTTTTGACTTTATTCCCCCCACCCCCCCAACCGCCACGCGCGTCCCCACCGCTGGCTCAGTTGCACGCGCCCCGTCCCGTTTACTGTCATGATTCTTCAATCATGTTTCATAACGTTTGTCGTCTGTCATGGTCCTCATAATTATAATATATATACCTTTTTTTTAATCATCATTTGGTAATTTATCATTCAACTACTGTTATTTTGTATAGTCTAACAAATTAAGTCTCTCAACTTTGAATTTTTACCAGACGAGCTCTCTCCTGCAATTTTACATTTGAGAGGACGAGTAGGGACGATAATGAGTCGGGTTTCTCAACACGCCCAAACCTAATTTTAGCAGACGACCTATAAAAAAACAGGTAAAGAACTAATCAAAATTTGGAAGCTGAGAAAAACCATCCCACCCTCAAGTTCAACGGGTATATGCAAGTGCACAGGTAGTACTCTCGTCTGATCACGGACGTATAACCACCAACAATCCATGCAAATTCACCACATTCATAAGTTTTCTGAAAATTCTCATAAAATCATATTGCAATAAACACTAATAAAACATCAATAAATGATTTATATTATCAGGATAAGATGCAAATCAGTGCCATAGCTTTATGTACCTACGCGGATAGACTACATATCGCCCCGTCGTTTATTTATATTTTGCAGATCATATTAAGAACAAACATTGATGATTGTTAGAATGGCGACTATTATCCCTCCACTAAATGTTGCATTCGACCTGTAAAAGCCCATACAATCTTGTCAATAATCTACCAATTTGAAAAGCGAGTACTCTGAGCTCGGAGAGTGCTATACTCTCCCGTGGACTAGTCCCGAATCCTGGGGACAGTGGCGGACCCAGAAATTTTTCATAGGGGTGTCCACTTTTAAAAAATAAATTATATAAAAATAATTAATAAAAATAAAATTGTAAATATGAAAATATCTTACTCGTACAGGTTAAAAAAGTCCATGATGTGTTTTGATATTCGAAATTAATTGTAGAATACACTTGGTGTTTATAGTGTTAAAAAAATTGTCTCTATATACACTACTAGACAATCCAGTGGCGGACCCAGAAATTTTACATAGGGGTGTCCACTTTAAAAAAATAAATTAAATACAAATAATTCTAAATAATTAATAAAAAAATATTTAAATAAGAAATACTTTACTCATACATTGAAAAAATTCACAATGTGTTTTCATATTAAAAAATGATTCTAGAACACACTTAGGTTCTACACTATTCAAAAAAATTGTCTATGTATATCATATTAGACAATCATTCACGAACTGATCACATATTCAATTTCTAAACTTGTTCTTGATGTAATCAAAAGCTGAAAAGACTCTTTCAATACTTGTTGTACAACCATAAATCAATACAAATTAAGGGTGGCTTGAAATTTGTTTAATTTTTAGATTTTGAAAATAATTAGAGATAGAGAATGACATTGTACAATTACACAGTGTTTAAAATCGAATAACGTATGAGTTGTAGCCTAATGAAAATTATGTTTATTAATAATAAAAGTGTCCTAGGTTTGAATTACCCAAACTACGACTTATATTCTCATACTCAAACTAAAAGATGAGAGTAGGATAATCACTTTTTTAAATTTAGGGGTGTCCCCGACTATCAATTATAATTTTTTTTGTCAATACGTAAATTACTACCGGGGTTTGGATAATCGTTTTCCCAAAATTTAGGGGTGTCCGGGGACACCCCTAAACAGCCGTGGGTCCGCCCCTGAGACAATCATTCACGAACTTATCGCATGTTCGATTTGTAAACTTGTTTTTGATATAACCCAAAGTTGAAAGACTCTTTCAACACTTGCCGTACAATCATAAAATCAATACAATTTAAGGGTAATTTGAAAATAGTTTAATTGTTAGGTTTTTAAAATAATTAGAGATAGGGAATGCCATTTTACTATTACATATTGTTCAAAATCGAACAACAAATGAGTTTAGCTCAACGGAAACTAAGTTTATTAATAATAATAATAGTATTCTAGATTTGAATTATCCAACCTACCACTTATATTCCTGTACACAAATGACAGTAGGATAACATTTTTTCAAATTTAAGGAGTGCCCCTCACTATCAATTATATTTTTTTTGTCCATACATAAATTACCACCGGGAGTTGGATAATCGTTTTCTCGAAATTTAGGGGTGTCCGGGGACACCCCTAAACCCTCCTGGGTCCGCCCCTGCCCGGGGATACCACGTATATCGTGTGTGCATTTCGTTTATCGCTAAGCTCGTATTGTTAACATGGTATCAGAGCCTTTTGTGACCGAGAGGTCTTCTGTTCGAATCCGATGACCCTCATATGTTTCTGTTTCTATTAAGCACACGGTGTCCGGACATGTGTTTGTCCAAACTCCAAGGATATCTGATGGCTTGAGTTTGCAGGGGGGGTGTTAGTAAATGGTATATGATCCACGATTGAACCTCTCCCAACAACTCGAGTTATTGGGATCAACTGGTCCTTGACATCGTTCCTAGAGTGAATTAGATCTGAGCTCGAAGAGTGCTATACTCTTCCGTGGACTAGTCCCGAATCTCGGGGATACCACGTATATCGTGTGTGCATTTCGTTTATCGCTAAGCTCGTATTGTTAACAAGTACCGTCCATGTTCGATCTAAAATCTATCAAAACCGAAATTTCTCGATTTAATCGGGTCGACTCGAATCAAATGTACCCACTAATCCGAGTTAAATTACCAACCCAAGAAACGTATTTGTAGAAAGAAACTTCTCACCCGTCAGTCGCCCACATTCATGATTCATGTGCGCAAACATGGTGTTCTTCTCCCCCCCCCCCCCCCCCCCCCCCCCCACACCCAACGGTACGTTGTCAGGGAACAGAGGACTGATCACAATTGGCGCTTTTCCTCCGTCGTCTCGTCTCGACTCTCGTCTTCATTTACGCCTCTCCTCTTTCTTTCTTTATTTATTTATTTATTATATAAAAACCTACAGTTGATTTCAGTTCACATGATGCCGACACGTGTCTCGCATGCATGCATGTTCACAACTTCGCATGACTCTCTCTGCATGATATATTATAAATAAATACGCGCCCATCAATCGACATAACTCAACGTCACTTGAATTCTCCATAATCCAAAATGCAAAGCCCAAGTTACTAGTTGATGTATCCGTGGCCCATTGTACAATTCGTTTGGGCTTTGGGTACTAGGTACTCCTCGGCCCGCTGGTTCCTGCCAAGCCCATGTGGCTTGTGGAAGGGCTCGGAGGTCGTCTTTCTCCTTCTTCTTCTTCCTGCTGGAACTTTTAGCTGCCCTAACCCTAATTAGCTTGCTAATTAGATGCTAATCAACAAATCCTTATTCAAAGAGGTGGCGACAAATAGCGGTCCACCTCGATAAAGCTTCCCCTTCAACAGAATGTAGATTCCTAGGAGGGAAAGATACAAATCGGTGGGAAACTTACATCATTTCCCAACTATATACGCGGTTTCTTTTATACGTCGCCGGCGATTTGTCGGAACATGTCGTCATCCGTTATAAACTTATACTGTATTCAAGCCGTCATCAGTTATAAACTTATTACGATCGTCGCGAATCGATCGATCTATTGAAAATTCCAACTAATTCGGTTCGTGTAAATACAAAATCTAATGAATTGATGGATATAGTGTAATGGATCGTTGTAGAATTACAGTTTAGTAATGCTAGCAATCTATGATACATAATTTATCTTTTACTAACTAGTCGATTGTCGCGAACAAAGTTTTCTCGAATCGAACACCGAGCCGCCCACGTAAGCAGCTCGATCGGCTCATTCGCAGCCGCCCCCAGTTCCAACCGAGCCGTGTAATTCATGGGTTTCTTTCTAGTTTAATTTTCGCAAATTTTTATTTATTTATCATTACTATAAACATTGATTTGCGATTACAGCAAACTGATCGAAATTATCCTTTCTCATAGTACTATCTAATAGATTCGAATTTATTACCTCCAAATTCAAAACCAGATCTGAATCTAGTTGTTTGTGTTGATCAACATGCATATTATTATAAAGACACGGAGAAACGGCACCGACCGATTCCCGGAACCCAAAATTAGCAACAAAGACTAAAAGAGGAATATAACCAATGGCGCTAAATAATGTGGCGACGAATTGCAGGATCCAGAGCCGGCAGCCGCCGCCGGAGTCCCATCGTCGACATCACACCGCCACCAGCTTCCATCATCATCTCGCCACCTTTGTTTCTTCCACTTTCAAGGTAACGTATCATCGTGAAATTTTTTTTTTTTTTCTGTTGGTAAGTATATTAATCCCGATGAAGAACAGTCGAGCTTGATGATTCCCAAGCAAATCGATGTTCCGGTGAAGCAAAAGGCTCCCGGCGGCGGCGGGAAGCTGCTGCTGGACGCTTTTGTTGATTTCGCCTTCCGGTTTGTCGACCAACCTTTGCTCCCGTCTCAGGTATGTGTTTAATTCTTAGTTACTCGTACATCTTTTGCTTGTTGTTGGGGAAAAAAAAAACAGAGGAATGGATTTTGTCCGGTGGGCAGCGTAACTTCGCGCCGGTGGAGGAACTGAAGGAGGCCGTTCCGGTGACGGACTTGGTGGAGGGTATTATTCCCGATGACTTCTCCGAAGGAGTCTACATCCGAAATGGTAACCTCATAGCTAGGGGTGTCGAGTTCGGGTTCGGTTTAACCGAATCCGAAACCGTTAAGAATGTTTTTAGTTTCAGTCTGATTTTCAAAAGATAACGAGTTCGGGTTTTAGGGTATTTCCGGTTTTGTTTCGATTACTCGAACCAAGCTGAATCGACATCCCTACTCATAAGTTATAGCTAGTGATATCATTGATTAGTGATAGGGGAATTCTACGATGTTAGCATGTAGCGTGGAAGGTATAAGTCTAATTTGTACCATAAAAGAATGTATACGAAAAGATACATGTACAAATTGAATTTGTACTATAATGTTATGATACATGTTCAATTTGTACTACAAAGAAATTTATACGAAAAATAGTATAGGTACAAACTAAATTTGTACCATAACATTGAAAGTATAAGTTCAGTTTGTATCATAAAGAAATTTGTACGAAAAAAATATAGTTACAAATTAATTTATACTATAAAATTAACGTACATGTTCAATTTGTAACGCAAAAGAATTTGTACGAAAAAAGTATAGGGACAAGTTAAATACTATTAGCGTATAAGCGTTAAAGGTACACATTCAGTTTTGTTGGGCCCACTTCACTTTCCAGTGTGTCTTGCATATTTTCCATTGGATTGATGTAGGGGTGAGATATAAATAGTTTTTTCAATCTTTACATCGTTTCAATGAAACAATTAAAAAATGAGACAATTTAGTTAACTATCTCATTTTACAAATTGAGTCAACTCGGAAACTTCCCGAATAAATTATTTCATCCAAATTTTATATTTCAAACGAATCCATTTGATCAGTCAGAATTCCACATTCAAACCGTCCCGGTGTTTGCTAGCTGCTAGAATCGATCAATGTGGTCTTGTATTGGACAAGTTAGATAAAAGGAAAAGCTCAACGAGACCAAAAGCCTTACTCTGTTCTTCATGAATCTGACCCTTGAGAACATCATTTGCAGGACCGAATCCTCTGTTTGGAGGGTTGAAATCAACGGAATCCATCTTCGGGAAGACAAGCCACATCTGGATAGAAGGAGAAGGAATGCTCCACGCCCTGTACTTCCAGAAGAGCAGCAACAATGGGAGATGGAGCGTCGTCTACAACAACAGACACCTGCAGACAGAGACCTTCAAGATGGAGAAACAGAGGGGCAAGCCTTCCTTTCTCCCCGCCATTAAAGGCCATCCACCAGCAGTCTTAGCAGCCTACTTGCTGAATTGGGTAACGTCGTGGGTTTACTGTCAAATCAATCAATCCCCCCTAATTTAACCTCTCTGGCTCTCTGCTATGAACTGTCGAATAACACTCTGTTTTTGGAAATGGAGCAGATGAGATTTGGGAAAGTGAACAAGGATCTCAGCAACACCGGTGTGGTGTACCACGGCGGGAAGTTGTACGCAGTGGCAGAGAGTCATGCTGCTCAGGAATTCGACATCCTCAGCCTCGATGCTCGAGGTGAATGGGACATCAATGGAGCTTGGGATCGACCTTTCACCGCCCACCCGAAAGTAGGCAGCTAGGTTTTATGTCTTTCCCTTTCAGTCGTATTGTCTCACATCTCTGATTTCTGTTCATGGTGGTACTCTTTCTCTGCAGAAAGCTCCCGGTACCGGCGAGCTGGTCATATTCGGGATGCAGCCTTTCAGACCTTTCATAGAACTGGGAATCGTTTCCGGTGCGAAGTTATATTCGAATTGCTCTCGTATCATACGGATAAAGATTCCGACACCCCTGAATTCACTGTAGTGGGGAAAACGTAACGAGCCGATGTTTCGTAATTTTACAGCGGATGGAGAAAGATTGCTTCATAAGGTGGACCTCGACCTCGATAGATGCGCCCTGGTTCACGATATTGGAGTTACCGAGAGGTACTCGTATCGTATGTCAATAATGGATCTTATACCACTCACTAACGGTATTGACGCGTAAAAAATTTGCAGGTACAATGTGATCATGGATTTTCCACTCACCATAGACCTTAGCAGACTCCTCATTGGAGGACAGTAAGTGGAACGAATTACTCTGAGTTAATCTTCCTTTAACAGTAATGATCACCTTCACAAACCACTGGATTTAATGAGCAGGTTAATAAAGTACGACAAGGAAGGTTACGCGAGGATAGGGGTGATGCCTCGATACGCGAATACAGAGTCGATTCGATGGTTCGACGTCGCACCCAATTGCACGTTTCACATTCTGAATTGTTTTGAGGATGGAAACGAAGTAAAGACTAATACAACTTATATATCATTTTTTTTTATTAACATGCGCTCTCAAACGAAAGTCAACTCACGACATTTTATCGCGAAGGTTGTGATCAGGGCATGCAGGTGTCTTAACTCAGTAATTCCAGGGCCAGAGATGGGGGAGGACAGATTTGAGTGGTTCTCAAGAAGGTTTAGGTTTAGGCGTGGCGACGAGGGAGATGATGGTGCTTCTTCTTCTTCTGGAGAAGAATTGTTCTTTACTCGCTGCTATGAGTGGCGGCTGGACATGGAAACAGGGGAAGTGCAGGAAAGAAACCTAACTGGGAAAACAGAGGCTTCCATGGAATTCCCCATCATCCACCCTGCTTTCACCGGCCTCCCTAACAGATTTGGGTACACACAAACCATCGATTACGAAGCTAGCTCCACTTCAGGTGATTTTTTTTTTTTTTCTGTACAAATTGACTGCTCTGTTTTCATATCTGTCTAGAGGCAGAGGACAAACTAATCAAAGTTTTTGTGGTGGTGGGTTCTTGATGATCTCCAGGCAAGCCAAAATTCGGAGGTCTGGCCAAACTGTACTTCCAAGATCAGCCTAAAACGAACAACATTGATCGGGTAACTAATCGAAAACTTCTTCGATGGATTTCGCAATCGGTCTCGTACCCAATGTAGTCAAAATTCGCGCTTTAAAACTTAAAGGTTTACCCTTTTGCACTTTTAGATCATCAAATTGATTCCATCGTAGATTCGTGTTTTTTCAGTTACAATTGTAGTCAACATCTACGCTTTATTCGTGTTTTTGAGAGTGCCGAGTCTCTGGTTTACAGAGGGACGACGACGACGAATGCAGAGATGCGATCAAGGTGGAGTACCATGAACTCGAGAAGAACACATTCTGCAGTGGAGCTGCATTCGTCCCCAGATTGGCCGCTGCAGGGAGCTCATCACCGAGTAGTTGTGAAGAAGATGATGGATGGATCATCGCTTTCGTCCACAATGAAGACACTGACACTTCCAAAGTAGGGAGAAATGGATGATAACTTGCTTGTGATTAATGTTAAGCTCTGCCATTAGTGTGTTCTTGGTCATGCTAATTAGTTTTCCTAATATGAATCTGCAGGTGTACATAATTGATGCAAAAAAGTTCAGCAGCCATCCAGTTGCTAAGATCACATTGCCTTGCAGGGTTCCATATGGTTTCCATGGAGCCTTCGTGCCTATGTCGCTACCGCGCTTATGCGATAGTCATGGACATTCCAGGGAAACCACATAAATCGATGTTGGGAATCTGTTCTTTTTGCGAGATTGTTGAACAGTACAATCAACTAGAGTAGATTCATTGCAGAAGTATTCTGAAGTAAAATCATTGTGGTTGGTAATTCTAATGGAGAACTTCTACTATGCTATATAGTATTGGTGCTTTAATGTACAACTTAAAGTTGTACCATAACATTAAATGTATAAGTTTAGGTTGTCTCATAAAGCAATTTGTACCATTATGTTATGGTACAACTTTACAACTTGAAGTTGTTCCATCACATATATGTACAAGTTCAAGTTGTACCATAAAAGAATTTGTACAAAAAGTACATGTACATTCTGAAGTTGTACCATAACGTAAATATACAATTTTAAGTTGTACCATAAAGGCAAAACCCTATAGCACCAATACTATATAACATTGTAAAATTTCTTGATTCTAATGTAGTTGTATGATTTGTAATATTGCTATATCATGGCACCAATAAGATCCATCCTTTATTTTCGAATAAGAATTGGGTAATATTACTTTTGAAACATATTCCTATTTTTTATTATTATTCTGAGTCCAAATTAGACAGGTTATAATGGTTACCGGGAAAAAAATGGGTACCCAAGATATGGAATTACGTTGTTATGTGATAAATAGAGTTGTTTAAATTTAGGGTATGCCTACTATGACATGCATGTCACCGTGACATGGACTTTTCGGTCGACCTAATCCTGAAAGCGGTCGACCAAATTGACTAATTTGGGCCGCACGAGAAAGCATTGCGGTCGACCTCAAAGACCACCTGGTCGACCGTTCTTAGCTTAAGTTGTTATTTTTGGTTGACCAGAATAAACCTCGGTCGACCATTTCGTTGGCGTCAGAAACAACATGGTCGACCGTAAAGGTATATAGGTCGACCACTTGATGGCAGTCATTAACAACATGGTCGACCAGATAAAGAAAGAGGTCGACCAGATAGACGATAAGTGTTCTATCAATTTATCCAATCATTTGACGTAAAATGAAGATCAAGTGTTGGTGTCGAGGTCGACCTAATCCAGTACGAGGTTGATCGAATACAAGAAAGTCAACCTATGCCCCGTGTCTTTTTTGCTTATGTATGTCGATTTGTGTGGTTCTTTTGCTCGTATAAATTACGCTTTATACCATCATAACTAGTCATAAATAATGATAACAAGGACTAATCAATTATGCTATGAATTGAGGTCGACCGCCTTTAGGATTAGGTCGACCGCAATGCTTTCTCGTGCTGCCCAAATTAGTCAATTCGGTCGACCACCTTTAGGATTAGGTCGACCGAAAAGTCCATGTCACGGTGACATGCATGTCACCGTAGCAAAATCCTTAAATTTATTATTAGTTTGTAAATTTGAGTGACGAGACTTACCGCTTCATGCATTTGAAAAATTAAGATTTTGGTTAAAATATGGGTTGTACAAAACCATGGATATATGATAGAATTGCCCCATTTGATTTTTTGTACAAATCATCGTTTGCTTGTTGGATTTCATGATGGATTTGGCATTATTATATTTGTGGTTGTACTAGGAATTTACCTTAGTGCTCTTATTGACTATTATTTATATTTACATTATATTTTTTGTTATAAAACAATTTTCATCCAATAGCTTCATTTCACTACCACAATCGGAATAAATGAACATCATTAATCAATAACAACTTCATATTATACACATAATTAGACAATTCCTCAATTTTGCAAAGTATACTTTGGGATTAATCATATAGTGCTTGTGTGCAATGAATAATAATAAATATTGAATGCAAATTTAATATGCACTTCAAGTTGGTAATTAGTAAATGAAATTGGTTATTAGTAAATGAAAGAGGACGAGTAGGTGATTAGTGAAATAAGTAGGGTTAAAATTGTAAAAAGTCATCGTGACTTTGTACCCAACACAAATCCCACCTCTTGGGGTGGAATTCTCAAGTCCGCGGGATTCACGGATTTGGACCCTCAAAGTCTATGGGCCCCACGAATTATTCCTCCTAAATCTATCAAGCAAACGACGGATAGTGTACAAAGTCCATGATACTTGGTTTTTAAGTACCAAATTCATGATCAATTCCATGAAGCAAACGAGGCCTTAGGCTTAAATTGGATACTAATTCGTAGTTTACATTTATCTTCCTACTATATTGATTTTGATGACAACTTTTCATTTGAGTCAAATAGAACCATTTGAATCTGACCAAAATGAGTTTATTCAATTCAAATTTAACTCAATCCAAAACTAATAAAAATACATGTCCATTTAAATTCAACTCAATTTTTATTGGAAAATTCTTAGCTTCATAGAAGCTCCAACCAATCACAGCCACATGTCAGTTTTCTATTAGTGAGTTCGTCTTTTTTTTATATTTTAATTCTTAATTTATTTAACATAATTAAGAACATTAAATATTAAGAAAAAAAGGTAAGTACACCAATAACAAACTAACATGTGAATGATTTTAGTTTCTGCGTCCAACCAAAATTGGAGCTAAGAATTCCTTTCACACAACATTTCCTAAATTCTAATCTCATTCCGACTGTCATTATGGTATTCACTTCATCGTCGTTACCTCTTATCTACATCGTAGGTCGTATTTATCGATAAATAAAGAGTATTGATAGTATTAATACCTAGTTACCTACATTAAATCGTCATTTGACAAATTATGCGGATAACGGTCAACCCAAATACTATTACCACTTCTAATATGTTACCAATTTTTTTTCTTCTTTGACTCTTTATTAGTATTAGTATAATAATTTGCAATTAAGCTAATACGTTTTCCACATTATTCCAAGCAACGTTACGTTTCTATATATAACACACTGTAATTAAACCCTCTCCATGACTTGACCAAAATTGAAAGATTCCCTTTTTCCCAATATTTACTTTCTTCCCAACTCCTTACCAATTGAAACCCTATAAATACCCATTTTTTGGTCTCAATGTAGTAAACATACCAAAGCCAAATTGAAACCTGAATTGGAACTAGAACTAAGATTTAACATTCCTGATTATTAGTATGGCTAGTGGAGGATTAAGAGTTGGGTGCCTTGTAATGCTACTGGCGGCGATGTTGGTGGCTTTTACCAGCAACAGCGTCACGGGCACTCGATTTGTCGGGAAACATCCTGGCAACGCGACCGACTCGATATGTTGCAGGGAGTATTATCATATGGGAGAGTGTCGTCCTGGAAAGAACGATGCTCCTGGTGGGAACTGCTACGAATTCTGCATTCAGGAGTGTAAAGGTGCACTCTGCAAGCACACCTCTAGAGGCCATCACTGCCATTGTATGTGTTGATCAAGATGGATACGAGTACGATCCCACATATATATTATATGTATTCATGCATCTAGCCCTTTGGTTTTCTTAGAAATTGTTCGTCAGATTTGAGTAATAGACTCCTGATGTGTTCTTTTTGAGGTAGTATGAAGAGTTTTGACGTGATACAAAAATTGATATTGAAAGGAACATATCGCGAGAATAAACAATTAGAAGTATCTTTTGTTAAAGGTTAATCGTTAAGATTCAAAATTAAGGTATGGTGGATATTCTCTCATTCCCGGTCTATTTATATTATTTATGATCCTGAACCACATAGTGAATATTTCATTATTCTACCCAAAAGAGTTGGACTTTTGGACCTTTACCCATATTATACCCACACAAGAATTGGCAGAAGACATAAAAAACAGAGAATCCCCGGAAACAGAGAACCATTCATGCTAGTACAGCTTAATAAAACCATGCTTTAGACAGCATTGTAGCTCTGCTCCTCCCTTAAACAACAGCAGCTCGATGCTCTTGCTCCGACCTTCCACAATTTGCTCCAACTCCAGATAACAATACGAAGTGTGTCGAGCAGAGTAATCACCAGAGAAGCCAGCAGCAAGACTGCCAGAAGAATCACCGTTATCACCGCGATCCAAGAACGTATATCATCCTTAGTCGGAGACACCAAATATGCAGCAATTACAAAAGCAAACGTCATACAATCAAGGGCTGTGCACATAGCCTGAGCCAGTAGCCAGATAACGAACTTGTTCTTCAGAGGGAACCCGCCGACGATCAAAAGGATGACACACAGAGATGCACCAAATGCCACCGTGTTCAGTCCCATGAAATAATAGTAGAAATCTGTCTCGGTGTAAGCATGAACTGAAGTCCCGGCTGTGCACGCGTGGGTTGCGTTGCAGCGGAAGCCCTCAGTAGGGCTATTGAAGTTCTGTTGCCACACGCCACCTGGTGGGTTGTTTGCAGCTTGGAAGCTCATTTGTGCTATGATGGTGGCCACGATCAGGAGAGTTCCTTTCATATCTTTGATCCACTCGGTATCGTACTGCAGGAACTTCTTGAACCGCCGGCACATCGACTTGATTGGTTTGCAGCACTTATTGGTGGCGGGGGATATCGGTAGTGAAGGATTTGGTGGTGGAAGATGATGATGATGATAAGTGGAAGTCGTCAACTCCTTGGCTCTTTTACCGCCTGCATCCACCAGAAGGTCTCGGATCCGTAGGCTCTTGAAGTCTTTGGGAGACAGCTCTAGGCAATCCAAGGCTGTGGAGCCAAACCCGTTCAAAGAATTCACTGCTGCTCCCATGCTAGGTAGTGAAGTTAGGTAACTTGTGGTCTAAAAAACAGAGGTGTGTGACAAAGTTGAGACTGAATTCAAGTAGCCAATATCAAATTGCAGAATAAGGACTTGGGTCTGACCGAAAAGTATTGGTACCTGAACCTGTTTGAACATGGCAGCTGCATGCAAAATGGTGTTCCCTTCTCCATCTCCCGACCTGATGATGGATTCAATCATACCCCTCTTGCTGCTGCTGCCCATTTCAACCAATATCTTCATGGCCTCCAGTGGTTGTACTTCACACACAAGTGCAGAACCGTGTCTCCATCTTCTAGCTTCACCAACAACGACTCAGGCCTCGCACCGACCAGTTCTCTGACGACATCGTTTCTGCCTCTCATCGTCGCCAGATGAAGAGGAATCCTGCCATCCTCGTCGCGAACCAAACAAGCATCCGAGCCTCCTTCAGCACTCAGCAAAGCCCCGACGATCTCGGTGTGGCCAGCAGCAGAAGCCAAGTGAAGCGGGGTACAATTGGACGCGTCCCCTTCCATGGCCATCCCAGGATTATGATGCAGAAGCGCCCTGCTGAAGTCGAGGTGGCCAGCCAGGACCGAGATGTGTAGAGGGGTTTCGGTGAAGGAAGAGAGCGGGAATTTCTTGAGGACCAGCTTGTCTCTCTGGAGCAAGCCCTGCAGGGTTTCGGTGTCGCCTCTCATCGCTGCATCATAGATAGCCGATGCATCGACTTTCGTAGCAGCTGGGTTGATCTCCATTGCTTGCTGCAATGGTGGCTCTATCTACCTATACACAGTACTGCATCATCTCATATATAGTACAGCTTTTGCGTAATTTGTTGTTCCACCCAAGACAAGGACGATTGTGGGTCTCAGAACAATGGCAACAAGCCAGCTCACATCCGCACAAGCAAACAACTGTGGAAAAATGTAACCCCTGGTCAGGTCAGGTCACTGAGAAATGTCTAAAGCAGCAGCCTAGGAACCAAAGAAAGTGCCGATCAAGGACAATCATTGCCACTCTGTACAATACTTCAAAGATTCCAACATCATCTTTTCCTCACATGCTAACAACGCAAGTGTTCCTCTTTAAGGAGACCTGACGTAACAGAAGCATAATCAACTATCTGAACTTGAAGAAACTCCATAACTCGTTCTACTACTTAGATACTCAAAGTTGAATATGGAATTCAGCTACTTAAAAAATTGGAAATCAATTGGAACATGGAATTGAACACTAGACATGCAATCATCAAACTATTCGCCATTTTTTTTTTTGGAATTAAGCAACAGGATCGGTCAAGAGATTACTGAGAGAAGAGCTAGGGTTCCGCCTCCATGAAATCGCCGGGTTTATCCGTGCTCCGATTCACGCCGAAGAAGAAAAAGGAGAAAGGAAGAGAGCTGCTTGGCACAGCCGGTGAAGCCAACAGTAGATGTCGAGGGACATGGAAAATCACCACCGGACAGATGCTTCTCCAGCCGTTGGGGTGGAACCCCGGCCGGCGGCCGGCAGATCGACGAAGGGAGATCAGAGAAATGCGACATTGGATGACGGGGAGAAGTGAGGAGACTGGGTTTTGGAGAAAACATGGATAAGGTGAGGAGGCTTTCTTAATCAACGGTCGAGATAGAAAGTTAGGATGAATGAAGCTTATAATTAGGTGGCAACTTGGTAGTAAACTAGTAATTATTAATTAGTCACTAGTAAGATAATTATAGTAAAATTACAGAAAAAAATAAAAAGATAATATAGTAAGGGTTAATTATAGATTTATATTATATATATATATATATATAATTGATTGATACATTAATATAAGATTTTTTCACATAATGATAATAATAATAATAACGTTATAGTATATTGGTTAACACGATTATACAATTAACCAAACCGATCCAGGTTTAGTTTAGTTAATTTGATCTTTCTAAGGGAAAAAGGCTCTATGTGCAATACCATAAAATGTGTTTTTATAAATTCTTAAAAGGGTTGCAGCATTCTAATGTTAGTACTTTTACTAAGGTCGTGCGTATAGTGGGGGTTTTACAAGGAGCAAGCAACTAATTTTTTTTTAATAATAACTTTATAGTATATTGGTTAACACGATTATACAATTAACCAAACCGATCCAGGTTTAGTTTAGTTAATTTGATCTTTCTAAGGGAAAAAGGCTCTATGTGCAATACCATAAAATGTGTTTTTATAAATTCTTAAAAGGGTTGCAGCATTCTAATGTTAGTACTTTTACTAAGGTTGTGCGTATAGTGGGGGTTTCACAAGGAGCAAGCAAACCTCACTTTAGGCAACACATTTCAAAATTTTCGCAACATGTTTTAGAAATATAAGCAATATTTATTGTAAGTTTTTGCAACATTTGAAATTTATCTGTGACGAGTCTAAATCATAGTTATGTGTGAATATAGTTTTATCACAGATGCACCTTTTGAAATTCAAGGTATGATCGAAGGGCTGATTAATTGTCATTAAAGGAACTATTTGTGACAAATTCTATTGTCACGTACGCAACATTGTGTGGCGAATTTGGATAATCACCCATAACATACTTTTGTGACTATATGTTGGTCAAAACATAATCACTTTGTGACAAGTTTTTCCATCACATAAAGACCATTAACAAGATTACGTACAAAAGTTACATAATGGTGACCAATATTTAAAGAGTAATCGAATGGGGGAAAAAAACTCGATTCGTAAGATCATTCATTTGAAGCCCTGGTTGGTAATCCGTGGGATCCCTCATCGTTTGAATCATCGAGCGAATTGGGTGGCTCGTTCACAAGCTCACGCTACTGATCTCCCTCCCGATTGGTTAGCCATTCTCGAACTAATTTTAGCTCATGTTTGTTGGATTTTCACTTGTAACTGATTTTGGTATTGAATGAAAGATCTAAATTCTTGTAAAAAAAAAAAATGTCCCCAACACTTTCAAAAGGGACAAATCATACCTTCACATTTAGTTTTGCCAAATTAATTTCCTTTATCATTTCATATTCGATTTTTTACCGTCACGTTACTAATTTTGACGATCACTACACTCGAATAAGAACGACACGAATAACCATACGAGGATTTAAACGATGACACGACAATGAGTTGACTTTACATCTCCCACGAAGAGCTCAAGATGTATGCTAAGTACTTTGCAAGCCCTTTGAATTGGAGTTGTTTTTACCACCACGTGTTGTCTTACATAATTGCATACCTTAATCCTCTCCCTTAATATAAACCTCCAAGTACTTTGGACCACAGACAAGTTTGTCAGCTTCAACGTGGGGTTAATTACATTTGATTTGCTTCTCCAATACCACATAAAAAGGAGAAAATCTCGACTGATTTTCGCATCTCTCAAGCAAATCATTCTTCTTAGTCTTTCTCCATCTCCACAGTAGAAGCAGAAACAGAGCAAAACAGAGCTCCCCTGGCAGTCCAAACCCAGAATGGAGAACTCACAGTTAGATCAAATCTTGGTCGCTTCCTCCTCCTCCGGCAGCAGCAATGGTCTCGCAAAGGGCGGCTTCAGGGCCTTGCCCTTCATCATAGGTACACATTCATAACGCATCATCATTCTGGTGTCATCAATTTGTTCCATTAATGGATTCCTCGACCATTGCAGTAACTGATGGATTGGAGAAAGTGGTGACTTACGGCCTCGGCGCATCGATGATTCTCTACCTGACGAGAGAGTACGGCCTGGAGAATGCTGCTGGTGCACAAGTGATGTTCATATGGACCGCGGCGATCAACTTCGTCCCTGTCCTCGCGGCATTTCTAGCCGATTCTTATGTGGGTCGATACTGGATGATTGGATTCGGATCCATCGCATCCATTCTGGTAAGAACATGGTTCCTCTGCTCTGGTCTGGTCTTTTGATGTGACAGTCAAGAGAGGTGGAGGACGATGTTTGAATTTACAGTCCGATGTTTAAGTCAGTAATCTAGCACGATGCAAATGTTACATAGGAAATGTAGACAGAAAAAAGAAAAAAATGTGCAATCACTTGAGTTATCGAGATGAACTGCAATCTTCGAATTAAATGACCTGCAGGGAACTGGTCTATTATGGCTAACAGCTGTAGTACCAGGGGCCAGGCCTCAACCCTGTGCTGGTGATGCTCATTCTACAGGAAGCTGCAGAATGCGAGCCACGACGACGCGACAGCTGATGTTCCTGTACGCATCGTTAGGCCTGATCTCGATCGGATCAGGGAGCATGAGATCGTCCTGCATGGCGTTCGGTGCTGATCAGATGATGATGGTCAGCACCAAAAGGGGATCTTCAAGGGTGCTGGAGAGCATCTTCAGCTGGTACTACATTTCGACGGCGATTGCGATTCTGCTGGCCATAACTGTCATAGTTTACATCCAGGATTCTGCTGGCTGGAGTGCTGGTTTTGGAGTCTGTGTGGTGCTCATGGTGTTGTCTGCAGTTTCATTCTTCTCGGCTTCTGTGTTCTATGTGAAGCCGGTGGCCAAAGCAAGCTTGGTCACTGAGCTTGCTCAAGTTGTTGTAGCTGCCTGGACAAAGAGGAGCATCAAGCTGCTGCCCCCTCCTCAATCAACCACTCTAGCTTATCATCATCATCATCAATCCACTGCTGCAGTAATGAATTTGGAACCATCTGAGAATTTGAGGTATGTCTGTATTTGTTAGTAAGCGATATATGATTCGTAATTGAACCTATCCCAACAAATACAGTCAAAATCATCATTTTGTGTAGCGTTTTAGTGATGTAGAAGCATAAAAACGTGAACTTTTAAGTTTTAAAGCGGAGATTTTGACTTACCATTGTAAGTAAAAAGTACGATTCTACGTATTAGCGTTTTGGTGATCTAGAAGAAGTGTAAAAGCTTAAAACTTTTAAGTTTTACAAACGCGATTTTGATTACATTTCACCTCTACTCAAATTATTTGTACAAACTGATTCTTGACATGATATCAGAGCCATCTATCATAGAGACCGAGGTCTTTCGTTTGAATCTTAGCAACCCCATTTGTTTAAGTACGTTGTATTCAGACCAACTGATTCTCGACATAATCATCCTATTCCTGCTGATGCTTTCAGGTTTCTCAACAAGGCCTGCATCATTCAACACCCCGAACAAGACCTAACCCAGGAAGGCAAACCAGCTCATCCATGGCGCCTCTGCTCCGTAGAACAAGTCGAGGATCTCAAATCCGTAATCCGAATCATCCCAATCTGGTCAGCAGGAATGCTAATGTCCGTCACAGCAAGCCAACAATCCATCCAGCTCCTCCAACTCGCCACCATGGACCGCCACATCACCCCGAAAATCGAGATCCCAGCAGGCTCATTCAGCATCTTCCTAGTCCTCACTTTACTAATTTGGGTTCCCCTCTACGACCGAGCCATCCTGCCCTTAGCTTCAACCCTCAGGGGACGTCCCGTCTCGCTTCCCCTGAAGACGAGGCTGGGGCTCGGCATCCTGCTCTCCTCTGCCTCCATGGCCGCACTGGGCCTCGTGGAGAGCATTCGTCGAGCCAGGGCGCTCGACGAGGGGCTCTCCGACGATCCCAATGGGATCGTGGACATGTCCGCGATGTGGTTTTTGTTGTACTACGTGCCATTTGGGGTGGCGGAGGCGTTTAACTACATTGGACAGAATGAGTTCTACTACAGCGAGCTGCCGAGGAGCATGGCTAGTATTTCGACGACTCTGTATCAGATGGGGTTGTCGGTGTCGAATCTGGTGGCGAGCTTGGTGCTGAGCGTCGTGGATCGCGCGACGAGAGGTGACGGTGGTGGAGGGAGCTGGGTGGGGAGCAACATTAACAAGGGACATTATGATTACTACTACTGGGTTTTGGCTGGTTTGAGTTTGGGGAATTTTGTGTACTATGTTGCTTGCTGCAAGGGTTATGGTCCTCTCAAGGGCGAGGGTGAGGATACAAGAGAGGAGGTGGATGAAGTGGGAAACCAATAGGTTTACTACGAACAAGGGTTTAGTCTCGTGGTAATACCATTAATCTTGAACTTGAAAGTCTCGAATTCGAATTCGTTAAGTATTACTTCACCGTAAAGAAGTAAGTTTATATCATTCTTACAATAAAAACGAAACCAGTAGGTTTACTGTAACACCATGTCATGTCATGATAGATTGTCATAATATCTTTTGTTTCTTTATGATTCCTAGTTGAACTAGGATTCCTAATCTTATTAGGAATAAGGATTTTCTAATCGACGAAAAAGTTGATACTGTAGTAAGGAAAATTTATGATGGCTAGTAAGTATTCGTGCTTACGATCGAGAATACACAAGTTTAGTTTGTAACGTAAAGAAAAATTTGTACGAAAATATATATGTATAAGTTAAATTTGTACCTTAAGAATTAAGATTAAAAACACATGCTAACAGGTCAAATCTGGATCGTTGATAAATATAGAGTAATTAATTGACTAACCATTTAACAAATTCATATTAATTAACCCTGAATTAGATCTCTCCGTACGTGCATGATCTCTCTCTGCATGTGGGCTGTCCCATTCCCGCGCTTTCCCCGCCTTCTGCACGTTAATTGACCCACGACCTCTTGGGCTTAAAATCTTATCAGACGGCCCAAATTAAGCCCCTTTCAGAATGTTCAATCTTGGGCTTAAAAATTTGCCAAGCGGCCCAATGCAGAACCCCATTCAATGGTACTTAACAGTTAACTGCTCTAAGCCTCCAACCAACCAAATCATGTATTGCCTTGGATACCTTGTCCAAGACGCAAGTCGTTTTTGGATTGGAGCTTTCCCATTCTCGTTTATGGAATCCTTAACGTTGGGCAATGGATCACGTAGGTTTGGACCTATAACAAAACGATTACAAACGATAAAAAAAAAAAGTCATGTACATATTATGATACTAAAAAGAAAAATCGCCATTTCTTCTCTTTTTAGCCGTATTTCCATCTAGAATAACAAATTAGCTTGCTGACCTAAGTGAAGAATTGATAAAGAAAACTCCATACACCAAAACAATTCGTAAAAATCTACCTCTTTTCTAGAGCAAGCTAACTGAGACTGACTATGTCGATTTGTAATATGGATGCAAAGACACGGAATAGCTATTTGGTTATATCGTATTACTTGTGTGACCTCTTTTTGTTACGTATATGATCATTTTATTATTTCCCTACACGCCACGACAGAGAACAACTCTTTGTCTTCCTTGTTATTCTTGCTTTGAAGTTGAGAGTTGGAGACACGGCCCGGTTGAAGGAACACCGGCAGCAAAAGTATTCCCCAATATGGCAGCCGGAGATTGTTTTCGCTTCCGTCACTGTAAAAATTGGGCGAACGTTTCCGAAGCGGCGGAATGCGGCGGCGGAGGGGTTTGGGGAAATGAGTAGAAAGAGCTTTACCAGCGTCGCGGGAGAGAAGAGGGTAGAGACCGACACGTCGGGAAAAGAGTACGCCGCAGAGGAGATGATTGTCGCATCCATTCCGATATCGGAGTAAGCTCTTGAGAGTGGAGATGGTGGCCGGGAAAGAGTCGGCGGTGGAATTTGAGGGAAGAGAGGAAATGGCGGTTGCGGTTAGGTTAGGACAGAGCGCCAACTGAGAGGCGATGAGATGGCAGTAGTGAGGGGTTTTCTGTCTTTTCACACAGGAAAATTGGGCCTGGATTGTGGGCCGGTTGGCGAGCCGGCCCAGATTGAAGGTATCTCGATCGAAAGAGCACAAATGGAAGACGGCGTCGAATTCTGTTGATCTGTTTCTCGAGACGGAAAACTCGAAAATCTTCTCTTCCTTTCTTTACACTTTTCTTCCGTAAGAATCAGCGCCGGACGCGGTGTCCGATCAGGTACGCCTCCTTTATATTTGTGCTTCCTTTACAATTGAACATCGCCGCCGGAAAATACGTAGATGCTTCTCTGAACCCTAATTCCGATCTCTTGACAACGTCGCCGGTGGCGGTTAAATTGATGCAGAATCCATCCCCTGGTTCATCGATCTTTTGTGTTAGCTCTAATGGAAATATCCAGTTCCTTTTATGATTGGGCGATGCGTTGTTTTGAATGATGAACTGGGGTCTGGCGGGAATTTTGGATTTCTCTTAACAAAAATTCACCTTTTTCAGTTTTCACTGACTGCAGTTGGAATCGGGGTTTCCTAAAAGCTACTGCTAAGCATGCAGGTTAGTTGTTAAACTTTAGTGGAGAGGTAGATTTGCGTGTTTCCTTGATGAATTGTGAGTAAATGGTTCCCATTTTTTTGGGGAGACGGTGTTGCAGGCTTCAAGGGCTAGGTTGTTCAAGGAATACAAAGAGGTGCAGAGGGAGAAATCGGCCGATCCGGATATCCAGTTGGTTTGTGATGATTCCAACATTTTCAAGTGGACTGCCCTCATAAAGGTGAGTTCTTTTTGTTTTGTTGCTTTTGGGGGGTTTTCAGATGGAGATCGATGGATGGCTAGTGATTTGATTGTGGTTTTGGTACTGAATTTCGTCTTGAAGGGACCTTCGGAGACTCCCTTTGATGGTGGGGTCTTCCAGCTTGCCTTCGCGGTGCCGGAGCAGTATCCCTTGCAGCCTCCTCAAGTTCGTTTCTTGACGAAAATATTCCACCCAAACGTGCATTTCAAGGTGTGTTGTTTCTTCAGTTCTCTATGTATCTTTGCGCCACTGGATAAGCCTTTGTGATGTGTTCTCGATCGAAGATTTACTTGATTGGTGGCATCTGAGGACGATATTAGAATTTGTTGTACAAGTTTCTGTTTGAAGTGGCTAGGGTTTATTGCTCTGTGTATACTTAGAATTGTGTGGCAGTCATTAAAGTAAGGGCAGGTGAACTAGATTTTAAGATTCAGAAACCGCTGGACTTACAATCTTGATATGAAAAAACAGTGAGCATTTCAAGAGCCTCTCAAGCGATTATCAAGCTGTGTTATTAATGTGAGTTAGTGGGGATAATCTTTCTGTTACAGACTGGGGAGATATGTCTGGACATCTTGAAGAATGCATGGAGTCCGGCATGGACGCTTCAGTCGGTTTGTAGGGCTATAATTGCTCTTATGGCTCACCCGGAGCCTGATAGCCCTCTGAATTGTGATTCAGGCAAGTTAGATTTCTAGTCCGATTATAACTTTTTGATCCATCCACCACAGTTTTGATCCTAAGATGAAAATATGTCGTGATTCAGGAAACCTTCTGCGATCTGGCGATGTAAGAGGTTATCAGTCCATGGCCAGAATGTACACCAGGCTCGCAGCTTCACCAAAGAAAGGCTGAAGCTACACAAAAAAAACTGTTATTGTATGCTCTGCTTGTTGACGATGATAATTCTCGATATGGTTAATCCTTTGGGTTCCTAAACTTCCATTCTGTGTTGTATGCTGAAATACCGATTTCGTGTAAGTAGCTTTTCTTTGAGATAGGAAACAGTTGATTGCTGTCAATAAGAGTAATTGAGACAAAAGGAAGGAACTTTTCTATTTTAAACTATTGCCAAAAGTAACATTCTATTGAAGACATCTTTCTCGACAACCATCGAATTGTAGACAGCGTCTGTAGTTTAGTACAAGGCATTATCAGCATGATGCATCCCTGCTAGAGCTTTCATTGTTCAGAAGGTACATTTGGTTGTAAAATCAACTCATGCTGGAATCCGCCTTGCCACCAGTTACAAGAATAAAACGAGAGAGGGATAGAAGTTCAATGAAGTCAATTTAACGTCACCAAGCACGGTGAAATGAATGTGAAAGAATGATCTGTAAAAATGAGCTATTAGTTCCTGTTGATTAGCTGCTTCTCTTTACCTTTTTCTTCTCACTCTATGCAGTGAGAGCTACTTGCATCATCTGTAGCTGGCGGGAAGCTTATATCCTGCCATGGAATGGAGTGCACCCAAAAACTCAGTTCTTGCTGTTGGGAGTTTGTACCCTACCGTTGATGGGAGATGGTGCAGCAGAGATCACTTGCGGTCGATCGTTATTCGCTAGAGAAGCCCTCGATACTGGAGACATGATGATGCCATTTGTATACGAAGGACTGTAATGAATTCCTGTACCATTTACTTCATGCTGTTGTTGGTTCCCCACTTTACCTTTGGCTGGTGGAGAACACATTTGTTCTGCAAAAGAATTAGAAGCCCTTTCTTGGTGTCATGAGGGATATAAATCACGGGAACAGATGAGGAACTGACTATTGAGATCATGGATAAGAACCTTTTATGCTTCCACAACTGATGAGTCTGGTCAGGAAGTCTCGAAAACCGGTCAATACGAGCCTTTCCTGTTCGGCGTAGACCTCAGAGAAATCAGGAGGGTTAGTTGATGATGGTTGTTCCAGCTGGGTGGGTTTAACTTCGCAAATGGATGACTCGATCTCTGGAGAGGACGGTCTTCCATTTTCCAAGTCTGCCCTAGAATCCGCAGTTTCCTCTCTTTCGGTTGCAGTCTGCTCGAAGCAATCGTTTTGCTGCCTCTCTTGAATGGGTGGAGCAGAAGAATCGTCACTCCTTATTGCTTCGGGATCGGGTACTCCATCCGCTTTGCCTTTCCTACCTGTAAAATGCGAGGTCAGAGTGATATGCACAAAATTCTGGAAATAAAATCAGTCTAATACATCCTATTCACTTTAAAAGGAGTGCCAAAAGCTTACTAGAACTCAAACTATGCCTTTAATATGAAAATTTACAACAATGCAATGCACTGCACGAAAGTTGGATTCTTTTTGCTGCATACAACAATGGACATCAATGTTCCTTCCCACTAGTTTTCCAACCAATCGATGGCACAATTTCTACAAGTCTACAACTATAACAGAGCTTTCCATTCCGCATAAGCTTTTCCTACTTAGTTACTTTAAAATTCCCAGCCCCTGTCATTCTTTGTCACAGCTTATCTTCTGTTCTTAACAATAGGTACAAATTTTTCAGGACAGCACACCCAAAATATCCTTTTCACTATACTTGACCATGTTCAGCTCGAACGAATTTCAGGACACAGTATATAATCAATATTATGAAAGTAAAGGATCTGATAGGCGGTTACTTCAGGTATAGTCATGTTTGTTGGAAGAAAATCATTGCACAGCACCAGCTATAGAGTAAAATGAAATGTAGAAGGCAACATCTGATAGTTCGAAAGCTGCACAGGAAGTCAAACCTGATATTTCCTTCCCAGCTTCCCTTGAAAGTACCACCAAGACCGAGCAAAGCTCCTTAACATGGTGTGGTTGGATTATGCCTGCCAATGGGGACCTTCATGGACATGGAGAGCACACAATCACTCCCCGTGAACGCTAACTTGAGAAGGGAAGACTATTATCTACAATTTGAATAAACACAAATTGACAAAGCTTACCTGTATTTCAATTTTGAAGATCTCAAAGGAGCAGGACTGGAAGTATGGAATCTCTGGTCAGGCAATGGAGAGGAACTGTCCAGGTGAGTTTCCTGAGAGCAACCACAATTTAGAAAAGGCAAGAAGAAGCCACAATAAGGCGTAAATTATGAAGACACAAGATAGACTCGAGAAAAAAGGATAATGATCAAACATTTCCGGAACAATCATGAAATGGACTCAATACTCGACTTAAAGAGGCCAATTTTGGTTGCAAGGAGATTGAAGAAAACAAGAAACGGTCTGTGAGCACTGAACACCAAATCAAACACTAAAGTACCCAAAATATTGTGTCACGCGAAGCCAATAAAAAACAAAGAACATGAACAGGCTACAAAAGCTCACCTGCTGGAACTTTAAACTGAAACTCAACATGTCATCACTCTTTCTTTTCTTCGATAAAATTTCCGACCCATAGCCTGAAGATCCTACGGCTCCATTGATGGCAGCATTTGCTGCTTGATGAGCATAAATGTTGGGACTTGAGTTACCACAAAAGATAGCATTTTTTACTTCACTTCCTTCGAAATTTTTGCAGTCCATGCACTTGCAGTTTTCTGAGCACAAAATATTTGCTTGGAAGCACTCGCAGTACTTTTTTAGACAACCCGATTTCTTGCAGTGACATCCTTTGTTATGCTTACCAATCATTTGAACCTCTCCTGTATTCCCCTGTCATTGATTGAGGCAATCAATCACATAGTGATAATCATATATCAGCTATTTTTAAGGACCTAGATTTGCTACTTTTTCAACACTCATGAACAGTGTGGAAGAACAATCAAACACCACCCAGGAAAACAACAGAACAATAGTTCAAATAAAAATGTCTTTTACAAGTTAAATCTTAGCTTTCACCAAACTCAATAGAAAACAATATGGTTATTCAATAGAAGTCATGAGGATCCTCAAGTTTGGGATCAAGGATATGAAACACGAAGAAGACAGCATACTTACACTAGCCTTAGACCCTTGAGGGCTGCTAGCAATTTTTGGTCTAAAAGCATTTGGATTGCGCTCCAAGGTTAGCCCAACAGCTTCTTGCCTAGCACTCTCATGTTCCAAATTATTGAAACAATTTACACAGTTGCAGTCCTTGCAATACAGCCCAGCAGCAAAGCATTCACAATACCTGAACAGCACGGAAGATATTGGCATATTGCTAATCAAGGAAAACAGAGAACACAATCCAAAGCCCAAACATGATAAGAAGTTGTGACTTCATTTTCTCCATTCTAAGAAGAAGCTCAAATTCACGCCATAACCGAGTAACAAATCTGCAGCCTAATCAAATCCGGTATCAGACATCTCAATGTAAACGAGGAAAGACACTTATCAGCTTAAAAAAGAAGAAAAATCCAACAGCATTGATGCACTGCGAAGCATTTCAACCGCTAAACTTCATCCACATGCTACTAATCGAGTTTTACTTACAGCTTCAAGCACCGAGAATTCTTGCAATTACACTGCTTAGGCTTGTTAGGAGTAACATTGACCTCTTTTGCCTCAGTGTCAACCCTTGGACGTGGTCTAGGAGATTCTTGCTTCTTTTTTTTATAATGGCGACTGATAGGAGATTCTTGCTTCTTGCTGAAGGGAGTAAAGATTAAAGATATAACAAAGAATCATGACGACTAACAGCCACTAGAACTGTAAACCAAAGCAAGATCAATACTCTTAAAAACACCATGATTCCCCAAATTTGACTCGTGTGGAAGCTTACACTGGCAGCGCAGGCAGTGGCAGTTTATGTACGGGATGAGGGATCCGATACATCGCCGCCGCCGGTACTTGCTGAAGCCTCGCTTGCAATTGCGGCATTACCTGCGTTTGAGGCTGTGGTGGTGGCCGCGATTGCAGTAACTGCTTTGGCGGCGGCGGCGGCGGAGGCCTCAGATTCAAATGTAATTCCAATCCCGCTGCGGCGAGCTCTCGCGACTGCGACTTCGGCTGTGGTGTTTGTAACTGCAAATGCAGCTGCAGCATCGAATCCGACTGTTGCTGAAGCAGGTGAGAGTCATGCTCCGCCGCTCTACAGACGGCCGTGAAATCAAGCTGCCGCGCTAATTTCCTCGGCGCGAAATCCGAAACCGTTTCTCCTTGCTCCATCGCTGAGCAAGCAAGCAAGCAATCGGCGAAACGTGTTCTCTCCGGAGCTCTTCCCCCCTCCAGCCCCCCTTTCTAGTCGAATTCGCAATTCGTCCTTTCGATTTCTCTCGTCAATCCCTGCGAGCTCTGAAGTTGGAAGAAGTTCCGGACCAGAACGACGATGCAGCGGAAGAAGAAGATCTCCGCCGTCTGCGGGAGCTCATCAATGGAGGAGCCGGGAGTTCGAGGAAGTGGAGGGGACTGGGGAAGAAGCGACTGAGAAGAAGCACAGGGTTTTTTGGGGATTTGATTTTTTATTTAAATCCCTCGTCACATTTTTTTTTTTGAAAATTTAATTTTGCCGAATTGGAGGGCGAGATGCTGCTGAGTGCTGACTGTGTGTTTGATCCGACGGTGCAGCTTGAAAGTTGTGGAAGAGACATGAACCGTTGGATTGAGAAAAAAAGAGGGTTTTTTGGCTTTTGCTGATGACTTTGAGGGGAATTTGGCGGTAATCGACTCCGAAATGAGGTTGGTGGATTCAGTTGGGGAGGACACGTGTACGACTCGAGTTGGTTCGTTGTGCAGTTATAGAAAAGGGTTTACGTTTGATCAACGGATGAGGTTTGAAATTCAAATAATTTTTTAAATTAAAATTTTAGGGATGCGATTAAGTCCCTCACTCAACCTTATTCCAACGTTAGCCATTCAAATAGTTTTCCTCACCATTTTCAGTCACTGAAGCCATAGTCTCAACTCTCAAGTCTCAACTAATGTAGTCAAAAGCGTGTTTTTACGTAGAAACATTTTGATGATCTAGAAGCGTAAAACCATAAGCTCTTAAACGCGTTTTTAACTACAATAGTTATAAAAATCGAGTTTCTACGTTGAAACATTTTAGTGACCTAAAATCGTAAAAATGTAAGTTTTTAAGCTTTAAACCACTGTTTTAACTACATTGGTCTCAACCTTTCTCTCATATATTAATCATGTCGATACTCCGCTATTTTTTTTTTTCCAGTCAGATATTATTATGATATCTTTTGTCTGTGTATTCTAACCCGGTTTCTCAACAACCTAAACCGGTTGGATCTAATCTAACGTTAACTCTACTAATCAAACCGGGCCGACTTAACTGCTAACCCTACGTACCTTTGACTCTCAGCGAACAGTCATCTGCAGCCTGGATTTCGAAGGGAAAAAAAATCTGCAAGGATTTGACGAACAGTCTGCTGGCCGCCTGACACTCCTTCAGTGCGGCCGGCCGGCCGGTCAGTTCGGACCTTCAGTCGGCGCGGCCGGTCCTCTCTCTCTCTCTCACTCTCTGCGCGCGCCCTGTGTTTTCGCTTTTGTTTGTATGCGGAATGGAATTGATGATGACAGCGGATAATTAAACTGTGATTTAATATTATCTTCTAATAATTCAGTTCCCGCTAAAATGTGGTAACGGCGGTTGGATTAATGTATTAGACAGGGAAATATAATAATTAACAAAAGGGTTAAGTACTTAAGCTAATTAAGTAGGTTTAATTTTGGGGCGGCGTGGGGCTGGTGGCCGGTGGGGGCAAGCCAAGCACTTTCCGATCCCACATCACACCTTCCTTAATTTCTCCGTCAAGCTACCCCACCCGGCTGGCTTTTTTTTTTATATATAAAACATCATTCATTTCATTCCAAACCCAAACAAGTAGGAAGAGATACAATTACAATAATGGAAGCTGAGGGCGAGATCCTATCTTCCTGGACGTTTTGAGCATCACGATCAGCTAAAATTGCTACAGCGGACGGGAAGAAAGCCCTTCCCTCAAAGACCATACCATTCCGAGCAATCTAGATATTCCACAATGAACACAATCTTTGAAATCTGTTCATTCCGTTTCCAAACAACTTTAACGATGGGCTCGAATTCTAGTTAATTATTACGGTTTAAGTGATTTTCTTGTCGTTAGTTTTAGACTTGGGAAATTGCAAGTTCGATTCCCTTTCTTGCCGACCATCTTTTAGTAAAAGTAAAAAAACAAAACGATTCTCAGTGTAAAACGAGTGCTAGCTATTTTGCAACGTTTATTCGCCGGAAAATCCCCTCTTTCTTCTAGCACTTCCGGCCCTAATACATATTCAGAATTTTGTATCGCGGAATCATAATGATGTAGTTTTATTTGTACAAAAAAACGTGTTATATCGATCCCCGCTAGCTAATTGGTTGTGTATTACAGTATTAGATTGCATATAAGAGCCTAGCTATATAGCTAGCATCTCCAACTGCAACAATTTCATATACATAGGCAGCTAGCTGTTACCTACTATGAGTGGGCATTCGGTCGGTTCGGTTACGACCGAATCGAAATTATGAATACCGGGTCCCCGAATTCGAACCGAATTATAATTTGGTTCGGTCGGTTTAAACCGAATTATAATTTGGTTCGGTTCGATTTTTAACACAAAACCGAATTTGTGAGGCTACTTGTATATTCTCACTTTTAGATTATTTTTCACTCCTAATATAAACAATAAATATGCAATTATATGCATAATCAATGATAAGATCAAAATTTTCAATACATAAGTCATAAAACATTTCAAATATTTGAGTATATAAACAACTACAAATATAAAAATCCACCATTTGGAGGTTGCAATTGTAGTGTTTCAGTTTTTCTGTCGGAAATTCGGAATTGCGATTCGGTTGAAAAAACCATGATGTGAAATGATGATGATGTCAATGATGTGGTATTGCCAAAAGGAAGAAACTAGGTAATGAAAAAGGCTGGAAAGAAAGCGATCGATGAAAGCGCCACATGCAGTAGCCCACACATGCAAACATAATAATAATAATAATAATATTATTATTATTATTATTATTATTATGTATATGTTCGCATAAAAAAAATTATTAAGAGGATAAATATACGGTACCGTAAGAATATTATTTAGAATGTGAATTAACCTGAATTTTGAGACACAATACTATACTCTAACCTTTTAATGAGTGAATTCCAGGTTCCAATTCTCTAAACTCCTCATCATAAACGCTAAGATGGTGTATCTAGTATGTTGGATATATTTCAAAGAATCAAAATCGTCGATTATTGTTTTTTTTTTGTTTTATTAAAGTACTTTTAAGGATACAAGATAGAGAATTAGGACTTAAATTTTACTCATTAGAGCTTACGATATAGTATTATATCCCAAACAATATCGATTACTTCAACGTCTAAATAGCGTTTTCTTACTAATGATACGACATAAATTATTCTAGTGAAATGAAGGGTACCCTACGCCATGGCCCTTCTTAACTCCATGTCTCGACCAAAATGTTGGGTTTTCAGACTTTAGTGACACATCAGAAATTTTACCCCCTTTCCCTTTTCATAAACCAAAACAACAAAAGATATCATAATAAATAACAATCGATTTTCAACGCAGGTATCAATGGGACTCACCACCACTGCCACTGGCCCTCTGTCGTTCTTCTGGTAGCAGCAGCAGCAAACAGTAATGGTAATGGAAAGCAAAGAAAGCAAAGCAACAAAGGATGATGGTAATGGCAATGGTAGGGGTGTTCAAAATTGTGTGGTTATCGTGGTAATCATTTTAACCAGTAGTATTTGGCTAATTTGGTTTGGTTAAAAAATTTAGCTTGTTTGGTTTAGATGGTTTGGTTTGGTTTCAGACACTCCTAACCAACCAAACCAAATTAACTAGTTAAGTAATTTGTCATATATCTAATATATATATTATATACACATACTTAATACTTTGCATAACCACTAAAGAGTCAAATGTAAGATAATTGTATTTGTTACATGTACTTACGTTAAGGGGTTAACTACAATTATGTGGATTGTTATGTGTTGTTTATTATATAAATTGCAAATCGATGCACTAACTGAAAATTCTTCTCACTTAATGATAATGTGTTGTTATATTGGTTATTTTGGTTAACCAATTAACCAAACCGAATAAACTTTAGTTTGGTTAATTTGGTTGTTGTATCAGTTGGGACGGTTTGGTTATGATATTGTATTCCATGATTAATAGATTTTTAGACTTATTTGGTTTGGTTATTACCATGGTAACCATTTGAACACCCCTAGCCACAATGCCACATTGCCCATCGCTCTCTCTCTCTCTCTCTTCCTATCTCTTCCTATATTGTTTCTCTCTCTACTGGATATACTTGTTGGTTGGTACTTGGTAGAGGGAGAAAGATTGTTCTCATGCTAATTGCTAAATCAGCATCAAGTTAATTAAATTCTAACAAGATTCGTACTTATACTGGCGTCCGTCGTTCGTTAATTACATTACATGCATGCATTCCCCGAAATTGTTTCTCGCCGGCCGCCGGGATCATTCGTTTTCCGGCGAAGGCAAATGTACGTAATTTGTAGATGAATTAACTTGTTTATAGAATCTACTTTAATCAAATTCAATGCATTTTCATAATACGTGTATTTACGGTTCCTAAGGTTCCCTTCTTATATATATATATATATACATGCCACCATTATGGCGTGACACACCTACCATGCAATGGGAAAGCCTTGTGATCATGTAATTTTCTGAGATTTTTGTTGTAACTCGATCAAATTCATCATCATTGGGATGAATTAGCTAGATTAAATCATTAACACTCTAACAACACAGTATACATATGAATCAGATTAGCTAAGATAAGGTGTGACGACAGTGTTAACAATTACACTTAATCATTTCAAACTGAAGATCTGTGCTGACCAAACAACTTGAAAATCGCGTGACATCAATGGGGTCAGAGTGAACGAATGAGATCAGGGATCTACACTGCATATCTCATAATTGAGAGTCTCGAGGAGACCAAACCGTCTCCAGTCAGAGAGGATGGTTGTGAATGCTCGTTCTAGGAGTCGTACGACAGTTGTGGTGTACCCCTCGGGGCGACCAAGGGAAGCGACCTCCATTTCTGCTGGTGATGCCATGGAGCGGAGACGCGACGACATCCACTTCCTCGATCGGATATCCTGTTTCTCTTAGAAAATTTCGTTCGAATATTTGGATAATTAATTTGTTATTCGAGATTTGGACACAACTAGTATATATCATCATTGAGTTCTCATATAATTAATGTATCTTTCTTTGCTTTTTTATTTTATTTTAGAAAAGTATCTCTTTTTAGTTTTTACCATTCACTCCATAACTGAAAGTTATGGTTTGACGTGCAATCCACACTTAGGCATGATTCGATTTAGGTTTTCCATATATGTGCAGTAGGTAGGGCACCCGATACGCTCATTATGGTGTTTCTGGGTGATCAGTTAAATATTATAATAATTCATTAATTCCAGAACAAAAAAAAAAACCCCCACTTTATTATTCCATTGTAAAAGGTCATCGATCATCAAAATATAAACAAAATTACACACAAGCTAGGTAGTTTCTGCAATGAGTGACCAAGATACTTCAATTTGGACTCGGGAATAAAAAAAATTAAAAATTGAATTGATTAAAGCAAAGTTATATGACAATTATCCTGAATTTTGATGAACATTTATCCTTCAAAAGCGAAGACCCTTTTGATATATCAACGCATTTATAGTATGACGGTATTATATCAAATTTGTGACATCGAGATGTGGGGTTCGAACCTATAGCTTTAACCGTATAGGATTTGGGGTACAACAAAACTAAAAAGGACATTCTTTTCAATATTCTTTTATTTGTTAGGTTAATTACTTCAAATGTATTTTTATGACTTGAAATGGGTAACCATACATAAATTGGCCTATAGACACCATACATTTCACTATTTTCCAATAATTTTCACTACGTATTGAAATGTACAGACAGAGCTTATGATCTAATTCCGATCCAATATATACGATGATAACTACAGAAAAATTGCGGTATACGGTAGTATAATTATTTAAAAATATATATACTATTTACCATCCGTTGATAGTAAATAAAATCCAAAATTTTAATGTTGTATATATTTCCCCCAATACAATGAACCTAAAAATTTGGCAAGAAGAACAAAATTATATAGACAACTTAGACAAGGAAATAAGAATGAACCCTTCTATAGATTCCCCAAAACAAGAGAAATCATTAATATTTTTTTGACTTGCCATAGTATTTATTTGTCAAATCTCAATGCACTTGCATATATATACACCACAGGGTGTAGTGACACCGACCGTCTCCCAAGTCAATTCAGATTTACATTCTTCGGAGGCGATTCAACCATCTCTAGCGGCAGATCTACAACATCTCGGTATCTTAACCCTGTCTTTTGATGACTAGTTTTTTTTTTTCGATTTGTCATTTCGTTTGCCTTTGTATTCATATAGACATACATATTGTTGTGCGAATCAAACATTTAGAGATTTCAAATCTACGCCTCATTTCTACAATCGAATAAACGTTTTTAAATCCTAATTCAACAATGAAAAAAAAAAAAAAAACCTCATACAAAAGACTTATCATTGTTAATCGAACGCGATGTTATAGAACTCGACAAAATGATCCCGTAACTTCCTGTATTCATCGGGTATTCGAGTGCGACCCATGCCGTGGCCACTCTCCAGACACACACCCTAACCTGATTAGGGTTACATATGTGACCTTAGATCCATCCGAATATACATTTACCATTATACCCTTGTTGTCCATCTATTCCTAAATCGCTTTTTTTATTTTCAATTGCGTTGCGTCCTTTTTCAATTAGGGTTTGTCCAACCAAAATAAGAGACCACCTCTCACGAACCCCACTCTCCACCCAAGCGCGTGTGATCCACATCGATGCCATCCGCCGCGCTGGGCCCCACGACGACGTGACACCATCAGGAGAAATCCCCTCGAAGCGCGTCGGATCCAAAAGTTGGCGCTAGGGTTTATTATCTATTTCCTTTAATTAATTTTTTTTTTCTAATAATGGAATGGTGATAAGAACCGCACATCCACGACACGTGCCGGGAGTTGATTGGACAGTACCTCTCTCTCATCCTTTCTGTCCCTCGTTTCTCTCTCTAGCAGGGCGTTTATGACATGGCATGGGCGGAAAAAATAAATAAATAATTATTTATATTTATATTCCATTTATTTTAAAATCACGACAGCAAAACCTGCTTTTTGTAAGGGACAAGAGAAAGAAAGATAAAAAAAAAAGACAACACTCTCTCTCTCTCTCTTCTCCCTGAAGAATCGAAAACCTCTTCTCCGTCTCTCTCTCTCTTCCTTCTTCCTAGGGTTTCTCGGAAGTTCGCACTCTAATTCTGCTCAGCCAGCTACGAATCTCATCCTCCGGCGGCCGGAGAAGAGTCCGTCGGAGGATTCTCTATCCGGCAGTACCGGTTTCCCAGCTCGCCGCGGAGAATCGCTATGTAAAGTTCCTTCCTTTCTTAATTTTTTTTCTTAAAAAAATTTAAGCTCGAGAAGATTGGATATCTGCTGGGTTTCGATTTGGCGGGTGGGCGGGTTTTCGGATTCGGGTTTTCGGGTCGTTCGATTTGTTAGCAGAGAGTCTCTCCGGCTAGCTAGCTAGCTAGCTATCGGGGGGTAAAATAAAAGATTTTTTTTTTCCATTTCGTTTAATCTCATTTCCACTGTTCATTTTCGTACGCTGCTTCTAGCTCTTGGGGCCGACGCTTAAGCTTCAAAGTGGGTTTTTTTTGGAGTAGAATTACGGCGGTTAATTATTTCATGCAGTGTGAATTTATTTTTTTGGGTTGGGTCGTGGGAGAGAGCGGATATTTCGGTTTATTACTTTGGGCAGCTCAAACTCGTTTTTGGAGCTGGGGAAACCCTAGTTTTTTTCATTTCTTTGCTGCGATTGTGCTAAACATTGGATTTTGATATGTGGGTTTGCTTTGTGGTTGAGGAAATTCGATAGCTTTATGGGTTGTGGAGGGAAATCTCAACCCTAATTAATGTGTTTTGTGTTTGTGCCTGTTGAAGGCTTACTTACCCTAATTTCTGCAGCTAAAAGGTCAAATATGGGCAGTTACTTGGGTTGTTTGTTAATTCATGGGATTATTAATGCAAATGAGGTGGTTACTGAAGATCTAGGGTTTGCTGTTGTTGCTTGTTGGTTTCATGCTGTGTTAGTATCTCTCATAGTTTAAAGATGTTGTCATTTTATGTGAGGAATTGGCTCTTACTTACCCTTAGTGATTACCTCTTTAATTCTTTTCTCGTTATAGAATAATGTTAGTGTTAAAGAGTGTAATGTTGTGTAACTAATAAATCTAATGTGTATGTTAATTTGGAAGGAAGGCATGGTTGCAGCTGTTCATAAACCCTAGATTTGTTTGCTGCTTGCTGATAAAGTTTTGTGCTTTGGTATTTCAGTGTTGTTATGGTGGTAATCTGATTCTCTCTATATGCTTGTGATGGTGGTTGTCTAGTGATTGAAGACTTTGTGATCATTATGGAGAGAAGTGATTGTAATATGGAGGAGGAGGAGGAGAATCACCAAAGTAGCAAAGCTGATCATGTCGTTGTGCAGAAGCGGATGGAGTCTCCCGTTAAGATTAACTCAATATATATAGAGCTCAGTGCTCCCAAGGAGGATAATAGTACTGCAGAAAAGTGCCACCATTTTTCTATCCGGTAAGTAGAGATACTTTCAAAGTCAATCTTCTCATATTAATTCTTGCAGCACTATGTTATGCTTTGGTTTTGTATTGCAAGTGCTGTATGTAGTTCAAGTTACGCCTGCTAGAATGACATTGTTCGATTACTAGGGCTATATGTGTTTATGAGCTGTGTTGGTTATTACCGTGCATCAAGTTCCATTATATGTAGTTCAAGTTATGCCTACTATAACGGCATTATTCGATTACTAGGACTATATGTGTTTATGAGTTGTGTTGGTTATTACCATGCATCAAGTTCCATAAGCTGCTAGCCTTTTCTATGTTACAATCAAATTGTTCCTAAGCTGTACCTAATTCCTTCAAGATTATTGTGACTGTTAACTTACTAGATGCAGTCAACATCTAAAAAAACTCACTACATGCAGTTGGATTGAGGAAATAGACTCCCTTGACTGCTGCAGTATCAGATCTCAAACTTGAAATATCAGCTGTGCTTCACGCAATGTTCATTAATGTTTATTTAATTTGCAGCTGTATTGTATTTTTCCTTTGTCCAAAAGATAAAATCAATCGAGAGAAATTAATGATTCATGTAATTTGATCCTCTAGCAATCATCTGATTCTGATCTCTCTTTTTTTAAAAAATTGCAGTGGTTATGTATCTGAAGTCCGAGAGAAAGACATCAGCAAGTGTTGGCCATTTGATTCACCAGTTCAAGCCAATACTGCAGATCGTGAGGATGATCATCATCAAGTGCTTCCTCCTTTAGACGAACGACTATTTAGATACTGGTGTTGCGAGTACTGCTCGCAGAAAATTGGTCCTGTTGAGAACATACAGCATTCTGCAGTTCTTCTTAAGCCTTGTAGTTCCGGGAAAAGAACTACCAGTTCTCCTCTACCAACAACAGTAGTTGCTGCTCCAATGCTAATGTTGAAGCAGAAACCCTCAGGATTAGATGATGTGGAAGGATTAAGTAAAGATGATCTTTTGAGTACTACTGATAAGAGTGAGAATAAGTTAACGAATGCCCCGGAGACATCGATTTCAGGTAATTAATTTGTCTCAGTGGTCTATTTTTGTCAGTGACTGGATGTATTTACTCATTGATTTGACCTTGTTGGTTCTTTGGTGCTGTATACTTTCTCTTTTCCCTTCCAGGAGAAACTGTTCGGTCAAAGCATAATCTGAATGGAGATACGGTTTTATTAACTGAAATTTGTCCGAGCAATATGCGGATTAATTTTCGTGCAGATGACTCTAGTAAGTGCCTTGGTTTGTTTACTTTTGGCCTTTGTATTCTGGCTGTAGATTATGTGGTCATTGCTGTGAAATTGGTTTTCTTTGTGATCAGTTCAATTAATCTGTTTGACTCACTTAAAGCAGGCTGTGTAGATCATGAGGTGGCAGCTGATGATCCCAGTGGGAACCTCGGTTCCATGGTGATCAAGGACTCCGTCGAAACTTTTGAAACAGGAAAGGGAAACTCCAGGCATGATAAACACACAAGCTTGACAGTTCGTTTAAAATATGTGGCTTCTGGTCATGTTGCTGATGTATGCACTAGAGGGAAAGGTGATAATGCTAGTGCACAAGATACCATGGAAGCAGGCTATGGCTCATCTGAAAATGCTGAGAAGACTGGGGTCAAGAATGATCATGATCCTCAGGCTTCTCATCGTGATCATTCAAGTGGTCCTCGTCGTAGAAAAACTCGAAAGATCAGATTACTGACTGATTTGTTGTGCGAGAAGGGAGTACATGAAAGTGCTGATTCCCCCAAGGCTGCAGATTCTCTTCCCTCCATAAATGTCGTTCCTTATGCGCCTGCAGAAGTTGATGATAAACCTCCTGATTCCCCGGATGATCAAGTGGAAATTGAAGGAATTGGTTCTGCCAAAAGGACTTTGATTCCATACAAGAAGCGGAAATTTCCTCGGGATGATCAGTGGAGTACCCCTGAGTCGAATCCTTCTTCCAGTAAGGTGAGCAAACCCAGAAATTCGAAGAAAGCTGTTGATCATATTCCCAAGAAGAAGAAGGCTTTGACTTCTGACTCCGTCGTAGATGTGCAAGACAAAATGGTTATAGAAAGTAGTATAAAAGGCAATTCTAGCAAAGTTAGAGGCACAAATAGTGCTATCATGAGTAAGAAGGTTTCCAACAAAGAGGCTAGTTTCAATTCTGAATTAGTTGCAGATGTGAGAAACAAAGTGGTTCAACAAAGTAGTACAAAAAGCAACTCTAGCAAATCAAGAGTTGAAAACAGTGGAGTCGTGGGCAAGCACAAAGATAAAAGTGTTGTAGTTCCTGGTGATGAGAGTCTGTCCTTGGCGCCACCATCTCGTGAAAGTTTTCCGACAGTAACTGAGATTAGTATCGGAGATCATGCTTGTGGTGTGGCGGATGCCACTGGTCATGCTGCACCAAAGCCTGTGGAGAATCTAAATGCGGGTAGAGAGATAGATCTTTTCCCTCTGCGTGCTCAATATGTTGATGGAAAATCTAGTTCTGTTAAGAATAAGCAAGGCAAGCCGGGTCTATTTGGTGAAAATCTCAGCATGCTTCGAGAGGGTCTAGTAGTGCGGGGAGCTGAGAGTACTATGCAAACTAGGCCTGTGCATGATCAAGCTAACCAAGATTTTTCCAGTGAAAGAGGGCTTAATCTTTCTCTTGACATTTACACAGCCAGACATCAACCCGAAAGGACGTATAATAGTGTCCATGACAGGCAGAGCTTTTTGTTCGGCGAACATATCAGAATGACCTCCAACGATCAGGTCACGAGGAAAGATGAACAGACACAATATGTTGGAATGTTTTCTTCGAGTCATGGATCTCCAATGCATCCACCTTTTGGTGGAATACAAAGTGACGTGAGAAGGAAGCAACCCATGCATTCTTTCCTTGGTGCGGCACATAACTATAGCTCCCAAGTCGAGATGGGAGGTTTCCATATGCAGAGAAAGGTAGTCATGATGTTTCCCTTTTGAATTTCACTTCTCTGGATTAATAATTGAAGGAGCATTGTTGATTACAGATAGATTGAGCTACTGGATATTTCAGTGCAATAAGAGAAATGCAATCCGTATTACCTTGCATATCATGATCTTCCTAATTCCTGAATTGATTTTGGATTGTTTCAAAGCTCCACACATTCTCGATTCCTGCTTATTGACCTTTCTTACAGTTCCTTGTTTTTATCAAATAAGATCTGTGATTCTCTTTGTTCCAGGACGTTGGCAGTACAAGCTCAAATGAGAAGTCCTTTGGAATTCAGGCGCATGCTGCTGGCAAAAGAATGGATATTGACCTGAGAGCTGGTAGCGGATCATCTGAAGTTCCGGCTTCGGACGACATCCCTATGGAAATTGTTGAACTCATGGCAAAGAATCAGTACGAGAGGTGTCTTCCTGATGCTCAATCCGACAGCAGCAGGGGTCATCAGACATTGGATTTTGGCAACAGACATGTCGTGGACACACGCCCGTTTTATCAGGAGGGTCTCAGAGAAAAACTATTCGCTCAAAATGGAAGAAATGGAATGATTCAGTGGAATGAGAAGTCAAGACCACCCACCAAACAGAAGTCCCTTACTGATCAACCCCAATTCTTCATAAACCAAGCAGAGCAAAGTCGCCCCCCACCCTTGGGCTACGCAGAATTCCTACAGCGCCAGTATCCATCAGGCACACCCCAAAATTCTGCCTCTTCCACTGGGAGGCAAATTGGTGGTCAACATTTGCAATGGTTACGCAACCTTTCGACCAAGGGGCCTCCAGTTCAGATTAGTTCCCACCACACAACAGGTTCATGGAGTGAAGAAGCAAATCACTCGCGGCGAACTATGGCACCGAGTCATAACTTGCCTTTCATGTTTAATGACCCCAAGTTGCTGAATCAGAATGCTACAAGCTTTCAGAGACAAGGTAGTAACAGCTATGATTCTGAAACACCAAGGAGGGGATCACATTTGGAGAATCCACCTGCTCGTAGGAGTAACACCAACATGATAGAGCTTAATCAGAAGCCAGCAGGGAACGCTGACATATATTCAAACGAGACAATTTCAGCTATGCATTTACTCAGCCTCATGGATGCAGGACTGGGATCCAATGGACAAGTGAATCAAGAAAGCCCGTCTACCACTCGTGATGGACATCATTCAGAGATGAGAACTCTTCCATATGATCATGGCAGTGGAAAAAAATTCACAAGGGGTTTCCAGCAACATGGTCCAGCAAATTCCCAGAGAATCGGATCTTCTGCTTCGTTTCAACTCGATAGTAGAGGTTTCAAGAAGGCTATCGATTTCAGCAGCCAAGTTTCTCAAGAAACTAGGAGGAGACAAGAAGACTTGGATTCACTTGCAGAGAACAGGCGTGGTAGTATCCCTCAACATTCCGGGTCTAGTCCAGTTCATATTCGAAAGAAGATTTTTGGGTCTTCAGATTCTTCTTCTAGGGTTCCCTTCCAAATGCAAGAAGCACCGAAGTTCTCCTCATCAATAGAATACAGATTGGAGGCGGGTTCTAAGACTAACACAACTGGTCATCCTCAGAAACGCACTCTGGAGCTTCAAGAAACGTGCAGAATAAACCGGAACCCTGCTGATTTTAGCTACCCAGGGCCTGGAAACCCTTACATGATAGGTCCAAAAGATCTGAAATTCCTGGATGCAGATGGAGGTGAGCAAAAGCAGCAGAAGAAGCTTGCTGCAATAAGAGGACGTGGGAAACATCATCTGAACCCGTAGTCAGGTTCCTGATATTTTGATGCTGGTAATCACTATGTGCTCATCTCTTAAATGATTTTCACCAGCTTCTTTGTTTCATATTTCTCTCTTTTTATCTAACAAAATGTTGCCTGGTTGCAGAAAGTTGAAAGCTTTGCACCTTTTGGCCACCTTTAGCAAAATAAAGTGCAAGGTACATGAGAGGATTTTGCAAGAAGTGCAATTAAACGAACTGGAACAACGAAGCGCCATATAGGTTTTTTGCGCTCTTGAGGGTTCTTTCTATTAAAGGTAACCATCATCCGCTGGGGGGTGGAAGTCTCAAAACAATTTGTATATACCATCTCCATCCCCACAAAGCAAAGACATAGTTTTTGGAGTTTCTCTGAGACCTGATGAGATTCTATTACGACTATGGTGTGTGTGTGTGTCTGTTGGAGAACTGTAGTACCCTATGAGGGTTCTGGTTGAAAGAACCTCACTTTCCCTCGCATCCGTGGAAAATATGGCCGCAATGATGGTTTTGTGCTCACTCTCTCAATTCCAACTGAGCAGGAAACAGAGAAGAAGACAATGTTATGTTTTGATGTTGAAGAACATTTAGAAGCTGACTTTGTTTATGGAGCCAGCCATACAGAACACAGCTGTAGAATTTTGTCTTGTTGTTGTTGTTGTTGATTACGTAGTTGTAGTAGTAACAGCAGCAATAGTATGTGATTATTATGCTGTAATCACAAAGGGGAATAAGTTTGGAGGGAGTAGTTTTAGTTTGTAGCTTGCTAGCTGCAGGAAAAGCTTGTTAACTATTAGATCAGGCTAATGATCTGAATGAATGTCTGGTTCATCACAGTGAACTTTTTTTTGCTATCACTTTATTCCCTCTTGCTTGCTTCTTATTCCACTCCCTTTCCAGCCCCGGGAAATGATGCTCCTTCCCTTTTAATCATAAGGGTCAGCCATTGATCATTTCAGTTCAGATCTAATAGTTCCACTGTTCTTTATTCTTCTGGCTGAGGTAATATGTCAGATGCACGTTGTATTGACCTGATTGCTGATATTCATTTTGCTTGCCATAATGATGGTTGTTGCCTTGTTGGAGATGGTTGGTGGAGATCTCGGTGAAGAAGACAGTAGAATCCCAACTGTATGAGTAAGAAGGCAATTAAATTCGACAGTGCAGAGATCATAAAGGAAACCAGCACCACACAAAATGGTGTTAGGCGGTGGTGCAACTACTCTGTTGATTAGAGAAGACGAAACCATTCTTCCTTGTTCTGCATGCAGTAACATGCAGCAGCAGAGTACAAGAAACTGCATGATGACAATCAGTTGAGCCAGAAACAAGAAAAGAAAGTTCGATAAAAGTCTCGCTGTCAGTCACTGTAGTAGTAGTAGTAGTAGTTGCTTAGAATCCACGAAAGAGAAAGCTTCTTCTCATTTGGTGAAAAATAGGAAAGCTTAAGCCAAGGGCACCATGACTTGTGTTAGTAACCAATCTTTGACACCAAGAATATCTTTCAATAATGTGGCATATCATATAGATTACATGATGGCTCTCATTAATTAGGGTGGTCTCGTCAAGTACTTAATTGCTCTCTCGTTGTAACTGTATCATACGTGGGACAAACATTCCATCGAGACCAGTATTCGCGTTTGCGTGTATATTTAGTAGTAGAAACGGACCACCGAGTTTATCATTCCGAACGAGAAACTGAACTGAGATGAATAACAACCTATTAATCTTTATTGGTACCATTTCAAAACAAAGTTTCCATGCCTGATCGCTCGGATGATGACAAAAAGAATCATCGGAAAAAAGTGTTTTTTCGGGATTTTTGAAAGCAAACTGAATTCCATTTATCCCGCATTGAGGCATAAATAATCTCATTAAGCCAAGTTTGAATCAGTAAAAAAAAAAAATTCATTGCTCAAGCCATAATTTTTAAAAAATTTATAAGTATTAGCACATTTCCCTTAGTGAACAGTAAAAAAAGAATTTATACAGTGAACGTAAACGACGACGAAGAAGAATAACGACAGACCCTGGCTTCCTTATACACAAGCCCTTCCTTACACAAATATCCTTTCGCCGGACTGCAATGCGAGTCCTCCGAGCAAACGCACCGCCCTTCCAGCGCGCAACCTTCCCCCTTCGCCGCCACCGCCGCCGCTTCCCCGGCGATCATCCCCTCCGACCACCCGCTCGAGAACAAATTCGCCGGATCCAGCTGCCTCTTCGCCTCCACAAACTTACCCAAATTCGGGTACTTCCCCTTCACCCCGCCGAACGCCGCGTCCCTGTTCTTCGCCCAGTGCGGCCGCGCCCCGTACTTGCCGAACGCCATCTGCTCCACTTCCTCCCACACGTCCTGGTTCAGCCGCGGCGTCGCCGGGTCGTCGGCGCGGAAGTAATTGAAATCGACCACCACGGAGTCCGCGGACTGACCTAGGTAAGCCTGCGAGGCCTTGATGAAGCGGATTAGGAATCCGTTGTAGATGTCGACCCCGCAGAAGTTGTCGGGGTTTAGGTCGCGGAGCTTCTTCACGTCGCGGATGAAATCGGCGAATTTGGTGGCCGGGAAGATCGCCGTCGATTCGTAGAAGGAAAGCCCCTTGATTCGTGGATCCCAGGCGCAGGATTCGTCGATTCTGTAGGAAGGCGAGTAGAGGCAGGATCCCGAGCTCTGCATCTTCCCCTGACGGCCGACCACCGGGTATCCGGTGAAGATCAGGCCGTTCTTCAGCCCGTTCGCTATCAGCTTCTTCACGCCGATGAATGTGCTCGCCATGGCGCATTTCCCTTTCGCGTTTCGTGAATTCTCCAGTGATTTCTCTGCAGAGGTTTTGGAAGTTGTTACAGAGGCATTTCATCGAACACAAGAGAGGCATTCGGTTGGGGATAAAAAGAGACCAACCTGTGGCTCTCGTTGATTTCGAGATGAGGATGGAGTTGGCCTGGAATCCAAGGAAATCGAAAGCTCCGTCGCCGGGGGATTCCAACGGGACTCTGTTATCGTACCGGTAAACCGCGGTATGCCTCGACGGATACCAGGTAATGTCGCCGAACTCATTTTCCTTGGCATGGTTCATGAAGATCTCCTCCAATTGAGAATCATCGCTGAAATTGAACGTTATGCTTCTCTTGAATCCTTTCTCCAGGGAAAGCGTCACCTGTTTGCAGAAAAGTCGAATCCCACAGCTCATAAAAAAAAATTCAACCACTCAGCCAACTGTTCGGCGAAATTACCAGCTGAAAACTAACCTTGGAGATGATGCCGAGCATTCCCAAGGACAGCCGGGCAGCATTAAAGAGAGGATCTTTCTCTCCAATCCTGACCACCTTGGCATACCCTTCAGACGGCTTCGCCGGAACGACGAGGCTAACGCCGGTGACATGATCGTGAACAGCTCCGCCTCTCCCCCACCACGAGCTGCCGTGCGAGCCAGTACTGATCAGCCCACCTACACTCACACCTTCCCAATACGGCGAAGCAGCCAAGCTGAGCCCCGCAGCTTCCACGGCATCAATCAGCTGCCGCAGCCCTACTCCGGCGTCCACCGTCACCGCCAAACCCGCCTCATCGATCTCAATCCCAGAACTGTACTCCGACGTGCTTATCAGCATCGAATTCTTGCCCCCGCCATCATCAGGGCAAGCCAGCTTGGGTATGGTGTGGGAGAATTTGCTTACCACCTTCACTTTCAGCTTGTTCTTATTGGCATAAGCCACGGCGGAAACCAGCTCTTGCTCTGTTTTCGGGTACGTGGCGTTCACCACCCGGCAGTCTCTCCGGTCGTTCCACACGCCGTAGGAGTTGAACAGAGTACACCCGCCGGCGCCGCCATCCTGGCACTGAAGCGGGGCCGCCGGGGGAATGGCGTGGATGAGAGTTAACTGCAGTGCGAGAACCTGCAACCACCACCAGGTGAACTGAACCTTTACTGTTCTCATCTTCTTCATCATCTCTGTTCTGAATTGTATCTGGAAAAGGGAAATGCTTGAAGCGGAGATAAAAGGGTTTACAAGGAGTGATTTCTAGGTTTCCACGCTAAGACATGATATGGAATTGAGTGTTTTCTTTTCTGTGTATAAAAGGGGAAAGGAGATATGGAAAGATATTGGCTTGTGGGACTGGTTTAGTGGAGCATTCAGATTGATTTAGTGGGGCTAATTGCTGTCATTAAGGCAATGGGTCATGGCCGAAGAATGTAATTAGGGTTTTGAATGACATTGAAACGGTTCAACACAAAAGTGCTTTCTTTCGTCTTCAAAGTTCAAACAATGGACGTTAATCTTGACTTATGGTGACGCTTGTTTTGTAGTTACTATTGTTAATACAACAACAACAATAATATAATAATGTTGTATATTGAATAAAGCATCTATTTAATTTTAAATTAGTGTGGTATAATTATGTCAGGTGTATAAGAAATGTTGTCAAACAAGAAAGTATTATGTGCGATTAAGACATGAAGTACAATATTGCCAAATAAAGTTAGGAATCGTTTGAAAATTGTGATTGTTAAATAGATGTATTGTTGTGAATACATATATAGTATTATGCACGTATTGATGAATTTGATACATTGTAAAATACAACATTTGGTATGTGTGATTGTGTATGTCACATTAGCTAAAAGCTGAGATAAAACAATCTCAACTCAACTATGTCAACAATTTTATCTAAAACCTGAGATATAACAATCACACATTTTGAGACATCGCAGAAATAATTCACGCATTCTGGCTACTTAAAAATAAAAATAAAACGATACATTTCAAACAATACAAATGATCTCACGGAAACAATCGCGACTTCCAAACGACCCATTAGATACAAAACTGAGGACCTAAAACCAATGTAGAAACATCATTCAATCCAAATCTAGTGAACAAAATCAAAAGATATCTCCTTATTTATGGGGTTTCGCAGTCAAATTTGGTGTGTTCAACTCCCATAGTCCCAATGTGGTGTAAAAAAATAAATGATTTTTCAAATAGAAAATGAGAAATGTACAAAAGTATGAAAAGCTGAAGGACTTTGTACCATCCATTCTAGACCTAGTGTAGTTGAATTCTATTCAACAATCCAAGGAGAGCATTTACAAGTCTGGGAGTATGTGGTGAAAGAAGAATTCGAATACTTCGCACTATAGTTTACTGGCAGGAGTAGATTGATCCAAGTATGAATTATTGGTGATGCGATAAATGTGAAATCTAACAACTATTTCATCCGCTAGAGAAAGGATTGTGAAAGAAAAGACCCATTTGGCAACTAATGTTGTTTTTCAGACGAAGAAAGAAAGCCATAAACAACTCGTGTTGTTGGGCCATAATGTTGGAATTGGCTTTTTTCTTGGGAAGAAAGCAACCCTATTAAAAAGTTTACGAAACAAACTATAACATTATAAATGTAGATAAATTATTTGAGAAATTGAGACTCTCACTCATTTACAACTTTATTATAACTAAAATATGAGGTAATGAAAGCAAAATCCCAAATAATTTGAGTACAATTATATACAATACAGACAAAAAACAGGTCGAGCATATGGCGCGTAAGCTCAAGAAGAATACCCATACTCATCTAGCCTACGAGAAGATCGAAATCATCATCCCTAACTAGAGGGAAGCTGGTCATGACTTGGATCCTTCCTTTCATTGGGAAGATAGATGGTCAAAGATTGAGCTAACTGAAAATTATACACATAAATTATCCTCCAAAACAGATAGCTGAAAGCCCTACCAAAAGGGTCGGGGTACCTCTCTCCCCTGAGGTCCTAGCATTTATCGAGCTTGCAAAATGATGAGTCGGAGTTTACAAGAGAATCAGTAGCCAGTACCCTATAATTGAGATTAGAGTGTAATCTACAAACACTTACAAGAGTTTGAGAGCTAACATCCTACAAGTTCAGTCTGATCAAAACCGTGAGGTGAGAGGAAAGGAAACTGAAACATGGGGTTTTCAGAGGCTGGGGAGCTGTCTAATGTCCATCTCCCTTTTCACCTCCACTTGTCTCGGAGTTCTTTCTTCTCCGATAGAATCCACGTTATGAAGATGGCGGCCACTAGGGCGACAATCGTCAAGAGCAACAGCGCGTAGCTGAAGTCCTCGGTGAGAGAGTCGTAGGTCCTTGATGGTGCGAAGCGGGTGAAGAAGAGGTCGACTCCATACGCGAAAATGAGAGTGGTCGACTCGAGCTTGGCTGGTACGGTTTCAATGCCTCTCAGGCCTTCCACTTTAAGGGCATGCGTAATGTATGACTGCAAAAGGTTTGGGATCGTGAAAAAAAGATGCACGAGGTGAGGTTAAGTAGGAAGAACTGCGTGCATGGTCTTGTCCGGTCCGAACAAGACCGCATAAATAGGACAAAGTAAAAAAATGAGAAGAGCCAAATCGAGGATGCATTCAGTCCGGTTTGGTTCTATCTTTCAACCAAAATTGTTTCACATCTAGTGCAGAATTTGAGTCTTGGGAGAAGTACAGGCAGCTAACCTGAGGGATGATGGGCAGTGAATCGGTGAGAGGAATAATTCCTTCCTCCTTTTCTGCTTGTGTTGGATTGACTGATCTACGAGGATCCAAGAATCGCTTATCGAGCGCCAAAACCTGCATTGATTGAATTGAGTAAGTTTCTATAGAAGCTGCCATTCAGCAGAACAAACAATCACGTCCACATCAATGTCTAGTTTGACTAACCTGGTCGCCAACTGTACCAATAAGAAGCTGCTTTGAAGTGATGCCCTTTGCGGTGGATGTAACTGCTATTGATTTTACGGAATGGGTGAAGAAGTAAGACTGTGACCTAGTCATGATCTCTGGCCTAGAATACGAAGATACTGGTGAAGTCAGATTATGCTTCCCCAGGATGAGCTTCCATACATCTTTGTTGTCCTATAATTACCATTAAAAATAACACACACAATGAGAGCCATATTAGAATATCATCATCCAATAACCTTCAATGAAATAGTGAATTATTATTATGTACATACCGCCCGAGACTGATCATAAATTTCAATCACCGACATCTCATATTTGTGTGCTCTAAGATTGAAGTAGTGATAGATGACCCAGTTTTCACTAACAACCTGCAGAATGTTGAGAAGATGATTAGACTGTTGAGTGCTACCGTTTTTGCTCAAAAACAAGTTAACTTTTATAGTGAGTGGCTTTCCACGTTCGTTTCAACAGCATGAAAAGATGCAGAAACATACCGCCTCTACTGGACCTTGGGCCCCATGATGAGTCATTCGATGCAATATACGGCCTGTAATTGTATCGATGAGGTAGACAATCAACCATGACTCCTCTGGGGTCGATGAACCAATATCACCACTGGCTTTCGGTGCAACAGTTGCAACGAAGAGTAAATTCTTCGATATATATTTGAACATTGCATCTTGATCTGCTACGACCTTTGCTTGGGTATGAACAACCTGCGGACACCCCAAGACAACTTCTATTTACTTCATACAAACATGCATAAATCAACTATGAATGAAGAACCTGATTAGGAGAAACATACCTCATTCAGTTTTCTGGTTGAAGTTTTTATTATCTTTTCCGATTCCGAGGGGAAGACGATCGACCATATACCTCTAGTGTCAAAAGAATAATCGTCAGAAGCCTTTTCCTTTAGAGCGTACCCCTTAATAATACCTGTCTCAGCTTCAACAGAATACCAGTAAACATTTGTCAACTCAGGTCTGAAAACACCGAGGGCATCAGAGGTCTTCGGATACAAATGAGCTTGCCCACTAGCATCTATTAGAAGATGCAGGCGTTGTTCAGTTGAATCCATGAATGGCAGAGGAATGACTTGCACAACAGAATGGTCAAGACTTGATGAACTAAGCTCCTTTCCAGTGTAGGTATCAACAAAAGAAAGTAGACCTAGAGCATCATCACTCGGTCCACACCGGCTGACAACAAGAGCAGATGGATTCTCGTCCAGTGCATGGTGATGAGGAACATGCCAGGGGAACAGATTGAGCCCAGTTGGGTTTTCACATGTTTCTGATTGGCGTAGAGAGTTCAGTAACCGAGACCAGACGATCCTACCATCTCCAGTGTGCAAGGCAAAAACTTTCCCGGCTTTTGTGAGCACAATGAGAAGCTTCCGGAAACCATTATGGTCTCGGGTCATCTTACTCTTCCCGGAGGCTTTCAACCGCAAGGATTGAATGGCAGCCATATCATCAGGACTCGCAAGCATTAGTGTTCCTTTCAGCTTAAGCACATGTCCCTAGCAACAACAGCAGCAGCAACAAGAGAATCATCAGAATCCTAAAAACCAAAGAGGATCCATGAGGCAAAGCGTTAAAGGTAATTTTTCATAGGGACGATTGTTGGCTCCAAGGTTTGAGCTAGGGTATGGAGGATGTGATCCTCCCCACATTATCACTAGGCTAACCGTTTGGGGTTAAACCTTACAAGTTATTACCATGAAAATCATAGTAAATAGCTTTCAGGAAGATATACAAAAGTCATGCACCATGACTGCGATACACCAAACATTCCTTAATCTCTACTTCTACGAATAATCGGCCACTATAAATGCTTCTTAATATAAGGGTAGAGCTCCATTATAGTCATATCAATAACTAAGTATTAGCCTATTACACAAGTAGAGAAGAAGACTTCTTCTGGAGGAAAAAAGTAAACGAATGTGGCAAAATCTCATTTGGTATATCATTCAGGCCTCTCAGACTCAAAGAATACAAGAACGATATGATTAGTTTTAATAAACGAATAGGTAACCTCACAGGTGTAAATATGGTAAATTTCTCCAATCAACATTTCACATGACAGTAGTGTCTTGGCTTTCGAAAAAAAACTATTCTACATCATACCTGAAGCCACTCAAAAAGGCTTTCCTCAACTTTTGCAACTGAAACGCCTTTCTTTTCAACAGGAAGCTCTGACGTTTTTACATCTATAACTGAGGCCAGAGCATCCTCCCTGCTCCAAACAACAGCACCTTGTTGTACCAGTAAAAGAGAGTGATCTTCCATGACAATCAGAGCCCTGAATCCATGGGACCTGTCTGTCCGGATGTAGTTGTTTATGTACACCTTCTGGACAGACCCTCTTTCTTGGTCCATCTTAATGCTCTCCTTAAGCAAATCATGGTTCCAATCTGCACCAAGCTTCACTGTTAAGTCGATCCCGTTGCTTCTACGGTGAACAAATGCAAAAGCTTGCCTGTTCTCTGAAATTTCCAGAACATCGCTAACTGCAGTTGCATGGTTGATCTTATCTACAACCTCCAACTTTCCTTCAACTGTCACTCTTACAAATGTTGTATGTGTACCAGTTTTCACAGCAAACACTCCTTCAAGTTTTAAAGCCAATAACTTTGCCTTCCCAACAAAGTCCTCAATTAGGGTAGAAACAGGTGTTTGGCTAAATGTAACTTTTCCATCCTGGAAACTAATAGTTGTTACCGTTGAACCAGCCGAATCCATCACTACAAGTGTGCTGCTCGAAACTAAGGAAGCTTGCCCAGAGTAACCGCCAGGGATGGCTGCACTATCATGCTTTAGTAGCTCTCCGCTCTTGGCATCAATTGTGTATGAATCAAACTGGGATGAGCCAACAAACCCGACCAAATGAATTAAATCACTGCCAGAGGTCTGAATCATGTGTTGAATTTCAAAACTGCAAACACAGATATAGAATGCAGAGACAGCAACAAAATGGTTACTACCAGATGAGAGAAAGCAAACTATAGTCCAAAAGATTTCAAATTGGGCAAACCTTTCTGCCTCCAAATCCTTCTTCCAGAGAATCTCGCCATGAATGCCTGAAACGGCATGAAGACATCCTTTACCAAAAGCAAGGATTACATTGTCCTTGTCAACTTTCAAGCTAGCCTGAAGAACATAAACCTTGGTTACAAATCTGTCCTTTCGGAAGAATGTCAAAAACAATAGATCATTCTGCTTTCATTAAAGGCAATTTAATGACAGTAGCATGCTAATTGATATGAAAGAAGTTAGAGAAACTTGAAGATACATAAAGATAAAAAATGATTTAGCAGCAAAAAAGAACTTCATTTACTGACCGGCACCAATAATGATGACTTGGAGGAATGTGGACCTTGAAGAAATGCTTCCCACACCATTTGTCCATCCGGAAGGTTCCATGCCCTCAGGATACTGCCCTCAGATGAAAGGGTGATGACATCTGAAACAATGAAAGAAGCATTCGCTTGATTAGCAATTCACCCCTGCCTGCTAACAGTATTCGAGAGAAAAGACAGACAGATACATCATTCATCTCCAACAAGAAACCCCTACCCACAAAAGCATAAATATTACCATGCCAGCTTTTAGAAGGAAAACAGTAAATCAACCATTGGAAACAAATATGAAAGAAGGCAACGATCATGGAAGCAGGACTCACATTTACCCATGGCAATATCGATTCCATCAATGGCATCATTGGGTCCAAGAACATGCCTCCAGACTGCAGCAAAACCAATAATAAAACTTCTATCAGTACACCACCGTGACAGGAATTGACCACAAACTTAAGTTGAAGAACTCACAAATCTCGCCATGTCTAAGATCCAAAGAGGCAATGACATTCTCTTCAGTAGAAACCACGACCCGCTTTCGACCAGTTTTCTGCGTGTGAAAGACAGCGTCTTTCACCTTCCCTATGTACTTCTGATGCCTGCATTGATCGCCCTAATTAGAGAAAAAAAACCCAACTACACAAACTGAACACTAATCCCCTCCTCCTTAAAATCCATTGCCCAGAACAAAAGTAAGCGCTTAACCATCAGAGACGAACAATTTACAGATACGCTAACACAGCCACAACGACTTTGAAATACTAAAGCAACTGAAGCTCCAAAAAAGAATCAGATTTCTCTATATTCGATGATTCATTCATTGATTGAGGAATAGCAATTAGCTCGGATGAGCTGCTTCTAATTTGAACAAACAGCAGATTGAGGGGCGATTAATTAAGTTAGCTGGGAAAACTAGAGTGAGAACTGGTGGAGACTAACCAGTCAGCGAGGCCAACTTGATCTTCGTAAAGAGAGAAGGCAGGAGCTGTAATTGATAAAAGCGATAGGAGAAGGAGGAAAACCCTAAGCATCGTGCCCATGGCGGAGGAGAAGTCTTTTCCGAGTGTTTTCCTTCTCTCGGCTGGTCCCGTCGATGAGTGACGAGAGAGATGGATCTGGAAGAGGAGACGACGATGGATTTTATGTACAGTATTAATTTTTTTCTTTTGATTTTTAGTTGGAATTATTATTTCTATTTTTGATTTAATTTATATCGACGCCGGCTTTTCTCTCTTCTTATTTTCCGCTCTGGCTTAGTAAAATTTATCGCCTGATTTTTTTTCAAAGACTAAATAAATAACATCTTTGGAGTTTGGTCATTGTGTTTACTATTTTGTTTACGTTTATACTTAAAAATTTTAATTGCCTTAATTATAATTAGGGATTCTTCAATGATCCACTTCCATCAAACTCATAATAATTGGGATTCAATAATGGAAAATATGTTACAATCAAGAATCATACTAATATTATATTTGATTTGCTAGTCCAAATGTCACATTATATTTGATATGATTGGGTTCAAATGCCGATTTATAAAATTCATGAAACCAAGAAACGAATCACATTATATTTGATATGATCAGGTTCAAATATCGATTTGATATGGTGCGTTCCGATACGGACCAGGTCTTTGCATACCCGTAATGATAACTATAATTAAACCATCATTCCAGTTTTACTCCATGATCATCATCCTCCATCAAACTCCAATGGCATCGTTAGTATTTTTATCACGTGGCCGACGGAAATGACAAATCACTCAAATTTCTAGCTTTGAAAAATTGAAAATTCGACTCATACAATCAGAAAACTCGCCACATCAGAACGACTCAGCCTTACAAACCCAAACCACAAATCGTCAAACCTAAAAGATACCCATTGTTGAAAACCATGACTCTACAACATATTTGTAACTAGAAACACAAAAACTTTAAGAGTGATGTGATTCATATTAGAAGTGATAAGATACACGTTTTTGTAGTTTGTACGAGTTTACGTTTCGACCCTATCATTTCCCTGAAAATATCAAGATTAAAATAATAAAATCCCAAACAAAATGTACGTGGCAGCCAGCCCAGACCCCATGCAGCAAACACACATTATTATTAGATAATAATTAATTAAATCTGCGCCATTCTCACTTACTTCATATAAAGCAAAAACAACAAACCAAAACCCTCCAGAGAATCTTATTCTCTGACAAATAATCGAGATTCAAGCATGTTTTCAATTAAGTTTGTATACTACTTACTGCCCCTCTACTGTTGTTTAATGGTTATGCTACATACACTAGTAAAGGTCGTTGCAACAACATAGTATGACGAGCATGTAGTCTTTCCGACGCAAATCGATCGAAATTTTCGAGCAATCTACCTTCGATTTGAACTAGTTAAATGATTTTTTTTTCCGCATTCACGAGTCACAACTGACCACTACATTACCCTCAGTAAGGGAGATGTTCGGATGATAAACTCGTCCGAGTTCGTCCCCAGAATCATCCTGGTTGTTGTTCGATCGATGTTTCAGGCTTTGCGGCACCCTATCTCGTATCAGAAAGGAAGAAACATGATCAATGCAAGCCGTTGTTCACAAGAATGTGAGCTGAACATGTAGGGAGGGAAAAACCCTCCCAGATGCCCTTCTACAAAATATATATTTGAAGGTTCCATCTTTCTCTCCAACAAGAATCATGTACAGAAAGTGTGATTATTATAGCCAGGCCAAGACCAAAACGCCGAGGAACACTATAATGGAAGTAAAACCAATATATGAAGGAAAAACAGGGAGTGAAGATGCAAGTTATAACCAAGCTAATTGGTAAAACAAAAGAAGCTGATCGAGGAAACGAACGTCAAAACCAGAAATGCTGTAAGAAAAAAAGAATAATGGAGAAAGCACAGTGACTGGGCTGAGATGTCACATACTACCGCCTGAGGTTTTCGCCGGCTTGAACTTGGTAAGGTCGACCAGGTCGCCGAACAGCTTGTCTTCCGGCTTCGATGGCTTTGGTACCATAGACGAAGAGTTCGACGAAGGTAGACCGTAAGACGACGAGCTTCTCAAGCTGCTGTCGTCTCTCACAGACATGCCATACATTTTCTGCTCCAGGTACCGTTGCTGCTGAGGCGTCAATTGATGTTGCTGCGGTTGCTGTCCGTACATACCACCACCGCCGTATCCATATCCGTATCCTGCCATTTGGTTGCTGTACATATGCTGCTGCTGCTGCTGCTGCTGTTGAGGATACATTGGTAATTGTGGGGCCATTCCCATACCCATGTACTGCCCTGCTCCGACTGGCTGGGGATACTGCATTCCGAAATACGGGTTGCCCTGTCCTCCAGCTGCTGGATTGCTCATGGGTGACATTGGTGCGCTTGAAGATGGTTGGATGTAGATTCCCACGCCAGGGTCGGCTCCCATTGGTCCCATCGGGTGCATATGGTTCGTCATGGGCTGACTGTGGGTGACGACCACCTGTGTAACTTGCATGGGTTGAGACGGGTATTGAGATCCTGCCACCGGGCTTCCAACGCCATCTGCTGCTAGCTGAGCTTCCCATGGCGGTGGAGGTAGCGAGCCGTCTGTTTGTGACCCTTTTTTCAACACCCCACCAACATGCATTAGCAGTATATATCATCATTATAGTGCATCACAGTTTAGCAGCAATAATATTTTCTTCTCTTTTCTCGTTGCCGCATGTAGTATGTATCATCACAAAACCATTTTCCCATCCATAAAACCACCAGAAAGACATTTGAAGTGTGGCAGTAACACTATGTTATTATGATACGAAACAAGAAGCATACCGTAAACTGGAGAGGCGGGCTGTTGAGGCTGCTGGGTGAGCTGTCCATTCCATGCAGGAACAGCACCTTGCATGAATGGTGATCCCGTATTCGGTGTGGTTCCATTAGGATACATCCCAGGCTGTTCTGGTGATTGGAAATTTTGTTGTGGTTGGAATTGTTGGGTCATAGTGTTATTTTGACCATCGAATGGAGTAGGGTGCATGTTGACGGTGTTGGCAGGATTGTTGACAACACCGTTCGGTTGATTGTCGGAGAACATGTCAAATAGAACGAGTGCGTTCTGCTGAGATGGAGAAGCAGTTGCCTGTGTTTCACCAACAGGAACAAGAGCAAGTGACGTGTCACCAGCCTTTGGTGAGCTGAAGTCGTCACCACTTAACAGATCCATCTTAGGATTGGCTGGACCATTGCTCGTAGGAGGTGCAGGCAGCAATAGTTGGTTCAGTGGCTGAGCGGCTCCACTTGAACTCGAAGGAGATCTGCAGAAGAAATAATTGCTGATTGACGTGTTTGTCGGCTCTAAGATTAAGTTCCTAGAACTTGAATTGAAAATTTCAGTTCAAACAAAAACAACTTCCGAAAACAAGTTTCTAGATCAACGTCCAACAAATTATCAAAGTTGAGGTACATTATGCTGCATAAGACATGGTAACACGACCAGTCTGAATATAGAATCACTTACTCACGATTAGGCTGTTTGCTGGCACCCGCAACATCAACTAGAGGACCATCAACATCAACTAGACTCCCACTAGGTTGAGCATCCGTCTTTGGCTTATCTTTTGGAAGAACAGTTCCTGAAGAAATGGCTTCATGTTTGGCTAGAACGCGCTGCAAGTCATCATTAAGAGCCAGCCCTTGACATAGTAGAGATTCATCTCTGGAAAGAGGAAAACCATCTCAACAAAACCACACTAATGCCTTCATAAAAAATGAAGAAAAAAAAAAAACGACACTAATGCTCAATAATAGAGATACCCGTGAAGCTGTACTAACCAGAAATCTATTCACTGAACTTGTACAACTTTAACATCGTGACCTATAACCCAATAAAACTTGAAATAATATATGAAAGGTGACTCGCAAACTCCTTCTAAGTCCCAACTCCTGACTCATTGTATATATTTCAACTCTATACCAACAGAAGCGACGACAACTTTGCAAAATACGCAAGCTTGTAAAAGAAAGTAAGCGTCGAGTAGAAGACATGAACTAGTAGAGTCAACGCTTTTATGATTAGCAGACCCAACATTAGTTCATGAAATTAGCAGTGGGAAAATTTTCAGAGCCAGTGCCCAGATGGCACTATGGCCGTCAGAGAAGGATTTGATTACTTATAATTCATATAATTGAGGTGATATAAACAGAAACTTACGCTGTCGAATTAACAAGGTGCACCACTCTCTGCTTGTATGTGCGACACTGGTCGACTAGATCAACTATAACTTCCTGCCGTACCCCCTGAGACATTCAAGCATTCAAGAGGAGCAAAATAATAAAGGCAGGGACTAACCTATAAGTAAACAAACATGATAAAGGTATGGACTACACATTAAGCGAATTAGACACCAATTAGATTAAGTATATCCCGCTTGGATAAAATTATAAGAATTTGAGAAAGCACAGGATATATAACATTCTGACTACCCCATAAGCTGGTAAGGTCATGGAAGGACTTAACATGCAGCATCTCATCCCTGCATGCCGATATGGTCATATATAAGGCTAGCTCTAAGGTCCTTCGTGATCTAGAATAGAAGGACAAGTTAGAGGCATTTGCGAGCTTTCCTAATATACGACTATGACCTCTTTAAAATCACAGCTTTAGGTCAAACACACAAGAACGATCAACACATTAACTGACACGTCCTGCACTTTCATAGCATTCTGCACAATTGGGAAGCCTACCTCTTTGTTTCCTGGATCCAGAGCACTGAGCATTTCTGCAAGGACATCCATGATACCACGAGCATTTTGGATTTCTGACAAGCTGGATAAAAAACAAACAAAAAATTACAACAGAATGAAGGGTACATAGCAACGATAAGCTTAGGATAAAATAGATTTTGAAGAAACACTATTCTAATCCATGGGGACTCTGGTAGTTTAGAATTTTAGACAAATCATTACATCCAGCAGCATTCAGGCTTCAGGTAACCAGGATTGTAAGTAAATGAGGATGCAACTCATCAATCGAGGATGCAAACGGATCCCTATGAAGCCTCTTAAATCCCTTAACTGAAATTTGAACCTAATAGCAATCATTCATTGGATAAAAATACATATGGACTGCAGCAACTGTTTCACCCGATCACTTTGGTTAGAAACAAAAATCCACATAGAGTACGCAGGATGTACTGTCACACTGATAAGTACCAACAAACGACATTTGGAGCATAGCTAATTGATAAGAATGTAAACTACAGTATTTAGGGTTGTAGAATATTGTCTACTTAATCCAGATCTATGTAACTTTACTTGGCCACATACACCAAAAGAACAACATTATCATATAAAAAATTCCTATCAAGCAAACAATGTAGACTTATGTATAATGAGGAAATCATAGATGCACCTCAAGGTTGGGAACTCAGACTCGGAAGATTCAGCTGGCTCTGGTCTCGCCTCAGGATTCCGCAGATTCTGAGGATAAGATGACAGAGGTTGTGTCTGAGGAGGAGTGAAAACTGGTGCCGATTGCTCTGATCTCTGAGGAAACACTGCCCCAGCTCGCTGAAAGATTGAACACTTTTAAAGTGAAAAAATTGCTAGACCATGACAAAAATGCTAATGGCCAAATAGACAAACACAATGAAACGAGCAGTCATGCATGGTTGGTGAAACATTCTCAAATTAACAACAAATTCAGATTATTGGGTCACTCAGAAACATTATGTTAGAATAACATACCAATAACTCCTGGTATGCTGCATAATATTGAGGATATCTGGCCCTTGGCCCTCCGAAAGCTTCTTGCCATGTATCTATTAGAGTCAGAACCTTCTCCTTCACATGAAAGTCAGGCTACAAGCAAGTAAAATGAATCATTATGAAGATGCTTCTGAAAAACTGCCACTGGATAGGAGAACCAAACTGTAGAAGAGATCATACCTTTTTCCGCGCAATTTTCACCATGTCATGGAGCAAATCTTTCTCTGCCACTTGCATGTGGACGATATCCCCACAATTTTTTATGATAGTCTCCAACAACTAGAATACATGTACAGATCAAGATGTAAACAATCTTCATCCTTGAAGACAGACTTTAACCAAATTTAAGAGAACAAAATTATATGCGAAGGTAAATTGTACTCGTTTATCCAAGCCCACAGTAGCAGAACCCTCCAAATAGAAATATGGTACCAGAGCATGAATATGTTAAGCCCCAAGACAACAAGGAATAAACAGGACATCAGAACAAAAACCAAGTTAGGAGAGCTAGATAACCTATTATGCCTACAATCTACCCTTCCACATTATCCCGGATTCACAGTCTCTGAAGGAATAGATTATAAATGCGTAGAGGATAAAGGTTTGCAGTAACCCACTCAACGGTGATGCAGAGAACTCTATGCATATGTCGAACACATGCAGAAGAACCTGGATCATCTGTTCTAAAGGCTCAAGCAACTGAAGTGGAGAAATGCCACTAGGCAAGACTAATGATATTTTGCTTGGCGCAGAAACCATCTAAACCAATCAAAGGATGTACAGAACTCAAATAGATCTCAGGTGTTGCCGAGGCTTACTGTCAAAGCAAGAAGTTGAACTTTAGCATTCTTACTTCCAAGGCGCTTCTTTATTCCTTTTACGACATCTTTCGCTTGCCTGAGAATACAAAATCAAACGAAACAAAGTTTAACATTCCAATTAGAGAAAGTCGAACAAGCTCAACTAAGTCATAAACAACTACTTCAATCAAGCTAGGGGACAACATCGGGCTCCAGTGCCAGTAAAGAGTAAAGAGAGTTCACATACTGCCGTCTAAATCACTTCAGTAGTGAAGAAACACTCTAATCGGAGGCCCTGAACCTCTCCCAAACCACAAAACAACATGAATCAAATTCAACAGAGAGACAACTAGTCTCCACTGCTTCCAAGATACGAGCTTTCATTACCATAGAACTCCCAATCAAGTAGCAGCTAAATATTCGGGAATTCAAGCTACAATCAATAGCAAAATTCACAGCGTTTTGCCCACCAGAGCTTCCTGAACCCTGGCTAACAGCTATTCGATCAAACGCCACACTGCCCCCTCCGCCGAATTACCGATTGGCAAGCAAAACAACAGAGAAACAATCCCCGCAAAAGGAGAATCGAAGCAGAAATTACGAGAGAAGGAGGGGCAAGGGCAAAATAGCGCGCGTACCCAGGGTCGTGGTTGCACATGTCGCAGATCTCGATATTCATAGCCCAATCAGGCCCGATCAACATGTCGCTCGTAGCTCGTTCCACCATAGGATTCACCATCTTTCCCCTCCGGAATTTCTTCAGAACAAAACCCCACCCTCCCACCAAGCAAATCAACCAATCCTCCTTACTTATTACGGCAAAAAAAAAAATGAGATCGCTGGAAGTCCAATTCCGGCGACACTGGAACACTGCGGAAGAGTAATTCCTCCGGCGAGAATCCTTATTGCGTGCCCTGGATATCGCGCTCGCTTTACCGGATCATAAAAAAATAAAATTATATGAGCTGCCGAACAGAACAGAAAACTGTTGTTTTATCGAAAGGTCTCCTCTTTCCCCTCTCCCTCTGCGGGAACCAGAAGAAGAAGAAGAAAAAGAAAAAAACAAAATAAAATAATTAGAAAAATTAATTCTACTGTGGGCCTCTTTTGATCCGTAGTTGGGCTTTTCAGTGCGGCTGTGTTGTCATTTATTTTTTGGCTTTTTCTTCTTTTCCCCTCATTAAATAGTAGCCCAGGGAACCATTGTGTGAGTGACACGTTGCAAACTCCGTTCCGTTCCGTTGCTTTATCCGCCGCCCTGTTTTTTGGCTCCCGCAAAGGTTAACGAGCTAACCGAACCAGGAAAACCCGCCAAATTTCGGAAGCAAAAACTATAACAAACTCGAACCCCGCGTCTCAATTCCATCTCCTCTCCCACTCTCCGGCCTCCGTTCTCTTCTTCACCGTCGTTACTCTTCCTTCTCCGGCCAACCTCGCCGAATATCTTCCAAATTACCCTCCTAGTTTCCGCGAAGAACTACATTCCCCTCCCTCCGACTCCGGCCGATTGAAAATCCCGGCCTCGATGCAGCTAAAATCGGCGATCACTCATCTATTCCCCGACGCCATCTGCGACCTCTTCATGGTATGCTTCTGCCGCTTTCGTGATTCGGTAACTCACATCAGAACCAGATCTCGTTGTTTGCAAGGGAATATGGCGGGGCTCTGAAAAATAGACCGGAAGGAAGAAAGAAAACCCTAGCTGGGAATCACAATTTCACTCATAAACAATAGCGAGGGGGGAGGAATCCCCACGGTAGAATCGTCTCATGCGAGTGTGTCAATTGCTTTTGGTTTTTGTTCTCTATCTAGTAGTATAGTTGTGGATCTGGAGAATGGCAATGATCATCAGCGACGCGCTGCGGCAAGCGTTCATGCCGAAACGCGAGTACGAGAGCCTGCGGGAGGAGGAGAAGGCATGGTCGAGGTTACAGAGGCCTTTCTTGCTCTCTGCCGTTTCCTTAATCTGCGTTGCGTCATTGTCTGCGCGGTTATTAGCTTGAAGATCGTCTCCCCCGCCGTTGGTTCCCGGCGGCCGTTTTGCAGTGACCGGAGGCTCCTGCCACTGCCCACGAAAGGGGGGCGTGTCTCTGATCTGTTTCCTGGTGTGTTTTATCTCACGGATCAGGAGATTGCCGACTATTACTGGATGGTGCTCTTCGTTCCATCGCTCATCATTTTCCTAGTCTCATTTACGTATCTTGCCGCAGGTGAGCACTCCTTACGAAGGATGTTATCCTGATTTGCTTTACTTTTCACTGGAATTTGGGTCTTGCTGAGGGCAATGATTTGTTTGTTCTCCATTTTGGTAACTTCCCTTAGTGCAAAACCTTCATGAATAAGCCAACTAAACGGCTAAAGATGAGTGCTTTCCATGTTCAACTTTGTAGGGTGTATGTGGGGGTATAGAGGTGTGTCATAGACTTTGAAACTTTTATCATTGGGTAATCAGGTAGTTCATGAAAACCATTTGCAGGATTAGTTGTTTTGGTGCGGGGATTGCTGTTGCTTATTCTGCTCCGACAAGGCATAGTTGCTTAAAGGTGGTGGAAAACAGTTACTGTGCTTCCAGAAGAGGTGTGTAGCGCTTTACTTTCCCTTCATTTCCTTAACGGATTATGAACTCACTTCATTACGATTAAAAAGAGTGTGGTGCTCCTACTTCTATGGGTCTTCTATGATGTGGAGAATTACTTGTATTAGTGGCTTCACGATGAACATGATAGCTATCCACGGCCTGCATGTTATATAGATTACTGTTTTCTAGAATACAGCTATCTAGAATACAGCTATATGTTTGGCCGTCTGTCTAGGTAGCCTCAACTTGGTGGAATATGCTTAAGGCTTTCTGGATTTACATACTGGTGCTAGAAGTGCTTATGATTGCTTTAGTGCTTCTGGCGCATGAAGAATGCAGTTGTCACTATGATACTACATTAGTTACTTATTCATGGAATTCAGTGAGATGGGCACTGGACAGACAAATGGAAATACAAGAAGAGACCAACTCTCTTATGATCCAGAACAGAGCTATTGATAAGTTAAGTCCTTTTGAAGATATCTTTACAGATTTGTCCATGCCACTAGTGATCTCTTATTGGTTAGTTACTTACCTGTCTAGGTCCTACTCCAATTGAAATTTTACTCTCCATGTTTAGCAGTCCATTGTAGTCTGGAGATAACAGTTGATATCATTCCTTTAGAGGTGACTTAATGAGATATTAGAATACAGACCCGATTGCCCTTTGTAGTTTGTCTATTATCTGATAGTAGTAAAACAAGTGTGGTATGTTCTCTTCAAACTTGAATGCTGGTGGTTTTTAGTAGAAAGAGGTAGACCAAGTTCACAAATGATTTGAGTATAGACGATGATGACACTGATTAATAACAGATCAGTTGTACGACCCTCTGGATTCCGATAATTGATAGTCATTCTGCCACTGGTTAAATGTTGCCTTCTGCAGCCATAGGTAAAGCAACAATGATCGTTCAGATGTCAAAATAGAGACAATGGAGCACCAAGGACAAACCTTCACTCACCCTTGCTTTAGGAATTCAATCTGTTAGATTTTCTTTTTTTCCTACTGTTATTGTGTGATCACTAGTAGAGAGAATCTTCTGCTAGCTTCATGGGCATGCTAGGTTTCTTCCGTCTAATGATCATGACTGAATCTTCTGACATTACAGGTGGGGTCCGCTGCCTTTACATCTTAAACATCATCTTTGCCATCATCTTTGGTCTTCTCGCTCTATTGCTCGGTTCAACCCTCTTGACGTTAGGGAGTAGCTGCTCTGTGCCCTTGTTCTGGTGCTACGAGATCGCTGCGTGGGGGCTCGTCATTCTGTATGGGGGAACTGCATTCTTCCTGAGAAGGAAAGCGGCAGTAATCATCGATGAGGGCGATCAAGGTAGCAGAAATCTCGGCCTGGAAATGCTGGAAGCAAACACTTTGGCCGTGGCGGTTACACCAGATGTTGAAAGACGAGTCACATTTAAGTCCTGGATGGGTTCATCTCTGCTATCTTCTGACGACGAGGACGAACTAGACACTTTTGTAGAAGCACCCTACCGGACAAATGCATCTGCAAACAGGCAGAGGGTATAGTGATTGGTAAAATCAGGTTGATTGTTGTATACAGCTGATGATAGGCTTGCTCTTTACCAGTAGGAGGTTACCTTGGTGGTCGTCGTAAACTGTAAATAACATGACTACTGCAAATCTGGCAGCCTGACTTGTAATGCAAATAGTCCTCTGAGGACTTGTCTTTGGCTGGAAATTGTATGCACAATTGGTACTTGTGAAATCGATTCAAGGGGGTCGTTTGGATGTGGAAATTTGAAAACGTGGGAATTTGGCTGAATTTCCATGTTTTACAAAACCAAGGAATTGACTTGCGGAAATTGAACGAAATACCATGTTTGGATAGGATTTATTTTTGTGGAAATTGATGGTGTGGAATTTGGTGATAATACAAAAATGCCCTCTTTTGTTTTATATGCATAACCTCCTAAAGGTTGTTGTTGTGTTCTACTAACTACTGATTGCCTTTGTTACATCGGCTTTTTCCTCTTAATCGGCATTCCAATTAAGTGAATCGGATGAATAGAAGTAGGAGAATCAACGGCGGATGACATAATTAAGTGAATCCAAAAGTAAGAAATTGACGACAGATGAGAGGAGATATGCGAAGGTGAGGGGAGATGAAGAAGAGACGCCATTGTTGAATGAAGAAGAAGGGGCTACTTTTGTAAGAAATAGGTTGGAGAAATCGGGGGAGGAGCAAGGAAGAAAGGAGAGGAAGGACAAAGGGCATTTGGAACAAAGAAGAAGAAAACGTGGTAATGTCAAATTACTAGGGGGAGGTGTAGTATTCTCAATTACCATGAATGTGGTAATTGAAGCCAATTTCCATACTCTTTTGCTCTCCAAACATGGATTTTAACCCAATTACCACATAATGCAGTAATTGGATCCAAAAACTGCATAACATTTCCACATCCAAACGACCCCCTGTAACTCAATTTATTGGAAGAATATTAATTATATATTTTATACTACTTTCTGAGACGACCCTTAAACGAAAGTCAATTCACAGGCTTGAAATTTGCATAGATCAATTATGTTTTGTACTTAAATCAATTGTTAATATTAGGGTTTGTGGAGGTTCGAACAAACGACAACATGGCCAAACCAGCACAATACCATGTAAAGAACTAATTTGGTCTCAATGGTGGTTTGGATGAAGAATTTTAACGGATCAATTTAACCAAATTGTTCCATTTTGAGACAATTGGACCAAATTGACTCATTTGACAGCATAAAATTTGGATGAATCAATTTCTCCTACTAAAGAATTTTGAATTGACTTTTTTTTTTTGCCAATCGATCACTCTTAAAAAGAGGAAAATCCATGATCCCAGATTACAAAGAACCTATCGACTATTGAACCATAAAACATAGTCAAACCCCCTATGAAAGCGAGGTGACAACAACAGAGCATGACGAGCTACTGAATGAGCCACTCTGTTTCTAGTACGACCTACAAAATGAACTTGAAATCCAGGAGATTCTTCCAAAATAGAGCAAATTTCTTGAAGGATTGATCCTGCCCTTGCATCCGACACATCACGATTACGACACTTATCAATCAAAACTTTTGCATCACCACCAATATTGATGAATTGACTCGTTTTGAGACAATTGCAATTGTCTGGGTGGAACGGATAATTCGAATTGACTAAAACCACAAATCAAATTGTCTTAATTATGTCCATTGAGCCTTCCCGTATAATTACAGCATGGGTATTATCTTATGAGCAACTAAATGGGCTTAAACTAGTAATCCGGGAGTGGTTTAAATGGGCCTGAACCGGAAGATGCGCTCCGCAGAAGGTTTGTCCCTTCATCCTTCAGTTCACTAAACCCTAGTCTGCAGGAACTGCTTCTTGCTCCTCTGTCTTCGCCACTGAATAGCTGCAATCTTCGTTCTGTAACAGTTTACCGCTTCGTCGCGCATTATTCCCTGGTTAATCTCCCATCGCCGCCGGCTCCTCGACCTCTGAATCGAGCTATGGCTGCCAATTACGAGTACGACGAAGCTGCCGGCCACTACGACGACCAGGCAGCTGCGCTCCGGCAGCAGGAAGTCGGATACGACCCCAACTTCGTTCCCGATTCCGTGAAATCCTTCGTCGTCCACCTCTACCGCCACATCAGGGAGAAGAATGTCTACGAGATCCACCAGATGTACGAGACTTCGTTCCAGACGCTGTCCGAGAGGCTGTTCAAGGACACTCCGTGGCCTTCCGTCGACGCCGTGGCTCACTATGTCGACAATGACCATGTCTTTTGTCTCCTGTACCGGGAGATGTGGTTCCGCCACCTCTATGCTCGCCTCTCCCCTACTCTCAAGCAGAGGATCGACAGTTGGGACAATTACTGCAGCCTCTTCCAGGTCCGTTTTTTTTTTTTTTTTTTGCTGATTCTGTTCGTTCCCACTTTTTGATTCGTGCTTTCTTCTGCTTTGCGTGTGCTTATTGAGTGTGTGAATTGCAGGTGGTGTTGCATGGAGTGGTGAATATGCAGTTGCCCAATCAGTGGCTGTGGGATATGGTGGATGAGTTTGTTTACCAGTTCCAGAGCTTTTGCCAGTATAGAGCTAAGATGAAGAACAAGACTGAACAGGAGATTGCTCTTCTGAGGCAATTCGATCAGGTAAAGCCTGATTCATACGTGTTCCTTGCTCGAGATGGGGTTGGCAGTTACATTCCTTGGAGAGTAGGATTAGCCACTGTTTCATAATCTTAATTACCTGGGACAAGATAGTCATGCTTAAGATGTCTATACAAGCTGCTTGTCTCTTGTTATGTCACTGATGATGTGTACAATGCTAGTGAATTTAAGTTATACGGGTGCTGCCCTAGTCTTTCGAGTTGAATTCATTTTGGAACATCTTCAGAATTACTTATATTTCAGGCATGGAATGTGTATGGCGTGCTCAACTTCTTGCAAGCATTGGTGGAAAAGTCGGCTATAATTCAGATATTGGAGCAAGAAAAGCAAGGTCTTGAGCAGTTCACTGCCACTGATGGTTACGATTACAGTGGAGGAAGTAATGTTCTGAAGGTGTTGGGGTACTTCAGTATGATTGGTTTGTTGCGAGTTCACTGCCTTTTGGGAGATTATCATGCTGGACTTAAGTGCTTGCAACCCATTGACATAAGTCAACAGGGCGTTTACACCAGTGTTATAGGAAGCCACATTGCTACCATATACCATTATGGTTTCGCAAGCCTGATGCTAAGGAGGTAAAAAAATTTACATGGAGCATTTGTATCCATCTCTGCCCTCTACACTTGCTTGATTGCCTGGTTGTTTGGTTGGTCAAGCTTGTTCCACTTGTTGTTCTCCGTCAAGGGCATTGTTCCTTCTTGGACATGATGTAATATCTTGATTTTAGTGGTTGTTTCCCTGAATGTTTGACTGCTCTTAGAGCTGGATCTCTTTTGTATATATTGTTTCTCAATCTTTACTCTGTCATGTGTTTTCTACCAGACTAAGACTTAAACTTCACATTAGGTATGTAGATGGTATCCGTGAGTTCAACAAAATTCTCTTGTACATTTACAAGACCAAGCAATATCATCAGAAGTCTCCACAGTATGAACAAATACTGAAGAAGAATGAGCAAATGTATGCCCTGCTTGCAATTTGCCTCTCATTTTGCCCTCAAATGAAGCTTGTCGATGAGGCTGTAAATGCTCAATTACGCGAGAAATATGGTGAAAAGATGGGTAAATTGCAAAGATATGATGATGAGGCTTATGGTGACAAACTGAGCAGAAGGCAAAGATATGCTGATGAGGCATTTGGTATCTATGATGAACTCTTTTCATATGCATGTCCCAAATTCATTACCCCTTCAGCTCCGAGTTTTGACGAGCCTCTCGTAAATTACAACCAGGTATGCAAATGTATCTATCACACTCGTGCCTAACTTCTAATATGCAATGCCTTTCAATGAGTAGTTTCTCACATGCTTTACTTTTTCTTATTCTTTTTGCAGGATGCTTATAGGCTGCAGTTGAAACTTTTCCTTTCTGAGGTGAGGCAGCAGGAGTTGTTAGTTGGCGCTCGAACCTTCCTTAAAGTATACTCAACCATATCACTTGGGAAGCTTGCCAATTATTTGGACGTGGATGAATCCACGTTAAGGTATACGCTCTAGTCCTTGAAAAGTTTTTGCCTTCAAATCCTGTCTACGGGAGGAGTTATTTGAGCAATTGGTTTGTTTTTTTCTTTTTTCCAGGATGACATTGATGACGTACAAGCACAAGACTCATGCTGTTGATTCTGATGGAAAGATTATCTCCAATGCCGATGTCGACTTCTACATTGATGATGTATGATACGTGCCCCTATCTGCCTTAGGCTCCGTGCCGTCATCCATTGTCACTTGTTTAATTAACATCTCCATATCCTTTTGGCTGTTGCAGGATATGATACGTGTTGTGAACTCCAAACCAGTGAAGCGATTTGGCGATTTCTTCTTGAGGCAAATTGTAAAGGTATGCTATTTCGTATTTCATATGTCCTATAGTTTTTTCTTCCTGATTATGATGTATTAGAAGAAGAAGATTTGATCTATGAATGATATGATCTCCCATGGTGATTACTTGTGCTGAATTCCCTTGCTGTAGCTTGAAGGAGTGATCAACGACATGGACCGGATAAAGGTGGAGTCAGCCAATTGACTGTTGCATTTCTTTCATCCGACCAGATCATGTAGTTCTACCAGACATCGGCAGAGATTTCGTTATATTCATTCGCATTTTGCGTATGAATCGTGTGTCGACGCTAGTGAAAAGCTGCAGCTCTATAAGACTGGAAGAAGCACGCTGTCAAGACTTTGGAATGGATAGATTAGATCCTGTGTTTAGTTGCTGGCGGCATGGTTTTCTTCCTCGTCTTGTTTGGGGTTGGTTTCAGTCATTTGCTCCCATTGGTCGAAAGACGCCGGAATTTGGGTGATGGAAGATTTTGATTTTTGAATGATAGTTTATGTCAGCGTAACAAGAACAATTCATTTATTCTTTTATACATGAAAGCTGGGTACACTTTATTGGTCCAAAAGTTTGCTACTGTCTCATTATCTGTCGTTTAGTGTCCAACTTCATACAGAATTCCTCCCGCAAAAGCTTCGGTTGGCTTCCAATAGAAAGCTCCTCTCCGACCTAGCATTATTGCCCGCTCTGACCCAACGTAACCTTACCTCTGCTCTGCTGCAACGATCCATCAGGCCACCATGCTTTTCCCCTTCTGATCAGACCACTCTACTGTACTTCTCCCTTTCACCTCCTCTTCGTAAATGCTGGCGCACGTCATCCCCCATACCCCTTTGCACGACTGCTTGAACACGGCACCAGGCATGCATTGTACTGACCAGTCAACAACTTCACCATTATACACGTAAGAAGTGGTTCTTCTCTGGTTTTTGCCCTATCACCTCATTCTCACCTCCTACTGGAATTGGAATTGGAATTCGAATTGGGATTCTTTCTCTCTCTCTGTTCCCATATTCCACCCACTCTCAGTTCTTCTTCTTCCACCAGCTCTCTTTTGTGCTCTTACCTCTTCTGCCTGCCTTTGCCAATGAAATTCTTCCTCTGGCCAAAATCATGCATTCGCTATGCTCTTCTGAAGATGGAGATAAGGATGCCTGTGGACATTTGAGAGGACAGTGTTGTTGGCTGTCGGTGAGTCGTTTCAGAAAATGGAGGAGGGAGTCCATGGAGGAGGAGGCGGCAGCGGAGGAGGATTAGGAAGAGGTAGGAGAGGGCGGCAGCGGAAGATTGGGGGTGGAGGTAAAGACGAGGGTTTTCTTTGTCTCCGTATCAGCACCAAGATGTATGTTTGCTCATTCTAACCAGAGATTTCATTGTTCCGTTCCAATTGATGCTTTGCTTTTTGCTGCACCGGCCGGTGATCGCCATTTATCCTTCTTCTAGGAAGAAAAGAAGCTGAACCTGAGAAGGGGTGAAAATAGCTCAAACACACGAAAGCGTTGTATGAATATGAAGAAAGAAGAGCTCGCTGGAGGCCAAAGCCGGATCCATCTGCAATAATTCCACTACTGCAGCTCATCACATGGGCAACAAAGTTCTACCCATCAGCAGCAAAGGCAATGCTGCATTGCCTCCACGGTTTCCTCTTCGTCGACGAGGAATATGAGAAGAGAGACGCCAAACCGGTCAAAGGGGATAGCAAGACCAATGTCATTTCCAGGATGAAGGAGCTCATTAGATGCCTGCAGCTACCAAATCTGAGAAGAATGGGAAGTTCCTTGGCCACAAGGTAGCATCTTTTTAATGTATGAACATTTTGGCCAAAAATTATGTGTTGTGTGTGTGATCTTTTTATATCTCTGCCAGGTTCTACCCCAATTTTGAAACCGAGGAGCCCTGAAAGCAATACAACAGGATTCAGACCTAAAGGAAAAAAATGGTTCAGCTTGAGATGGGAAGCTGAAAGCAGCTCCACTTGCTCGACACTGTCGTGACTTCTTGCCCAGGCAGGGGTGGACCCACGGGTGTTTAGGGGTGTCCCCGGACACCCCCTAAATTTTGGGAAAATGATTATCCAACCCCCGGTAGTAATTTACGTATTGACAAAAAAATTATAATTGATAGTCGGGGACACCCCTAAATTTAAAAAAGTGATTATCCTACTCTCATCTTTTAGTTTGTGTATGAGAATATAAGTCGTAGTTTGGGTAATTCAAACTTAGGACACTTTCATTATTAATAAACATAATTTTCATTAGGCTACAACTCATATGTTATTCGATTTTAAACACTGTGTAATAGTATAATGTCATTCTCTATCTCTAATTATTTTCAAAATCTAACAATTAAACAAATTTCAAGCTACCCTTAATTTGTATTGATTTATGGTAGTACAACAAGTATTGAAAGAGTCTTTCAGTTTTGGATTACATCAAGAACAAGTTTAGAAATTGAATATGTGATCAGTTCGTGAATGATTGTCTAGTATGATATACAGAGACAATTTTTTTTGAATAGTATAGACCCCAAGTGTGTTCTATAATCATTTTCTAATATGAAAACACATTGTGAATTTTTTCAAACTGTATGAGTAAAATATTTCTTATTTAAATATTATTTATTTTTTATTAATTATTTTAGAATTATTTGTATTCAATTTATTTTTTAAAAGAGGACACCCCTATGTAAAATTTCTGGGTCCGCCAGCCCAGGTACGGTCAAAGACATAAAGGCAACTAGATCTCCACGGATTCAGACTGTGAGCGTTTATGTACATACATATATACTTATTGTTTCATTCATGTTTCTCTTTATCAAGAGATTTTGAACAACCTTGATTTGACAGTTGTGGCATTGCAGCTTTGAACAAGGCTGGAAGGAGGCATTAGAGGAGTATCCATTGATCAACGGTTTAAATGAATGGCATTCCAAATGAAAGAAAAAGAATGGTTACTTGCCTCTTTTGTATTTCCTCTTCGAGAGATCTATTGATTACATTTCTGTATGTTGCTTATTCTCTTTTTATTCTTGATATCACTTTGTTCTGTCATTAGTAGTAGTTGTCTCCCTGGTTCGTTGAATTTTTGAAATTGATGGTGCAAATTAGATATCAAGTTGCTGCTACAAATTTATTATGCAACTTACAGAGTTGGGTTATTAGTTTTTGGCTCTATGCGATGAGCATTCTTCTTATCAAATTCTTTTGCTGATATCTTCATTCAATGGCCTTTGCTTCGCTCCTTTAATACTTCTGATGTATTGCTCCTCTGTCTATTTAAGATTTGTATCTGTGTAATTCATTTTGCGTTGAGCTCAAATGATATTTTGTATGCATCTAGCTGCTTTTCGTTTACCGATTACTTTGTGTTTCTTTCCATAAACATATGTGGCTCTCGGATAATCTGTTAATCTTCAATCCATTAGTTTCATTGCATGTTTCAGCTGCTTTCAATCCGTTAGACTGATTATAGGTGCACAAAGCATTGTAAAGGTTTCTTATGACCGACTGCTTTCTCCTTTTCAATTTCTAGATTTCGTGTTTTCTACAAGTTTTGGACATAATCGTAAGCTTTTGTAGTGTTTCATGTTTCCTGTGCAGTTTCCTCTCCGTGTTTTGTGTAAATTTAGGCTTCAATCTGGTCAGATGATGAAGACTTATCGATGAGGTTGTGAATGACTTTTCGGTTTGCAGTTAATAGTGGTATAGATTCCAGTCTTCTGATATGCAAGGGCTCTCTATTTGTTTTGTGTTGTTGTATAATTCCCCTCCATCTTCTTCAAATGTGCAATCGAATGGGTTTCTTCCATTGGGTTTCCTGTGTTGTACATAGTTGTTCGTTGATTTAGTTGACTAGAGAAAAAATTTGTTTTGAAATTTGCATTGTGGGTTTGATAGGCTGCTTTGGAGATCTGATTCATAGTTGTCTCTCTTTTGCTAAACTGCAGTTGCACCTGCAGCTAAAAGAAGGAAACTTCGCTTGCACAGTTATGGTGATTGCTTACCACAATCTATAGGTTGTCATTGGAAACTGCAATGTTTTTGCATGGCAATTGGGATGTCTTTTTGATCGTTCTTCCCATTAGTCCATGAGGTCATTTTGTGTATTATTTTTTTCATTGTTTCTTTTATTTAAAGAAAATGTGGTTGTAGCTATGCATTTTTTGTGTGTGTTGGGTGTTGTTTTTGTCAATGCTTCTTTTACTTAAAAGGAATTGCAGCTATTCATGAGCAAGGTAATTAATTGCACTTTTCATACTGTGAAATCCAAACCACTGACAAGAATGCAACAGTTCTCAGTTTGCCATCAACCTGAACTGCCTGCCAAATGATCATGTTGTTGCAAATTTAGTGCCCGCGGCGTAGCCGTGGATATTGATTCTAGTTATGTATAAAAAAAAAAACGATGGATTCCAAACAATACAAGATAATAACGATCTTAGAAAACAATGAACACAGCTTAGCCTAATTGACCCAAAGCTTACGGATAAACTACCAGTAATGTTGGAATGGAGATGGAGCGCGGGATTAGTGTCCTAGTTGGAAATCAGTATGAAGTATGAACTGAGACTAAGAAGTAAGAAGCAAGTTCGCTAGCGGATGAAAGAAAATACAGTGTCCAGTCACCATCATGTCCCCTTACCTAACATTGGTCTACCGTCTTCATTATTGGCAGCTCTCAGCCTCTCACTCAACTATACAATCCGTATATGGGACTGGATTCATACAATCCTCTTCTGCTTTCTTTCCTTCACAGAGAAGTATCTTATCCCATTTTTCTTACACACTCCGTTTCCTTCCTTCCTTTGCCTTTGGGCCTCTTTTCCTCACAAAGTTCTCTGCCAAACATGGCATTCGCTGTTGCCGAGGCAATCCTCAAGAAGTTGGCTCCCCTTGCTGCTGAGCAAGCAGGTCTCCTCTGGAGCTTGAAGCGCGATTTTCTGAAACTGAAGAGCACGGTTTCCTCCATACGTGCGGTGCTGTTGGATGCCGAGGAGCAATCGGGTCTGAACCATCAGGTACGAGACTGGCTCGATAAACTGAAACAGGTGCTTTATGATGCTGATGACTTGCTGGATGATTTCTCCACGGAGGCTCTGTTGAAGCTGCGGAGGAATGATGGGAATCGCTGTCTGAACGAGGTATGCCTCTTCTTTACGCGTTCCAACCAATTGGTTAGTGGTCTTGTGATGGCATATCGGTTGAAGGCCATCAGGATCAAGCTGGATGAGATTGATGAGAATCGGAGGAAGTTTAATCTTGAAACGCGCCTCCAAGATCCGGTTGCTGCTGCGATCAACCACGAGAGGCAGACTGACTCTTTTGTTCCACATGGATTTGTTGGGAGAGAGGAAGATAAGAAGAAAATAATTGCTATGTTGTTGTCATCGACCAATGATGAGCAGAAAATCGAGGTTATTCCGATTCTTGGAATGGGTGGTCTCGGGAAAACTGCTTTGGCTCAATGTATCTACAATGATAATAGTGTGTCTACTTGTTTTCAGCTGAAAATTTGGATATGTGTTTCGGATAATTTCGATCAAGTACTACTGGTCAGGAAGATGTTGGAGTCTATAACCCGACGTAAAGTAGAAGATTTTGACGTGGACATCTTGAAAGGGGAACTTAAGAAGGAGATGGATAATAAGAGGTTCTTGTTAGTGCTGGATGATGTTTGGAATCATGGTGACTACAAGGGCAATTGGGATAGCTTGATGAGTTTTTTGTTGCAGGTCGGGGCAGTTGGTAGCAAAGTTATCGTCACTACTCGTCTTGGAGATATCGCGAATCACTTCGCAACGAAGGGGATTAAACCACACAACCTAAAAGGTTTATCTGAGGAAGAATCGTGGTTTTTGTTTGAACAAATAGCATTCGAGGGTGAAGTGGAAGGTGGTGAAAGATTTGCAGACATAGGAAAAGAGGTCATGAGAAAATGTGTCCGAGTTCCTTTGGCCATAAGGGTGATTGCAAGTGCCCTATCGTCTAAGAGCAACATTGTTGATTGGGAGGCTATAAGAGATAAACAAGCAATGTTTGATGGGGATGACGAGAGAAAGATTTTGGGTACTCTTAGATTGAGTTATGACAACTTGCCTTCTGAATTGAAACCGTGCTTTGTTTATTGCAGTTTGTTTCCGAAAGATTCTGAGATTGATGTGAAATTGTTGGTGCAACTTTGGATGGGGCAAGGATTTATCAACTCTAGTCAGTCGTCATCGGTTTTATTTGAAGTCGGGATTGAATATTTTAAGAGTTTGTTGTCTAGGTTCTTTTTCCAAGAGCCAGAAAGTGATGCATGGGGGAATGTACGCTGGTGTAAGATGCATGATTTGATGCATGATGTAGCACTGGGGATTGCAAGTGAGGAGATCGTAGCTTTAAAAGCTTTAGATTCGATGGAAGGTCGTGTCAATTCTGATAGGCTTCGACACATATCATTTGATTTTGAAAGAAAACCGACAGAGACATGGAAAGCTCCAGATGCGTTGGCTAGTGCAACAGTACTGCGAACTTTTCTTCCTATAAATACACCCTATTATGGCATTGGTGGCATCGAGCAGAACTGTGAGAAGATCTTCTCAAATAATACTAGGCTGAGAGTTTTAAGTCTCCACGATGCTAAACTGGAGAGTGTGCCCCGCTCCATCCATAAGTGACACATCTCAGGTACCTAAATCTTTCTCGCAATCCTATGGAGGTGCTCTCTAGCGAGATTACGGTACTAGTAAATTTACAAGTGCTCATACTAGATTTTTGTGATAATCTCGAGCAATTGCCAAGAGATATTGGGAAATTGATTGATCTCGAGTATCTTAGCCTCGATGGGTGTTTGAGTTTGAAAGGCTTGCCACTTGGTATCGGGCGACTCACTTGCTTAAGACAATTGTCCATATTCACTGTGTCAGCTGCATCATACTATTCACATGGGGCAGTCCCTGCTAGAATCAGCGAGCTGGAGCATCTCGACAATCTAAGTGGGAAATTGAAGATCATAAATCTGGAATTGGTGAAAGATGAGGCTGAAGTGAAGGCAGCAAGTTTGTTTCGGAAGCAACATCTTCAAGCCTTGACACTGAAGTGGAGCTTACCGAGACGAATTTTTGCTGGCAGGGATGTTGGGGTACTAAAGGCGTTGGAGCCACATAAGAATTTGAAGGAGCTAGAGTTGGTTGGTTATGGCGGTCGCAGTCTACCTAGCTGGTTCTCGACTTCTCTCCAGAATCTGGTTCACTTGGAATTGTGTAATTTAGGTCGCTTAAAGTACATCGAGGATGACGCTGGGCAGTTTCTTCCCCGCTTGAAATATCTCTGCATTCGCAACTGCCCCAGGCTAGTAAGCTGGAGGTCAACCACAGAGATAGAAATGTCGCAGTTCCCTTCTCTTTCACATCTCGAGATTGAGAAGTGCCCGAAACTGGTACGGCTTCATCATTTTTCGGCGGATATTGAAAGGGTTGAGTTAAGATATGTTGACCGCAAACTGTTGGACCAGTTTGTTGCCTCACTTCAACCACCCAGCTCCCCTTCGCGGCTCAAAGAACTGACAATCGAGGGGATAAGAGGCCTTCGAATTTTGCCGCAAGGTTTACTCCCACATCTTGCATCCCTTGAAGTTTTGGTGATAGAGGATTGCTGGAACCTAACGAATCTGTCTCCACCGGCTACTAGTCAACAACAACATCTCACTTCCCTCCAGTTCTCTGTCCTACCAAACCTCCGTCGCTTTGATATCTGGGGACTTCCAGGGATGAAGCGTCTACCAGAGTGGCTTCAGCATTCCTCTAACTTGCAGAAGCTGTGGATAGATAGGTGTGACGGTCTCAAGTGCTTGCCAAAATGGCTCCCCAAGCTCACAGCGCTAGATACTCTGAGAGTAGATGGCTGTCATTTTCTAGCAGACAGATTGAAGAGTAGAATGGCCGAGGACTGGCACAAAGTTGCTCACATTCGGAATATTGAAATTAATGGCACCACAGTTCAAGAGGATGGTAACTACGTGAGAGTAGAAGAACCAGCAAACGAAAACCAACTTCAAGAACAAGAAGCAAGTGAAGAAGAAGAAGAAGAAGAAGAAGAAGAAGAAGAACTATTCATTGAAGAAGAAGAAGAAGAAGAAAAAGATCATGCTAGTGAGGGCGAGGAAGAAGAAGACGATGATCATGAGGGCGAGCTCAAGGAAGAAGCAGGAGCAGAAGGACTACCCCTGGGCATTCCATCTCCAAGGTACATTCTTCTTAACTACATCAATGAACATATTCTTTTGAACTAATATAAAAGCTGTCTTCAACAACATTCCTTTATTTTTGTCACTGCAGGATGTGGTCAGATTGCATTGCGAGACTCACTTGTAACCTATTCCAGAGATGCTTTCTGGGTTAGTTACCAAACGTTCTCTCCCGGGTATTTTGATACATACACACGAGACTTATCGCAACCTGCATGCATATCCGACAAACTAGTGATCGCTATCGCCGTCTGCAGAGTTATTTGTGAGACCTCTGTGGCGTACAAGCTTGTTCTCTTGGACCAAATTAGACAATTTCACTCCATGTTTCTTGGCAATAGTTGCATCTTGCTTGTTTTCTACCGGCTTGAACTTCCACCATGTGGGGACTAGTTCTGTTCTTATCTCTTTCTTTGTAACATTTGTTGTATTTTGGAGTTGTGTTCCTTTTGCGCCTGGACAAGAATTTTTCAGTGAAGAAGAGGAAGAACTGCCCTTGGGCATTCCGTCTCCAAGGTACACTCTTCTTAAAGATATCGATGAAAATATTCTTTGAACCAAAATAAAAGCGGTCTCCAACATTGTTTTATTTTTGTCACAGGATGTGGTCATATTGCATTGTGAGGCTCACTTACCTATTCCAGAGATGCTTTCTCGGCTAGCTACCAAACGTTTTCTCTTCTATGAGGGGGTATTTTGATGCATACACACGAGACTTATTGCAGCTTCTATGAATATCCGGCGAAGTAGTGATCACTATCGCAGTCTGCACATTCATTTCTGAGACCTCTATCGCGTACAAGCTTGTTCTCTTGGATCAGATTAGACAATTTCATTCTATGTTTGTTGGCAATAGTTGCATCTTGCTTTGCTTGTTTTCAACCAACTTGAACTTCCATCCTGTCGTACTAGTCTTGTTTTTCTGTATTTCTTTCTCGTAAACTTTGTTATATTTTGGAGTTGGGGCCTGCTAGTTAGAGATTTTGTCATAATGCAGCTGTCACTCGCTTGAAGTAACAGATTCATTTGCAGCAGCAAACTCCTCAACACTGTCTTCTGTTGTTGTGTTCTTACAAGCCCAATCTGGCATAGTTGGTAATGGCAAAACTTCAGCATAATCAGTGGGAGATTCGGAATAAGTTATCTGCTATGAAGAAGACATTTCTACATTATAACAAGAAGTGGGTAAAAACAGTGAGATACTCCACCCTGCAACTTAATTGTTCCATTTTTTCCCCCAAATGAATCATCCTTCCTTTTGTTGCCTCTGGTACAAGCAACCTCATTGTTGTCAGGAAACATCGACTTGCTGTGTTCGCTGGACGTATTGATCACACTATTCCTAACAAGGAACAACATCAATAGTGTCACCACCACCTCTTAAACAAACCTTCTCTCGACTTACTACCAGCAATCTCCAATCTTCCTCGACTAATTCCAGACAGACCGAGGTAAATGGACGAGACACAATGAAAAGGAAAAATACACAGTTTCTCTTCTTTTCTTTCGAATCTGAAGGGAGAGACTGCGATGAACAACATTGAATGAGTTCAGACTAGATTGAAGGTTCTTAACGAAAATCGGATTCCTGACAAAATGCATACATACATCTATATTTTGGTGTTACTATAAACAATAGAATTTCCCACAGCCTAAAACTGTTTTCCTTCTTCTCTTTTCCTTCCCTTCTTGGCTTTCTTCCTCTGCTATCTGAAACTCTTCAACAGGTGGGAAGAAGTGGAAGGACTCGACAAGCTGCTCGTTGCACCTGTAGTAGAAGAATACTTCCAATTCTCCTTTCCTTTCTCAGGAGTCCCGCATTCACTGAAGTCCAGAACTCGGCCTTCCTTCTGCTACAAGAAAAGGGAGAAAAAGAAGATTCCAAAGTGATTAAGTAGCTATACATATTGCATATACATAATAAATCCATTGGTAATAAAACCATCAACACATACAGAAATATTGGCCAAATGGGAGCCACTAATGTCACGATCTCCATCGTTGTTTTCTTGGTCCGAGACGGTGTTCTTCTGGCACCGCCTTCCTTTGGATATGGTTTCAGGGGTTTCATCCCCAAGAACTTCCAACGCATCAGCACAGGCAGCAGCAGTGTGCTCGCTGAACTGTTTCAAAATTGTAATGGCATCATAGCTTCTGTCCCCAGGGCTCAGAAGATATCCCATATCCTGAAAAGATGAAGTGATTGATATGATTCTCCAAAAAGAATGCTGAAAATTTTGGAGAACAACATGTAAGAACTAGAAGTGGTAGTAGTACCTCAACTGAAATTTCTGTGTCGACCCTTGGACCGGGGAGGAAGGAGTTCATGAACCATGGAGATTTCCATGCCGAGGGAGATTCAATGCTTCTCCTGAAAGGAGTTCCACCAAAGCTGTAAAACAGAAGAAAAAGGACATGCGCAATTTGCAAGTGGACGCATTGATGTTAGATTTGAAAATTGAAATTCTAGCCGTTTTCTGCAGAGAGCAAATTGACAACCAAGGGGCACAACACAACATACAAGAATGCACAACCGAAGTACTCACAGGTCATTCCCAGTGGCGGTAGTAGTACTAGAGGTAGCAACTGTATTTTCTGCAGGTGCTGATAATGAGGGCACGGGTTTCGTTGCAGTAACAGCAACCGACGATTGACCTTCATTCCTCTTGTTCACAGTAGGTGATGACGATCCAGCAGTCACAACCTTCTCTGATAAAGTAGCCAAGATTCTTCGATGCAAATTCCTTGGAGTTCGAGCATCCGGTGAAAATAGTAAGAGATCACTCAAGCTTTCTTCGCCAATAAGTAATTCAGAATGCTGTTGCAATCAGTGTAAAGGAGACAAAGCTATAGGTCAAAGTAATCATACATGGGAAGCAACAGAACCGAGTAAACAGAATAACAGAAAACTGAACTCACAGTTCGGGGATTACTAAAACTGGGATTATTATCTTTCGCCTTAGTATCACCATCCTCTGAGATAGTAGAACAATCTCTTCCCTTCTCTTCTCCTTTATCCGATTGAAGAGCCGGGTCCACATTTTCCTTATCTTCAATACAAGATATTTGGTTAACTTTGGATAATGGAGACATCAAATACGGTCTGTTGCCAGACTTGATATCCTCGTACACTACATCCAGGCGTTGAAACTCTCTAGTCAAACTGGAAGTCATGTCAATCACAAGCTTTTTTCGTCTCTTCTTTCTGACAAAGGCGACAGTAAATCCCGGGTCCTCTTCTTCAAAATGGAAGGTGTGCCCATGAAAGTCTTGGCAGCACTCTTGAGAACTGCATAGGGACTGGTGGTACTAGTACTTCTCGTTGGAGAATCCCACAGCCGAAATGGACTGATGCAGTTTGCTGAAGATAACATGAATTGGCGGATACCAAGTGGACTGTACTCTTGCTGAAGATCACTATCAGGTTGCACGAGATCACAACTTAGGAATGGAAGATCCAAGCTTGGGAACCGTGGAGGCTCGTAGCATAAAGATCCTGTATCATCGCCTTGTTGCTGATCTAGTCCACCATCATTCATCTTCTGCAAATCTGAAGCTTCTTCCAAATATGATTCTGCTTGCATCATATTCCCACCACCACCATCACAGGAGTGCATAACACTTGCTATGAGATCTTCATCATTAGGTGGAATAAGCACCTTATCAGGTCTCTAGTTGATTGATGATCCACGTAAGTCAACCATATTCGACGAGTCTTCTCTATGATGATTTTGAGGAGCGATGTCTCCACTGGTTGTTGCCTCTGGGAACAAGATCTTGCAGCATTCGTCGTCTGGTAAGAGAATTTGTTGTCCAGGTGTGGATGAAGATGTTGCCATATCTTCCAAAGGAATAGGAGCAGTGAATCCCATTTCCTGAGTTTCATGAGCACCGATACTACTATGATTTGGCATGCCTGAAAAGCCACCTTGTCCAAATTCCAGTGGATGATGCAAGTTGGAAAGCTCCTCCAAGTTGAATTGGTAATCACTACTTGCTGGATTATCAACTGCAGCCATATGAGCGTAATTCTGATGGAGAAAGCCGGTGGAGGATCCATCTGCTTCACAGGATACTTCAGGAATGGAAAACTGGACATTTCCAAGAGACGTGTAATACTCCTCGGAACAATGGACAGCAGTATAGGGGTATCTTTCATTTACCATGCCAGATTCTTGTGCTAACTGGAATTCTTCTCCTGTACGGATAATAGAATTATCCCCCAAACCGTTAGCTGACTGAGAACAGGCCATGATTGTTGACTCCTGACTGCACTCTGATATTTCCTCTGCTTCTGTGACACACTTTCGACTGCTGTCGTTATCATCCCCACTATTTTGCAACCTGGAAGAAGATGAAGTTGTGGGTTGATTTTGATGCATGACTAGTGGATGGCCTTGAAACTGTTCTAGTAGACCAGATGCCAAGTAAGAATCCAACTTCTTCACAGAACTATTCCAATGGTTCTTTATAGCATTATCCGTCCTGTAAACCCCCAGAATCAAATGAATCAATTATAACTCAACTGGCAACAAAAACTCCTCCAATCAAGCCAACTAAATAAGTTAACAAGAACTGTGTGCAAAGGTAAAAGAAGAACTGATATTTTAAAATATAGGACATAATAAACCTTCCAGGCAAGAATTTAGAGAGCTCTACCCATCTGTTGCCATAAATTTGATGAGCACGAACCAATGCCAACTCCTCATCCTGAGTCCAAGCCTGTCTGTTAATTGATGGGTTAAGATGATTATGCCACCTAAATATAAAAAAAGCGAGTCAGGGCCAAATGTTGGGTGGAAGTACTGGCATTGAGTGGAAGTTTGAACAAACACAATAAAGCATCAAGTTAAATTTGAAAATCAAAAGATGAACAAAAAATATTTTAAACTCATGAATCGGTAAATTTTGGAGTAAGTTCATAACCATTTCATGTTTACCTTTCTCTACATTGCTTGCCGATACGCCCTGGTAAATGTTGGGCAATTGTAGACCTCTTTTTAGGTCCGTATTTATTGACCAGTTCAACAATGGTTTCATCTTCCTATTTGGAGAAAATGCAAGATAAATGAGAAATATACTTGCTGTACACATTCAAGCAAAAAGAGGGATAAATCATAAAAGGATAGAAAAAAGAGCAACATTGACCAATCCAAGAAAGAACTATAAAGATACCTCCTTTGACCAAGGTCCTTTCACAAGTTCAGGATTTAAGACTTTCTGCCACCTGTGCAGGCATTGTACATCAGTTCGGTCCTTGAAGCACTCCGCTGCAGATGGCCGTGACAGAATTAGAGAAACAGAATGGTTTCTAATTTTGTCTTTGAGGAAGCTAAGAATATACCAAAAACATAAATGAACTGCAGTCACCCAGAAGGGTTTCTGTAAACTAAGAAAGGTCATTACGTAGCAAAGATCCTAGCTGAACTTCAATGCCACAAAAACAATGAAGTAGAACTGACTCAATTGTTAACAGAGCTCAAGATTCAGGTCATGCCAGCAAGATACTAGATATTGCATTGCTGACTAGGAGGTTGTTGTAAATTTCACGCCGTGCTGAGCAAAAAAAATATGTAGCTACTGCAGCCTTTTGTATAAGGCTACTCAAAATAAAAAAGAGAGAAATTTCACGCCATTAAAATCCCTGGAAAGATCATCTCCAATGCCGATGTCGACTTCTACATTGATGATGTATGATACAAGCCCCTGACTCCCTTTGATTCCATGCAGTCATCTATTGTGACTTGTTTAATTAACATCTCCATATTTTTTTGGCTGTTGCAGGACATGATACGTGTTGTGGACTCCAAATCAGTGAAGCGATATGGGGATTTCTTCTTGAGGCAAATTGTAAAGGTATGCTATTTCGTATTTCATATGTCCGGTGGTTTTTGGAAAAAAATCCAAAATACACATGTTTTAAAAAAAAATTCCAAAATACACACGATATAAAAATTTTTCCCAAAATACACATGTTTGGGCATCACCGTTGTTGTCAACCGCAGTGAATGCATTCACCGCGGCAGACCAAAGCGATGAATGCAGCGACCTGAGAATCTAATATAAAGAATTAATAAGCAATGCAATATAGGCTTCCAATCGGTAAGCCACAAAGCAAAGGTTACCAATTTGTGGGATCTTAGCTTGGACTCTTCAAGATGCTCCATCTTCATCAGGCAGGAAATGTCATTTGGGTTGGTGAGCAAATCAGCACTAAACTTGCAAGCTGGATTCGAGGATATGGCAAAGACTAAGGCAAAACACCCACCACCAGCAAGTAGAAGTGAAGAAAGTAACACAAGCTTGGTACTTTTCTCTCAGCCTGGACAATATATTTAGTTCATTGAGGATAGAGTTTGAACTTACCCTGTTAGTTGTTCAGAAACGAATTCACCCTTTAGAAGGTCTGAACCTACAATCCCATCATTTGTATATGAAGTTGAGCATTTCACTGAGTCCTCTCCCGCAATCACACGACCTACTGCATAAATAACAGGAAACTTGCTTACATCCCATCCAAGTGTAAGAGTTTCAAGCCTCAAACACCATGATGCAGGCCAAACAAAAGCAAATAGGAGATCATGAGCTACCAAGGAAAAAGCTTCCAAGTAATAACTTGGTTTCTAGAAAAGAGATCAAACATACCCCATTCTTCCACCATAATTCTGACATACCTGTCCTTGAGTTGTGCAAACCAACCGTTCCTCAGTTCAATCTCAATTTCAAAGCCTCTGATTTTTGCACAAAGGAACACCAACGCAAGAACATTGGATCTGTCAAGGTACAAAACAATCCTTGGAGATGGGAGTAACGAAGATGAGCAAGAGAATGGAGAACCTTAAAGAGGAACCACGTACGGAAACAAATAGAGGAAGTACAAAGCATACCTGTTCGTGGGATTCTGAGCTCCTCCTGCTTCATATTGGCCCAGCTTAGGTAAGTGAAGAGCTCGTTATTGCCGCTGTCATCCTTATCCTTCAGGCCACCACATACAGGAACCGGCCATCACTATAGCGGACATCAAGGTTTGGGAATGACCAGTGAATGAGGGATTCAACAGGTTTGAGATAGAAAACCGATCTCGACGGTTAGGGGTTCCATTTCCCCTTCTCCGGCGTCAGACTCCTGCTGGTGGTTTATTCCCTTCACCGTAGCTTTCACTTCCCCTTGTGCCGCCAAGAGAAGAGAGACCGAGAATGAAATTGAAGGTGCAGATGAAAAAAAGAAAGATGAGGGAGAGAAGATGAGTCTTCCCTCAAAGAGTAAGGGCGACTGCGGAAAAATCATGGGAGCTGGCGTGTTTGTAGAGACGAAGGAAGTGGTGACGCGGCAATTGCGGATTTTGGGATGAGTCGTGAGAGGACTGAGAACACGAAGGATGGCCGCAGTGGTGGCGTGTGGGAGCAGCCGCAAGGAACCGTCAACTCGGCGAGGCAGTCCAGAGTGATGAGATAACAGGAGACGATGTACGGCTGCAAATTTCTGGGAGTGGAGATGAAGGGAAGCATGGTCTGGAAGCAGGAAGGTCGTCTCGGTCGAGGGCGGCAAAATTGGCGAGGCGGGGAAGTTCTTCAGCCCTAAGAAGAAGACAAAATAATCTACCGTAAACAACATTTTTTGGGTTGTGTTTATATGAGGTGTCATGTTTTTCTGACGTGGCAGGTCAATTTTTGGTTTTTCTTGGGTTAAAATTGGGTGACTAGACATCTCTGTTAGCCACGTCAGCAGTTAACTATCGGCACTAACGGAGTCTGACGGAGGTTAACGGAGAGTGACCGAAGTTGGACTGTTCAACTAATTTAAGTGACTACGAATGGAATAAACGAATTCGAGTGACCAAAAGTGAAATTTTGTAGCAATTCGAGTGACCAAACTTGCAATTTAGCCTTAAAGAAGGGCATTGCTATTCGTCGCCCTAAAATTCCTTATTCGTCGCCCTAATTAAGATAAATTTACTCTAATGCCCTTATTTCATTTATTTTAAACGAAGCAAAAAATAATTCAATAACTTTTTAGCTATTTGCAACAAAGGAATCATATTGAACAGTTTTGTAAACACTATGAAACACAATACTCAGGCTTGCAGGCTTTGCAGAGGGCACCGAGGGAGTTGGGGAGGAATGTGAAGGTTGGTTTCCATGAGAAGGAGGGATAATGTGAAGCACAGTGAGCAAATCTGCTTTGTTCACAACATGGGTTAGGGCCCATATCATGGCTTGCTTCGAATTGATCCGCCACCACCATTACTCTTTAATTTCCTCATCACCAACCCACTGCTTCCTCCGTCAACCGTCATCGGATTAGTGACTCTGCAGGCGGCCGGTCAACTCGTCTTCCATTTGGGTTGTAGCAGAAGCAGGGGAGGTATAGAAATAGAGCAACATGGAAGTTACGGATTCGGGTGGGGGATGGGTGGGTGTATCTGGTTGGGATGGATGGAGGGGCGATTGGCGACAGTTTTTCTCGACCCATATGAGATGTGAGAATTGAGTTGTGATGGCGGCAGTTCTTCTCTGCCCAGAGAGGTCATCGGGTTTGGAGGGTTAGAATTGAATTAGGGGTGAATGTGTCATTTCAGTAAAGTTTAGGGTGATAAAATTTAAATTTTAGGGCGACGAATAGCAATTCAGTTAAAGAATGATATTGATAAATTTACAAAGACAAAACTCATGTTATTGATTCTGATGGAAAGATTGTCTCCAATTCCGATGTCAGACTTCTACATTGATGATCAATGTATGACACAGGCCCCTGGTCCCTTTGATTCAATATTGTGCTTCTGGAGATTGTTAAAGCATATACTGTCAAGTTCACACTTTTCTTTTATCTAACATCTCTGTATCTTTTTGGTCTATGAATTATATGTTCTCCCGTGGTGATTATGTGTGCTGATTTCCCTTGCTGCAGCTTGAAGGAGTGATCAACGACATGGATCGAATAAAGGTGGAGTCAGCCAATTAACAGTTGCAGTTCTTTCATCCGACCAGAGCATGTAGTGGCAGAGATTTTATTCTATTCATTCGCATTCTGGGTACCTATGTTTACCTAGTGAAAAAGCTGCAACTCCATGGAAGAGAAGAAACATGCTGTCAATACTTTGGAATGGATGGTTCCTCTGTTTAGTTTTCTAGCAGCAAGGTTTTCTTCCTCTGGTTTTTTGTGATTTGTATTTTTTTTTTTTTATGTTTCTTCTTTGTTTGCAAATGAGAGTTTGATCTAACATTATTATAATTTACTAGTTTTTTGGCCCGCGCTTTGCGGCGGCTAGAAATTAATTATATTTCAGACTTCATCTACTTAATTTCTATTTGTCAGAACATTATGTTAATAAGATCTCATAAGTTGTATGTCGGGTCTTAATTATCATTATGATTACTTCAACCAATTTTATTAGTGTCTTAATTGTTAGAGAAGACTTATTTACTCTATACATAAGAAATAACTATTCCTCGATAAATTTTATGTAATGCTTTTGTAATTTATGTAACTATTATACATCGTTGTTACTTAAATCTTCCGTAATATGTGGTCTAATAGTAAAATCAAGTTACGAAAAGTATTACACTTGATTAACATCAAAATTAACCTGTATCTGTATGTGTCCTCTTTTGACCTTTCCAAAATAATATTTTCATCTCAAAGATAGTTTAAAATTAACATTTCTACTATTCAGAGTCAATTATTTCTTATATTATATTTCTTATTAATTTATGAAGTATTTTATCTATGCCTTCTTTTTAAAGAGTTAGTATCGACATTATTTTTTCAAATAACATATAAGAATGGGGTCGATCTGTCCCGTCCCACATATACATGCGCAGATATTATTCGACCTAACCTGCGCTTAATGCGTGATGACCGATGAGTGTGTATATTGAGATACCCGCATCGTGCCATTACCATGACTAATTACTGAGAATGCAACGCCACATTATTAGAGTGAATTTTATAACCATCCAAAATTTTAAAATGACTGCCAAGAAAGGAACTGGGCAAACGTAATCATATAATGGATCTAATAAAGTTGCCAAGAAAGAAAATGGGCAAGGGTAATTATTAATTGATCCAACGCATAATAATAATTCCCCCGGTAAACAGTAACCACGGAGGCATGCGGGCGGAAATTTCGTGAGGAACAGTGCCTCATACTTGCGTTGTTAATTAATTAATTTTCAATTTGTAATTCATGTTTGATTTGAAAAGTGTGGTAAACAAATCCTACCCTAATTTTTTTTTCTTCTTAATATCGGGGAACCACTTATCTGTAGTTGTCATTAAGATGATGTATGTTAAACCATCGACCCAGGTCGACAATCATCAATTGGTTCTTTGTTACTTGGCCGGATCATGGACCGGATCAATCACAGCTGGGCTAAGCCTCCATTTGCATAGAGGTAGCAACGTAGCGAGTTTGGCGGATAGTGCATATCCATTATCCTGTACAACGAACATGTTAACATTCAAATGTAACAGTTTTCGCGGTTTGAATTTGTTTTTCAAAAAGGCACTTTGCGGGCTGGATGATTACGGGAAGCTCAGATCAGTGCAGAAGAGGACATGGCAGAGATCTCCAACGAGGATTCCCAATTGCGAGAACATGCAAGCCCGGATTCGATGCATAGCTTTTCCAGGTCAATGGCTAGGCATTGTTCATGAAAATAGCATGTGGAATGGCTCAGGTGAGTATCATGCTCATGCCTGCATTCATTCGATTATATTATTCGACTTTGTATTGAGATTCGTTGATATGCCATAAATATGCCTTGACATTAGTGCAGCGTTCAGTACTGGCCAACTGGCATCTCGATTTTCTGCTACCATGTGCACATTCTCAGTCAACATTTAGATATCCCCACCGCCACCGGGATCTTGATCAAGCCGATTATGTAGAGTAAGTGGGTTTTGGATCATAATCCTCTCTTGTGCTTTCTGAAAACCATCTGATCCCATTTTCTTGCATCCTCTTCCTTCCCATTTTGCCTTTGGACTCCTTTTTCTTCAAAAGTTCTCTGCCAAAGATGGCATTTGCTGCTGCGGAAGCGATCCTCAAGAAGTTGGCTCCCCTTGCTGCTGAGCAAGCAGGTCTCCTCTGGAGCTTGAAGAGCGATTTCCTGAAACTGAAGAGCACGGTTTCCTCCATACGTGCTGTGCTATTGGATGCCGAGAAGCAATCGGGCGAGAACAATCAGGTTCAAGACTGGCTCGATAAACTGAAACAGGTGCTTTATGATGCTGATGACTTGCTGGATGATTTCTCCACGGAGGCCCTGTTGAAGCTGCGGAGGAATGATGGGAATCGCTGTCTGAACGAGGTATGCCTCTTCTTTACGCGTTCCAACCAATTGGTTAGTGGTCTTGTGATGGCACATCGGTTGAAGGCCATCAGGATCAAGCTGGATGAGATTGATGAGAATCGGAGGAAGTTTAATCTTGAAACGCGCTTCCAAGATCCGGCTGCTGCTGCGATCAAGCGCGAGAGGCAGACCGACTCTTTTGTTCCCTATGGATTTGTTGGGAGAGAGGAAGATAGCAAGAAAATAATTGCTATGTTGTTGTCATCGACCAATGATGAGCAGAAAATCGAGGTTATTCCAATTCTTGGAATGGGTGGTCTCGGAAAAACTGCTTTGGCTCAGTGTATCTACAATGATGAGACTTTGTCTACTTATTTTCAGTTGAAAATTTGGATATGTGTTTCGGATAATTTCGATCAAGTACTATTGGTCAGGAAGATGTTGGAGTCTATAACCCGACGTAAAGTAGAAGATCTTGACTTGGACATCTTGAAAGGGGAACTTAAGAAGGAGATGGATAATAAGAGGTTCTTGTTAGTGCTGGATGATGTTTGGAATCATGGTGGCTACAAGGGCAATTGGGATAGCTTGATGAGTTTTTTGTTGCAGGTCGGGGCAGTTGGTAGCAAAGTTATCGTCACTACTCGTCTTGAAGATATCGCGAATCACTTTGCAACGAAGGGGATTAAACCACACAACCTAAAAGGTTTATCTGAGAAAGAATCGTGGTTTTTGTTTGAACAAATAGCATTCGAGGGTGAAGTGGAAGGTGGTGAAAGATTTGTAGACATAGGAAAAGAGGTCATGAGAAAATGTGTGGGAGTTCCTTTGGCCATAAGGGTGATTGCAAGTGCCCTATCGTCTAAGAGCAACATTGTTGATTGGGAGGCTATAAGAGATAAACAAGCAATGTTTGATGGGGATGACGAGAGAAAGATTTTGGGTACTCTTAGATTGAGTTATGACAACTTGCCTTCTGAATTGAAACCGTGCTTTGTCTATTGCAGTTTGTTTCCGAAAGATTCTGAGATTGATGTGAAATTGTTGGTGCAACTTTGGATGGGGCAAGGATTTATCAACTCTAGTCAGTCGTCATCGGTTTTATTTGAAGTCGGGATTGAATATTTCAAGAGTTTGCTGTCTAGGTTCTTTTTCCAAGAGCCAGAAAGTGATCAATGGGGGGATGTATATCAGTGTAAGATGCATGATTTGATGCATGATGTAGCCCTGGGGATTGCAAGTGAGGAGATCGTAGCTTTAAAAGCTTTAGATTCGATGGAAGGTTGTGTCAATTCTGATAGGCTTCGACACATATCATTTGATTTTGAAAAAAAACGGACAGAGACATGGAAAGCTCCAGATGCGTTGGCTAGTGCAACAGTACTACGAACTTATCTTCCTATAAATATGCCTTTTGTTGGTATGGGTTGCAGCGAAGAGCTTAATTGTGAGATGATCTTCTCAAATAATACTAGGCTGAGAGTTTTAAGTCTCCACCGTGCTAAACTGGAGCGTGTGCCCTGCTCCATCCATAACTTGACACATCTCAGGTACCTAAATCTTTCTCACAATCCTATGGAGGTGCTCCCCGACGAGATTACGGTACTAGTAAATTTACAAGTGCTCATACTTGATTCTTGTGAGAATCTCAAGCAATTGCCTAGAGATATTGGGAAATTGACTGATCTCATGTTTCTTAGCCTCGTTTGGTGTTCGAGTTTGAAAGGGTTCCCACTTGGGATCGGGCGGCTCACTCGTCTGAGAGAATTGTCCATATTCAGTGTGCCAGCTGCATCATACTATTCACATGGTGCAGTTGCTGCTAGAATCAGCGAGCTGGAGCATCTCGACAATCTAAGTGGGAAATTGAAGATCATAAATCTGGAATTGGTGAAAGATGATGCTGAAGCGAAGGCAGCAAGTTTGTTTCGGAAGCAACATCTTCAAGCCTTGACATTGGAGTGGAGCTTACCGAGACGAGTTTTTGCTGGCAGGGATGTTGGGGTACTAAAGGCGTTGGAGCCACATAATAATTTGAAGCAACTAGAGTTGGATGGTTATTGCGGTCGCAGTCTACCTAGCTGGTTCTCTACTACTCTCCAGAATCTGATTCAATTGACATTGTCTAGTTTAGGTCGCTTAAAGTACATAGAGGATGACGCTGGACAGTTTCTTCCATGCTTGAAATCTCTCCGCATTCGCAACTGCCCCAGGCTAATAAGCTGGAGGTCAACCACAGAGATAGAAATGCCGCAGTTCCCTTCTCTTTCACATCTCCGCATTGAAAATTGCCCGAAACTGGTACGGCTTCATCATTTTTCGGCGGATATTGAAAGGGTTGATTTAAGATATGTTGACCGCAAACTGTTGGACCAGTTTGTTGCCTCACTTCCACCACCCAGCTCCCCTTCGCGGCTCCAAGAACTGACAATCTCAAATATAAGAGGCCTTCGAATTTTTCCGCAAGGTTTACTCTCACATCTTGCATCCCTTGAAGTTTTGCGGATAGGGGATTGCTGGAATCTAACGAATCTGTCTCCACCAGCTACTAGTCAACAACAACATCTCACTTCCCTCCAGTTCTTTGTCCTACCAAACCTCCGTCGCTTTGATATCTGGGGACTTCCAGGGATGAAGAGTCTACCAGAGTGGCTTCAGCATTCCTCTAACTTGCAGATGTTGTGGATAGATAGGTGTGGCGGTCTCAAATGCTTGCCAAAATGGCTTCCCAAGCTCACAACACTAGATACTCTGAGAGTAGAAGACTGTCGTTTTCTAACAGCCAGCTTGAAGAGTAGAACGGCCGAGGACTGGCCCAAAGTTGCTCACATTCGGAAGATTGATATTAATTACACCACCGTTCAAGCGGATGGTAACTACGTGAGAGTAGAAGAACCTGCAGACGAAAACCAACTTCAAGAACAAGAAGCAAGTGAAGAAGAAGAAGAAGAAGAAGAAGAAGAAGAAGAAGAAGAAGAAGAAGAAGAAGCTAGCGAGGATGAGGAAGAAGAAGACGATGATCATGAGGGCGAGCTCGAGGAAGAAGCAGAAGCAGAAGGACTACCCCTGGGCATTCCGTCTCCAAGGTACCTTATTCTTAACTACTTTAAGGAACATATTCTTTTGAACTAATATAAAAGCGGTCTCCTACAACGTTCCTTTATTTTTGTCACTGCAGGATGTGGTCATATTGCATTGCGAGATTGACTTGTAACCTGTTCCAAAGATGCTTGCTGGGCTAGTTACCAAACGTTCTCTCCCGGGTATTTTGATGCATACACACGAGACTTATCGCAACCTGCATGCATATCCGACAAACTAGTGATCACATCGCCGTCTGCAGAGTTATTTGTGAGACCTCTGTGGCGTACAAGCTTGTTCTCTTGGACCAAATTAGACAATTTAATTCCATGTCTCTTGACAATAGTTGCATCTTGCTTGTTTTCTACCAGCTTGAACTTCCACCATGTGGGGACTAGTTCTGTTCTTATCTCTTTCTTTGTAACATTTGTTGTATTTTGGAGTTGTGTTCCTTTTGCGCCTGGACAAGAATTTTTCAGTGAAGAAGAGGAGGAAGAACTGCCCTTGGGCATTCCGTCTCCAAGGTACACTCTTCTTAACGATATCGATGAACATATTCTTTGAAACAAAAATAAAAAGCGGTCTCCAACATTCTTTTATTTTTATCACTGCAGGATGTGGTCAATGTATACACACCAGACTTATTGCAGCTTCCATGAATATCCGGCGAAGTAGTGATCACTATCGAAGTCTGCACGTTCATTTCGTTCTATGTTTCTTGGCAATAGTTGCATCTTGCTTGTTTTCAATCAGCTTGAACTACCATCCTGTCGCACTAGTTTTGTGTTTTTCATTTCGTTCTCGTAAACTTTGTAATATTTTGGAGTTGGGGCCTGCTAGTGAGCGATTTTGTCATAATGTAGCTGTCACTCTTGAAGTAACAGATTCATTTGCAGCAGCAAACTCCTCAACACTGTCTTCTGTTGTGTTCTTACAAGCTCAGTCTGGCATAGTTTGGTAATGGCGAAACTTCAGTATACTTGGTCAGTTGGTGGGAGATTCAGAATAAGTTATCTGCTATCGAGAAGACGTTTCTAGCAATATAAACAAGAAGAGGGTAAAAACAGTGAGATACTCCACCCTGTAACTTCTTTTTTAACCTCTGAAACAAACCTTCTCTCGACTTACTACCAGCAATCTCCAATCTTTCCACGATATAAACAAGCAGCAGCAGTGTGCTCGCTGAACTGCTTCAAAAGTGTAATGGCATCATAGCTTATGTCCCCCGGGCTCAGAAGATATCCCATATCCTGAAAAGATGAAGTGATTGATATGTTCATGTTTGTGATTGCTTGTGGTTGGCACATTTGGGAGCGCTTTCGCAATGTCTTCAAAACTCGTACTATTTTCACGTCGATGTGCAGTACCAGTACCTCGACGTGCTATATCTCAAGTCCCAATTGGTTCCCGTCTACTCCCTTGTGAATTTCAGCATGATGCATCTTCTTCACAACTCAGATCGGATTGGCGACTAGTAATGTCCTGTTGTAATACACACGTACGTGGATACACACAGAACGACTCAGCTAGTTCGTTTATCGGTAAAAATATAATCAATCTTCAAATATGCACGTACGAGACGGACTCGACACCTTTAAAATCAAGCAGGAGCATTTTTTATCACCGTATTCCAGCTCATTACTTGTGGTTCTAATGCCAATAAATTAATTTATAACATCACAACCTAAATCTCAATTGCATCAAACAGCTAATCAGACTCTTTTCTCATCACTTACTCGTATTCACTCGACAACGACGAATGTTTTTTTACGCTCTTTCGTTGCGAGAACATGCAAGCCCCGGTACGATGCTGCATAGCTGTCCAGGTCGATGGCTGGGCACATTTGTTAAGTTATGAAAAGAACAAGTGGGATGGCTAAGGAAGGTTGGTATTATGTCGCCTTCACTGGTAGCTCTCATTCAATTATGCAGAAGGAAATATTATTATTCAGTCTTTGTATTGATAGACACCCTTTGTTCATTTTTTAACCAACTTGTGGCTGATGATAATTGACAAAGAGGGCATTCTTGGCCTGACATAATTACTTTCGTTTGGATTAATATGAATGCAAGAGGTTGTTAAAGAATATTAGTTTATGTGTCACTAGTTCATACCTAATCCTCAAGCCTAATTTTTTAATTTTTTAGAAAATGTTTAAGTTGATACTAGTCATTAGATAAAATGAAGAGAGGAAATGGTGGACAATCCTAAAAGAGGACACACATGGTATTGTAAATAATTAAATGAATAAATTATTTCAATTTATATGAATAAATAATTTGAATATTATTATTGTTTAATTATATGTAATATTTTTTGGTCCGCGCTTTGCAGTAGTCGGAAAGTAATTATATTTAAAGTTTTATTTACTTATGTAACAATTTAGTTGAAATCAAATGATTCAGAAGATTCATGTAAGATACCCTACATAACATTTATGTAATATCATAAAATTCGTGTTTTCCATATTCGGATTCAGTGCAGTCAAAATCGCGCTTTAAAGCGTAAAATCGTACGATTTTACGTTTATAGGGTAGGAAAACGTTTCAAATCACTAATAAAATCGTATTTTACTCAAAATCAGTCAAAAGCGTTAGTAGAATCGTTAAAATCGGATAAAAGCGCGCTTTCATACCGTTTTTATCCGATTCCAAGCAAAGGAGAAAATTGTCTCCACCAAACAAAAACGACGCCATTTTGATCACTTCGGACAAAAAAAAGGGGGAAACGGGGTGGATATCAGGCTGAGGTTGCCAAACCACTCTTCCGCAAGCCTTAATCCTCCATCTCCAGCACACTCTGCGCCGCCGCCCAGCCGGCCTTCCAGTGAAGTATTCGCCGCCGCTGCAAGTCCGCAACCGCCGTCGCCACCTTCCAGTGAAGCTCTAGCCCGTCGCACTCGATAGCTCCAATGCGGCAGCACCCGTCGCACTCGTCGTCGCCTGTCGCCACTCGCTAGCGCCACACCATATTAGTTTCTGTCTCTATCTTGTCCTACCCCATCGCCACTTCACCTATGACTCCTAAATGGTGGGTAAATGCTTCCCCTTCTCAACTCTTAGTCCACCCTGAACATATAACCTAGCAGGTATTTCTAGCTAAATTACAATCACACATTCTCAATAATTTAAACCAACCCAGCAAAATGTAGGAAACTACTTATAATTTCCAATAGGCGTATAACCTACTGGTTTACCTACGTATGCTACTGCTAAATTATGTATATGTGGTGTTTCTAATTGAACCTTTGAGAAACCAAGGGCAGAATGTGAAGCTAATGTTGCGAGAATTTGGTTATTAACTCGTTTGTGGGTTACAGTTTATGTTTATGAACTTATTGTTAAGATGTTATGAATTTTCTTTAATTTGGACATGAATTGCATGTATTTATTCACTTGTCTAAACTCCATGCACTCATATTTTGCATAATACATGTCGTAATTAACAGATTTTTAACTATTATACATGATGCATAAAAACTTACGCTTTTACGCTTTGATTCGCCGCTTTGACAATATTTGTGAATTATCCGACTATTCAATCACATGTATTTTTGGCGATACATTTTCATTTTTGAATTCTTATCTATCGACAATTTTTGTGAGTTCTTCAACTATTCAAATAAGTATCTTTTATTTTTTTCACAGAGTCCTATTTTCGAATATAAGCCCTAAGTTGCCATCGAGTCCAATGTATTCTCATAGGCTCATGACTTAAAAGTACAGTTTTTTAATGGAAGTTTGACTCAATAGCATTAATGGTCTTATATGTGGCTGAACACAAATTTTCTTGACCTGATCTTAGGTTATATTGTTTAGTTTATCAATTCACACAATTGACAAATATATTATGTGAACTTCTATATTTTGTTGAACATATTCCTTCATATTTACGAAACACAAATCTTACTAAAATAAGAATTGAACATCTTTTCAACCTAGTTATTATGGAAAGAAAGTGTGCACAGTAAACACAAAGGAAGAAAAAAAAAAGATTCATAAGTAACACAAGGCCCTCTTGGCGAAACCAGAAACGAAAAAAAACAGACAACAACTCTATTCCAAAAAAACAGAGCAGTCGAAACAAGAAAAAGTCCGACCAACAACATAAACAACGACCCAAAAGAAAAGCCAACAACAAACCGAAAGACAGACCTTGCTCTGCGTCAAACTTTCGAACATCCGTCAGACTTGCGTGCCCCCTACCGCCTACGCGACTTGCTTCGACGGGCAAAACCTGCGAAAACTGAACTAACTAGTTCGGTTCGAATCTTGGGGAAACGTAAAAAAAAAAAAAAAAAAAAAAAAATTTTAACTTCGACTGTTTGTGAAATGATAATTACATCCCTCAGATATTGCTATTTCTTTGAATATTACATTTAAAATTTTCATATTTTAGATATTAGAATAAATATTTGTATTTTGGGAAGAGGACACCAAGATTCCCCCCTGACTTCGTCAACAATGACAGAGACACAGAGGTCTCCAACGAGGATTCAATGCATGGCTGTCAACCAGGTCAATGGCTAGTCATTGTTAAATTAGGAAAATAGCAAGTTGGATGGCCAAGGTTAGGTGAGTATCATGTCGCCTTCACAGGCAGCTTTCATTCAGATTATACAAAAGAAATTATTATTCGTCTTGTATTGAGATTAGTTGATGTGTCATAACGATTAGTGAGTTTGCATCTTGATTTTCCAGCTACCATCTGCACATTCTGAGTCAACGTTCAGACACCCCTCCTGCGATCTTGATCACAATACTTGGGTTTTGAATCATAATCCTCTCTTGTGCTTTCTGAAAAAAACCATCTGATCCCATTTTCTTGCATCCTCTTCCTTCCTTTCTTCCTTTGCCTTTGAACCCCTTTTTCTTCACAAAGTTCTCTGCCAAAGATGGCATTTGCTGCTGCGGAAGCGATCCTCAAGAAGGTGGCTCCCCTTGCTGCTGAGCAAGCAGGTCTCCTCTGGAGCTTGAAGAGCGATTTCCTGAAACTGAAGAGCACGGTTTCCTCCATCAAGGCGGTGCTGTTGGATGCCGAGGAGCAATCGGGTCTGAACCATCAGGTTCGAGACTGGCTCGATAAACTGAAACAGGTGCTTTATGATGCTGATGACTTGCTGGATGATTTCTCCACGGAGGCTCTGTTGAAGCTGCGGAGGAATGATGGGAATCGCTTTCTGAACGAGGTACGCCTCTTCTTTACGGGCTCCAACCAATTGGTCAGTGGTCTTATGATGGCTCATCGATTGAAGGCCATCAGGACCAAGCTAGATGAGATTGATGAGAATCGGAGGAAGTTCAATCTTGTAACGCGCCTCCAAGATCCGGCTGCTGCTGCTGCTGCGATCAAGCGCGAGAGGCAGACTGACTCCTTTGTTCCATATGGATTTGTTGGTAGGGAGGAAGATAAGAAGAAAATAATTGGTATGCTATCATCGACCAACAATGAGCAGAAAATTGAGGTTATTCCTATTCTCGGAATGGGGGGTCTCGGGAAAACCGCTTTGGCTCAGTGTATCTACAACGACGAGATTGTGTCTACTTGTTTTCAATTGAAAATTTGGATATGTGTGTCGGATAATTTCGATCAAGCACTGTTGGCAAGGAAGGTGTTGGAGTCTATAAACCAAGATAAAGTAGAAGATCTAGACTTGGACATCTTGAAGGGGAAACTTAAGAAGGAGATGGTTAATAAGAGGTTCTTGTTAGTGCTGGATGATGTTTGGAATCATGGTGACTACAGGGGCAATTGGGATAGCTTGATGAGTTTTTGGTTGCAAGTTGGGGCAAGTGGTAGCAAAATTATCGTCACTACTCGTCTTGCAGAAGTCGCGAATTACTTCGCAACGAATGGGATTACACCACACAAACTAAAAGGTTTATCTGAGAAAGAATCGTGGTTTTTATTTAAACAAATAGCATTTACTGGTGAAGTGGAAGGTGGTGAATCATTTGTAGAGATAGGAAAAGTGATCATGAGAAGGTGCGTGGGAGTTCCTTTAGCCATAAGGGTTATTGCAGGTGCCCTATCGTCTAAGAGCAACATTATTGATTGGGAGGTTGTAAGAAGTAAACAGGACCTATTAGATGAGGACGACGAGAGAAGAATTTTGGGTACTCTTAGATTGAGTTATGACAACCTGCCTTCTGAATTGAAAGTGTGTTTTGTCTATTGCAGCTTGTTTCCGAAAGATTCTAAAATTGATGTGAAATTGTTGGTGCAAATTTGGATGGGGCAAGGATTTATCAACTCTAGTCAATCGTCATCTGCTTCATTTGAGGTCGGAGTTGAATATTTCAAGAGTTTGCTGTCTAGGTTCTTTTTTCAAGAGCCGGAAAGTGATGCATGGGGGAATGTAAAGTGGTGTAAGATGCATGATTTGATGCATGATGTAGCCCTGGGGATTGCAAGTGAGGAGATTATGGCTTTAAAAGCTTCAGATTCAATGGAAGGTCGTGTAAATTCTGATAGGCTTCGACACATATCATTTGATTTTGAGGAAAAATCGAGAGAAACATGGAAAGCTCCACAAGCGTTGGCTAATGTAACAATACTGCGAACTTTTCTTCCTATAAATACACCCTATTATGGCATTGGTGGCATCGAGGAGCAGAACTGTGAGATGATCTTCTCAAATAATACTAGGCTGAGAGTTTTAAGTCTCCACGGTGCTAAACTGGAGACTGTGCCCCGCTCCATCCATAAGTTGACACATCTCAGGTACCTAAATCTTTCTCGCAATCCTATGAAGGTGCTCTCTAGCGAGATTACAGTACTAGTAAATTTACAAGTGCTCATACTAGATTTTTGTGATAATCTCGAGCAATTGCCAAGAGATATTGGGAAATTGATTGATCTCGAGTATCTTAGCCTTGTTGGGTGTTTGAGTTTGAAAGGGTTGCCACTTGGGATCGGGCGGCTCACTCGTCTGAGAGAATTGTCCATATTCATTGTGCCAGCTGCTTCATACTATTCACATGGGGCAGTCGCTGCTAGAATCAGCGAGCTGGAGCATCTCGACAATCTAAGTGGGAAATTGAAGATCATAAATCTGGAATTGGTGGAAGATGTGGCTGAAGCGAAGGCAGCAAGTTTATTTCGGAAGCAACATCTTCAAGCCTTGACATTGAAGTGGAGCTTATCGGGAAGAGTTTTTGCTGGCATGGATGTTGAGGTACTAAATGCGTTGGAGCCACATAAGAATTTGAAGGAGCTGGAGTTGGTTGGTTATGGCGGTCATAGTCTACCTAGCTGGTTCTCTACTTCTCTCCAAAATCTGGTTGACTTGACATTGTCTAATTTAGGTGGCTTAGAGTACATAGAGGATGACGCTGGGCAGTTTCTTCCCCGCTTGAAATCTCTCCGCATTGGCAACTGCCCCAGGCTAGTAAGCTGGAGGTCAACCACAGAGATAGAAATGTCGCAGTTACCTTCTCTTTCACATCTCGAGATTGAGAAGTGCCCGAAACTGGTACGGCTTGCTCATATTTCGGCGGATATTGAAAGGGTTGAGTTAAGATATGTTGACCGCAAACTGTTGGACCAGTTTGTTGGCTCACTTCCACAACCCAGCTCCCCTTCGCGGATCATATCACTGACAATTTGGGGGATAAGAGGGCTTCAAATTCTGCCGCAAGAATTGCTGCCACATCTTGCATCCCTTGAAGATTTTCGGATAGGGGATTGCCCGAATCTTACGAATCTGTCTCCATCGGCTACTAGTCAACAACAACATCTCACTTCCCTCCAGTTCTCTGACCTTCCAAACCTCCGTGAATTTCATATCCGGGGACTTCCAGGGATGAAGAGTCTACCAGAGTGGCTTCAGCATTCCTCTAACTTGCACACGCTGTGGATAGAAAGCTGTGACGGTCTCAAGTGCTTGCCAAAATGGCTACCCAAGCTCACAGCGCTAGATACTCTGTGTGTAGATGGCTGTCATTTTCTATCAGCCAGATTGAAGAGTAGAACGGCCGAGGACTGGCCCAAAGTTGCTCACATTAGGAGAATTACATTTAATGATACCGCAGTTCAAAGGGACGGTATCTACTTGAGAGCAGAAGAAGCAGCAGTGGAAAACCAACTTCGAGAACAAGAAGAAGAACAAGCCTTGACATTGAAGTGGAGCTTACCGAGACGAGTTTTTGCTGGCAGGAATGTTGGGGTACTAAATGTTGGGACTTCCAAATTTCCAACACTAAAGGCGTTGGAGCCACATAAGAATTTGAAGGAGCTAGAGTTGGATGGTTATGGCGGTCACAGTCTACCTAGCTGGTTCTTTACTACTCTCAAGAATCTGGTTGACTTGACATTGTATAATTTGTGTCGCTTAAAGTACATAGAGGATGACGCTGGGCAGTTTCTTCCTCGCTTGAAATCCCTCCGCATTATGAGCTGCCCTAGGCTAGTAAGCTGGAGGTCAACCACAAAGATACAAATGCCGCAGTTACCTTCTCTTTCACGTCTCTACATTGAGAGGTGCCCGAAACTGGTACGACTTCCTCATATTTCGGCGGATATTGAAAGTGTTGAGTTAAGATATGTTGACCGCAAACTGTTGGACCAGTTTGTTGCCTCAGTTCCACCACCCAGCTCCCCTTCGCGGATCAAAACACTGAAAATCGAGGGTATAAGAGGCCTTCGAATTTTGCCGCAAGAATTGCTGCCACAGCTTGCATCCCTTGAATATTTGCAGATAGAGGATTGCCCGAACCTAATGAATCTGTCTCCACCGGCTACCAGTCAACAACAACATCTCACTTCCCTCCAGTTCGCTGCCCTTCCAAACCTCCGTCGCTTTTGTATCTGGGGACTTCCAGGGATAAAGCGTCTACCAGAGTGGCTTCAGCATTCCTCTAACTTGCAGGATCTGTGGATACGTAGGTGTGACGGTCTCAAGTGCTTGCCGAAATGGCTACCCAAGCTCACGGCGCTAGATACTCTGAATATAGATGGCTGTCATTTTCTATCAGCCAGATTGAAGAGTAGAATGGCCGAGGACTGGCCCAAAGTTGCTCACATTCCGAATATTAAATGTGATCGCACCCAAGTTCAAGAGGATGGTAACTACTTGAGAGTAGAAGAACAAGCAGACGAAAACCAACTTCAAGAAGAAGAAGAAGAAGAAGAAGAAGAACTATTCATTGAAGAAGAAGAAGATGATGATCATGCTAGCGAGGGCGAAGAAGAAGAAGAAGAAGAAGAAGAAGAAGAAGAAGAAGAAGAAGATGATGATGGTCATGCTAGCGAGGGCGAGGAAAAAGAAGACGATGATCATGCTAGCGAGGGCGAGGAAGAAGCAGAAGGACTATCCCTCGGAATTCCGTCTCCAAGGTACATTCTTCTTAACTACATCGATGAACATATTCTCTACATTGAGAAGTGCCCGAAACTGGTACGACTTCCTCATATTTCGGCGGATATTGAAAGGGTTGAGTTAAGATATGTTGACCGCAATCTGGTGAACGAGTTTGTTGCCTCAGTTCCACCACCCAGCTCCCATTCGCGGATCAAAACACTGATAATCGAGGGTATAAGAGGCCTTCGAATTTTGCCGCAAGGTTTACTGCCACGTCTTGCATCCCTTGAAGAATTGATGATAGAGGATTGCCCGAACCTAACGAATCTCTCTCTGCGGGCTACTAGTCAACAACAACATCTCACTTCCCTCCAGCTCTCTGCCCTTCCAAACCTCCGTCACTTTTATATCTGGAATCTTCCAGGGATGGAGCGTCTACCAGAGTGGCTTCAGCATTCCTCTAACTTGCAGGATCTGTGGATACGTAGGTGTGACGGTCTCAAGTGCTTGCCAAAATGGCTACCCAAGCTCACAGCGCTAGATACTCTGATAGTAGAAGACTGTCATTTTCTAACAGCCAGCTTGAAGAGTAGAACGGCCGAGGACTGGCCCAAAGTTGCTCACATTCGGAAGATTGATATTAATTACACCACCGTTCAAGCGGATGGTAACTACGTGAGAGTAGAAGAACCAGCAGACGAAAACCAACTTCAAGAACAAGAAGCAAGTGAAGAAGAAGAAGAAGAAGATCATGCTAGCGAGGGTGAGGAAGAAGAAGACGATGATCATGAGGGCGAGCTCGAGGAAGAAGCAGAAGCAGAAGGACTACCCCTGGGCATTCCGTCTCCAAGGTACATTCTTCTTAACTACATTCTTTTGAACTAATATAAAAGCGGTCTCCTACAACGTTCCTTTATTTTTGTCACTGCAGGATGTGGTCAGATTGCTTTGCGAGATTGACTTGTAACCTGTTCCAGAGATGCTTTCTTGGCTAGTTACCAAACGTTCTCCCTTGGGTCTTTTGACGCATATACACGAGACTTATCGCAACCTCCATGCATATCCGATAAACTAGTGATTAGTATTCGCGGTCTGCAGAGTTATTTGTGAGACCTCTGTGGCGTACAAGCTTGTTTTCTTGGACCAAATTATACAATTTCATTCCATGTTTCGTTGCAATTGTTTCATCTTGCTTGTTTTCTACCAGCTTGAACTTCCATCCTGTGGGGACTAGTTCTATTTTTATCTCTTCCTTTGTAACCTTAGTTGTATTTTTGGAGTTGTATGCCTTTTGCGCCCGGACAAGAATTTTTCAGTGAAGAAGAAGAGGAAGAACTGCCCTTGGGCATTCCGTCTCCAAGGTACACTCTTCTTAACGATATCGATGAACATATTCTTTGAACCAAAATAAAAGCGGTCTCCAACATTCCTTGATTTTTGTCACTGCAGGATGTGGTCAAATTGCATTGTGAGGCTAACTTACCTATTCCAGAGATGCTTTCACGGCTAGCTACCAAACGTTTTCTCTTCTATGAGGGGGTATTTTGATGCATACACACGAGACTTATTGCAGCTTCTATGAATATCCGGCGAAGTAGTGATCACTATCGCAGTCTGCACATTCATTTCCGAGACCTCTATCGCGTACAAGCTTGTTCTCTTGGATCAGATTAGACAATTTCATTATATGTTTGTTGGCAATAGTTGCATCTTGCTTTGCTTGTTTTCAACCAACTTGAACTTCCATCCTGTCGTACTAGTCTTGTTTTTCTGTATTTCTTTCTCGTAAACTTTGTTATATTTTGGAGTTGGGGCCTGCTAGTTAGAGATTTTGTCATAATGCAGCTGTCACTCGCTTGAAGTAACAGATTCATTTGCAGCAGCAAACTCCTCAACACTGTCTTCTGTTGTTGTTTTCTTACAAGCCCAATCTGGCATTGTTGGTAATGGCAAAACTTCAGTATAATCGGTGGGAGATTCGGAATAAGTTATCTGCTATGAAGAAGACATTTCTACATTATAACAAGAAGTGGGTAAAAACAGTGAGATACTCCACCCTGCAACTTAATTGTTCCATTTTTCCCCCCAAATGAATCATCCTTCCTTTTGTTGCCTCTGGTACAAGCAACCTCATTGTTGTCAGGAAACATAGACTTGCTGTGTTCGCTGGACGTATTGATCACACTATTCCTAACAAGGAACAACATCAATAGTGTCACCACCACCTCTTAAACAAACCTTCTCTCGACTTACTACCAGCAATCTCCAATCTTCCTCGACTAATTCCAGACAGACCGAGGTAAATGGACGAGACACAATGAAAAGGAAAAATACACAGTTTCTCTTCTTTTCTTTCGAATCTGATGGGAGAGACTGCGATGAACAACATTGAATGAGTTCAGACTAGATTGAAGGTTCTTAACGAAAATCGGATTCCTGACAAAATGCATACATACATCTATATTTTGGTGTTACTATAAACAATAGAATTTCCCACAGCCTAAAACTGTTTTTCCTTCTTCTCTTTTCCTTCCCTTCTTGGCTTTCTTCCTCTGCTGTCTGAAATTCTTCAACAGGTGGGAAGAAGTGGAAGGACTCGAGAAGCTGCTCGTTGCACCTGTAGTAGAAGAATTTTTCCCTTTCTCCTTTCCTTTCTCAGGCGTCCCGCATTCGCTGAAGTCCAAAACTCGGCCTTCCTTCTGCTACAAGAAAAGGGAGAAAAAGAAGATTCCAACGTGATTAAGTAGTTATACATAACATACTGCATATATATAATAAATCCATTGATAAAAAAACCATCAACACATACAGAAACGGTGTTCTTCTGGCACCGCCTTCCTTTGGATATGGTTTCAGGGGTTTCATCCCCAAGAACTTCCAACGCATCAGCACAAGCAGCAGCAGTTTGCTCGCTGAACTGCTTCAAAAAGTGTAATGGCATCATAGCTTCTGTCCCCCGGGCTCAGAAGATATCCCATATCCTGAAAAGATGAAGTGATTGATATGTTTGTGATTGCTTGTGGTTGGCACATTTGGGAGCGATTCGCAATGTCTTCAAAACTCGTACTATTTTCACGTCGATGTGCAGTACCAGTACCTCGACGTGCTATATCTCAAGTCCCAATTGGTTCCCGTCTACTCCCTTGTGAATTTCAGCATGATGCATCTTCTTCACAACTCAGATCGGATTGGCGACTAGTAATGTCCTGTTGTGATACACACGTACGTGGATACACACAGAACGACTCAGCTAGTTCGTTTATCTGTAAAAATATAATCAACCTTCAAATATGCACGTACGAGGCGGACTCGACACCTTTAAAATCAAGCAGGAGCATTTTTTATTACCGTATTTCAGCTCATTACTTGTGGTTTTAATCAGACTCTTTTCTCATGCTAAATCCCAATTGCATCAAACAGCTAATCAGACTCTTTTCTCATCACTTACTCGTATTCACTCGACAACAACGAATGTTTTTTTACGATCTTTCGTTGCGAGAACATGCAAACCCCGGTATGATGCTGCATAGCTGTCCAGGTCGATGGCTGGGCACATTTGTTAAGTTATGAAAAGAACAAGTGGAATGGCTAAGGAAGGTTGGTATCATGTTGCCTTCACTGGTAGCTCTCATTCAATTATGCAGAAGGAAATATTATTATTCATAGACACCCTTTGTTTATTTTTTAACCAACTTGTGGCTGATGATAATTGACAAAGAGGGCATTCATGGACTATCTCAATTACTTTCGTCTGGATTAATATGAATGCAAGAGGTTGTTAAAGAATATTAGTTTATGTGTCACCAGTTCATACCTAATCCTTAAGCCTATTTCTGAGAAATGTTTAAGTTGATACAAGTCATTAGATAAAATGAAGAGAGGAAATGGTGGACAATCCTAAAAGAGGACACACATGGTATTGTAAATAATTAAATGAATAAATGATTTCAATTTATATGAATAAATCATTTGAATATTATTATTGTTTAATTATATGTAATATTTTTTGGTCCGCCCTTTGCAGTAGTCGAAAAGTAATTATATTTAAAGTTTTATTTACTTATGTTACAATTTAGTTGAAATCAAATGATTCAGAAGATTCCTGAAAGATACCCTACATAACATTTATGTAATATCTAAATATTATGAATAAATTACGTAATAAAATTCGTGTTTTCCATATTCGGATTCACTTGCAAACGAGGCAAACTATGTGACATTTGAAAATGAAAGAAAAAAAAATGTGCAAAATACGTGACCTCTTATGATAATGCCGCTAAAGTTGATGAAAAATTACAATAAACCATTTTAATGAATAGTAACATGAATATTCTATTTATTTATCACATATGAGAATCTTTTAGTAATCCTCTTTTTTTTTCTTTTGTTATTGTTATCCTAAAATTGATATCTTCGGTATCCTAAAAAGAGATAGTTATTTCTTATGTATCAATTAAATAAACAGCATACATGTCTTTTATAATATACTAGCGTGGGTCCCGGCCAGTTGGCCGGAGTAAGGTGACGTATGAAATTTGATAATGTAATGAGCTATATAGCTTATTGTTGTATAGTTTTTTTTTTTGGAAACTTGTGATAAAAATAGTGAATTTTAGCAGGAAAGAGACATGAATGATGCAATGAATCAAAAATCGGCTTTATGAACCAAAATCAAGTACATGTTACCTTGTGAAACAATATTGTTTCTGGTAATATGATGAGGTGGAGTAAGTTTTATAAAAACCGAATTCCAGAAAATTGAATAAAAAATCGCCTATCCCGTCGGTTTTCGGGAAATGAGCATCTCACAATTGTTGCTAGCTTTTACTCGGCCCGTTGGTCGATTAATTGGCTTTATAAAACTTACATCTTGTCGTCATTGTGCTTTCTGATTTTTGTTAGGCCATGATAAAATCTAAGGAAATCAAGAACGAACAACACGATTAGGGATAGGTACCGCCGTTGTCGTATCCCTAGAAAATGGTGGTAAACACAGACTCACCTGCCAAACTGGTTTGGATTGAGATTTTTATCGGGTATCAGGGAACCATGTGATTATAAATTAGACTTGATCAAGACGGGCCAAAACTTGAAATTCAGCATGTTTGACTGACCCATGCCAAATTCTAATTATTCTTTACTTCTAAACATTCTATTTGAAAATAAAAAATTGTGAAAGAAAAGAGATGACTGCAATTCGCCATTTGCACATCACTTATTCGGGAATTAAACCATAAAAATTCAAAAGGAACTGAAAATGTTTAGGATCGTTTAATGTTTAAAATAACCAAATAGATCGTTCTGTTTAGTTTTTTACTAACAAATACCAAATGATTCCCTATAAAATACACTATAATTTGATCATTATGATATCAAATAATTATATAATATATATTTGAAATGATCAAAAATTGGACTAATTGGGTTGGTCGAGGTTGAACATTGAATAACTTTAAAATACATTATATTTTAGCCACTATGATATAAAATAATAGCATAATATATATTATGCCAGAGAAAATAGCTTGTTTTAGAATGACAAACCAATCATGTTCATTTGTTTTACTTGATGGCCAAATCCCGTGTAGGTCAGGCCCATTCAACTCTTTTATTTTATGGTTAGCGGTTAGCCCATTAGATACCATGCATTAGTTTATTGTTAATTTTTTTTAGCAATAAAAAGGAGTATTATTTTTGCCTTTTCATATATATTTTATCACCACGGAGAAATAAAAGGGCTTAAAGGAAAAAATTGACACTCCTGGACCCGTTTAAATCCGCATGTGTACGGTAAGTTGGCCCGTTCTACAGAGGAAAGAGAAAAAAATTAACACTCCCTATTCTACTCTTCCTAAAAAAAAATACAACTAATGTACAATTATATGTTTTTAATTTAAAAAGATACAACTAATGCAGGGGGGAAGGGTTTTTTCCTCCATGCAATTATATGTTTTTAATTTAAAAAGATACAACTAATGTACTTAGTGTGATTGGTTATTATCCTTGCTTTTCTTTAAAATGATCATGGTTTGAATCCCAGTACGCGCCTTTTTAATGAATAATAAAAAAAGTAATTGTGAAGACCAAAATGTCCTTCCTACTTTCACTCTCGTTGCAGGAAATTTGAAATGGAGATCCCGTTTTTCCCTTTGGTGTATTATATTATGTGTAGATAAGTTTACAAAGAAATAGTTATTTCTTATGTATCAATTAAAAAAATGTATTACATAATTTTTTGTGTAATGACTGAGACATTATGTAAGTTTATGAAGGGATAGTAATTTCTTATGTATCAATTAAATAAACATCATACACAAGTCTTTTGTGATATATAAGTTTGAATAAAAAAATTTATATTTTAATTAAACTTTAGATCATCTCACCAATTTGCATTATATAAAGGTTTTGTAAGATCAGTTAGTTTTACATATCATTCAAATATGATACTTTTGGTAACTTAGATCACTTATAATCAAATATTATTTATCAATTAAACAAATATATTACTAAATCTTCCGTAATAATTAAGATACTACGTAAATCTTATCAAAATATCTTACTCGAACTATTTTATGATACAAGCGAACCATTAGACGAGTATATAAAATTTTAAATATAATTAGTTTATTATCGCAGCAGAGCGCGAGCAAAAAAACTAGTTTATTTTCAATTTGTAATTCATCGACCCGGGCCTTGGACCGTCGATTGGGTCTTTGTTAGTTTGCCGGATCATGGACCGGATCAAATAGAGCTAAGCTATGTCATGAACCAGTTGATCCCAATGACTCGAGTTTTTGGGAGAGGTTCAATCGTGGATCATATACCACAACATTAACACGCCCCCTCAAACGAAAGCCACTAACAAGGGCTTGAAGTTTGCACAGGTCTGAAAACAAGAATACCATGTGCTAAACAAATGGGGGTCACCGGGAATCGAACACAAGACCTCTCGATCACAGAAGGCTCTGATACCATGTCATGAACCAGTTGATCCCAATAACTCGAGTTTTTGGGAGAGGTTCAATCGTGGATCATATACCACAACGTTAACCAGCTAAGCCTCCATTTGCATAGAGTTTGGCTACGTAGCGGGCCAAAAAAGCTAAGCCTCCATTTGCAAGCCCGGATACGATTATACAAAACAACTAACATGTGGAATGGCTCAGGTGAGTATCATGCCTGCATTCATTGATGCTCTCATTCGGATTATATTATTCGTTGATGTATCATAAAGATGCCTGCTACCATGTGCACATTCTGAGTCAACGTTTAGATATCCCCACCGGGATCTTGATCAAGCCGTGTATGTAGAGTAAGTGGGTTTTGGATCATAATCCTCTCTTGTGCTTTCTGAAAACCTTCTGATCCCATTTTCTTGCATCCTCTTCCTTCCTTTGCCTTTGGACTCCTTTTTCTTCAAAAGTTCTCTGCCAAAGATGGCATTTGCTGCTGCGGAAACGATCCTCAAGAAGTTGGCTCCCCTTGCTGCTGAGCAAGCAGGTCTCCTCTGGAGCTTGAAGAGCGATTTCCTGAAACTCAAGAGCACGGTTTCCTCCATACGTGCGGTGCTGTTGGATGCCGAGAAGCAATCGGGCGAGAACTATCAGGTTCAAGACTGGCTCGATAAACTGAAACAGGTGCTTTATGATGCTGATGACTTGCTGGATGATTTCTCCACGGAGGCCCTGTTGAAGCTGCGGAGGAATGATGGGAATCGCTGTCTGAATGAGGTATGCCTCTTCTTTACGCGTTCCAACCAATTGGTTAGTGGTCTTGTGATGGCACATCGGTTGAAGGCCATCAGGATCAAGCTGGATGAGATTGATGAGAATCGGAGGAAGTTCAATCTTGAAACCCGCCTCCAAGATTCGGCTGCTGCTGCTGCTGCTGCTGCGATCAGGCGCGAGAGGCAGACTGACTCCTTTGTTCCCTATGGATTTGTTGGGAGGGAGGAAGATAAGAAGAAAATAATTGGTATGCTATCATCGACCAACAATGAGCAGAAAATTGAGGTTATTCCTATTCTCGGAATGGGGGGTCTCGGGAAAACCGCTTTGGCTCAGTGTATCTACAATGATAAGAATGTGTCTACTTGTTTTCAATTAAAAATTTGGATATGTGTGTCGGATAATTTCGATCAAGTACTATTGGCCAGGAAGATGTTAGAGTCTATAACCCGGCGTAAAGTAGAAGATCTTGACTTGGACATCTTGAAAGGGGAACTTAAGAAGGAGATGGATAATAAGAGGTTCTTGTTAGTGCTAGATGATGTTTGGAATCATGGTGACTACAAGGGCAATTGGGATAGCTTGATGAGTTTTTGGTTGCAGGTCGGGGCAGTTGGTAGCAAAGTTATCGTCACTACTCGTCTTGGAGATGTCGCGAATCACTTCGCAACGAAGGGGATTAAACCATACAAGCTAAAAGGTTTATCTGAGCAAGAATCATGGTTTTTGTTTGAACAAATAGCATTTAAGGGTGAAGTGGAAGGTGGTGAAAGATTTGTATACATAGGGAAAGAGGTCATGAGAAGGTGCGTGGGAGTTCCTTTGGCCATAAGGGTGATTGCAGGTACCCTTTCATCTAAGAGCAACATGGTTGATTGGGAGGTTATAAGAGATAAACAAGCATTGTTAGATGGGGATGATGAGGGAAGGATTTTGGGTACTCTTAGATTGAGTTATGACAATCTGCCTTCTGAATTGAAATCGTGTTTTGTTTATAGCAGCTTGTTTCCGAAAAATTTTAACATTGATGTGAAATTGTTGGTACAAATTTGGATGGGGCAAGGATTTATCAACTCTACCCAGTCGTCATCTACTTTATTTGAGGTTGGAGTTGAATATTTCAAGAGTTTGTTGTCCAGGTTCTTTTTTCAAGAGTCGAAAAGTGATCGATGGGGGAATGTAAATCGGTGTAAGATGCACGATTTGATGCATGATGTCGCCCTGGAGATCATAGGTGAGGAGATCATTGCTTTAAAAGCCTCAGATCCAATGGAAGGTAGTGTCAACTTTGACAGGCTTCGACACATATCGTTCGATTATAAGGAAAAATCGAGAGAAACATGGAAAGCTTCACAGGCGTTGGCTAATGCAACAAAACTGCGAACTTTTCTTCCTATAAATGTGTTCATTTTTGGTATGGGTTACATCGAAGGGCTTAACTGTGAGATGATAGTCTCAAATAATACTAGGCTGAGAGTTTTAAGTCTCGACAGTGCTAAATTGAAAAGTGTGCCCCGCTCCATCCATAAATTAACACATCTCAGGTACCTAAATCTTGGTCACCTTCCTATGAAGGTGCTCCCTACCGAGATTACGGTACTAGTAAATTTACAAGTGCTCATACTAAATTATTGTGAGAATCTCGAGCAATTGCCAAGAGATATTGTGAAATGGACTAATCTCGAGTTTCTTAGCCTCGTTTGGTGTTCTAGTTTGAAAGGCTTGCCACTTGGTATCGGGCGGCTCACTCGGCTGAGAGAATTGTCTCTATTCGTTGTGCCACCTGCATCATACTATTCACATGGAGCAGTCGCTGCTGGAATCAGTGAGTTGGAGCATCTTGACAATCTAAGTGGGGAATTGAAGATTAAACATCTGGAATTGGTGAAAGATGAGGCTGAAGCGAAGAGAACAAGTTTGTTTCGAAAGCAACATCTTGAAGCCTTGACATTGGAGTGGAGCATCCGGAGACGAGTTTTTGATGGCAGGGATGTTGGAGTACTAAAGGCGCTGGAGCCACATAAGAATTTGAAGGAACTAAAGTTGGATGGTTATGGCGGTCACAGTCTACCTAGCTGGTTCTCTACTTCTCTCCAGAATCTGGTTCGTTTGACGTTGTCTAATTTAGCTCGCTTAAAGTACATCGAGGATGACGCTGGACAGTTTCTTCCCCGCCTGAAATCTCTCTACATTAACAACTGCCCCAGGCTAGTGAGCTGGTGGTCAACCACAGAGATGGAAATGATGCAGTTCCCTTGTCTTTCATATCTCCGCATTGAAAATTGCCCGAAACTGGTACGACTTCCTCAATTTTTGGCGGATATTGAAACGGTTGAATTAAGAAATCTTGACCGCAAACTGTTGGAGCAGTTTGTTGCCTCACTTCCACCACCCAGCTCCCCTTCGCGGATCAAGAATGTGACAATTTGGGGGATAAGAGGCCTTCGAATTTTGCCGCAAGGTTTATTGCCACATCTTGCATCCCTTGAATATTTGTCTATAGTGCATTGCCCGAACCTAACGAATCTGTCTCCACCGGCTACTAGTAAACAACATCATCTCACTTCCCTCCACTTCTCTGCCCTTCCAAACCTCCGTCGCTTTTATATCTTGGCACTTCCAGGGATGAAGAGTCTACCAGAGTGGCTTAAGCATTCCTCTAACTTGCAGACGCTGTGGATAGAAAGTTGTGGCGGTCTCAAGTGCTTGCCAAAATGGCTACCCAAGCTCACAGCACTAGATACTCTGAGAGTAAAAGACTGTCATTTTCTAACAGCCAGCTTGAAGAGTAGAACGGCCGAGGACTGGCCCAAAGTTGCTCACATTCGGAAGATTGATATTAATGGCACCAAAGTACAAAAGGACGGTAACTACATGAGAGTAGAAGAACCAGCAGAAGTAAACCACCTTCAAGAACATGAAACGGGTGGAGAAGAAGAAGAACAACAACAACAAGAACAAGAATTATTCAGTGAAGAAGAAGAAGATGATGATAACGAGGTCGAGAGCGAGGCAGAAGAAGATGATTATCATGAGGGCGAGGGCGAGGAAAAAGCAGAAGAACTACCCTTGGGCATTCCGTCTCCAAGGTACTTTCTTCTTAACTACATCAATGAACATATTTTTTGAACCAAAATAAAAGCGATCTTCAATTATTCCTTGATTTTTGTCACTGCAGGACGTGGTCAAATTGCATTGCGAGGCTCACTTGTAACCTGTTTCAGAGATGCTTTCTCGGCTAGCTACCAAACGTTCTCTCTTCCATGACGGGTATTTCGACTCATATGCACGAGACTTATCGCAACCTCCATGAATATCCGACAAACTTATGATCACTATCAAAGTGCGCAAAGCCATTTATGAGACCTCCATGGCGTACAAGTTTGTTCTCATGGACCGAATTAGACAACATCATTCCATGTTTCTTGCCAATAGTTGCATCTAGCTTTTTATTTTTTCAATCAGCTTGAACTTCCATCCTGTCATACTAATTTTGTTCTTCTTTATTTCTCTCTCGTAAGCATTGTTATCTTTTGACGTTGTGCGTACTTCTTGGACATGAAGTAATATCTCGATTTTGGTGGTTGTCTCCCTGAATGTTAGTCTGCTACATTCACATTAGGTATGTGGATGGTATCCGTGAGTTCAACAAAATTCTCTTGTACATTTATAAGGCCAAGCAATATCATCAGAAGTCTACACAGTATGAACAAATACCGAAGAAGAATGAGCAAATATATGCCCTGCTTGCAATTTGCCTCTCATTTTGCCCTCAAATGAAGCTTGTCGATGAGGCTGTAAATGCTCAATTGCGCGAGAAGTATGGTGAAAAGATGGGTAAATTACAAAGATGTGATACGACGCATATGGTGACAAACTGAATCCACGTTAAGGTAAAGGTTCTAGTCCTTGAAAAGTTTGTGATTTGCTATCCTGTTCATGGTAGGAGATATTCAAGCAACTGTATTATTTTTCAGGATGATATTGAAGACTTACAAGCACAAGACTCATGCTGTTGATTCTGATGGAAAGATTATCTCCAATGCCGATCTCGACTTCTACATTGATGATGTATGATACAGGCCCCTGTCTCCTTTTGATTCCATGCAGTCATCTATTGTCACTTGTTTAATTAACATCTCCATATTTTTTTGGCTGTTGCAGGACATGATACGTGTTGTGAACTCCAAACCAGTGAAGCGATATGGCGATTTCTTCTTGAGGCAAATTGTAAAGGTATGCTATTTCGTATTTCATATGTCCTGTAGTTTTTTTCTTCCTGATTATGATGTATTCGAAGAAGAAGATTGGATCTATGAACACATTCTTTGAACTAATATAAAAGTGGTCTCCAACAACATTCCTCGATTTTTGTCACTGAAGGATTTGGTCAAATTGCATTGCGAGACTCACCTGTAACCTGTTCCAGAGATGCTTTCTTGGCTAGCTACCAAATCTTCTCTCTTTGTTATTCAGGATGATATTGATGAATTACAAAGATAAAACTCATGTTATTGATTCTGATGGAAAGATTGTCTCCAAATCCGATGTCGACTTCTACATTGATGATCAATGTATGACACAGGCCCTTGGTCCCTTCGATTCAATAATGTGCTTCTGGAGATTGTTAAAGCATATACTGTCAAGTTCACACTTTTCTTTTATCTAACATCTCTGTATCTTTTTGGTCTATGAATTATATGTTCTCCCGTGGTGATTATGTGTGCTGAATTCCCTTGCTGCATCTTGAAGGAGTGATCAACGACGTGGATCGAATAAAGGTGGAGTCAGCCAATTAACAGTTGCAGTTCTTTCATCCGACCAGAGCATGTAGTGGCAGAGATTTTATTCTATTCATTCGCATTCTGGGTATCTATCCTTAGTCCTCTTCTCCTCTTGTCGTATGAATCCCATGTTTACCTAGTGAAAAAGCTGCAACTCCATGGAAGAGAAGAAGCATGCTGTCAATACTTTGGAATGGATGGTTCCTCTCTTTAGTTTTCTAGCAGCAAGGTTTTCTTCCTCTGGTATTTTGTGATTTGTATTTTTTTTATGTTTCTTCTTTGCTTGCAAATGAGAGTTTGATCTAACATTATTATAATTTATTTTCAATTTGTAATTCATGTTTGATTTGAAAAGTGTGGTAAACAAATCATACCCTTACTTTTTTTTTTTTTTCTTAATAACGGGGAACCACTTATCTGTAGTTTGTCATTTAGATGATGCATGCTAAACCATCGACCCAGGTCGTCAATCATCGATTGGTTCTTTGTTACTTGGCCGGATCATGGACCGGATCAATTACAGCTGGGCTAAGCCTCCATTTGCATAGAGGTGGCAACGTAGCGGGTTTGGCGGATAGTGCATATCCATTATCCTATACAACGAACATGTTAACATTCAAATGTAACAGTTTTCGCGCTTTGGATTTGTTTTTGAAAAAAGGCACTTTGCGGGCTGAATGATTACCGGAAGAGGACATGGCAGAGATCTCCAACGGGAATTCCCAATTGCAACAACATGAAAGCCCGGATTCGATGCATAGCTTTTCCAGGTCAATGGCTAGGCATTGTTCATGAAAATAGCATGTGGAATGGCTCAGGTGAGTATCATGCCCGGATTCGATTATATTATTCGTCTTTGTATTGAGATTCGTTGATGTGTCATAAAGATGCCTTGGACATTATTGCAGCGTTCAGTACTGGCCAACTGGCATCTCGATTTTCTGCTACCATGTGCACATTATCAGTCAACATTTAGATATCCCCACCGGGATCTTGATCAAGCCGTGTATGTAGAGTAAGTGGGTTTTGGATCATAATCCTCTCTTGTGCTTTCTGAAAACCTTCTGATCCCATTTTCTTGCATCCTCTTCCTTCCCATTTTGCCTTTGGACTCCTTTTTCTTCAAAAGTTCTCTGCCAAAGATGGCATTTGCTGCTGCGGAAGCTATCCTCAAGAAGTTGGCTCCCCTTGCTGCTGAGCAAGCAGGTCTCCTCTGGAGCTTGAAGAGCGATTTCCTGAAACTGAAGAGCACGGTTTCCTCCATACGCGCGGTGCTGCTGGATGCTGAGGAGCAATCAGGTCTGAACCATCAGGTTCGAGACTGGCTCGATGAACTGAAACAGGTCCTTTATGATGCTGATGACTTGCTGGATGATTTCTCCACGGAGGCCCTGTTGAAGCAGCGAAGGAATGATGGGAATCGCTGCCTGAACGAGGTATGCCTCTTCTTTACGCGTTCCAACCAATTGGTTAGTGGTCTTGTGATGGCACATCGGTTGAAGGCCATCAGGATCAAGCTGGATGAGATTGATGAGAATCGGAGGAAGTTTAATCTTGAAACGCGCCTTCGAGATCCGGCTGCTGCTGCTGCGATCAACCACGAGAGGCAGACTGACTCCTTTGTTCCATATGGATTTGTTGGGAGGGAGGAAGATAAGAAGAAAATAATTGCTATGTTATTGTCATCAACCAATGATCAGCAGAAAATCGAGGTTATTCCGATTCTTGGAATGGGGGGTCTCGGGAAAACTGCTTTGGCTCAGTGTATTTACAACGACGAGAGTGTGTCAACTTGTTTTCAATTGAAAATTTGGATGTGTTTCAGATCATTTCGATCAAGCAATATTGGTTAGGAAGATGTTGGAGTCTATAACCCGACGTAAAGCGGAAGATCTTGACTTGGACATCTTGAAGGGAGAACTTAAGAAGGAGATGGATAATAAGAGGTTCTTGTTAGTGTTGGATGATGTTTGGAATCATGGTAACTACAAAGGCAATTGGGATAGCTTGATGAGCTTTTGGTTGCAAGTTGGGGCAAGTAGTAGCAAAATTATCGTCACTACTCGTCTTGCAGAAGTCGCGAATTGCTTCGCAACGAAGGGGATTAAACCACACAAGCTAAAAGGTTTATCCGAGCCAGAATCATGGTTTTTGTTTGAACAAATAGCATTTAAGGGTGAAGTGGAAGGTGGTGAAAGATTTGTATACATAGGGAAAGAGGTCATGAGAAGGTGCGTGGGAGTTCCTTTGGCCATAAGGGTGATTGCAGGTACCCTTTCATCTAAGAGCAACATGGTTGATTGGGAGGTTATAAGAGATAAACAAGCATTGTTAGATGGGGATGACGAGGGAAGGATTTTGGGTACTCTTAGATTGAGTTATGACAACCTGCCTTCTGAACTGAAACCGTGTTTTGTTTATTGCAGCCTGTTTCCGAAAGATTCTAACATTGATGTGAAATTGTTGGTACACATTTGGATGGGGCAAGGATTTATCAACTCTAGCCGGTCGTCATCTGCTTTATTTGAGGTTGGAGTTGAATATTTCAAGAGTTTGTTGTCCATGTTCTTTTTTCAAGAGCCAAAAAGTGATCGATGGGGGGATGTATATCAGTGTAAGATGCATGATTTGATTCATAAATGAACATATTCTTTTGAACTAATATAAAAGCGGTCTCCTACAACGTTCCTTTATTTTTGTCTCTGCAGGATGTGGTCAGATTGCATTGCGAGATTGACTTGTAACCTGTTCCAAAGATGCTTTCTGGGCTAGTTACCAAACGTTCTCTCACGGGTATTTTGATGCATACACACGAGACTTATCGCAACCTGCATGCATATCCGACAAACTAGTGATCACATCGCCGTCTGCAGAGTTATTTGTGAGACCTCTGTGGCGTACAAGCTTGTTCTTTTGGACCAAATTAGACAATTTAATTTCATGTTTCTTAACAATAGTTGCATCTTGCTTGTTTTCTACCAGCTTGAACTTCCACCATGTGGGGACTAGTTCTGTTCTTATCTCTTTCTTTGTAACATTTGTTGTATTTTGGAGTTGTGTTCCTTTTGCGCCTGGACAAGAATTTTTCAGTGAAGAAGAGGAGGAAGAACTGCCCTTGGGCATTCCGTCTCCAAGGTACACTCTTCTTAACGATATCGATGAACTTGATTGCCTGGTTGTTTGGTTGGTCAAGCTTGTTCCACTTGTTGTTCTCCGTCAAGGGCATTGTTCCTTCTTGGACATGATGTAATATCTTGATTTTAGTGGTTGTTTCCCTGAATGTTTGACTGCTCTTAGAGCTGGATCTCTTTTGTATATAATGTTTCTCAATCTTTACTCTGTCAACTGTTTTTTTACCATTTCTAAAACTGAGATTTCACATTAGGTATGTGGATGGTATCGGTGAGTTCAACAAAATTCTCTTGTACATTTACAAGACCAAGCAATATCATCAGAAGTCTCCACAGTATGAACAAATACTGAAGAAGAATGAGCAAATGTATGCCCTGCTTGCAATTTGCCTCTCATTTTGCCCTCAAATGAAGCTTGTCGATGAGGCTGTAAATGCTCAATTACGCGAGAAATATGGTGAAAAGATGGGTAAATTGCAAAGATATGATGATGAGGCTTATGGTGACAAACTGAGCAGAAGGCAAAGATATGCTGATGAGGCATTTGGTATCTATGATGAACTCTTTTCATATGCATGTCCCAAATTCATTACCCCTTCAGCTCCGAGTTTTGACGAGCCTCTCGTAAATTACAACCAGGTATGCAAATGTATCTATCACACTCGTGCCTAACTTCTAATATGCAATGCCTTTCAATGAGTAGTTACTCACATGCTTTACTTTTTCTTATTCTTTTTGCAGGATGCTTATAGGCTGCAGTTGAAGCTTTTCCTTTCTGAGGTGAGGCAGCAGGAGTTGTTAGTTGGCGCTCGAACCTTCCTTAAAGTATACTCAACCATATCACTTGGGAAGCTTGCCAATTATTTGGACGTGGATGAATCCACGTTAAGGTATACGCTCTAGTTCTTTGAAAAGTTTTTGCCTTCAAATCCTGTCTACGGGAGGAGTTATTTGAATTGGTTTGTTTTTTTTCTTTTTTCCAGGATGACATTGATGACGTACAAGCACAAGACTCATGCTGTTGATTCTGATGGAAAGATTATCTCCAATGCCGATGTCGACTTCTACATTGATGATGTATGATACGTGCCCCTATCTGCCTTTGGCTCCATGCCGTCATCCATTGTCACTTGTTTAATTAACATCTCCATATCCTTTTGGCTGTTGCAGGATATGATACGTGTTGTGAACTCCAAACCAGTGAAGCGATATGGCGATTTCTTCTTGAGGCAAATTGTAAAGGTATGCTATTTCGTATTTCATATGTCCTATAGTTTTTTCTTCCTGATTATGATGTATTAGAAGAAGAAGATTTGATCTATGAATGATATGATCTCCCATGGTGATTACTCGTGCTGAATTCCCTTGCTGTAGCTTGAAGGAGTGATCAACGACGTGGACCGGATAAAGGTGGAGTCAGCCAATTGACTGTTGCATTTCTTTCATCCGACCAGATCATGTAGTTCTACCAGACATCGGCAGAGATTTCGTTATATTCATTCGCATTTTGCGTATGAATCGTGTGTTGACGCTAGTGAAAAGCTGCAGCTCTATAAGACTGGAAGAAGCACGCTGTCAAGACTTTGGAATGGATAGATTAGATCCTGTGTTTAGTTGCTGGCGGCATGGTTTTCTTCCTCGTCTTGTTTGGAATTGGTTTCAGTCATATTTGCTCGCATTGGTCGAAAGACGCCGGAATTTGGGTGATGGAAGGTTTTGATTTTTGAATGATAGTTTATGTCAGCGTAACAAAGAACAATTCATTTATTATGTATACAAAAAAAAAAAAAAATCAAACTACGATGGATTCCAAACAATACAAGGATAATAACGATCTTAGAAAACAATGAACACAGCTTAGCTTAGTTGACCCAAAGCTTACGGATAAACTACCAGTTATGTTGGAATGGAGATGGAGCGTGGGATTAGTGTCCTAGTTGGAAATCAGTATGAACTGAGATCAATGTAGTCAAAATCGCGCTTTAAAATTTAAAAACTTACGATTTTACGTTTCTAGATCACTAAAACGGTTCTACACAAAATCTTAGTTTTTATAGCTTATGTAGTTAAAAATTCCGCATTATAACTTAAAAACTTACAATTTTACGCTTCTAGATCACCAAAACGTTTATACGTAGAAACTCGCTTTTGACTACATTAACTGAGACTAAGAAGCAAGTTCGCTAGCGGATGAAAGAAAATACAGTGTCCACTCCTGTCACCATCATGTCCCCTGCCTTCATTATCGGTAGCTCTCAGCCTCTCACTCAACTATACAATCCGTATTATGGGACTGGATTCATACAATCCTCTTCTGCTTTCTTTCCTTCACAGAGAAATATCTTATCCCATTTTTCTTACATACTCCCTTCCTTCCTTCCTTTGCCTTTGGACCTCTTTTCCTCACAAGTTCTCTGCCAAAAATGGCATTCGCTGTTGCTGAGGCAATCCTCAAGAAGCTGGCTCCCCTGGCCGCAGAGCAAGCGGGTCTCCTCTGGAGCTTGAAGAGCGATTTTCTGAAACTGAAGAGCACGGTTTCCTCCATCAAGGCGGTGCTGTTGGATGCCGAGGAGCAATCGGGTCTGAACCATCAGGTTCGAGACTGGCTCGCTGAACTGAAACAGATGCTTTATGATGCTGATGACTTGCTGGATGATTTCTCCACGGAGGCTCTGTTGAAGCAGCGAAGGAACGATGGGAATCGCTGCGTGAACGAGGTATGCCTCTTCTTTACGCGTTCCAACCAATTGGTTAGTGGTCTTGTGATGGCACATCGGTTGAAGGCCATCAGGATCAAGCTGGATGAGATTGATGAGAATCGGAGGAAGTTTAATCTTGAAACGCGCCTTCGAGATCCGGCTGTTGCTGCTGCGATCAAGCACGAGAGGCAGACGGACTCCTTTGTTCCATATGGATTTGTTGGGAGGGAGGAAGATAAGAAGAAAATAATTGGTATGCTATCATCGACCAACAATGAGCAGAAAATTGAGGTTATTCCTATTCTCGGAATGGGGGGTCTCGGGAAAACTGCTTTGGCTCAGTGTATCTACAACGATGAGTGTGTGTCTACTTGTTTTCAGTTGAAAATTTGGATATGTGTTTCGGATAATTTCGATCAAGCACTATTGGTCAGGAAGATGTTGGAGTCTATAACCAAACGTAAAGTAGAAGATCTTGACTTGGACATCTTGAAGGGGGAACTTAAGAAGGAGATGGATAATAAGAGGTTCTTGTTAGTGTTGGATGATGTTTGGGATCATGGTGACTACAAGGGCAGGTGGGATAGCTTGATGAGTTTTTGGTTGCAAGTTGGGGCAAGTGGTAGCAAAATTATCGTCACTACTCGACTTGCAGAAGTCGCGAATTACTTCGCAACGAAGAGGATTAAACCACACAAGCTAAAAGGTTTATCCGAGCCAGAATCATGGTTTTTGTTTGAACAAATAGCATTCAAGGGTGAAGTGGAAGGTGGTGAAAGATTTGTAGACATAGGAAAAGAGGTCATGAGAAGGTGCGTGGGAGTTCCTTTGGCCATAAGGGTGATTGCAAGTGCCCTATCCTCTAAGAGCAACATTGTTGATTGGGAGGCTATAAAAGATAAACAAGCAATGTTTGATGGGGATGACGAGAGAAAGATTTTGGGTACTCTTAAATTGAGTTATGACAACCTGCCTTCTGAACTGAAATCATGTTTTGTTTATTGCAGCTTGTTTCCGAAAGATTCTAAAATTGATGTGAAATTGTTGGTGCAAATTTGGATGGGGCAAGGATTTATCAACTCTAGTCAATCGTCATCTGCTTCATTTGAGTTCGGAGTTGAATATTTCAAGAGTTTGTTGTCTAGGTTCTTTTTTCAAGAGCCCGAAAGTGATGAATGTGGGAATGTAAAGTGGTGTAAGATGCATGATTTGATTCATGATGTGGCCCTGGAGATTGCAAGTGATGAGATTATGGCTTTAAAAGCTTCAGATTCAATGGAAGGTAGTGTCAGCTTTGACAGGCTTCGACACATATCGTTCGATTTTGAGGAAAATTGGAGAGTAACATGGAAAGCTCCACAAACGTTGGCTAATGTAACAAAACTGCGAACTTTTCTTCTTATAAATACAGTCTGTTTTGGCATTTATCGCATCGAGGAGCAGAACTGTGAGATGATCTTCTCAAATAATACTAGGCTCAGAGTTTTAAGTCTCGACGGTGCTATATTGGAGAGTGTGCCCCGCTCCATCCAGAAATTGACACATCTCAGGTACCTAAATCTTTCTCACAATCCTATAGAGGTGCTCCCCGACGAGATTACGGTACTGGTAAATTTACAAGTGCTCATACTTGATTCTTGTGAGAATCTCAAGCAATTGCCAAGAGATATTGTGAAATTGACTGATCTCGAGTTTCTTAGCCTCGTTGGGTGTTCGAGTTTGAAAGGCTTGCCACTTGGGATCGGGCGGCTCACTCGTCTGAGAGAATTGTCCATATTCATTGTGCCAGCTGCATCATACTATTCACATGGGTCAGTCGCTGCTAGAATCAGCGAGCTGGAGCATCTCGACAATCTAAGTGGGAATTTGAAGATCATAAATCTGGAATTGGTGAAGGATGAGGCTGAAGTGAAGGCAGCAAGTTTGTTTCGGAAGCAACATCTTCTAGCCTTGACATTGGAGTGGAGCATACGGAGACGAGTTTTTGTACTAAAGGCATTGGAGCCACATAAGAATTTGAAGGAGCTAGAGTTGGTTGGTTATGGCGGTCACAGTCTACCTAGCTGGGTCTTTACTACTCTCCAGAATCTGGTTCACTTGAAATTGTATAATTTGTGTCGCTTAAAGTACATAGAGGATGACGCTGGGCAGCTTCTTCCCCGCTTGAAATCTCTCCGCATTCGCGACTGCCCCAGGCTAGTAGGCAGGAGGTCAACCACAGAGATAGAAATGCCGCAGTTCCCTTCTCTTTCAGATCTCCGCATTGAATGTTGCCCGAAACTGGTACGGCTTCCTCAATTTTCGGCGGGTATTGAAACGGTTTGCTTAAGAGATGTTTGCCGCAAACTGTTGGACGAGTTTGTTGCCTCACTTCCACCACCCAGCTCCCCTTCGTGGATCAAGAATCTGACAATCGAGGGGATAAGAGGCCTTCGAATTCTGCCGCAAGGTTTACTGCCACATCTTGCATCCCTTGAATATTTGTGGATATGGGATTGCCCGAACCTAACGAATCTGTCTCCACAGCTGGCTACTAGTCAACAACATCATCTCACTTCCCTCCAGTTCTCTACCCTTCCAAACCTCCGTCGCTTTTATATGCGGGAACTTCCAGGGATGAAGAGTCTACCAGAGTGGCTTCAGCATTCCTCTAACTTGCAGTTGCTGTTGATAAGTAGGTGTGACGGTCTCAAGTGCTTGCCAAAATGGCTACCCAAGCTCACAGCGCTAGATACTCTGAGAGTAAGTGGCTGTCATTTTCTATCAGCCAGATTGAAGAGTAGAACGGCCGAGGACTGGCCCAAAGTTGCTCACATTCGGAAGATTTATATTAATGACACCAAAGTACAAAGGGACGGTAACTACGTGAGAGTAGAAGAACCATCAGACGAAAACCAACTTCAAGAACAAGAAGCAAGTGGAGAAGAAGAAGAACAACAACAAGAACAAGAATTATTTAGTGAAGAAGAAGAAGATGATGATAACGAGGTCGAGAGCGAGGCAGAAGAAGATGATGATCATGAGGGTGAGGGCGAGGAAGAAGCAGAAGGACTACCCCTGGGCATTCCGTCTCCAAGGTACTTTCTTCTTAACTACATCAATTAACATATTTTTTGAACCAAAATAAAAGCGATCTTCAATTATTCCTTGATTTTTTTCACTGCAGGACGTGGTCAAATTGCATTGCGAGACTCACCTGTAACCTGTTCCAGAGATGCTTTCTTGGCTAGCTACCAAATCTTCTCTCTTTGTTATTCAGGATGATATTGATGAATTACAAAGACAAAACTCATGTTATTGATTCTGATGGAAAGATTGTCTCCAATTCCGATGTCAGACTTCTACATTGATGATCAATGTATGACACAGGCCCCTGGTCCCTTTGATTCAATAATGTGCTTCTGGAGATTGTTAAAGCATATACTGTCAAGTTCACACTTTTCTTTTATCTAACATCTCTGTATCTTTTTGGTCTATGAATTATATGTTCTCCCGTGGTGATTATGTGTGCTGAATTCCCTTGCTGCAGCTTGAAGGAGTGATCAACGACGTGGATCGAATAAAGGTGGAGTCAGCCAATCAACAGTTGCAGTTCTTTCATCCGACCAGAGCATGTAGTGGCAATGATTTTATTCTATTCATTCGCATTCTGGGTATCTATCCTTAGTCATCTTCTCCTCATGTCGTATGAATCCCATGTTTACCTAGTGAAAAAGCTGCAACTCCATGGAAGAGAAGAAGCATGCTGTCAATACTTTGGAATAGATGGTTCCTCTGTTTAGTTTTCTAGCAGCAAGGTTTTCTTCCTCTGGTTTTTTGTGATCGGTACTTTTTGTATGCTTCTTCTTTGCTTGCAAATGAGAGTTTGATCTAACATTATTATAATTTATTTTCAATTTGTAATTCATGTTTGATTTGGAAAGTGTGGTAAACAAATCCTACCCTTAATTTTTTTCTTCTTAATAACCGAGAACCACTTATCTGTAGTTGTCATTTAGATGACGCGTGTTAAACCATCAACCCAGGCCGTCAATCATCGATTGGTTCTTTGTTACTTGGCCGGATCATGGACCGGATCAATTACAGCTGGGCTAAGCCTCCATTTGCATAGAGGTGGCAACGTAGTGGGTTTGGCGGATAGTGCATATCCATTATCCTATACAACGAACATGTTTTTTTGCGCTTTGGATTTGTTTTTGAAAAAAGGCACTTTGCGGGCTGAATGATTACCTGCAAGCTCAAATCAGTGCAGAAGAGGTACATGGCAGAGATCTCCAACGGGAATTCCCAATTGCAACAACATGCAAGCCCGGATTCGATGCATAGCTTTTCCAGGTCAATGGCTAGGCATTGTTCATGAAAATAGCATGTGGAATGGCTCAGGTGAGTATCATGCCCGGATTCGATTATATTATTCGTCTTTGTATTGAGATTCGTTGATGTGTCATAAAGATGCCTTGGACATTATTGCAGCGTTCAGTACTGGCCAACTGGCATCTCGATTTTCTGCTACCATGTGCACATTATCAGTCAACATTTAGATATCCCCACCGGGATCTTGATCAAGCCGTGTATGTAGAGTAAGTGGGTTTTGGATCATAATCCTCTCTTGTGCTTTCTGAAAACCTTCTGATCCCATTTTCTTGCATCCTCTTCCTTCCCATTTTGCCTTTGGACTCCTTTTTCTTCAAAAGTTCTCGGCCAAAGATGGCATTCGCTGCTGCGGAAGCTATCCTCAAGAAGTTGGCTCCCCTTGCTGCTGAGCAAGCAGGTCTCCTCTGGAGCTTGAAGAGCGATTTCCTGAAACTGAAGAGCACGGTTTCCTCCATACGTGCGGTGCTGTTGGATGCCGAGAAGCGATCGGGCGAGAACAATCAGGTTCAAGACTGGCTCGATAAACTGAAACAGGTGCTTTATGATGCTGATGACTTGCTGGATGATTTCTCAACGGAGGCTCTGTTGAAGCTGCGGAGGAATGATGGGAATCGCTGTCTGAACGAGGTATGCCTCTTCTTTACGCGTTCCAACCAATTGGTTAGTGGTCTATTGATGGCACATCGGTTGAAGGCCATCAGGATCAAGCTGGATGAGATTGATGAGAATCGAAGGAAGTTTAATCTTGAAACGCGCCTTCGAGATCCGGCTGCTGCTGCTGCGATCAAGCGGGAGAGGCAGACTGACTCCTTTGTTCCATATGGATTTGTTGGGAGGGAGGAAGATAGCAAGAAAATAATTGCTATGTTGTTGTCATCGACCAACGATGAGCAGAAAATCGAGGTTATTCCGATTCTTGGAATGGGCGGTCTCGGAAAAACTGCTTTGGCTCAGTGTATCTACAACGATGAGACTTTGTCTACTTGTTTTCAGTTGAAAATTTGGATATGTGTTTCGGATAATTTCGATCAAGTACTATTGGTCAGGAAGATGTTGGAGTCTATAACCCGACGTAAAGTAGAAGATCTTGACTTGGACATCTTGAAAGGGGAACTTAAGAAGGAGATGGATAATAAGAGGTTCTTGTTAGTGCTGGATGATGTTTGGAATCATGGTGACTACAAGGGCAATTGGGATAGCTTGATGAGTTTTTGGTTGCAGGTCGGGGCAGTTGGTAGCAAAGTTATCGTCACTACTCGTCTTGGAGATATCGCGAATCACTTCGCAACAAAGGGGATTAAACCACACAACCTAAAAGGTTTATCTGAGGAAGAATCGTGGTTTTTGTTTGAACATATAGCATTCGAGGGTGAAGTGGAAGGTGGTGAATCATTTGTAGAGATAGGAAAAGTGATCATGAGAAGGTGTGTGGGAGTTCCTTTAGCCATAAGGGTGATTGCAGGTGCCCTATCGTCTAAGAGCAACATTGTTGATTGGGAGGTTGTAAGAGATAAACAGGCACTATTAGATGGGGACGACGAGAGAAGAATTTTGGGTACTCTTAGATTGAGTTATGACAACCTGCCTTCTGAACTGAAACCGTGTTTTGTTTATTGCAGCCTGTTTCCGAAAGATTCTAACATTGAGGTGAAATTGTTGGTGCAAATTTGGATGGGGCAAGGATTTATCAACTCTAATCAGTCGTCATCTGCTTTATTTGAGGTTGGAGTTGAATATTTCAAGAGTTTGCTGTCTAGGTTCTTTTTTCAAGAGCCAGAAAGTGATCGATGGGGGAATGTATATCAGTGTAAGATGCATGATTTGATTCATGATGTGGCCCTGGAGATTGCAAGTGATGAGATTATGCCTTTAAAAGCTTCAGATTCAATGGAAGGTAGTGTCAGCTTTGACAGGCTTCGACACATATCGTTCGATTTTGAGGGAAAATCGAGAGAAGCATGGAAAGCTCCACAAGCGTTAGCTAATGTAACAAAACTGCGAACTTTTCTTCCTATAAATACACGCTTTTATGGCATTGATGGCATCGAGGAGCATAACTGTGAGATGATCTTCTCAAATAATACTAGGCTGAGAGTTTTAAGTCTCCACGGTGCTAAACTGGAGAGTGTGCCCCGCTCCATCCATAACTTGACACATCTCAGGTACTTAAATCTTGCTCACAACCCTATGGAGGTGCTCCCAGGCGAGATTACGATACTAGTAAATTTAAAAGTGCTCATACTAGATTTTTGTGATAATCTCAAGCAATTGCCACGTGATATTGTGAAATTGACTGATCTCGAGTTTCTTAGCCTCGTTCAGTGTTCGAGTTTGAAAGGGTTGCCACTTGGGATCGGGGGGCTCGCTCGTCTGAGAGAATTGTCCATATTCATTGTGCCAGCTGCATCATACTATTCACATGGGGCAGTCCCTGCTAGAATCAGCGAGCTGGAGCATCTCGACAATCTAAGTGGGAAATTGAAGATCATAAATCTGGAATTGGTGAAAGATGAGGCTGAAGTGAAGGCAGCAAGTTTGTTTCGGAAGCAACATCTTCAAGCATTGACATTGAAGTGGAGCTTACCGAGACGAGTTTTTGCTGGCAGGGATGTTGGGGTACTAAAGGCGTTGGAGCCACATAACAATTTGAAGGAGCTAGAGTTGGTTGGTTATGGCGGTCGCAGTCTACCTAGCTGGTTCTCGACTTCTCTCCAGAATCTGGTTCACTTGGAATTGTGTAATATAGGTCGCTTAAAGTACTTGGAGGATGACGCTGGGCAGTTTCTTCCCCGCTTGAAATATCTCTGCATTCGCAACTGCCCCAGGCTAGTAAGCTGGAGGTCAACTACAGAGATAGAAATGTCGCAGTTCCCTTCTCTTTCACATCTCGAGATTGAGAAGTGCCCGAAACTGGTACGGCTTCATCATTTTTCGGCGGATATTGAAAGGGTTGAGTTAAGATATGTTGACCGCAAACTGTTGGACCAGTTTGTTGCCTCACTTCCACCACCCAGCTCCCCTTCGCGGCTCCAAGAACTGACAATCGAGGGGATAAGAGGCCTTCGAATTTTGCCGCAAGGTTTACTCCCACATCTTGCATCCCTTGAAGTTTTGCGGATAGGGGATTGCTGGAACCTAACGAATCTGTCTCCACCGGCTACTAGTCAACAACAACATCTCACTTCCCTCCAGTTCTCTGTCCTACCAAACCTCCGTCGCTTTGATATCTGGGGACTTCCAGGGATGAAGCGTCTACCAGAGTGGCTTCAGCATTCCTCTAACTTGCAGACGCTTTGGATATTAAGCTGTGACGGTCTCAAGTGCTTGCCAAAATGGCTACCCAAGCTCACAGCGCTAGATATTCTGTGTGTAGATGACTGTCATTTTCTATCAGCCAGATTGAAGAGTAGAACGGCCGAGGACTGGCCCAAAGTTGCTCACATTCGGAAGATTGAATTTAATTACACCACCGTTCAAGCTGATGGTAACTACGTGAGAGTAGAAGAACCAGCAGGCGAAAACCAACTTCAAGAACAAGAAGCAAGTGAAGAAGAAGAAGAAGAAGAAGAAGAAGAAGATCATGCTAGCGAGGGCGAGGAAGAAGAAGACGATGATCATGAGGGCGAGCTCGAGGAAGAAGCAGAAGCAGAAGGACTACCCCTGGGCATTCCGTCTCCAAGGTACATTCTTCTTAACTACATAAATGAACATATTCTTTTGAACTAATATAAAAGCGGTCTCCTACAACGTTCCTTTATTTTTGTCACTGCAGGATGTGGTCAGATTGCATTGCGAGATTGACTTGTAACCTGTTCCAAAGATGCTTTCTGGGCTAGTTACCAAACGTTCTCTCCCGGGTATTTTGATGCATACACACGAGACTTATCGCAACCTGCATGCATATCCGACAAACTAGTGATCACTATCGCCGTCTGCAGAGTTATTTGTGAGACCTCTGTGGCGTACAAGCTTGTTCTCTTGGACCAAATTAGACAATTTCATTCCATGTTTCTTGACAATAGTTGCATCTTGCTTGTTTTCTACCAGCTTAAATTCCACCATGTGGGGACTGGGACTAGTTCTGTTCTTATCTCTTTCTTTGTAACATTTGTTGTATTTTGGAGTTGTGTTCCTTTTGTGCCTGGACAAGAATTTTTCAGTGAAGAGGAGGAAGAACTGCCCTTGGGCATTCCGTCTCCAAGGTACACTCTTCTTTACGATATCGATGAACATATTCTTTGAACCAAAATAAAAGCGGTCTCCAACATTGTTTTATTTTTATCACTGCAGGATGTGTTCAATGTATACACACCAGACTTATTGCAGCTTCCATGAATATCCGGCGAAGTAGTGATCACTATCGAAGTCTGCACGTTCATTTTGAGACCTCTATCGCGTACAAGCTTGTTCTCTTGGATCAGATTAGACCATTTCATTCTGTGTTTGTTGGCAATAGTTGCATCTTGCTTTGTTGTTTTCAACTAGCTTGAACTTCCATCTTGTCGTACTAGTCTTGTTTTTCTGTATTTCTTTCTCGTAAACTTCGTTATATTTTGGAGTTGGGGCCTGCTAGTTAGAGATTTTGTCATAATGCAGCTGTCACTCGCTTGAAGTAACAGATTCATTTGCAGCAGCAAACTCCTCAACACTGTCTTCTGTTGTTGTGTTCTTACAAGCCCAATCTGGCATAGTTGGTAATGGCAAAACTTCAGTATAATCGATGGGAGATTCCGAATAAGTTATCTGCTATGAAGAAGTCATTTCTACAATATAACAAGAAGTGGGTAAAAGCAGCAACTTCATTGTTCCATTTCTTCCCCCCAAATGAATCATCCTTCCTTTTGTTGCCTCTGGTACAAGTAACCTCATTGTTGTCAGGAAACATCGACTTGCTATGTTCGCTGGACGTATTGATCACACTATTCCTAACAAGGAACAACATCAATAGTGTCACCACCACCTCTTAAACAAACCTTCTCGACTTACTACCAGCAATCTCCAATCTTCCTCGACTAGTTCACTTACCCTTCTGTGTTCCATGAAAAAAAAATGATTCCTAATAGATTAAGACGAAACTAATTCCAAACAGACTGAGGGTAAATGGACGAGACACAATGAAAAGGAAAAATACTCGGTTTCTCTTCTTTTCTTTCGAATCCAATGGGAGAGACTGCGATGAACAACATTGAATGAGTTCAGCCTAGATTGAAGGTTCTTAACGAAAATCGGATTCCTGACAAAATGCATACATACATCTATATTTTGGTGTTACTATAAACAATAGAATTTCCCACAGCCTAAAACTGTTTTCCTTCTTCTGTTTTCCTTCCCTTCTTGGCTTTCTTCCTCTGCTATCTGAAACTCTTCAACAGGTGGGAAGAAGTGGAAGGACTCGACAAGCTGCTCGTTGCACCTGTAGTAGAAGAAAATTTCCCTTTCTCCTTACCTTTCTCAGGCGTCCCGCATTCGCTGAAGTCCAAAACTCGGCCTTCCTTCTGCTACAAGAAAAGGGAGAAGAAAAAGAAGATTCCAAAGTGATTAAGTAGCTATACATACTGCATATACATAATAAATCATTGATAACAAAACCATCAACACATACAGAGATATTGGCCAAAACGGAGCCACTAATGTCGCGATCTCCATCGTTGTTTTCTTGGTCCCAGACGGTGTTCTTCTTGCACCACCTTCCTTTGGATATGGTTTCAGGGGTTTCATCCCCGAGAACTTCCAATGCATCAGCACAAGCAGCAGCAGTGTGCTCGCTGAACTGCTTCAAAAGTGTAATGGCATCATAGCTTCTGTCCCCCGGGCTCAGAAGATATCCCATATCCTGAAAAGATGAAGTGATTGATATGATTCTCCAAAAAGAATGCTGAAAATTTTGGAGAACGACATGTAAGAACTAGAAGTGGTAGTAGTACCTCAACTGAAATTTCTGTGTCGACCCTTGGACCGGGGAGGAAGGAGTTCATGAACCATGGAGATTTCCATGCCGAGGGAGATTCAATGCTTCTCCTGAAAGGAGTTCCACCAAAGCTGTAAAACAGAAGAAAAAGGACATGCGCAATTTGCAAGTGGACGCATTGATGTTAGATTTGAAAATTGAAATTCTAGCCGTTTTCTGCAGAGAGCAAATTGACAACCAAGGGGCACAACACAACATACAAGAATGCACAACCGAAGTACTCACAGGTCATTCCCAGTGGCGGCGGTAGTAGTACTAGAGGTAGCAACTGTATTTTCTGCAGGTGCTGATAATGAGGGCACGGGTTTCGTTGCAGTAACAGCAACCGACGATTGGCCTTCATTCTTCTTGTTCACAGTAGGTGATGACGATCCAGCTGTCACAACCTTCTCTGATAAAGTAGCCAAGATTCTTCGATGCAAATTCCTTGGAGTTCGAGCATCCGGTGAAAATAGTAAGAGATCACTCAAGCTTTCTTCGCCAATAAGTAATTCAGAATGCTGTTGCAATCAGTGTAAAGGAGACAAAGGTATAGGTCAAAGTAATCATACATTGGAAGCAACAGAACTGAGTAAACAGAATAACAGAAAACTGAACTCACAGTTCGGGGATTACTAAAACTGTGATGATTATCTTTCGCCTTAGTATCACCATCCTCTGAGATAGTAGAACAATCTCTTCCCTTCTCTTCTTTATCCGATTGAAGAGCAGGGTCCACATTTTCCTTATCTTCAATACAAGATATTTGGTTAACTTTGGATAATGGAGACATCAAATACGGTCTGTTGCCAGACTTGATATCCTCATACACTACATCCAGGCGTTGAAACTCTCTAGTCAAACTGGAAGTCATGTCAATCACAAGCTTTTTTTCATCTCTTCTTTCTGACAAAGGCGACAGTAAATCCCGGGTCCTCTTCTTCAAAATGGAAGGTGTGCCCGTGAAAGTCTTGGCAGCACTCTTGAGAACTGCATCGGGACTGGTGGTACTAGTACTTCTCGTTGGAGAATCCCACAGCCGAAATGGACTGATGCAGTTTGCTGAAGATAACATGAATTGGCGGATACCAAGTGGACTGTACTCTTGCTGAAGATCACTATCAGGTTGCACGAGATCGCAACTTAGGAATGGAAGATCCAAGCTTGGGAACCGTGGAGGCTCGTAGCATAAAGATCCTGTATCATCGCCTTGTTGCTGATCTAGTCCACCATCATTCGTCTTCTGCAAATCTGAAGCTTCTTCCAAATATGATTCTGCTTGCATCATATTCCCACCACCACCATCACAGGAGTGCATAACACTTGCTATGAGATCTTCATCATTAGTTGGAATAAGCACCTTATCAGGTCTCTGGTTGATTGATGATCCACGTAAGTCAACCATATTCGACGAGTCTTCTCTATGATGATTTTGAGGAGCGATGTCTCCACTGGTTGTTGCCTCTGGGAACAAGATCTTGCAGCATTCATCGTCAGGTATGAGAATTTGTTGTCCAGGTGTGGATGAACATGTTGCCATATCTTCCAAAGGAATAGGAGCAGTGAATCCCATTTCCTGGGTTTCATGAGCACCGATACTACAATGATTTGGCATGCCTGAAAAGCCACCTTGTCCAAATTCCAGTGGATGATGCAAGTTGGAAAGCTCCTCCAAGTTGAATTGGTAATCACTACTTGCTGGATTATCAACTGCAGCCATATGAGCGTAATTCTGATGGAGAAAGCCGGTGGAGGATCCATCTGCTTCACAAGATACTTCAGGAATGGAAAACTGGACATTTCCAAGAGACGTGTAATACTCCTCGGAACAATGGACAGCAGTATAGGGGTATCTTTCATTTACCATGCCAGATTCTTGTGCTAACTGGAATTCTTCTCCTGTACGGATAATAGAATTATCCCCCAAACCGTTAGCTGACTGAGAACAGACCATGATTGTCGACTCCTGACTGCACTCTGATATTTCCTCTGCTTCTGTGACACACTTTCGACTGCTGTCGTTATCATCCCCACTATTTTGCAACCTGGAAGAAGATGAAGTTGTGGGTTGATTTTGATGCATGACTAGTGGATGGCCTTGAAACTGTTCTAGTAAACCAGATGCCAAGTAAGAATCCAACTTCTTCTTTACAGAACTATTCCAATGGTTCTTTATAGCATTATCCGTCCTGTAAACCCCCAGAATCAAATTATAACTCAACTGGCAACAAAAACTCCTCCAATCAAGCCAACTAAATAAGTTAACAAGAACTGTGTGCAAAGGTAAAAGAAGAACTGATATTTTAAAATATAGGACATAATAAACCTTCCAGGCAAGAATTTAGAGAGCTCTGCCCATCTGTTGCCATAAATTTGATGAGCACGAACCAATGCCAACTCCTCATCCTGAGTCCAAGCCTGTCTGTTAATTGATGGGTTAAGATGATTATGCCACCTAAATATAAAAAAAGCGAGTCAGGGCCAAATGTTGGGTGGAAGTACTGGCATTGAGTGGAAGTTTGAACAAACACAATAAAGCATCAAGTTAAATTTGAAAATCAAAAGATGAACAAAAAATATTTTAAACTCATGAATCGGTAAATTTTGGAGTAAGTTCATAACCATTTCATGTTTACCTTTCTCTACATTGCTTGCCGATACGCCCTGGTAAATGTTGGGCAATTGTAGACCACTTTTTAGGTCCGTATTTATTGACCAGTTCAACAATGGTTTCATCTTCCTATTTGGAGAAAATGCAAGATAAATGAGAAATATACTTGCTGTACACATTCAAGCAAAAAGAGGGATAAAAGGATAGAAAAAAGAGCAACATTGATAAATCCAAGAAAGAACTATAAAGATACCTCCTTTGACCAAGGTCCTTTCACAAGTTCAGGATTTAAGACTTTCTGCCACCTGTGCAGGCATTGTACATCAGTTCGGTCCTTGAAACACTCCGCTGCAGATGGCCATGACAGAATTAGAGAAACAGAATGGTTTCTAATTTTGTCTTTGAGGAAGCTAAGAATATACCAAAAACATAAATGAACTGCAGTCACCCAGAAGGGTTTCTGTAAACTAAGAAAGGCCATTACGTAGCAAAGATCCTAGCCGAACTTCAATGCCACAAAAACAATGAAGTAGAACTGACTCAATTGTGAACAGAGCTCAAGATTCAGGGCATGCCAGCAAGATACTAGATATTGCTTTGCTGACTAGGAGGTTGTTATAAATTTCACGCCGTGCTGAGCAAACAAAATATGCAACTACTGCAGCCCTTTGTATAAGGCTACTCAAACTCTGAAATGAGAAGAAACACATTTTAAGTGATAAATTTCACCTCAAGCTCCGCAGTTTGTCGCTTCGTTGATCAGATATTGATAGGTTTGTCAGGAAAATATCTATCTACAGTACTATGTGTCGGTGTTCATTAGCTCAACTAACTTTCATGCCACTATCTCATGCTACCTTGCTGTGTTCATTTAGGTTCAGGACTTGCAAGTTGTCTACATGACTCTACTTAGAAATTTACAACCACAAAACATTCACTTCGCTGCCAACTAGTTCCATTATCCACAAGCTGTGGCAAATGAAACCCCAACAGAGAGAAGGCACAAATAATCTTGAATGGATACATTGAAACAAAGGCAAACAATTCAAGGAGAAGAACGTTCATGAAGACAAAAACATGAATATATTCACGGAAAAAATTATTGACAGGAAAATATCTACAGCACAAAATGTTAGTGTTCATTATCTCAACTAAAAGCTTTCATGCCACTATCCCATGTTAACTTGCTGAGTTCATGTAGGTTCAGGACTTGCAAATTGTCTACAATACTCTTAACTAGAAACTTACAATCAGAAAACATTCACTTCTCTACCAATTAGCTTCATTATCTATAAGCTGGGTAAATGAAACCGTAAAAGAGAGAAGGTACAAATTATCTTGAGTGATACATGGAGACAAAGACAGACAAGAATTCTAATGAAGACAAAGCAAGAATATACTCACGTACCAATTTTTTTCCAGTTCTTTCCCTTGAATCGCTGAACAGCCTGGGATAAAATCTCATCCTGAACACACGAAGTAGCTTTATTCATTAGTACGAGATGGATGTCTGAAACCCAAAGGCAGGACAATCGTACTTAAATAAAACAGATGACAAGAATGTCACCTCTTCAGCTGTCCATTGTCCCTTTGTCGAACGCCGAGTAGGGCCACTCGTTCTCCTGTAAGTTGCTCAAATATTATAATTCCTGAATCTATTTGCCTTGATAATACTATCCTTTCATGGTAAAAGCATTAAAATACAGACATGCCACTACTAGTTTCAAACCAGCTCAAATAACAAGCTTCAGAATTCAGATCATGAAACACTTGTTGTGTTTTCAACTTCTCCAGAAATATGGGATTGTAAAAGCACCAACATAAATAGACAAGTTTAGCACCACAAATATCGGATCCAAGCTCAGTTATAGTTAAAAATGTGCTGGAAGGTCAAAAAGGGAGCAGAGTTCGATCAAGCACAAAATACACAAGTAAAGGTTAGGAAGGTTACCCATGGAGTGGCCGGATTTTCTGAACACTATCATTCACCCCATCCGAGGGAGCAGACGCTGACTTCTCACTGCCCATAGTTCTTTGTTAGAAGAATAAAGCTGCATACCTCAATCCCCACTCTATGATCGTTTTCTCTGCTGTTTATTCTCCACGACATCATACAGCTCCCTACAAAGAAGTTCCCATTTCACGCTTAAACCTTCAAAGTCGCTGGCTAATTAACCAAACAAACAGACAAATTTAACCACACACAGAGTAAAAATGGTAAAAAAGGAAACAACTTTGGCAGCATATAGACAGAATCAACTAGCTTCTTCAGCCGGAAAACTCTCTAGATTGAGGTGGGGGAGGGGGGAATCAGGAAATGAACTTTAGTCGCCGCAGCATAGCAGCCACCAGTAAGGCTGGCGGTCGAATAGAAATTCAAAATTATCACAGCTATGTTGACTTTGAGCACAAATTCAAAATCCAAATGCAAAATCAAACTACCACCAATTAGTAATTAGTCCTGAATACAAACCCTAGAACACGATCGATCACCATGAACTCTAGCACAGTCGAATACTCAAACAGATTCGCCAAAAACCACTGTAGTTCCAGAGTCACTCGCCCTCCCTCCCACTTCCGCCCCCACCAAATCACACAAATTCGAAATCCCCAAAAAAAAAAAAAAAAAGAGTTCAAACCAAACTCACTCACCGAACTGAGCTCTTCAATGCGCGCAGGAGTTGCAACGGCGCCGGCGCATTTGCACAGATCCGAGTAGAGTAGGAAATCCAAATCTGGGGGAAACGGCACTGGTTTGAAGAAATGAGGATTTATGAATACGTTGATGATTCTCTGCTTTCTCCTCTCCAATTGAGTTTGCTTTGAAGGGCGCTTTTCCCCCTTTTTCCTAGAGAGAGAGAGTAGAGAGAGGAATTTAAACGGTCTGCAAGAGAGAAGAGGGAGAAAGGAGGGAGGGATTCAAACGAGAAGGGGCGGACTATTTCCAGGTGGAAGGAAGGAAGAAAGAGTTTTTTTTTTTTTAGAAAACCCTATTTTTCGTTTATTTAATTTTAGTATTAAAATTGTTATTATTGCTGTCGTCGTTCGGTGCCGTGAGATCCGACGGTGGAGATCCCGACGGGCCGGATCTTCTGCCGTCTATTTCTAACTTCCTGTTTAGTTGGGCCCCGGAGCCCACCACCGGGCCCATTCCTTCCTGGTTTTTCAAATGCTGAACGGCTGGATTTGTCTACACATAATATAATACACCGAAGGGAAAAACGGGAGTCTCATTTCAAATTTCCTGCAACGAGAGTGAAAATAGGAAGGACATTTCGGTCTTCACAATTACTTTTTTTTATTCATTAAAAAGACACGTACTGGGATTCGAACCATGTCCATTTTAAAGAAAAGCAAGGAACATAACCAATCACACTAAGTACATTTGTTGTATCTTTTTAAATCAAAAACATATAATAGCAGGGAGGAAAAACCCTTCCCCCATTTCAAATTCCATGCTCCATGAGCGTTTGTAGGAAGGGTAGAATAGGGAGTGTCAATTTTTTTCTCTTTCCTCTGTGGGACGGGCCAACTTACCGTACACATGCGGATTTAAACGGGTCCAGGAGTGTCAATTTTTTTCGTTAAGCCCTTTTATTTCTCCGTGGTGATAAAATATATATGGAAAGGCAAAAATAATACACCTTTTTATTGCTAAAAATAAAAAAATTTAACAATAAACTAATGCATGGTATCTAATGGGCTAACCGCTAACCATAAAATAAAAGAGTTGAATGGGCCTGACCTACACGGGATTTGGCCATCAAGTCAAATAAATGAACATCATTGGTTTGTCATTCTAAAACAAGCTATTTTCTCTGACATAATATATATTATGCTATTTTCTCTGACATAATATATATTATGCTAATTTATAATCACATGGTTCCCTGATACCCGATAAAAATCTCAATCCAAACCAGTTTGGCAGGTGAGTCTGTGTTTACGACCATTTTCTAGGAATACGACAACGGCGGTTCCTATCCCAAATCGTGTTGTTCGTTCTTGATTTCCTTAGATTTTATCATGGCCTAACAAAAACCAGAAAGCACAATGACGCAAGATGAAAGTTGTATAAAGCAAATTAATCAACCAACGGGCCGAGTAAAAGCTAGCAACGATTGTGAGATGCCCATTTCCCGAAAATCGACGGGATAGGCGATTTTTTATTCGATTTTCTAGAATTCGGTTTCTATAAAAATTACTCCACCTCATCATATTACCAGAAACAATATTGTTTCACAAGGTAACATGTACTTGACTTTGGTTCATAAGGACGATTTTTGATTCATTGCATCATTCATGTCTCTTTCCTACTAAAATTCACTATTTTTATCACGAGTTTTTAAAAAAAAAAAAAACTATACAACAATAAGCTATACACCCTATTATATTATCAAATTTCATACCTCATCTTCCTCCGGCCAACTGGCCGAGACCCATGCTAGTTGTATTATTAATTTCCATCGATTTTAATCTGTAACTACTTAATATATTTTCATTTAATGAGACCAATGTCAATAGGTCATATTTCTTATTTTTTCCATGTAGGCTGAGTTTAAACAAGGAATCAAAAGGGAAATAAGTGTGATGAAGATTATGTACTTGTAGGTTGGTGAATGTTAACAAACCATAACTTGAGTTGATGATCCTCCAGACGAAAGAACATTTAAAGGATCACAGTTCATTGGACATTGATATGATTGAACAATACGATATGATGGCCTTCAAAATGCGGTCGAACCAATGTGATCGGTTGATACAGTATGGTAATCGTGTTATCATTTTCTCTGGGTTTAGGATATTTAGGAGAGTGATAAGTATGTGTTATATGATTTTTTTCGTCCAACGCTTTTGATGTGCTAGTCTATTTTGAAATTGCATGTATAAGTTCAACTGATTGAAACAATTATGTTATCTCAAATACACGATAAAGAAATATTTGGAAACGAGCTCTGTAGATAGCTTAATCTGAGGAAGGGAGAAGAGGAGGAGGTTGCACATACGAATACTGAAAACGATTTGACATTTAATATGTATTTGATTGTGTAAGGATGATATGTTTCATTTCATCAAATAGTTATAAACATTTGGATATACGCTTCTCATTATCGATCTCAACTTTGGCTTGGATCATCGGTGTAAGTTTCTCATTGTGGAATCCATTCCCAGTTGGCTATTGAGATGATTAACGAACACACTAACCAGATCCATCTCTATGCCACCCTCGCTACCTCGTTCCATGAAAAGAAGTGTTGGATCAGAATTGATTGTTGAACTGCATTCATACAAAACGCAAAAGAGAATAGAATAGTCATTGCTAACTCTCGAAGCACAATTAAGTCTATCCATGTGATACATATGAACTTGTTAACCAACCCATCATCTGAGCTAATTCCGATCCATACCTATGTGTGAAATTCATATCTTCATGCAAATTCCCTCCCATACTAGTTTTCAATTCTCATGAGTCATGCCTATTATAATTTATAAACCTAGTTCCCAAATAGTACTCGACTAGGAACATTTAATAGCAACCCTATGGTTATATCAAATTTAATATCACCCACAAATACACAGGCAATAGTAGTCAATAATAGCACTACCATAACAAAGAAGGGAAATGGTGGCCAAAGGCTCAAAGCAAAATTTCTTTCTACGGAATATAACAACTTCACCAAATTTTACTAAACAAACATTTACTAAACAAACAGTTCATTCCCTCACCATCCTCTCCAGTCTCAATCCCCATCAGACAATAATATAGGCGAGAGAGAGAGATCATAAAGAGGCATTAGAAGCTCATCACAAGGTCTGTGCATGGGAAATCAATAACCCCACACTCCTTTTGGGAGTCTTCTCCTAGCAAAGCTGGTTTTGCCGAGATTCAAACTCAGGCTCCAACCTTCTGGAACTTGTTACGACCACCTCTTCCCGAATCATTATCCCTAGAACGAGGATGCTTACCGCCACGGTGGAACCTGCCTCCCCTGGTCGGATAATATGGAGAAAGAACCATTCTTGAATAAGATTCTGGCAATATGAATCAGAACACAATACCAGATTTTCAAGGTACTGATGTAAATAGCTAAAAACTGACCTTCCTCCTCGATTGCTGAAGCTAGCTTTGCGGTTGTCTTGATTGGTTCGGACCTGGGCCCAATACTCCGCTTCCTTATCGCCTACATGCCCCACACAGAATGTTGGTCTCTTATAGTTGGCTAATCAAAAGTCTGAGCTGCTGAGAATACTTAAGAGGATTGCCATAACTCCTGATTACTCGGCATTTAATTTACATCACCACACTAAACATGGAAGGAGCAACTGTTCAAGATCATCCTTAATTCATGTTGCTATCACTATTTGTCCATTTTCACTCTCATACATAGAGCAAAGTATAGAAGAATTAGTCAGTTAAAAATGGGTGAAAGATTGTGTTTGTTTACCATATAGAGCAAAGTATAGAAGAATTAGCCAGGTTAAAGATCGAGTGAAAGATTGTGTTTGTTTACCATATATTGGTTCTAAAGAGACGATGAAGTTTTTAACAGTCAGTCCTCCCTCCTCTGCCAAGATTGCAGCAGCACGAGCCTTTTGACCAGCTTCAGGTTTCTCGAATCTCGCATATCCTGAATCCTCTCCCATTTTAAAATCAATATACTGGAGAGAACAGAAACAAGTCACACACAAAAGAATTAAGAGGCATTGTAATGCAAAAAAATCATTATCGAAAATATAACAGATGTAACAGAAAGGTACCTTCACAGCGCCAAATTTAGAGAAGACAACCTTGAGATCCTCTCGCAACATGATGTTCTTGTCATTCTTGCAGGCAGAAAGGTCAAATTTGTTACCCTGATTCACATTCTTCTCAACAGAATCTTTGTTCGACTCCTCCCCCTCATCAGTCTTTGTTTCCTTGTTTTCAGTGACATTTTCATTATCCGCCTTTTCAACCTTCTCAGTATCCATAGCAGCCACTTCTTCCTTGTTATTATCGGCATCATCTTCTGAAGCCTTCCCCTGTCCTTCGGTAGTTTTCTCCACGGAACTTGTAGGCATTTCTTCAGCTGCTTTAGGCCCAGTCTCGCCATCTTTAACAGATTCCTGGTTGCCATCCTGTTTTGCCTCATCTCCCGTTGATATGCTTTTCAATTTAAAAGCAACAATCAACCCCTTCGTGTACCTGTGATCATCCCACAAGTTGAATATCGTCAACATACCAAAAGGGGACTCTTGGTCAAAATATTTTTTTGGTTCAGACTCTGGTCAAAATATAATTGCATTGCTAATATCTTACTCTGCCTGTGGGCTCGAGTTTTTGTTATTGTCATTATTCCATTGGGGATTGGCAGCTCTAAATTCTGCTAATTTACTCTGCCTTTCTTCATCGAATTCCTTCCTGAGTTGTGAAGAATGTTCAGCATTATCAGGCAGAGTTACAATATACAAGGCAGAATATACAATATAATGTAATATACCATGACTCAATATGGTATATTTCCACTCCATAAACAGCAAATACATGCACTCCGATGAGAGGAACTGCAATCAAGACTCACTTTGGTTTCAGTTCTAGCTGCACACCTTCAAATTCCAAGATTTGACCTAAGACTTTCTTGGCCTCTTCATCGGTTGGAAACTCAACCAAAGCAGTGCCACACAATACTCTTTTGTTAGCTATGTGGTTAGGCAACCTCAGACTAGTGACCTGAAACAAAAAAATTTAGAACACTGAAACACCAAATTGAAACATCCGCCCACAGAGCAGCACCAAATCGAAGCATGTAAAGTAAACAAGTTGCTCACACACACACTATTCATTCTAAGAGGGGGCAAAGTAGCTTTACCTGGCCATATTGACCGAAGAACGCCACCAATGCATCGCGACTCACATCATAGGGCAATGGCGATGCTGCAATCGTTCTTCCATCCAATTGCTCCACTAACTCTTCTGGTTTCATTAGAGGACCAATCCTACCAACTCTCTTACCTATAAAACATCATGGGCCAGAAACATATTGGTTGTCAACAAGACGTTTCTAAACTGGCCGTATAAGCACAAAGAACTCAACTTCGCATCAAATTCACAATTCCCATGTCACATATAACGCGTACGCCATTACAACTTTGCTTAGAGTTCGCAACTGAGCCAGGAAAAAGAAGGCAAATCAGAGGAATACCATCTTCAGAGAGTTTAAGAGAAGCAGATTTTGCAAGAGTATCAGCAACTGCCTTCAGAGTATCCTCTGGGATTTCATCCTGCTTGGCCTCTTGCAGTTTCAGGTAACCCCTCATTTTCTTGAATGAGCATATCAGAGCCAGGCTTACCACTGTTCAACCCATGTCAAGAAAGACAACTATTCTGATTAAAAAAAGCAATGAGAACAGAACAAAAACAGCAAAAGGTAGCAACTTTTCTTCTTGGTTTTTGCAAAGGATACAGCCATCTTCGCTAGATGCAACGGTGCTCGATAAGAACTTGTCCCGCGGGAGATTGCTATCACTGAAGTAAAACTCCACCTGAAATCATCCCCAAAACACATCATCAATCGATAATACAGTTTTAAGGGTAAAGGGTAATGATTTATTAGACGAGGGAAGAGTCTGATTATCAAAGCAGAGGAAGAGACCTGTCGGAGGACTTCCTTGGCGGTGGCTTCGTCCAACGATGGTGTCGCCATTGAAGCACCGTTTACAGAGAGAGAAAGAGGAACACAGGGAGGCGAGGGAAGAGGGAGAAGGAGGAGTATAAATTAGGGTTTTTGGAGAGAATTTGGGCGTCGAGGCGTAGTGGGGGTTTAAGGAAGTTGAGTTCGAGTGCACAAAGCGGTTTTATAGGTTCCACTAAGAACCGGTTTTTGCCAGTTCGCGGTTGGAATTTCATTTTTCAGTTACTCTCCATGTAGTCTCACTTCCGCAGAATCAGAAAGAGAGAGGTCCCATGACTCTTCATGAATTGTAATCTAGATGCGACGCAACGCCTATCTCGTACAATAGTCGAACTATTGTAATCTAGATGTGACAAAGCGCCTAAATCGTTCAATAGCCGAACCATTTTGATAGTGTTTATCTTGCGTAGAGAGTTTTTTTCGTTCTTTCCCTAATGAACAAGGGGTTTTCGGTCCATTCTCGGTTTTTGGTTGATCCCAAACCGAATCGGGTTCGTTCTCGGTTTGCAACACATTGAGCATTTCTCCAAAAGGAGAATATAGACCAGATTTCCATTTACTACAGAGACATGCCAAGTTATGCTTCTGCTGTGTCCCAAAGAAACCAAGCAAATCACTTTGAAACAATTTTATGGTTTCCCTCTCCCAAGTTTCAAAATGTTAGGGTCAGTCTCCCTCCCTTTTCTCACTCAGAAGTCAGAAGTACTCTTTAACCTTTTTCTTTGGGTTCTGAAATGAAAATAACAGAAGATGGGTAACACAGAAGCGAGAATGATAGGAGGAGCTAGACTTTGGGGCTCTCCGGCACACAGAGGCAGAACGATACTTTCCACTTCTCTTGACGGGGGGCGATGGAAGGGCCATAAACCATATTTTGGTACAACATCTTCGGGTGCTCGTTCGTTTTGGCTCACATGAAATCGTCTTCCATCTCCTGCAGAGACTTGCTCTCCGATGCGATCTGCTTGTTGGATGTCATCTTCTCTGCCACCATCAATCCCTTGTAGCTCCTCACCTCTGCCTGCCTCTCCTTTTCCATCCTGTCCATCTCCTCCCGTCGTTTCTACCAAAACAACGGAGAGCAAAGCATCTTTGTTAAGCTATAATGAACAGAGGTGGGAAATCGGATGTTTTTGCAATGCCAAATTATGGATCAGGAGAAAATCAGGAGATTTATCAAAAGTGAATTGTGAAGACACACTTGATTCTGCACTTCAAAACTTTTGGAGGTGCAGATGGCAATATTTGCATGTCGTTCTAAGCAATGATGAGGCAGGCTAGAAATCAAATGAAAGCCTCTACAAGCCATCACGAATCAACATCCTAAACTGGATCCAGTTTCAAATAAACTTGCATGCTCGAGATGTCATATATATTTGAATTGCCAAGTAAGACTGCACATAAGATGGCTTACTTTATCTCTGAGTTGAAGCTTCCTCTCAGCCCTTTCTGCTGCATTTACAGCTTCCCTCTCGGCTGCACCAGTAACAAGGAAACAAGTACCATCAGCAATAGAAGAAGAGCTTGCCCACCACCAAGGCCAATACGGTTCAACATTTATGTTTCGAACTTTTTAGTCAATGCAGATGCACCAAAGATGAGATGATTAGCTCACCTCTCAAATCGGGCGTTCTTTCTACTTTTGTTTTGTTCAGTCTGTTGATCACCTCATTAATCCGCTTCTCCACTTTCACTGTACGAACCTACATTATTCGATTGAGTCACAAAAATATATCAACACCAAAGTGACACATGGAAGAAGGATAATGTCCCAGTTGAAAGTGATAAGAATCAGAAAAATAAGCTCTCACCATCTTTGAATTGTGAAAGCCAACTTGACCAACATCCATTGTAGCTGTCTTCTTCAAGTTTGACCAGGGAGTGTAAACAACATCAATGTTGTTAACCTTGTTGCCTGGAAGTCAAAAAACAAAAAAAAAGAAGCCTCAAAACAGTATCTTTACATCTCGCAGAAGCGCATCATGAAGTATATCATAACAAATGGAAATCTGCAGAAGCTACTAAACCAACATCATGATGAAAATAATGTAACAACAAAATGCAAGCTGCATATGCAGGAGAGCGGTAAAAGAGAATCATTGCCTTGAATGGAATTTGCTTTGACAAGCTGGCAACAATCCTCAAGTAATCCTTCACTTATATTATCGAAAGTCTGACCCTTGTGCAGCCTTACATAAACATGGGCTGAAGACATTTTGTCGACATGAAACCTGCCACCATCCGCCCAACAAAATATAGTCTTAGCATTGAGGGAAAATGCCAGAAACCCAAACAAACCAACAAAGCAACGATGTGAAAATAATCACAAGAGCCGCCATTCCAACTGCCCTGAACACAGTAATGCATCATCGCACCAGTCAATGAAGTAAAACTTCCGACTAACAACACATAAAACCGAATTCTCTAGGTCAGAACAGCAATCTGCTGCTTTCTTGAATGGAATTAAGGATCATCAGCTTTCATCTTATATAGAATTAAAACCAAGCTAAAGGACAACCAAGCACTAAAAAACCAAATGGCCAACCAAATTTCAGATATGGGAACAAAAAGTTCGAAACTTTGAAACAGTGGCAACACCAGAAAATTGTAAACACGAGCAAGAACAGAAGCAGCAACCTCCAACCAAAGAAAGACCCCATGAAAAAGGGGTCAAACTTTAGCAGACGGGAACAGTGGAAGCAAGCAACCATCATCTAATGGCGCTTCGATTAGAACATAAGCAATCAAGAAAGCTTTTGGGCAAGAAAATCGGATGAATTGTTGTTGCAGGAGGGACAATTGAAAGGAGTAAAGGCGAATTCTTTACCAAACGTCTTCGGGGAAGCCGTATTTGATGAGTTCCTCGTTCTCGAACTTGTCGAATCCCATGAAAATGGTGTAATCGCCGACCTCTGGCCGTGCTTTGAAGTACAGGACCATCTTCTTCCCCTACCTTCGTTCTTCTCGCAACAATTCAGAATCCCTCGTCTTGAATTTGTATTCGTTAGGGCTCTTCCTTTTATTCCGATTTTTTTTTTTTGTTAACTTGCTGTGCAGCCTGTGCTTGCCAAATTTCAAAAGAAAATTCGTCGTTAATTATTTTATTCTATCTATCCGACTTCTTTCTAACCCAATATTCCTACTTTCTTATTTAATTATCGGTTAATTCACGTCCCATCTCTCTAGTATGCAAATTTTCCAAATGTACACCTCAATTATTAGTTTTTTTTTTTTATCATTGATGCAATGACACATTATTCTTTATTCGAAATATATTGAGGTTCGAAGAACTTCGAGAGTTATACGAGATTCAAAGTTACTATTAAGCTTTTTCTATGCTCTAGAGTCTAGACTATGTAATTTTTTGTCAAAATGTCTATCCATCAAGTTCTTATATTCAACTGCCTTTATTCTCAGTCATTGGACAGGTAATTTTATTAATATTATTTATTTACATGGAGCGAAAATATTTTGATCTGAAGCCAGTGTATGTGTTAAACACGTTTGATCATACGATAGCACCAATTCTATTGTGATTAATCTCATAAAGGAACTTTGTCAAATAAGATATGTGATTAGTGTCATCAATTAAAGTTTGCCTCACTAGTTAAATGCCTTGACAAAATAGAGTGTAGCATCCACAAATTGTGGGTTGGAATCCTAATAATGATTATTTATATTTTTTTGTTATTTTAATTGTAGTTAAGGGAGTGAAAGCCCATATTTTATCTTAAGCTATCCACTAAATTTTTGTAGACTTTTTTGTTTTGTTTCCACTCATAAAGGTAATTTATTATTATTATTATTTGATTGTTGATAAACTAATATGAAAATAATGTCGACATGGATACATAAGGATTGAGAAAATTAAAATTCTCAATTTTCGATCGTAAAGTCATATATCACTTAGGAGTATTTTGCATATGATTGACATATTTGAAAAGGATTAACATATAAGCTACAAAGTTCGATGAATTCATTTTGCAATTGTGTTTGAAGTCAGTCGTTAAACAAGTAACAACCCATACAAACACGCATTTGCTTCGAGACAAACAAGCTTCAAGCTTATCAATAACACATCAAAGAATGAAAAGCAATCATCAAAATATGATACACAAAGCTTAGGAGTCATGCACTAAACTTGTTACTTTGTACTAAGATTCATTGTTGGTGGTTAGCCAAGTCTCATACTTTGAATAAATAAAGAATATTAGTGAAAGGCGTGTGTTAATTTTGGTATATTTTTCTTTCATATCCAACACAATTTATAGGAGTGAAATATGATAAGAATATCATCGGCTCCGATATAGACTGAATCGTTGGCCACCCCTAACAATACGATATAATATGTCTTTCAACTACCTCCCATATTTACTAACACAATCTTCTACAAGGATTAGTTCTTCCTCTCTTCTTCTTTTTCTCCTTCAATCCAATATGGACAACAAATTTGTTACAATTTAAACACCTAATTTAATATGTATTGTAAAATTGTATTCCACAATACATATGGCATTTTGGAAGCTAGAATTCTCTAAATTGGTGTATTTAATCAATGTATGTATTATAGTTAGATGCATTGTTTTAATGAGATCACCAGATGCATTGATAACCATTCATAATGAATGATTCTGATGATCTCATATGTTGTTCAAATACAAGCATTCTGTTTCATTTTAAGACAAAAAAATAACAAATTCTTCTGACTATATGTATTGACTAAATACATCATCTGAAATCTCAACCAACCTACCTAACCCTAATATAAAACAATTTTACATCATAAAAGCAAGAAAGCAAAACGCTGTCGAGCTACGTCGTTTTATTGGTTCACGTAAAGTCTGTTTGTTTTGTTCCGAACCAGTTGGGCCCGCTTTAATTAATCTACTTAGCTCACATCAAGCCCACTTTCCGGAAAGCCCAAAACTACACAGCCTTTCCCGTTCGTCTGCTGTCTTTGTTTTCCGATTGAACTTCTCTTTCCCGATTCTTCTCTTCATCTCCTCCACTGTTCAATATCTACTCTTCCTTTCCTTTGTTCCTATTAATCGCAGGAAAGAAATACAAAGCAAGCGGTGAAGATGAAGGGTTTTGGCAGAGAGTATTTGGCGAAGAGCATAAGGGCCGGCCATGTCAACCATAACTCAGCGGGGAAGCAGCTTGAAGTCCAAAGAAGAGCGCTGGCTGCAGGCTGGCACTCTGCCAAAGGGCGAGTACGAGGTTTTCTTGAGCTTCAGAGACCCAGATGTTCGACAGACGTTTGCAGATTGTCTATACAGCTGGCTGGTTCGTTCAGGGATCCGAACCTTCAGAGACGAAGAAGAGCTCCACAAGGGGGAGATGATTGCCCCTTCCCTCGCTAAAGCTATCACTGAATCCAAGATCCACATCCCCATCTTGACAAAGGACTATGCTTCCAGTAAATGGTGCCTTCAGGAGCTGGCTAAAATGGTGGAGTGTCGGAAGCTAGGTAAAGGGTACATTATCCTCCCAATTTTCTACTTTCTGGACCCTAGAGATGTGAGGCATCCGTTGCAGAACGGTGCTTACAGGGAAGCATTTGAGCAGCACAATTTGAAACATGACCCAGAAGCCGTAAGGAAGTGGGAAGAAGCTCTCCAGGAGGTCGGGAAGATGAAAGGATGGCATGTAACCCGTTCAGACGGGTATGTACAGCAACCACAGTTATTGTTTCCATGGTCTCTCGAGTTGGGCTTGTATGTCTTGTCAGTTACAGGTTTGCATATCAAGATAGTTATTTTGTTGCTTGTTAGTTTTGGGTAGGAGAGGGAGGAGAGTATCCTGCTTTGATAGTGTGTATTAATCCATTCTCCTGAATTGTGATCTTCACATTGCGTGTTGTTCAGCTTTGCCCCTAGTTAGTGTATAACTGTTTATTCAATTTCCAGGCAGGGAGCTGTAATCGATCGAGTCGTCTCTGAAGTTGAATTGCATTTGAGGAGTCATTACACAATAGTAACTGATATGTTGGTAGGAATTGATTCTCACGTAGAGAGAGTGAAAGAATTGTTGAATATAGGGGCCACAGGTGGGAAAATTGTTGGCATCCATGGTATGGGAGGCATTGGGAAAACCACCATAGCTAAGGCCATCTATAACAAGGTCTGCACTAATTTTGATCGCTGTTGCTTTCTGGAGAACGTACGAGGAACATTGTCAAAAGATGGAGGGGTTGTATCTCTACAAAATATGGTCATCAGCGGCATCCTAAGGAGTGCTCGTCAAGTCACAAATGCCAGCGAGGGAATCCATGTCATAAGAGAGAGAGTTTCTAAGTACAAGGTGCTCATTGTTCTTGACGACCTAGATGAAAACTTTGAGCTTGACCAAGTTTTGGGGAATTTAGGTAGTTTTCCTATAGAGAGTAGGTTCATTATTACGACAAGAGATCTTAGAGTTTTGGACTTGTTTGAAGAGTACAGCATATATGAACCTGGAGAGATGAGTTCTGATCATTCCCTTCAACTTTTCAACAGACATGCCTTCGGGATAGATCATGAGCCTGCAGAAGAGCAAGCACCTCTATCCAAGGAATTTGTGAAACTTGCAGCAGGGCTCCCTTTAGCTATTAAGGTCATTGGGTCTCTTTTGTATCGTAGAGATGAAGTGTTTTGGAAAGCCAAGTTGATAGAACTAGTAGAAGTAGGTCCAACCAAGGTGCATGAGATATTAAAGATAAGTTATAATGAGTTGACCCACCATGAGAAACAAATATTTCTTGATATTGCTTGTTATTTTGTTGGTGAGGATAAAGAATTGCCCATCTACATGTGGGGTGGTTGCAAATTCCATCCAGAAACTGCAATCAGTACTCTGATCTTTAGAGCCTTGTTGAAAGTTGACGAGAAAAACAGGTTCTGTATGCATGATCATATTAGAGATCTTGGTAGAGCCATTGTGAATGAAGAGGATGTTGAACGTCCAGGCAATCGTAGTAGACCAATACTATGCAGCGAAGATGTGTTGAGTATGCTAAAAAATGGAGAGGTACGTATAAATTATTTGATTTTGTCGACATTTCCTTTTCATTTTCACTCAGTAATATTGATGGTTACAGTAATTTTTTTACAGTTTGCCTCTTACTGAGAAAATTCTTCATCAGTGGAAAAAATGCTTTATGCAGGTAACTGATCGGGTAGAAATTCTTAGAATTGACATGACTGGTAAAGATCATTATGAGCTGACGAACAAAGAAGTCAAGAAATTATCAAGGTTAAGATATCTTCAGGTAAGAGGTGGACGATTGGTTGGAGATTTCAGTGGAAGTCTTCCAAATATGCGCTGGCTTCGACTGCATATGTGTCGTTCAGTCCCGACTAATCTCAACCTGAAGGAACTGATAATCCTTCATCTGTATAATTGTGGTAGTGTAGCAGATGATTGGAGAGTGTGGGACAAGATTAAGGTGATGGGTAGTACAAATTCCTTTTTCCTTCTTGTTCTCAGTTTCATTTCTCTGAAATAGATTTGCAACCATATTATGTACCATACGACTACCAAAAGATTGTCATTAACGCACTTTAGTCTTTCCAAATGCAGCTGGCTCACAGGCTGAAAGTTGTAAATGTATCATCATGCTATGGAATGAAAAGAGCTCCTGACCTATCCCCATGTGCAAGTATGGAGCTGATAAAGCTTTCCTTTTGTCCTTCAATGAGTGGCGAACTGCACATTGGCAACCTGAAGAATCTAAAATTGCTGGAGGTAAACTCTACCAGAATAACAGGCTTAACAGGCGACATTGTAATGCTTCAAAGTTTGCGAGAACTATATTTAAACAGCTATGGTTTAAGACAAGTCCCCACCGGAATGGTCAAATTGACGTCTCTGGAAAAGCTGCAACTGTCCTTAGCAAGTGTGACGGAATCACCACCACTACTCCCGACAAGCTTAAAGGCGCTATGCCTTTCATCATGCCCTAGTAAGCTTCCCAATCTTTTGGAGCTCAAGGAACTGGAGCACCTAAGCTTGAGCGCCTTTTCCCGTGAAATCATTCCTGGAGAGATATGTAAGCTATCCAAGTTGAAGACTTTGAGCCTTTCCAACTCCGAGGCAGAGCCTTTTGGTTCTGTTGTTGTGCTCCCTTCGTCACTAAACTCGCTTCGTGTTGGTTTCTGTGGGTCGCTGGAGAGGCTGCCGAATCTTGGCAATCTGAACAATCTGATGGAGCTGAGTCTTCTGGATGTTGGGGTTTATGAGATTAGAGGACTTGGAGAGCTCAGAATGTTGGAAACTATGAGTATACGAAAGGCCCCGAATCTGAGTAATCTTGATGGCCTTCAAAGTCTGCTGCTTCTCAAGAAACTGAAAATCTATGGATGTCCTGCACTAGAGAAACTACCCAGTGTTGCGAATCTGTCCAAGTTACACAGATTATATATCCGTAGCTGTCAGCTCATCTCCGAAATGCAAGGCCTGGCTCCACTTCGACAGAATTTAACATCTCTGGAAATAGACGGTTGTCCAAGATTAGATATCTGTGATTCCATTCAGTCTCTGGAATCACTTCAAAGACTGAACTTGACATGCTGTCGTTGGTCAGTAGAGACACTATTACCTCACTTGTCCAAGTTGCGCAAACTGAGCAGCTTAACCATTGGGGAAGACACACAGGTACGAGTTCTAGACCTCTCTTGTCTTGATGTTCATTCTAATTTGAAACAGATCATGCTTTACAAGTTCACAGAGATGACCGAGGTTCGGGGACTCGAGGGTTTAGCCTCGTCTTTAGAATCGCTAGGTGCTGGAATCATTGGTGGACCTGAGAGTTGGTGGATGCCCACGGCTGACCCAACTTGATGGGGTCGAGATGCTGGAATCATTGCAAAGGCTTGTTGTATCAGATTGCAATTCGGTTAGTACTCTGCCGGATCTATCGAGGCTCAACAATCTGAGCTTCTTCAACATTAGTGAATGCACCCATTTGGTTGATGTACCAGGGCTCGAGAAGCTGGAGTCGTTGCAAGAGCTAACGATGACATGCTGCACATCGATAAAGAAGTTGCCGGATCTATCAAATCTCAAGAAGCTGAAATTGGGGTGTACAAACTTCCCAGATGTTACAGGATTCAAGGGACGAGAGTGGTCATCAGAGCTGACATCGGTACTTCTAGAGCTTGAAACTCGGCTCCGAGAATCAGAGAGAAAAGGAGAAGCAAAGAAAAGGAAATGGCTGGCTAGACACTGGAAACTACTAATACGGTACATTCGGAAGGGGGCTCTAACGAAGTAACTTCGACGTGAAGGTTCACTTTTAGTCGAACTGAAGTCGAGAACTGGCTTGTGTTCAGATCAACAGCTTCACCAACTTGCTCCATGTAACTAAATTCGTCGCAAACAGAAATGTAACGAAATGGTCATTTCATAAGTTAGGGCAAAACATGAGTTAATGATGTTATGTTAAATACCTGACACAAGGAACTGTTAGTGACCTCTAAACATATGTGAACCATTTATGCATTTCTATACTACTACATGGGACTTCGCCCCTTCATCAATAGTTCATATATAAAAACTAGGAACAAAAAAAAATTGGACAAAACTGGATACATGCAATTGAATAGAAGGACAAAGAACTGAACTGGCCATGAATCAATTACAATTTGGCCATTGTGGTCTAATAATGAATTTACAAATACATAGAAGGGCAAACCCAACAAGAATTGGCACAAATGACTGTACAATTCAACCCAAGTACCCAAAAAAATCCCCATAGTACAAGTTTTTAACACTTTACAAGGTTGATTTAAGCGTCATATTTGCATAGGTTCTCAAATCCCATGTACTCTTGTCGTTCAATTTTCCCAATCATGTTGGATATGCCAACACCACCTGAAGAGAAGATCAGATAGAGAAGAATAAACAGTATAAGAGGGTTGAAGTGTAAAACAAGATATAGGGTCATTCACGTCTCAATTACACAAACAGTCATAAACTTTTAGTTGCTAACAAAACACACGCGCTAAAGATTGAAATAGCTAATACAATAGTCACTTCCATCTACGGACGAGATGACTTTAATGTTAGCTATTCCAAAGTTAACTAAGTGACAGGTTTGTTAAAAACCAAAATTTAGTGACTGATTTGCTAGCAAATCCCAAGTCAATGACCATATATGTGATCATGTAAAGTTATAGGACAGAGAGATCTCACCTAGAGAGATTGCACTGACGAATATGGTGAATGCTAGAATGAAGATGATCAGAGACGACCTTCCTAGTACGATGATCAATTTTTTCACGACGTGCTGCCCCACAATTGCAGCAACCGTTGCTACGGCAAAGAAGTAGACAGCTGCAGAAGAAGGAAAATAGTGAAATGAAGGTAAGCTCAAGCGATGGAAATCTGGAGGAGAGGAACTTCAGGAGAAGCAATGTATACCATATGGAACAGGAAAACGATTCAGGAGGTAGTATTCTACAACAGACATTGATGAGGAGAAAGTCATTGCAAATGTTGCAGTTGCACTTGAAACCTGCAAATAAATTCCATCAAAAAGGATATGACACCATGGTTTTCACCATGAACCACCTTTCCAGTTGAGAAATCAGCATCAAAGAAGAAGAAAACTCACCTGAGGAGGTATCCCTAGCTCCAAAAACAGTGGGCCCATTATGAATCCACCTCCTAGTCCAAGAAGCCCACCTACGACTCCAGCCAAGATACCGCAGGCACAGTAAGTCACAAGCTGGTGAACTTGCAAGTTTGTGCCCTGGTCTCCCTTGGATGCAATCATCCTGTGTCCTTTGTAGAGACTGAAAGCCTCATAGCCTGAGACACCAAGTGACACTGGGATCTGCACAAACAAGGGAGAAGTAAGACTCATCCCACCTTACTGGGCAAAATCGGCAGAAACAAAAATGATCAATCTGTCTTAATACCTGTAATAAGTTCAGTACCCAGTAGTTTGCAGAGCAAGTAGCCATATCATTCTGCCAAAACAAAGTTACAATAATTTACAAAGGGCTTCTTGATAGAATTGGCAGTAGGAATGTTCTGAGGATTAGTAGAAGAAGGAAATACCTTTGCAATCTGCAATATTAGGAATGCAACCCAAACAAATACAAGAAGCCCAAGTTCCTTCCAACAAACATTCTCTGCAATTGAAACCTGTAAGAACAAAAACCATTAGATGAACGTCTCTGAAGGAACCTGCCTCCAAATTCTAGGGGGTGGCTCTAACTCGCCTCTGCTTCATTGGTGCCTTTTCGAGGGCCACTCGGAAGAGGCCTGTATGCATTATCCCCAGCACCAATACCTAATAGAATCACACAAAAACAACTATCTGTCAAGCTCTGGGTTACCATAAAATCAAGATAAGGCAAAGACACATCATAAATTAATACTGAGTAAATAAGCAGCAACTCACCGGTTGACTCGAGACGCCTAGCAGCCTCCTGTTACAATATGGAAAATTTTCTCAGTCAGAACAGAACTCATTCATGAATTGACAAAATAATGTAGTGAGAGATTACCTTCTTCATCATAGTCTCCTTTTTCCATGTTTCGACGCCCTTTAAGAATGCTTTTGATGATGTGACTAAACCATGAACGATCAATTAGCCAAAAAGCGATGCACAAATGCAGAATAACCAACAATGCTATCTCAAGAGAAGATTTATTACCTACGAACAGAACAATAAGCAGGACAGTAACCATCCAGTCGGCGAAGATGACATTAAAAGTCACACCGATACTAATTCCTAGCATAAGCATGGGCTGGATAAGTAGAGCCAAATCGTAGTCAATGATTGGCATGTCAAGCGTAGGATGTCGTAGTCTAAGATTATAGTACACAGTTGATGCAGCCGCACCCATTATCATACCTAAACGACAAGAAGATGGTCATAACCACATTCATCAATTCAATTAACTTCAGCAACGCCACTTAATCTTAGCTTTACTGTCAATCCAAAACGGGGCATTCATACATTTAGAGATTGCGGTTGACGATTTGGGATCAAACCCAACAATCAGGCTAAGCATAGGAACGAAAATGCCACCTCCACCAACGCCACCCACACTCCCAAATGCTGCTCCCAAGAATCCGACAGTTGTACCCAGCACTATTTGCCATCCAAATTCCAGTTCCTGTACAGTCAACAGCAACCAACCTCATTCATTTATAGAACTACGGACTACCCATCAAGTGTGGATTAAGATGAGGGCAAGAAGGCAATCATCATGGTAGGAAGCAAGTCCCTTTCTGTACAGAAATGGTTACAGACAAAGCAAAGAAATCCTGACAAATACAAAACTCCAAAAAAAGAAATGGAGTAGTGAGTTTAGTAGTAAAAATGGACCTTTTTCCTCATTATTAAACAATCCAATTCGAATCGAAGTCTGGAGTATTTAAACCATTAAACAATCAAAAGCATTGCTTAAATAACAAAACAATTGAAGTCACCTGACATATTGGCAATAAACAATGAAGAGGGCATCTGGAGATGACATTTTCATCAAGTCCAGCCAAAAGGATTGTCATTTTTTTATTGGGGGAAAGGAGCAGGTGTGGGTAAGGCCATAGCCCAAAAGGGGATGAAGAATAATGTAAAATCATTCAATCATATTGGATATGAACACTCAACTACGCCATGAACGGAAGAAGAAAGAAACAAAAAAGGGGAAGGAGAAACGACTGTGCATCCTTACCGGCCAAACACGCTGATAACCTGTTCGACCATTTTCCCAAAAGAAATCCGACGCCTTAACGAGAAACCCAGAGACAGGATTCTGCTCTTCCGTCTCTTCCAATCTGAACCGTCTGTCCGCCGAGACAAACACGACTGCGAACACCAAATTCAATAGAACCGTCGACATCGAGCCCAAAATCCGCCGCCTCGCTCCGCGTTCCGCCATCGGGTAAATCCCACGGACAGAAATTGGTAGTTGAATTCCGGGCGACGATGCTAGCTGAAAAACCAAGACAGATTTTGAATCTCCGGCGACTTTGGGAGAGACTTCGTTGTCCACTTGGGAGGAAGGCGAAGTCAAAAGGAGAGAACGTAAGGAGAAGAAATTTAGAGCGGTGGGAAAGCGGGTAAGGCTTTAAGCGAAAGATTTGGAGCCCGCAAACTCTGGGGATCCTCAAGATGGAAATGGAAGAGAGATTATAGGCCGCGTTTGTTTCCCGGGAAAGCGATTGGGAAATTTTTTGCGTGCGCGCGCGAGAAAATTATACGGGAGTGGGAATATGAGGAGGAACATTGAGAAATGTGGTAGCTTTGGATTGGATCGGGCTCAATAATTATTTATTGGGCCGGTCCGAGCCGCTGAGCTGGACGGATGGGGCTTCTGAATTCTATGATGCTTTATCCACTGGAGGAGTTGTTGGACTCATATGGCAGTTGGAATCTGCATTATTGGGCTACCCTGTCGGGCCTTTCAAAGTTGCCATACTCAGGTGAGAAAATAAATATAAAATTGTCATTTTGTTATGAAAATATTATTATCATTATGGATGACCAACATTAGATGCTCCATGGTATGTTACAAGTTCTATGTAACTCATCTCCTTATATTTATTTCTTCATATGACACATTAGATGCACAATTGGGTGTTACATGTAACCCCCCACCCCATTTCTATTTCACATTCATTCTCACATTCATGTATATTGATTGTAAGAATGTAGGGGTTATGTGATGTATGCCTATAAATATATGATCTCCTTGTACTAAGGAATACATGAATAAGAAAGCTCTATCCCCCACTCTTTTTGTGTCTCTACTCTTACTCTTATGTCTGTTGCTCTTCCTTGCTATTTTACAACACGTTATCAGCACGAGCTCTGCCAAAGTAATGGTTGGTCATTGTCTCTCTACATAATCACATATACTTGAGTAAGATCACAACACGATCAAGGTATGCAAATTTTCATGCCATTTCTTGTTAGTATGTTTATCTATCTCATTGTCTTTGAGGGATTATTTGATCATGTTATTTGTTTATATTATTTTATATATGTCGATCTCGTAACATGGAGTTTGTGCTTGGACATTATCAGATAATGAAAATTGCTCCTGTAGTAGCAAAATCATTATAGGTTGACTTATCGATTTCTACATTCGACATATAGAGAAATGAAAGTCTAAGGATCTCATTTTCCCCCGAAGTGGAAAAAATGAAGAAAAAATGTGTCAAATGAAAGAAGTGGATCTGGTAACTAAAATATTGGAATATGAGTTACCATTGCGATGGGGAAAAATCATTGATCTTGTACCCGATGTATGAAAAGAATTTTTATTGGTCCAAGAATCATTTGAAAGAAAAATGAAAATCTATATGTGCTCCTGCAGTAGCAATATTATCTTAGAGGTTTTACAAAGTATAAGTTAATTTCTTGTTAGTTAAAGGTGAAAAATGTATTGGACTTGTGATGATGAGAAATATTATATAATTTGATCCAAAGGCTGTTGTTTCATTCCTGGAAGCGAATGAAAACAAACCATTCTTAAAAGTGAATGGATCGAGACACACCATTATATTAATATAATTTGTTGTTTGGATAACGACAATCAACAAATATATCTTTTCACCGGAAGTGAAAGATAAAATAATTATAAATGAGGATGATAATTCATGTAGCAAAAGTCATGATCATATACTGTAACCTTCGTATGCCGAAATGTATTATGAAACACATATATGTTGTTGTTGTTGTTATTATTATTTTGTATATTTTTGTATATAATGAATATTTGCAAAAGTCAATACTGGTATTATATCATATAGTATGAAAGTAAGCAAAAGCTCCGAAAGAGATTGTGTTTTGTTACTTGAAGTAACTAATCAATATATTGGTGATTATGAAAATATTATTATCACTATGTATATGAGCTTACAATAGTTCACCGAATCAGAAGGTGCCTCATGGCCAACTTGTAGTACAAGAATATGTGAAGGCTCCAGAAGAGCTAATGTTTTGAGACATGAATGAACTAAACTGTCAATTGAAGATGCATTACCGAATTATGAAGATATTCGCAGAAAAGAATATCATAATTGATATTGCATAAGAAATGTGTTATAAGAGAACATATACTTAACTGGAGAAATTTGTACTACATGTATATTAGTACATATGAAAGTGTAAACCAGAAGTTTGCAAGATCGGATAACTTTTTATTTTGGCATGTCCGGTCATACCATCCCGGATACAGATGCGAAAATGATTGAGATATCATACAAAAATTAAGTGAGAGTTCAGAGAATTCATCAATCAAAGGATTGATTATGTGATACATGGTCTCGAGGAGACTATACTCGTGAAAATAATTGAATCTGTTGAGATTTTATAAAAGTGTATGCAGAAAAATACACTCAACGTGCAAATCATATATGAATTTTATGATTTTGATTGATTCATCAACTATATCGTCATATATGTCTGTTATCTAAACGCAACCTGATGTTTGCGAGATTAGTTGCCGAATGATGGATATATTTTGATGATTATCCAATCAAACAGAACTTCTCTTATGAGAACAAACTAAGTCTATCGATCTCTTATCGAGGCTTATGATATCATTAATTCGCATGAAGCCAACAAGTTATCATAAGTTCCCCCTTTTCATACAAATGGTTTTGGTCAGGGACCAAACATTTAAACTGCTAGAAAATTTGGGTGTGCATAATACATCCCAATTGCTCCACCACAACACGTTATGAGTTCCATAAGAACTTATGTTGGACATGGTGTCCAATGCAATGAGAGATTTGTTCATGACTCTTTTTGCTAATATCATCATTTTGATGAGTTACTTCTCGAACGTTAAGGGGGAGAAAAGTAAACAGTTGGGCATAGATGTGAGTTGGAATCATCATTATCGCATTTTGATCCTCAAACGAAGAAACATGAACCCGAAGTTCATATGGTGATTCATGGAGAAAAAAACGTATTGATTGCCAAACGCCTTTTTACTCACTAAAAGGAGTGATTATGTCACATGCCCATTTGTGAATACTCCAATACAAATTGATGTCCATATTGGATAATCTAATGAGTCTAAACGAGCGCATGAAGCGTGGTAGACCAATCGGTTCCAAGGATAGATATCCTCGAGAAAGGAAGGAGCTATAAATTAAGATGGTAAACTCGAGGATAAAATAGCTCTAGAAGAGTCAAGTCATAAAATTGAGATCATAGTTCCAGAAGAATAGTAGGTACCTGAACGTTTAAAATGAAGAGATCTCAATTAATTGGCTTGTATGAAGAAAGTTGGAACCGAAGTGTATTTATTGTCGACAAGGGTTTTGATTATGCTGCAGCACTGAACGTGATAGATACAAAGATGATCAAAAGTAAAAGTCTATTGATGCATGCAAAGGAATATATATTGGCCAATATAAAAGAAAGCATTAGGCTATTTGGTATAAGTTTTTGACCAGAAGTCCTTACACCTGAAGATGTAAAACTAACGGGATACAAATATGTTTTGTGCAAATGCGTATGGAAATTGCGAGAGATATAATACAATTTCTCATGAGAGGTTTCTGGTAGAAACCTGACATCAATTATGAAGAGACATACTCTCTTGTGGTGGATGCAACTATGTTGTGCAATTTAAATAGTTTGGCAGTTCAAAAAGCATGAAATTTGCATTTGGTAGATATTGTGATAGCCTATTTGTATGGATCCCTTGATAATGATATTTATACGAAACTCCTTGAAGGATTAGTTTGCCGGAAGCAAACATGTGAAGTTCTCGAGAACAATATCGATCGATAAAGCAATTCCTTGTATGGATTGAGATAAAATGGATGAATATGGTATATTCATCTAAGTGAATATCTACTAAAGGAAGTGGTCGTATAAGCATTGCGTGATTAAATTCGAATAAAGTGCATTAGAGCATTTGCATTTGGTATGTATGATTGTGTAATGACATATAGGCTTACGTGCGTGATATTGTGATTTTAGTTATGAGTTTGATTTATGAATGTGGTTTGGTTAAGTGATGTTGTGTGTATGACGTGCATTTTGCTTGTGACCTTGTGTTATGAAGTAATTGTTTGCATACAATTGTGTTAGCTAAGTTTTATAGTTATTTGGAAGAAAAGAGTCGAGACATTATTTTATAATGATCTCATATGTTTTAGTTGATATGAACTCCAGAAGAGCTTCATAAAGCATGGTTTGCTTAAAGAAAGAAAATTGAACATGGAGGATTTAAGAAGATTCTTTTTGGATCAAGACGACAATGTCGGAAAAGTGAAAGAACAATTTTGTATGGAAAAATTGCATACGTTCAATAGCCAAATGATCATAAGGTCACTAGAAGTGAACAAAGATCAATTTAGGCCTTGAGATAGAAGCGAGTTATTAGGTCCTGAAGTACCATATGCCAATGTCGTTAGAGCAAAAATGTATATTGCTATACTTCATTAAGTTATACTTTGTTACCTATTGGTAACGATGAGGATCATAGATAAGTAATTTGTTTACTCATGGTCGTACAAGTATCTCATGGAGATTTCAAAGAAATCACAATAACAACATCATCTGATCATGAACAATGGTCAACAATTCATGAGACTTGTTATGAATTGTTTGGTTAAGATTTGTGATTCAAGACGTCTAAATGACTTGTGGTTGCGGATTATATTCATAGAAAATGATCTTGAAGATCATGTATGAAGAAAATGGTCCTAATGGATCATGCATAAAGTGACAATCTAGAAGATTTGTTCACTAATAAGCTTACCATGACAATATTTGAAAGATTTGTTCACAACACTATTGATGTTGTCATGAGGGGGAGCATATACGCACTGCACTCTTTTTTTCCTTAACCATGGTTTTTCCCACTGGGTTTTCCTGGTAAGGTTTTTAACGAGGCAGATTCAAATAGCGTATTATGATGATTATGTACTCTTTTTCCTTCACTAGGATTTTATCCCACAGGGTTTTTCCTAGTAAGGTTTTAACGAGGCATATTCATGTCTAATGGTCATCCAAGGGGGAGTGTTATGAAAATATTATTATCATTATGGATGACCAACATTAGATGCTCCATGGTATGTTACAAGTTCTATGTAACTCATCTCCTTATATTTATTTCTTCATATGACACATTAGATGCACAATTGGGTGTTACATGTAACCCCCCACCCCATTTCTATTTCACATTCATTCTCACATTCATGTATATTTATTGTAAGAATGTAGGGGTTATGTGATGTATGCCTATAAATATATGATCTCCTTGTACTAAGGAATACATGAATAAGAAAGCTCTATCCCCCACTCTTTTTGTGTCTCTACTCTTACTCTTATGTCTGTTGCTCTTCCTTGCTATTTCACAACACATTTGATTATTTATCTTATATCGTGTGTTTATGCCGTGATTACTTATACTAATACGATGTTGATTGAATCTATTATTTTACTTTTAACAACAATAATTATGACATCCGATTGAAGCACTAAGATAAAGTAACTTGCGTGCTTAAGATGAGTAACTAGGCATCGTATTTGTAGAGGTCGGATCACAAAAAGTCAAAAATTGTCTATCTTCAATCAAGTGGTAAGACATGTAAAATTTTTATATGACCATTCACGTTATATCTTCCTATTTGGACTGTGAATTTTATACAAATAGGGCACTGGTTGAATATGAAATTTTTTATTTATTATAAACACGATGTGATTGAAGCACTACAAAATTCTAACCTACGCCACACTGAGATCATTAACTAGGCATCGTATTTGCAGAGGTTCTCGAATCCCATGTACTCGTGCCGCTGGATCTTTCCGATCATGTTCGATATGCCTACACCACCTGCCAAATTGAACCACAATGATCACCCCTATTTCAAAGTTTTCCAATGCTTAACTTCTCAATCACATTTTCCAATGCTTTAATTTCTTAATCACATTGCTCATTCAATAAACAACAACGCTTTTGTGGATAATAACTCACCTAGTGTGATAGCACTGCCAAATACAATGGCTGCTAGAATAAAGATGATGATGGATGCCCTCCCGAGAAGACTAACCACCCATCTCAACACATGCTGTCCTACATAAGCAGCCATTGTCGCCACGACCATCAAGTAAAGAGCTGCGTGATATCAGAGATTTCGATAAACAAGAAAGACAATCAGTTTGCAAATCTCGTACTAACTTCAATGTCAAGCACGAACTACATAAACGGACTTGATTTTTTCGTCTTTCGCGTACCGTAGGGGACCGGAAAACGATCCAGGAGGTAGTACTCCACAACAGACATGGATGAAGAGAAGAGCATTGCAAATGTGGCTGTTGCAGTTGCAACCTGCAAAACAAAATGTTGAATAACTTGTTCATCATGGGTTTCATCAGGGTAAGAACAGAGGGAAACTGATGGGCTTTTCATGTTTTTATGGACCTGAGGAGGAACTCCAAGCTCCAGGAAGAGCGGGCCCATAATGGACCCTCCTCCGACCCCAAGAAGCCCAGCCACAATTCCAGCCAGCATCCCGTAGGCTCCGTAGCCCAAAAGCTGGCCCATCTTCAAATTTGCGTCACCCGGTTCGTCCCCTGCTGACGCAATCACTCTGTGGCCCTTGTACAAGGTGACAGCATGGTACCCTGATGCACCAACTGCCACTGGGATCTGCACTTGTAGAATGAAATCAACTGTATATTTTAGTACGTCGCATAAGATACATTATTGAACATGTCTCAACATATCAGACGAAGGGAGAAAGTAAAGACTTTTCGGGTGAATTGTTAGGACTCGAAAATCCGATACTAAATTGCTCCTATGTTATTGTATTGTAATGGATTACAAATCTGTTGGTTCAGTGGGATTATCGTTACCTGAAAGAGGTTGAGCAACCAATAGCTTGTAGAGCAGCTGCTCGTGTGACTCTGCAAGGAACAACACAAAGAAATGGTGTTTCATAACTATTGCGTTGGGGATGCCACGAAATCGTGTGACTCTCATGGTAGGTCGTGACCCTCGTTCCTCTTTCTGTCTCATTTGGAGATGTCACGAAATGGGAGGAAAAGTCACGGTCTGGGTCGTGACTCTCAAGCTCAAACCGTGACATTAAGTTTGAGTTATGAACAAAATAAAAATGTCACAGTTAGAAAGTTACGATCGTGAATATGAGTTGGATAAGAAAGAAAATCAAACCTTTGCAATTTGGAGGAGGAGGAATACAACCCAAACGAGCACAAGCAGTCCAAGTTCTTTCCAGCGTACATTCTCTAGAATCGAAACCTGCTATGTGTGGTGCTACATTATCTTGGTACAAAACTGAAGATACGTTAGATGAGGAACTCTGTTGCTCACCTCTGTTTTATGAATGTCGTTTTGAGGGTCACCACGAAGAGGTTTGTACTCGATATCCCCTTCATTAGCATCTAGTAAGATCAAAGATACAAAACAATCCAAATAAGAAATTAAATCCAAATAATAACGAATCACCCGACAACTAGCATCATCATGATCACTATTACTTAACTAAGATTTTGAATTTAAGCTTGACAATGTGAAAACATTCGAATAGATAATATTCCATCTTTACATTTGACTAACTAAATTTGAATGATGTAGTTAACTTAGAATACATTTACTCTAGCTCGATAATAACGAAATGAGATGAGATGGAAGGATGAGTAACTCACTACTCCTTGATTTAATTTGACTAGCCTCTTCCTGCAATGAAACAACCCAGTGAAAACCCTCAACCCTAAACGAACCATAAAGTAAGCAACTTATCTAGCACCCTCAATTGTTTTTTTCACTCATTTCGTCGAAATCAATAACTCGAGTTGTCTAAAATGATATATTAGAGAAGTCACTTACCCTTCTAATCGTCGTTTCCTTCTTCCATATCTCAACTCCCCTCAAGAACGCCTTTCTTGATGTTGCTATGAGAGTTAGCAATCCATTAATCAATTGTATCAATGCATGCAGGCGTAAATGTAAAAGAGAAAGAAAAAAAAAAACAGCTCTAGAGTGAAAATGTAAAGTTGTAAACAGTAATTTCCTTTCCTTTTTTACCGATGAACAAGAAGATGAGAAGAACGGTGACCATCCAGTCGGCGAATATGACATTGAAAGCGACGCCGAGGCTGATTCCGAGCATGAGCGTCGGCTGGAGAAGAAGGGCCAAGTCGTAGTCGATGATCGGAATGTGACCGATGGTGGGGTGCCGGAGCCGGAGGTTGTAGTACACCGTCGATATCGCTGCCCCCATTATCATACCTAACCCAACAACAAAACAAACAACAATTTTGAAAAAAGAAAAAAAAAAAAACTAAACGACCTACACCAATAGTTTATACGAAATCACGAACAACGCTTTAATCTAGTGGTAATACCACACTATGATCGGACCATATTATCACAGCTGTTATGAATTACGAATTACGTCATCCCCTGATGATCTATGATCATATTACTAGTAATATTATATAATTCGTATTAAGTGTGGTAAAACACGAGATTTTGAAGGTTTTATTTGATTATATTTTGGAATGTGTACTCCATCCTTTCCCCGGTCAACAAATTGGTAACATACTAAACATTGCAGAAAAAGTAGAAAAATTGAGAGAAAAATAAGGAGAGGCGTGTTGCTGTTTACATTTAGAAATAGCAGCGGCGGATTTAGGATCAAATCCAACGACGAGAGTCAGCATAGGAACGAAGATGCCACCGCCACCCACCCCGCCGGCGCTCCCAAACGCCGCTCCCAAGCTCCCGATTATGCCCGCCGCCACTGCCTTCCACCCCAATCTGAACTCCTGCACCAGCCAGCAGCCACACAATAAAGGGATATGCAGAGAATCAGAGCTGCATTAACAGATAAAAGTAAGGTGGGGGAGAAAGTAAATTAAAGTACCGGCCAGACGTGCTGGTAGCCGCCGGTTCGCTCGGATTGCCAAAACGATTTATTCACCGGCGGCGGATTGGCAGGATACCCATCACCGGCGGCTGTGAGGTCAGTAAGCAAGTGGTAGTTTTCCATTTCGTGGACTACCCTTTCAGCCGGCAGCCTCAACCGTCCTTCTGCCGACCCAAACGGCAACAAAAAGCAGTAGACGCAGATTATTACGACTGCCGCCGGAGTAGTCCTTCGCCGCAGCCGTCCATCTGCGAGTCCCGCCGCCGTCATCATGATCGGATTTGACTCACACCCGCCGCCGGCTGCCTGAAGCCCCTCCTCTGTTTTTTGTCAATGAAAACAGGGGACTCTGTTAGCTAGAGAGAAAGAATAAAATTGGAAGCTTTTGAGAACCAAGCATTTGAGAGATGATAATTGGGGCAGTTGAGATGATGTATCGGTGTTGATCATGAAAAAGACGTTACATTTGTACAGGGCCTCTCGTGAATCATTTGTACTTCGAGGTTGGAGGCCCGTTTTCTTTGTTTAGCTCGTTGACATCATGATGTTTCGCCTCACCATTATGTCTCACTTTCACATGTATTAATTGGAAGCAATAAGAAGAGGATAACATAAAATAAAGCCATGAATTTTGTTTTCAGATTTTCCAAAAAGAAATCTAGGGAATGGATGTGAGATTTGTGTTTTAGAAATAGTGTGATTTCATACCAAATTATATGGGTGGGCAAACGGTTCGGTAAACCCCAACCGAATCGAACTGAAATCGAATTAATTCGAACCGAAACCGAATTAATGCTATTTGGTTCGGAATTCGGAAAGAAAATATGGATATTTCGGAAACCATGGTTCTTTCAACCGAATCGAAATTCCGACCGAAAAACCGACATACTATAATTGCAAGCTCCGAATGGTAGATTTTTATGTTTGTAGTTGTTTTTATACTTAAATATTTGAAATATTTTATGACTCATATGTTGAAAACTTTGATTTTATCATTGATGATGCATATAATTGCATATTTATTATTTATATTAGGGGTGAAAAATAATTTAAAAGTGATAAGGTACAAGTAGCCTCTCAAATTCGGTTTTGTGTGCAAAACCGAACCGAACTGAATTATAATTCGGTTCGAATTCAGTTTGATGTTTGGGAGAATTCGGGGACCCGGTATTCATAACTTCGGTTCGGTCGAAATCGAACCGACCGAATGCCCACCCCTACCAAATTATATATAGACGGTTTATAGTCTAGATCGAGAAGTTGGAGTATAGATCAGAAACCAGACTAAATATTACACTGTTCAGACCAGATTACATCTGTGTAATCTAGTTCGATACGGTCTGAATCATGCATACCACATTAATCGAGAAAAATGACAAATTTGTTTAGTCAACCACACGAATCCTATCTGTTTCTCAAAACATAAAATTCCAACACCCGGTGAGTTCCTACCCAGGAATGCTCGGTTGTAGCCTCTGGTGCTGTTATTTGGATTGCTTGCCATTAGTGTGCCTGTCAAGGTAAAGTTAATTCTCCTTTTTCTGATCGATGGCCCTATTCGATCCAAAAGCCAATCTTCACGATGAGCTTTTTATTCATCTCTTCCTTGTTGTTATCAAGTGCAGTTGAGTTGGTACTGGAAAAAAGATCCACGAGGTGCTGATATTTGGTCAATTTGTAGTAGAGATTAGAGAAGTTAAGCTAGCAACAGCCAAAAGTTTGATTCTTTTCAGCCATGGAAGAAGTGGGATCTTGTTATTCCTTCAAAAAGCTTTCTGAAAGTACTGATCAGTGAAATTTTCATGGCCATTTTTTGTGTTATTGCAAACAGGTAATGGACTCAATCTTCAGCAGCCTTACCAGGGAGCTTGCGAGTAGGTAATCTGGGAAGTATCGTCTGTGACTGGGAAATCAAGGAAAAAGTGAAAGCACAGAGCTACCAATTAAGCTTGGTGTGTTTCTGAACAAGTTTGCAGATTGATGTGAAATTGGAGCCATGATTCTGTTTGTATGAATTAACACGAATCCACTACAAGAACATTGTTACAGTCAGATTAAAATGTGAAAAATTCTCGGTGTGATATTATGGATTGGATTGACAAAACAGCACCAATAAACTCAAGGTGGCTTAATATCAAGCCAGGAAAGCAGTTCATAAAACAAACTTATCAGAGCCTGGTTTCGATCCAGGGACCTGTGGGTTATGGGCCCACCACGCTTCCGCTGCGCCACTCTGATTGTTATTGTCTAATCTGTTCTTTAATATTATACCAACGAAATTTGACAAGCAAGCAACCATTCATCAAATAACCTATGAACAAACAACAAAGAAAATATGGAAGAATACAAGAGACAAAGAGCAGTTTAGAAATTTGAGAAATCAAGCAATTCACAGAGCTTTAACAAGTTCAACAAAGTAATTGATATTTCACTGAGTTTTCGTATGAACACGATTGAGGGTATAGTACCATCAGCGATAGTAGTTCTTATATCTCGTATAATCGTATTAACAATCAAAAGAGAGAGTCCCGATTTAACCGCGTACGGATTTCACTTCATCCAAATTCGGATTCGGCAAATTTTCATCAACAGATGCGAAAGAAGAACTGGATTTCGCAACAATCAGTAGGGTCACAGATAGGGAAAGGCCTTTTTCAACTATCTACACCACAAAGTTCCCCTCTGCCTGCCCCCCTTTGCCAAAATGCAGATACAAGTAAAAATGCGTGCTTTTTTTTCTTCTTTTGTTTGATCTCCATGTACCATCTTTTCAGTTCAGGAATCCCACTGTACAGGACTGTGCAAGCTGACCATATACACCACCGCAGCGCAGCACCTGGCACTGCTTCGGACACACAACCCTCGACGACCTCGACCCGAATTTACAACTGTAAGAAAGATTCACCTGTTTAGTACCTAGCCACGAGCATTCCGTCGAAGGAGGAGAATCAGCAGTCGGGTCTCTCAGCACGATCCTACCGCCTTTCTTAAGCGACCCAGACGAACCTGTTGCGATTTGCTTCTGATACAGTTCCTCTAGGCTTTCTTCTTCTGCTTCTGCTGCAGCAGATTTCTTTGTTAGTCCACTGGCAGCCCATGCTTCCGAGACAAGCAAGTGGGTTGACTTCTCAGGCTCCACCCCAGACTCTCTCATGATTTGGAGGACCTCTTCTGCCTTCCATGGCTGTTTGGCTTCACCGTATCCCCAGATTAAGGTCTCAAATGTCTTCAGATTGGGAGAGATACCGTATTCACACATCTGGTTGTAAACCCTCATTGCAGAATCCATTCTGCCAACACTGCACCATCCGCTGATGACAGTTGTGAAGTTCACGACATTCGGGGGGATTCCTGATTCGATCATGGATTTAAAGACCTCTTCCGCTTTCTCTGGCTTATTTGCACGAGCATAGCCTTTGGCAAGAATGCTGTATGCATGTGCATCGGCTTGAATTCCTGCATTCACCATGTCATCAAAAATTTCCCTGCACTTGTCCATGTACCCTGCTGTGCTCCATGCGTTCATCATAGTACTGAATGTAATGACATCAGGTTTCACGTTGAATTTTTTCATCAACTCTAGGACCTGCAGATTTATACAACCACAGATTAAACCCAGATAAAAATATAGATTGGGTGGGTTTCTTTAGCAAAAGAGTTGCAAAAAGAACTAGTGCATCAGTACAGTTTAATATTAAGGACCGGTCAGGGCTGACCTCATCAACCCCTGCTCTATCCATCTTGTCAAGAAAGACTTTGATCAGCGAGTTAAAAACAACAAGGTTAGGGCACACGTCAAATTCCTTCATTCCGTAGACAAACCTCAGAGCTTCGCTTGCTCTTCCTTCTTTCACATACCCACTAATGATAATACCACAAGTTCTGTCATTAGGCTGTAAACCGTGCTTCTGCATCTCTGGAATCACACCTTCAGCCTTCTTTGGCTCTCCTTGCTGCACATAAGCTGATGCAATTGTATTATAAGTAACTGCATCAGGTCGAGTCCCCGAACCCACCATCTTATTCACTATATTCCATGCCTGATCGATGTTCTTGTTACACCATGCTCTAACAAGAACATTATAAGTCCTGAGATTCGGTTTCTGGTTTCCTTCCTTGGCCATAAGTTCCACCAGCTTAGTAGATTCTTCCGGTCTACCGGCAATGCCATAGCCTTTAACCAGGGTGTTGTAAGTGCTGGTTTCAGGTTTCATCCCATCCTCTTTCATCTTCCAGAAAGTTTTCATGGCTTCCTCCATGTTCCCGGATTCAGCAAATGCATTGATCAGGGCATTGTAGAATACTGAATCCGGTTTCAAGGCATTCCCCTCTACCTGAGAGACGATAGAGGCTATGGAGTCGAAGCGCTTCTGCAGAGTCAAGGAAGTCAAGAGAGTTGTGTATGTTACTAGAGATGGTCTGTGGCCTCCCTGAATCAGACTGTCGAATATGGGTTGTACTTTCTCTGGCTTTCCTCTGCTTATCATATCATTCATTTGACTCGTCCGTGATCTAACAATTCTACAGAAACTTTTGCTCATGCAGACTGAGCAACTGACTGCACTTGGCGACTCTGCAGACCTTGACATAGGAGGATGTGCTTGATTCTCGTTATCAGGCTTATTCACCTGCACCACAAGAACAATCCCATGTTTCAGTTGTGCACCTGAAAATTCATCACTCCCACATATCACTTGAACTCCTTCAATACATAGTTCCCTATGGCCACACAGAAAGCAGTAAATGGTATTTGCAGACTACTTTTACAAGGCGAGTGATAGCCATGGATACCTTGATCGGAAACAATAGAGACCATCCTTTCTTCATAGCAGTCGCTCCTCCTGCTGCATTTCCATTATCGTTTCTGAAAAAACCATTGTCCTTGCAAGACTCTTCCATATTGAGACTGCCTATTTCCGTGCTTCTTACTTCAAAATCCCCACCGAATCTAAGCCATCGCATCCTCTCTACTTCAGCCCTTAAACAAAAGAAACACAAAAACCTCACGAACTCCACGAATTATAACTCACAAACCATCAGAAAGTAGAAGTAGAGACTAGAGAGACAACAGGCGAGGATTCACTCTCCATCCAAACAAGTATCCAACAAAAATGGAAGCAGAACCGCAAATTAACACCAGCGGCACAAGAAACAAGTTGCCAACTGAAACGAAGCAGAGATCGAGCCAGAACAGTGCAGAAAAAGCTATCTAGAAACCCTAACGAACCAGAGAACCCACCGTAACGGGAAAGGAAAATAACAAGACTCCGCCAAACACACAGTTTCAAGACTAGCGGACCAAATGGAGAGATGATCGACGCAAGAACTTAACAGAAAAACCTAATCATCTCTACCGCAGAGAAAAGACGAAAGAAGCAGTCGTAGTTCGCGCCATGGATACGCGACCCAAACAAAGCCAAATCAGCTCGAGAAATAGGCGAGAACGAAGCAAAAAGCGCGCACCAAGAAGGTCTGAGCAGAGAGCGTCATTAGATAGTTTCCACAAACGAAATGAAAAGGAAGTAAGAAAAGGAACTTCTAGTTTACCAGTTGGCCGATCGCCCATTGGAGAGATCGAGGGAGGTAGCACTGCAGTTCTGCAGCAGCGGAGAAAGAAAACACGGGAACGGCTTGAAAGTTGGAGTTCTTGGAAGGCGAGCAAGGAGTGGACGGTGGGCTTAAGTAGCTACAAGCCTGTTGCTGGTGGATGGTTGTAAGAAAAAGAGGGAAATTGCAGTTCAGGACAAGAACAGTGAAGATAAGAGCGATAGAAATTGAGGCTGAAACTCTCTTGACACGATCTCATTCCTTTTTATTTTGTTTTGTTTCTCCTCTTTTGTTTCTCGTATAATTTTTCATTTTTTCCATTTATCTTTAAGAAAATTTTCTTTTATCTGAAATAATTTTGATAAATCCATGGAGGAATTCTTGTTTTTAGTAATTTAATTGGTATGGTGGAGTTGAGAAGAAATTGGTGAAATCACGTAAATCGTGAATAATTGTGTAATATGAAGGACCTAATTATAGGTATTAAAAATGAATATGAGATAAGTATGCATATGAATATTACCAATACAAGAACAATTAATCCAAAAGTAAAGAAAATTGAAGTCGGACATTTATCATAGACTACCAATAAGTTATACTAACTAAACCATGAAAAATAATGAACTCGACAATACATTATCTCCCCAATATTATTACAATTCTTTCAATTTGAACATAAACAACTTTTAATTTTGATTATACGTTGTAGTATGGGATAAAATTGCTCTTGTAACACTTCTCGTAACCGACTAGAAGCGTTACGAGTTCTGATTTTTAATTTATACGAAACTAATATTAGCAAATTAATTAAAAAAATGTGTAATTACTATAAATAAATAAAAATATAACGGTGGGTCCATCTTGGCGTTCACATGGCCCACCCATCCAAAAGACAACTTTCCGCGGGAGATATGAACCGAAAAACTCGCAAGGCTTGGAGAGAGAATAAGAACGAAATAGCCGAATGCGAAAATTTCCCGGGGAAATTATTGGAAGCGAAGGAAATTCGTTCTTCCGCGCATAAGGATTCTGGTTTAAGAGATACAAAAACAGGCCAAGAACAGAGATTTTTTTTTTTTAGCTTTGGGTTTACGGAGGTGATTGCCGTCGACGGAGTTATCAGCGGAGAGGGCTGAAATCATTCCCGTTTCATTCCCTCCCATGAAGACGAGCTTCATCCTCAGAGTTCCTTGCTTCCCTCTTTGATCGCCAAATCCCTTTTTCGGGGGAGATGTTCAATGTTTGGACATGGTTTCAGTATTGCTTAGCTGTGCATCCGTTGAAGACAGAGGTGATCAGCTCTGGCTTGATTTGGGGTGCCGGTGATATTGCTGCACAAGCCATTAACAACTACACGGCCGCCGCCGATAAGCCCCTCGTGTTTCAGGTGCGCTTTTTTTTTTTTTTTGCAATCTGGAAGATGTTCTTTCAGTTTTGATGATCATGGCCCTTTGTGGTGGATTGTGTTCGTTGTTCTTGTTGTGTTTGATGAAATGCCTGAATGAGGGAGCCTCCTGTTTCTTGTTTTTTTTTTATCATCTAGTTCAATGGAATGCCACCATATATCTTCTTCTCAGATGTGTGCTTTTGCTTTTGATTCGCTTGGTTTCCGTTTCTGATTGAGAAAGAACAGATTATGATGTCAGTCTGATTGGGATAGTCCTTTCTGTAGATGATGGATTTCTGTTGCTGATGTTCTTGTATTTCGAAATGATGCTAGGATGATGAAAGGCCTGAAAAGATAAACTGGAAACGAGTAGCGACCACGAGCTTGTTCGGGTTTGGATTCGTTGGACCTGTCGGACACTTCTGGTGAGTCTTTCATTCTTTCTGGTTTTCAATCATGGAAGGGATGAATTGTACGGAACTGGACTCGAGCTAGAACATGGGGTTTTCATAACAGAACTGGACATAAATGGTTCTCCTCTGTCTGAAACTTCTTGTACAGGTATCAAGGTCTAGACAGATTCATGAGGTCACAGCTATTCCACCCCAATTCGCTGCGATTCGTTGGTGTCAAAGTGGCGATCGATGGCTTCATCTTCGGGCCACTGGATCTGCTCTTGTTCTTCACGTACATGGGCATTGCTGCTGGGAAGAGCGTCCCGCAGATCAGGGACGATATGAAGAGAGATTTCCTCCCGGCTTTCATGTTCGAAGGTGGCATATGGCCGATCATTCAGGTGGTGAACTTCCGCTTCGTCCCTGTGAAGTATCAGCTCCTGTATGTTAACTTCTTCTGCTTGATAGATAGTTGCTTCCTCTCGTGGCTCGAGCAGCAGCGCAATGCTCCCTGGAAGGCGTGGGTGAACTCCTTGGTACCTTTCCAAGGGGAGAAAGGGTGAAGAAAGGAAAAAGGTTAGATCTTTGTCCTTCTATCATCACCCCCTTCAACTATGGAGAAAGAGGATGTGAAAACGATGAGTTCAGGGAAGACCTCAAGATCAAGGCACTTACAGATTTGCCAAGAAGACATGGAAAATGATTGGTAGTGTTTTTTTCTTGTTAACACAATTTTGACCGTACATAGTAGGGTTACATTTGATCATCCCTTCTCATTGGGGCATAAATACTGATCATTTTTTGAATTTGTTTTTGTAGTCAATTTGTATATTCTTACTCTCTTCTGCATGAAAATGATGTTGGCAACTAGTACTTCAATATTCATACGTATAAATTGTTTAATTGCGAGGAAATTTTTTCCCATTGATGAATACCTACTATAGACAAAATTGGACAGAAACTACAGTTCTTGACAAATGAAATAATGTACCAACCTTTGCCTCGAAGTTGTGATCAAGGAGAATATCCACTGCCTTGATATCGCGATGAAGGATCTTGGGATCACCTGTATGCAGAAATATCTTGTTGTGAGCTTCCAGAAAGCTATAATCTAGTAGGCATTTAAGGGAAGAAGACTGAAGACTTACAATCCTCATGCAGATAAGCCAGTCCAGACCCAAGAGAAATTCTCCATCTAGATGCAGATAACTGATAAGGCGCTGACCTGAAGCAAGGGGTATCCTTGCCAGTTGCCAAAATCCACTGCAGATAGTGTCGCTGGACCTTGGTCCTTGATGAGAAAGCTAGGTACCATATCATCATCATCCGGTTCATGGCCATCTCGAAATTTTCAGGTCTGATCAGAACTTCAATGCAGATGATAGTGAACCTGCTATGCTGTGGCTTGATCAAGCCATCAATTCGCCGATACCTCTATACATTTACTGATTTACAGTGGCCGTTATAAAGACCGGAGATTTTCATATTCTCTGCTATTGAATCCAGTCCAACTTTGGCAAAACAACTCTCAATTTCAACATGCTAATGCCCCTGATGATTCCATATCCTTCACAACAGAATCGACTTTCTCGGTCAATCCAGCCCTTCGATATCCCGCAACCAGCAAATCATAAGTCGATCTTGTGAGCTTACAGTATCGTGTCACATGTTCCAGAAACAAATCAAGCCTGTCATAAGCTTCTTGCCTGAAGTATGCAGAGATTACCCTCTCGACATCACCAGGACTGCTAAACGACATCCCCTGGCTCATCATCCTCCCAACCGTGTATTCAACATCATCCAATCGATCTAGACTTGCATACAATCTTATAATCCCACAATGCACCTGCAACAAAGCTTCACCAACTTGATTGAACTCGACTAGAGCATCGAGTAGCATCTCCATCTCATCTGGTTTCTCAAGTTCGCAGTACAACTTCACAACCTTCTCAATCAAACGGCCAGAAATCTCGAACCTACATTCCATTAGAAAATTCACAAACTCCTTAACTCTCTCACAATTCCTCCTCTTACAAAGCCCCTCCAGCACAGAATCCAGTATCTTCTCGCTTGGGGCGATCCCTTGAGCCATCATTTCGTTGTAAAACAAGTCAGCTGAATCGAAATCATTAACCTTCACGCAGCAAGAGATTAGAGATTCATAATTCAGTGCATTTGGAAGGTAAGCGGCTTCCCTTTTGGCCTGGTACCAAGCTCGCATTCTGTGAGTATCTCTAAAGTTGGAGAACCCCGATATGAAAGTATCGTAGGTTTCCGAATCCGGCCTAAACGTTTCAGAGCTTTCCATTACCTCGAACAAGCTTAGGGCAGTAATTACCTCGTTTGAGGACAAGCAAGTATGAATCAGGGAATTGAAAACAGAAGCTGTGGCCTGAATCCCACGATCCTCCATGGAAGTAAACATTGTCATAGCCAGCGGGACATTTCGAATCTTAGCACAGAGAGATATCAAATTGGAGTAGAGGCTGCGATCCTTCTCGCCGTCGTTGAGCATTCTCTCCAGTCTCCATTCCAGAATCTGAAACGAATATGGATAGAAATCAGAAATTCTGAACAACTTTTGCAAACAGTGGATTATTCCATTTTCCTACATTTTCCCGGCATCCAAACAAAGCAAAAAGGAAAAAAAATGCTCGGTACAGGATTTGATGATTACGAGCTTGGCTTTCTGAGGAGAAGACGAGGCGAGACTCGCGACGAGAGATTCCGAGACAGCGAGATCGGAAGATCTCCCAGCGACGACGGAGTCGAGCGCGCGTTTGATTTGAGAGGTCGAGAGCTGAAGCAGTTTGGCGAGTAGTGTATCAGCGGAAGCAACAGCAGTGGCGGAGCTGCAGAAGCTACGTTGTTTGAAGCGGAAACAGTCCGGCAGTGATTGAGTCGCTACTCCGGTCGCCGACGACGAGACTCTTCTCCATGCCGCCGCCAATGCCATAATTGCTGCTTCTGGTCTGGACAGTCAGCAACCGAGTCCACGTTATAACGGGGTTCATTGATGGGCCCATTGGGCTCAATGGATAGGGATCACAAGTTACACCCTGGTTCGTTAATGGGCCGGGCCCATTTAGTTTGATGGTAATTCTCCGCCTTAATCATTCACAGTGGGAGTTGGAACTTGGAAAAAGAAAATTTCATTGACACTGAGAATTTGAAATCAAACCTGCATAATAGAGATCTAAGTATAGAACTGTTAAAAATTTCGTCATAATATCGCGATAAAATCATATCGACTGGTTACTGATACATGTACAGTATAAAAAAAACAGCAAGGAAAACAACATGGGAATTTTACAGGAGAAAATTGATTAGGGTAGCTAAATAGCCCTAGAAACAGCAAAGATGTATCTGTGCTGGCCTCATTATACATTCATCTACTACTACATATCTAACCATCTCAAAACAAAATCTCAGGACAAACCAAACCGGGACAAAGCTGATTGGAACAGAGCTAAGAATTCGTGTGACGTGCTCTGATCCTCAGCCTTGATATTCAGTTGTGCTTTGGTTGTTGAGGTATTGATTTTACACTCTACAAGAAACACGGATGGCTCGTCCGCTTTCTGTGCAAAGAAGAAAAACTTGAAGTTAGGTGACTGACCCCCCGACGCAATGCACTGGATCGAGTTGGCCTGCATGTGATGGAGGAGAGCTTGAGGTGATGTCAGTGCCGCAGCACCTTGCGAACCTAACTCACATTCCTGCAATCACAAAAGAATTTGGAACCTTATCAGGAATGTATGAGATCCTTGAGTAAGGACTAAGGTAAGATCATGTTCCATTGATTTGAATCCATTCAAATGAACAAATATAATGTTGTATACTTGCATTCCTTCTGCTTCCAATTGGGAAAAAAAGTAAAAGTAGAGAGACCGAGAATTGGATATATATACCTGAGACATAGCTACAGGTAGCTCCCGCCATTTTTTCTGGAAGCTTCCTGCATCTAGTGCAGCTCTGGCATTGAGCTTCAATGGTGGGGGTGCAGAAGCAGGAGCCGGAGGGGCTGTTAGATCTAGACCCATCAGTAGATCATCAATTGCCGTGGAAGCCTGTGGTCCTGGATCTGCTGCTCCTAAAAGGCCTGTAATTGCCGGCTCGGATTGCAAAGGCAGAGCTGGATTTGATGAATCGTAGAACGGAGCGGTGTAATCAGAGCCATCAGCGACCATTGCTCTCGTTTCCTCCTTCTCGGAGGTACTCAGAAGCAGATCACTGGTTTCATTAGCATCGACACTGGTAGCTGGCACTACATGTTCAGACTCGGCCCCAACTGTAAGATTGCCAATCTCGTCTGAGAACTCAAATGGTCCCCGGTGGTCCTTATCTGTGAACATGTATGATGGCTGCAAGAACGTGTAGACATTTATCACTTCCAACCAAAAACAAAAGGCGAAGGAAAAAAAAAAAAGGTAAACTCAATAAATCATTCTCAACATCATGGTCTCATGATTGATTCTATATTTCAGTTTCATCTCTACTCTCTCAGCCTTTTCCAAAGCCTATGTTCAGTTTGTTCACCAAAATTATTCTGACTCTTTTTGAGTATAATATTTTGTTTCAACCATCTCCATTATCACTCTTGAACAATGAAACTTCAAAACCACAAATCAACTATCACGAAAACCATTGCAAACAATTGATAATCTCTTCTAAGAAACAGAAAGCATAAAGTCATACATGAACAATTACCTTTTGGTACACGATAGATAGACTGTTAAATTCATCAAATATGCGATCTTTGATCTCATTGCTCTGTGTATCAGCAAAGACTGAGACAGCTTGCTTCGGAGGATTCACTACACGCTCTGCACTTGATACGTCATATTGCAGTAGTCTATAGTAGAACAACGCTCTATCATGGACATCCTGAAAACCAATCAAAATTCAAACTGAGCATTTATCATCCCGACTGTGAAGGCACTTAGACAACGAGCTACCCATTTTATAAATTGGCAAAATAGTGAAGTTTGATGGAAGCACTAGCACACACAAAGCAAAGATCACCTGATGAAAATCAGACAAGCCTGCAGCCAATGCCATTCCTAATGCTTTTTGAGTCTCGGGTGGTCTTCTGAAAAAGCACTTCATTATTGCTGTGAGAAGGTGCAAGTGAACCTGCAATAAATTATGGCTTGTAAAGATTTAACAGAGAGGACACAAAATCATGTGAAGATGTCACTATTCAGAAGAAGTCTAATAACAACCTCAGGAGCATCCTCTTCCCAGTTCTCCACCAAGCTCTCTAAAATATAAGGAGCATCGTCCATGTCTTGTGCATATTCACCCAACATCCATATAAGAGCTGCTTTTGCCTTGGGCTCTTGCACATTTTTGCTGCTTATATTCCCAACAACTGCAATACAGTCATGGCTCCACTGAGGGTATTTTCTCAACAGATCTTTGACAAGTACCTACACAAAATAATTTATTTAAGTCACTCCTATTGCATGCCAAAGAAAAGTCGTTGGCTTCATTGCAATGTAGTGTATATGTTTGGTATATAAGAGTAGAACACCAATTTGTGCAAGCTTAACATTAGGATCTCAATGTGATCTGAAAGTAGATTAATTACCAGAGCTTCAGCAGTTACATAGTCCTTTTCCATCTCCAGAAACTGAAGAAGCCTATCAACGATAGCATTCACATCATACTGCTGCAGAGCAATTTTCCCAACAGCACGAATTGATTCTCGTGCAATAGCAACATCAACATTTGCAGCATACTCACATAATTCAGTCACTGCAGTTAACAAAGGACCGTCAGAGATTATCATACGCTGAAGACATTACCTTGCAATGCAAGCTTCGGAGAACTGTTTACTTACCAATTTCATATGTATTGTTTTCATTTGCAACTGCAGTCAACATTTCAAGCTTCAATTTCTTGACATATGAAGGCTCATTGTACTGACAGTAGAAGTGTTTATAATCTGAAGCAAATATGTATGGAGCACGCATCACCAAGAGGTGAAGGTGGCTTAATACAGCATAAGATTGCTCTGGACTTCCGGAACTCACAAGGGTGAGCAGAGGGGCTTTAATACGTTCATATACCTAAGCAATAGAAGAATAAAACACATTAGCCATATATCTCACCTGAATTTCATCAAGTGACCGAAACCATTTCATAAAAGAATTGCTAGTCTTTGCACCCAGTGTGAGAGTTTTGTAGAGAGCTAAGCAAATGTTAACAATGGCACATGAACAGAAAATGATGAGGATGCATAACTACATCTATAAAAATTACTGAAATGGTACAATTAATAGGACTAAGCTAACATTGGATGTGCTTCAATGAAAGCAATCTTAAGTACTTCAGACTAATCACATTGCACCTTAGAGATTATACAAGCAACATACAAAATTTTCGATTTCTATACATCCTTTGCTTCCCAGGCTCAAAGATTGCATTATAGTATCTTCGACAATACCTCCTGGTGAACATCGGCCATTGACAGAGTCAACTGAAGAAACACTTTGATGGTTGCCAATACAACAGCCCCATTTGCATGCTGAAGTCTATCTTCAAGAAGATTCATGATGTCGAAATTCTCATTGGTATAAGAAGGCACATATTTTGCGACCAACTCAAGCACAAGACACTGACCCCATTCATTAAATTCCCTAAGCCTGCAGTAAACAACAGAACAGAAAATCGAACATAACTATTATCATACATTATTCAGAAGTCCTTTTCTGAGGTCTATCAGGTGCCGAAACTTAAAAATGTTCCCTTGTTAGTGTTTAATACCAGGGGAGCACCATTACTATGGACACATGATCGTTTTGTGAATCAATATCCTTGTTTCAACGTGAGCATGGGTCTCAAAATCATCGATTCTGTCCGATACGAAAAAGATACAATAGTAATCTAAATGGCAGATAGCATACTAACAATCAATTCCAAGCATGGTTATTATCACCGGATTAACATGGAAAACGAAGCTACTTACAGCTGTAATCAACTATTATTTGCAAATATTACTCCGACCCTTCTCCCTTCGCGGACATCCAAAAATATTATCTCTCCTACTTTTGAACCTATTGCCAAGGAACATACCTATTCAAAAGGTAATATATGAAGGGCTTGCTGATTAAACCTTCTTTCTCCCTTGCTGCTTCCTCAGAAGTACTTGATTCCGAGTTCCAAATCTCTTGCAATGCAGATAAACAATTCGCAACAACCTGATGAAACACACAACTCTCTATTAAACACTAAATTCAATGCCATTTCGAGGTTCGAAAAGGTTCATCGTCCAATTCTGAATGCGAATTACCTGCGACTCAGAGTCATTGAGCATCAAAAGCTTCAAAACTGCAGGGAAATCAGCATCAAGGCAAGTTGAAGCAGATATATGATACAGCTTAAGCGCTCCCATGACAGCCACCGTCCTCACATAAGCATTATTATCTTTCAAACCAGAACCCAAAGGCCCTACCAGATACTCCACCAGATTCGCCACTCGCAACGAGCTCAAGCTCCTCAAGGCAAGCCCTCTGATCATCGGGTCCTGGTCTTTGCAATCTCGCTGGAGGAAATTTATGGTCAAGAGAGCAAGATCAGGGTTGACCTTGGCGTAATTGCCAACGTAGAGGTAACACATTTTCTTCAGCACGATGTCCGGCGTCACGGAGCACATCACCATCTCGCCGAAGAGGGACGAGACGTCGATCCCGACCGTCATGTACGAGATCACTTTCTTGAAGAGCTCCCGCTTCGCATCGTCCACTCCGGGAGCTCGGCTCCCGGCGAGCTGCCGGAGCTGCGATCTCAAATCCGACACTTCACCTTTTCTGCAAACGAGAACCAGGTCCATAGTCAATTGTTGGAAAATGCATATCGAAGGACGACTGGTTTTGTTTTGCGAATACTACTGGACTTACCCGGACGGTTGAGATGGAGAAGGATTACGCGAGGACTGCGCCGGAGGAGCCATGGCCAGACTAAAAGTCGAACACAGTAGCCGAATTCGGTTAGATGGTGGCTCCAAGGAAGACCGGAGATGGGATGGAAGATCTATGGAGTACTGAACGAAGACAGACGGAAACAGAGAAAGCTTGTTCTGTTGATCGGACGAAAATTCCAAAACAGTACCCAAACTTTCAATGTCTTACTATTTTTGTTCCATTTTATAAAAAATAGGTAAATTAACTCATTCACTCGCCTTCTTTGCTTCAACTTTCATTATTGATCTTCACTTCACACAGTACCACAAAGGATTGTACGGCATCAATCTCGAATTGCATAAAACATGCTTACTCTCAGGCATTTGGATTGTGTAAGAAGTAAACCATTATCTCGGCAATAATGAGTCAAGCTAGTATTAGCGGTGAATCCCCTGTTAATGCAGCCTTTTTCCATGTAAAAAGGGAGTCTTTAGTTACAGCTAAGTAGGATTCGAAACGACCAATTAGTTAACAGCCCACCGCTCCACCACTGAGCTACTGAGGAACAACTGTATAGTATTGTGCTTCAGATTTTGGTCATAAGCATTGTTGTGATTAATCGAATTATCTTACATTACTGCTTTCTTGTCAATGAAGCAAACACAGAGTCACTTCAGGGCTGTACAAAATAAAGCCTGTAAAAGGGTCATAAAAGAAACATCATCTCAAAGGAGCTAGGTTTCAAGACACAAGCAACTCCCTACTCCCGACGATCAAGGCACTAAAAGTAAATATCACATATACAGGCAACATTACTGTCAGCACCATCTGAGGCCTTCGATATCACGCGATCTCAGCTGGGATCTGAGAATGCTCGAGAAGTTCATTCACACCGGTAAATAGCAGATACCTGGCAGGGTTGAATTTTCTTCCATCTGGAATGACTTCATCTATCAGCTTGGCTCTCTAACAGCTTCTTCAGTCCTGGCATCCACAATAATGAAATCTCAATAACCCTATTGCTCAATACTTGAAACTTGAAAATTACACCAATGCATGAATAATTAGGCTTGATGATAACAAATAAAAGAAGGATGGCGGCATGGCACTAGAACTGGAGGATATCAGGATACTAGATGATTGATCCTCTCCTCACAGAAGCCTTCAACCATACAACTCCAAACTGAATGGCAATATCATGATGCATTAATAAATGAGTCATCTTCCTTCAGTAATAAATGCCGACAGTGAAGAAAGCTCGGAATAAGAAACTGCAACGCCGGTCATTTTTACGCAACAATGTTAAATTGCCCGTGCTCTATAATAAGCAATCAATGTGAAGAGAACCATCCAAAAGCAGCAGAATATAACAAGAACAAAAGAAAGGTCTGCAAGAAATGCATACTGTGCCTCAAACAATGTTATTTTCCCTATAAAAGCCACACTCATTCCAAAAGAGCGATTCAAGATCAATCCCATAAGAGATCAACTTATGATTGTACCCCCAAAGATCATTCTCATAAATGAGATCAATTGCCATTCCATACTTGAGCAACTGTAAGAGTCTCATTACACCAGGGATCACTCAGCATGACCATCTACTCACCAAAATATCATCTCACATGAACAGCTGCCCCAAGCTATACCTTAAAAGCTAACCAAAATGCCGAAAGATAAGCCCTTTTCGCCATTGCATAGGAGCCATACTTCCAGAATACAGAACCAGCGGCATTATTTGAACTCAAAACTTATCAGCAAAGCACATACTTTTGACTATAGAATCCCCACGGGATGGGATGGACACAAAACGAGCATAAACATGGACACATTACTTTGATCCGTTTAATGCAGATTTGCAGAGGGAAAATCCTATCACTTGATCAAACAAGCACAGAAGGAAATAATCCAATTTTGCAACTACGAGACGTACCCAGGACCAGGAGTAGACGAATTACGGGTATTTATGCTGTTGTAGTATCTTGATATTCGTCGAGTCTGGGGTTTGAACTTAGCAGGTTTCTTACGAAGACCGAAAATCTCTTGAACCAGCGGGACGTGCACCAGCACCAGCTTCCAAGCTAACAACCAACCTGAGAACATAAACAAAGGAAAAACCAATCAGAATCCTCGCAAACGAATCCGAATTCCTACAAAGATGAATTTGAGTATAGGGTTGGCACCAACCAAAAGCTATGAACACGAACACGAAGGAGATGGCCGCAATTGGACGGAGAATCAGTAAGACGATGTAATCCACAGGCGACGGCGTACTCGAAGAGAAAGAAGTGGCAGCGGAATCCATTGACGACTAAGCGGTTCTAAATAATTTTGGCGGGAACAAAGAAGGACGGCTAAGCTTCCTGGCGTGAACCAGCAGAATTGGACCGGAATTGCGCCGGCGATGATGAGTAAGGCGGAGACGGCGATGGAGAAGCCCTAATTTGATCGAACAAGCAAAGAAAGAAAGGGCGAAGAATGAGAGAGGAAGGAGGTAAAGTGAGAGAGGGAAAAAGGCAGGATTTTTTTATGAAGAACTATTGGATAATAATTAAATAAAAACAAATAAATGTGTCAAAGATCGTATCTTTCATTCTTTCAGTTTCGTGCAGCAGGCCCTATCTAGTTCTGACTCCGACGAACGAACAAACGAATGCTCCTGTGCTCCACCGTAAGAAGCAGCAATGGCGGTTTTAGCTCACTTCCAGAAGCTCCAATTCTCCGCCTTCCTCTTAACCCGCGCACAACCGCCGCTGTCGTCTCTTTCGCGCCAATTCAACTCTACCCTCTGCTCCAAGCTCTACCGACTCCCTGCCCTAATCAGACCCCAATCCGCGCTATCCGCCGCCGAGCCCATCCCTGTGAGTCAGCTTCTCGAACCGCCGCCACCGGCGGAAACCCAGTCACCGATTACACTCGACAAGCTGTTCATCCCGCCGGAGACACAGGTTTCGCTCGAGGACCCGACCACGAGGGTTCTCAAGGGCTCGAACATAGTGCTGAGCAAGTACGCCAGGGATGCGCAGGTGGTGCAGGCCGAGTTCGTGAAGAGCAGCGTGAGGACGGAGGATTGCCCCTCTGATGGGTCGCCGGAGTTCGCCCTCGTCGGGAGGTCGAACGTCGGGAAGTCTTCGCTTCTCAATTCGCTGGTCAGAAGGAAGAAGCTCGCCCTCACTTCTAAGAAACCTGGTAAATAATGGTGTTCTACATTGTGTGGCTTTGAATTGGGGGATTGGTAGTTGAAATTTGCATTTACTGGTATTGAAATTGTTCCAATTTTGAAGGGAAGACGCAATGCATAAACCATTTCAGGATCAATGAGAGCTGGTTCTTGGTGGACTTGCCTGGATACGGGTAATGGTTCAAGTATTGATCAATTCTCATTTAGGAAAGTAGGAATTAGTACATACTTGAGTTAGACTCGTGCTGCGATTTCTGTCTGATGATAGATTTAAGCCAGTATGATCTTCTGTGCAGGTATGCTTCTGCACCACACGAATGTAGGACAGATTGGGCCAAATTTACCAAGGATTACTTCCTCAACCGTTCAACATTGGTCTCTGTGTTCCTTCTCATAGATGCAAGTATCCCAGCGAAGAAGATCGATCTGGAGTATGCAAGCTGGCTTGGTCAGAACCAGGTAAAAGGAGAGGACTTTTTGTTTGTAGTTGCACGAATCGACTTGTTGTCTGTAGATGGGTGTCGATTTCTCTTCATGGATGAACTGTGGAGTTAGGAAGTTGAATGATGATTGCGCAGTTTTGCTTTAGCTGACAGAAAAAGATATTGATTGCTCATCCGTGATCTCGTTTTTCACGCGTGTTTTCCAGATTCCGATGACAATAGTTTTCACGAAATGTGACAAGAGGAAGAAGAAGAAGAATGGAGGGAAGCATCCAGAAGAGAATGTGAATGATTTTCAGGAGCTGATTCGTGGCTACTTCCAAACGACGCCCCCATGGATCATGACGAGCAGCGTCACCAATCAGGGTCGTGATGAGATACTATTGCACATGGCTCAACTGCGAAACTACTGGCTTAAACACTAAAAGCTTGATTAGTGTGCAGACGAATTTGCGAATCCCAGACTCTCAAACTTTGTGATAATGCTCCAGTGAACTTCCTGATTCTGGGGATGGTGGAAAGGGTTTGGTTTCTCCAACCCTTTGTTTGGCTCAGAATGCTGCAAACTTGCTCACAAACTTCGCGGAGTCTTCTCATCAAGCTATCATACCTTGCTCGCAAGCTACGCAGTGTCTTCTTGCCAAGGTATGGCCTGGAAAGAAATGTATCGTTTACGAAACATATCTCAGGGCCGAAGTGAACCATTTGATCGAGTACTAGAATATGCTTCAAACTAATCTTGTGTGAGAAACTATTACTCAGTTGTAGTTCTACAGTACATAAACACTAGACAGGATCACTTGGGGTTTTGCCCTTCATTAGTCTTGATTTGTTTCATCCGCTTTCTGTTAGCATTTCATGTTTCCGACGAAAAACTCAAATGTGTCTTGCATGTTTTCGGACGTTGATCAACATTTAACATCTAACATCAAGCTCTGAACCTCTTGTTCGTCGACAAATACTATTCGAACAGGCCACCTTTTTTTCCTTTCTGCCAGTGATGAAGCAACGTCGGCATACATGTCGACCGCTGCACAAAAGGAACGTAAATTTTTTTAATTTATCGTCGAGCCATCAATCAGAGAAAACGCTTTACGACTTTTCTCGAACCGTTTATGCTCCAACTAAAACGAACAATGATCCATTGAGTTTAGTTAAATTAGACAAGAGTCACACTTCACTAAATAACAAAAATAAATACATATACAAAGTAAAAACAAAATTAAAAACTAGGGTAATAAATTTGTTTTGCGTCACAGAAAAGAATTCTACGTACATATTGCACTCCACTCTTTGCTGCAATCGATCGAACAAGCTGCTTTCTTCTCCGGAAAAAGGAAACCAATCCATGTTTTTATTTCCTTCTGCAAAATTGATTTAGCACTTTTTCGAAAGGAAGGATTCGATCGATGAAAGAAAAAGAAGAAGAAGAGGAAGAAGATGATGATGCCTCGTCCCCTCTGAAATCAGAGATAGCAAAGCTTCGTAGACGATGGGAGTTGGCCTCTGTTCTTAATTTCTTCAATGTACGTACGTAACATTTGCTTTCTCATTCCCCTGTTTCCCCCATGCAATCAAGCTGTTCAAGGTGTATTCACATGCCAGAATATATGCAGGTTTTCGAGCCAGTTATCGGCAATGATTCGTTACTATCCGCGGAGGAGATCGAGACCGGCCTAGTCAAGCCAAATGAATCACTTGCGAAGCTCCACATCATGCTCTTAAAGGTATAAAATCGGATTAAATTGCGTGTATCTATAAGCACGTGCTTACGCGTACTCAATTCGTGGTTTAAAGTTCGATGTTACGATGTTGAATGTACAGGGGATACCTCCAGTGAGCAAACTACTGAACCGTTCTGATGGATGGGTCACTGTTCTGTGTAAGAAACTGGCTCTATGGTGGCCATGGGTACGTATGTTAATTCGTTGTATCGTAATCGAGTATGCAGACTGCAGTACTAGAACTCTGAAGCATGAGTGCATATGATGCAACTTTCATTTTTGCAGGTCGCTGAAGGTGAGATACCACTGATAGCAAGTCGAGGAGGGTATTTAAAAAAAATCCAATTTGTTGCAGTACTCTTGTATTACGAATGAATATCAATCGATTTTCAACGGTCGATTGTGACATTTTTTTTTTGGCTTTTGATTGATTGTCTAGTGACGAGATATCGAAATACAAGGACGAATTGGATCCTGTGCATCGTCTGCTGCTCTTGAGGGCACTCTGTGAAGTCCGAGCTGATGTAAGTTCATCGAGTTTACGAACAATTTCGCGACTGTATGGTACTTGAATTCGTGCGATCGTGTGATGTGATATGTCGTCGTAACGTTGATCTGCAAATGCATATGCAGCAAGTTGATGCATTGTCGTTCATCAATAGTGAGATGAAGAAAGGAGGAGCTCATCGAGTTTCTTCCTTTCGTAAGGATAAGATTGGAGGAGATGGAAGCACATCCTACTGGTGTGATGGGAATGCAGTTCTTGGTCACAGATTGTACAGAGAAGTTACTGTAGACAAAAGAAACAGTACAAAAGCAAAAGCCAAAGCCAAAGGGAAAGCATGTAAAGCTACATCATCAACCAGTCAGTGGGAGACCCTTGCTACTAATCTCCAAGAATTTCACCAAGCTGTGGTAAGTAGTTGATATATTAATTACTTGTTCATGTTACAGAATGCACACTTGGGAATGGTATGATGAACTTTGATCCATATTTCAAGTCCATTAGTAGATGAACTTTGATCCAAACAACTCGAGTTAGTCGAATAAACATATATAACTCAGTTTCGCAATCGGGTGACCTGATAGCATGTCAAAAAATATATGCAGGAAGAGCTGTCATCTAGCAGGAGGAAAGCAGAAGCCTCGGTCTGCCAAACGATTGAAGCTGATGTCCTTCCTGAAATGGAGAAACTCCAGAAGGTACATTTTAATTTCTTCATTCATCGTCTATAGTTATGCTGATAAACTATTAGCTTTCTGATGAGATGCTTAATTTTATCTGAATACATAACAGAAGAAAGATAGGGCACTGAAGAGGAAACAAACACAGGAGAAGCTCTTGAATGATGTTAGGGCTTATACCACTACTGGGCTAACTCGATCCTGTCGAAATCGTCGACTAATCAGTTACACATTTGGTATGTTCCCATCATTGTTTCATAAACATTCCGTAGGAGTTTTCGAGCCAAAGTATATCGTGCACCCCTCGATTTCGTCTGCACAAATGCACGTTGTGTAGCGCGCTCGAAATTCAGGGTGTATCACATCGGCATAAATTGAATCCTTGCATACTGTCTGTTTTGCAGATGAGTATGACCGTGCCATTGATGAGGCTATAAAACAACAACCAAAGTAAGATTTGATTTACTTGTTTGCAAATGTCCATGGAAAGTACTATTGGATCGTGAACACCAGATATCACTTTGTTGTAACAGGAAAAGGAAAATGGTAAAAGAGCAGAAAACTATGACAATGGAACGTGTTGAGCAAGCAACAAGCCCTAATTCTGGTACCGAGGACTCGGGTGCTGATACAGAGTCGAAAGGAACTGATGACCATGATGATCAAGGCAACTCATCATCAGATGATGATGGAAGTGGATCAAGTGGCCAAAAAGAAGTGGGTGATGATGAAGAAGAAGATGACGACGATGGCGACGACGCGGACGAGGAGGATGATGATGATGATGATGATGATGATGGCGGGGATGATAATGAAGCAGATTCAGAAACCCAAAAAAGTGATGAAAATGGGAATGGAGAACATAGTGAAAAATCAAGTGAAGCTGATAATGAAAATGAGAGTGTTGACGATGACACAAGTGGTGGTGATTATGATCAAAACCAAGTTGATTCAAGCTCTAAAAGCAAGTCTGTTGTGGAAACCCAAGACACAGGGGACAAAGAATAGGCCTATATTGTTTAGGGGTACTTTCTGCACCAATTGTATCATCTTAGCGACGATTTTGGTAATAGCTTTCAATAAAGTATTCGATAACATTTGTTGCATAAAATATACCATCGTGACATTATTTGTAATTTGGAGCATTGGAAGAACACATATTCAACCTGTGAATTTCATCAATGGTTCTCGAACTGGTATAAAAAAAGCATCATTGCTGCAACCATTTTCGCCGTTTGTGCAATAATTTTGCGCATAAAAGACTCTTTGTATTTTGTTTTTGTAATTATAGTTCATAGTACTGTGAGACTGAAACACAAATAAGAGCATAACAGAAGCATAATGACGTAAATTGCACCCGATTTTGGATCGGAGTAAACCAAAGTAAATTAGAAGCCGACATGACACAATAGGAACACACTCGAGCCGATTTGTGTCATGCCGGCTCAATACCTTATAGTTCAAGCCTCAAGGCAACTTTCCTGCCGGACCTAGATCTCATTTAATAATTCTGTCCTACACAATTTGGGCCCACAATCTGCACCCATGGGCCTAGCCAACGAACATCCGGCCCAAACCCGAGCCCGATCCACAACCGGTGCCCTGAGTGTCCCCGACCGGCGACAGGTTGTCACTACTATATTCCAAGTCCCACCCAACCCAGGAGGAAACTGCTTACCAGACCGGAAAGAAAGCGGCGAAACGATGGCATCCAATTCCGCCGCAGCCGCAGCTGCAGCTGCCCGAAGGAGAAAAATCGTCGAGCGTGGCGCCGACCGATTAGCTCTCATCACCGGCCGGCTCTCCTCTCTTCCTCCCGAATCCACCATCGACGCTAACCTTAAGCCTTCTGCCGACTCATCTCCCCAGTCGACTTCCGATCACCAACTTCCTAGCCCGCATCTCCTTCCCCGTGGAATCGCCGCCGGTGAACCAGTATCCCAGCCGCCGAATCCTCCTTCGAACCAAATCGAACAGCCGATGCTCCAGAAAACAAATGGTGCGTCTCTGTCTCTCTGAAAAATTTCGCTAATAAGTTTTCTTGACCTAAACAATCTCAATGAAGCTTTGCGGCAATTTGCAGATTCCGTTAGCGGTAAGGAAGAAACCTTCGGTAGGGAACTACCGGAACAAGCTACCGCCGCCGTTGATTCGGCCAGAGGCCACGCCGGCAGCGTTTTAGACCGTCCCGTTTCGGATGAAATTAGCGGCCGATCGGATATGAATCCGACGGCCATGGGAGCCGCTTCCGGCACAGAGCAACTTCTCCTCCGTGGAAGCACTCGTCAGAGAAGAGTTTCGATGAGTCCAAGTCAGATAAGTTCCGGCATCACAGCATCAGAAAGAACCAGAGTTCTCTGCTCAGTAGCTGTCGCCATTTTAGTAGTCTCGTCATCTCTAGGGTTCCCTCTCCTTGGGAACGAGATAGTGAAGGGAATTCTGAGCTTCAGGCCGCTTTACCTGCTGCTTGTAACCAACGTGACAATCGTGATCGCAGCTATCCTTTCGAACAACGACCGGAGAGGTTCTGCAATGGTGGATGATGGGGCAGCAGGACTCGAATTGCCATCCGGCGGCAGCAACAGCTACGATTGGGCTGCACAAGCAAGCAAGGCATTAGAGATAAGTTTCGTGGCGAAGAAAGCAATCGAAGCCTTACTGATGGATGTCAGCGTTTATGCAATCATTGTTGTTTGTGCTTTCTGCCTTCTCCGATGATAACACAACCACGACGAATCCCATCTGTGTTGTTCTTTCAATAATGTAGCACGAACAATTTTCCTGTGTTTCGATTGTAATGGAATTGGCAATTGGTGTTTTGAGTTAGCAACTTAGCATTAGATATCTTCTGGAATTGTCTCGATAATATGATCACTTATCTCGTCAAAAGAAACCAACATCTCTAGCAGCTCGAAGATCTCGTTCGAGAATGGCTTAGAATCGTCGCCAGAAGCAAACTCTTGAACTACATTGTTGACCTCGATCGAACTACACCCTGGAGTTTTCTTCATGCTCTTGCTCCGTATCAATGTTCGCATTCTCGAAACTCCATCCCACTTGCCCTGGTCCGCATATATGTTGGATAGCAAGACGTAATTCCCTGTGTCTTCTGGTTCGAGCTCTTCGAGGTGTCTCATTGCGATAACTGCAATGTCCAGGTTCCCGTGCTTCCTGGAAGAACTCAACAACGAACCCCAGATCTTCGAATCGGGTCTCACGGGCATCTGCTGTATGATACTCAGGGCACGGTTGAGCTGACCTGCTCGTCCAAGAAGGTCTACTAAAACTCCGTAGTGTTCGATTACTGGCTGTATCGAGCAACTGTCTTTCATATAGTCGAAATACCTCAAACCCAGCTGCCATAAGCCGGCATGGGCACAAGCTGATAAAAGACCTAGAAATGTAATGCAGTTGGGCTCAATCCCTTCCAGCTTCATCCTCTCGAAGAGGTTGATTGCTTCGAGAGCCTTGCCATGATTCGCTAGCCCACCGATCATCGTGCTCCAAGATATCACATCCCTCTTGGGCATTTTATCGAACAACTGCCTGGCTTGATCAATGCAACCACATTTTGCGTACATCTCCATCAGTGCATTGCAGATGTTGGTTTTCCGCAACAACCCTTTTCTGCCGCTATACATATGTATCCATTTCCCTACCTCGAGAGCTCCTAACTGCGCGCAGGCAGGTAAAACAGAGACAATGCTGATCTCATCAGGCTCATTCCCCGCCATTTGCATCTGTCGAAACAAATCCAGTGCATCAGCATAAGACCCCATACGACTGTATCCAGTAACCATTGCAGTCCACGAAACTATTGTTCTTTGAGGCATTTTGTCGAACAGCGCTCTCGCCTTCCTCATTTGACCCAACCTCGCGTATCCAGAGATAACGCTGTTCCATGAAATAGCATCTTTCTCAGTCATTTCGTCGAACAGCTTATGGGCAACTGCCAAATCATCGCACTTCGTGTACATATCGATCAGCGCGTTCTCCGTGATCAGGTGAGACTCCGGCCCGAACTTGGCGACCTGAGCGTGAACTTGCCTGCCCAGTTCATGGCTCCCCAAGCCCGCACAGGCTTTCACGACAAACGGGAAGGTGAATTTGCCAGGCGATAGATTCGTCATACGTAGCATCTGCTTGTACATGGAAACTGTTGGCCCGTACATAGAATTGTGCGCATAAGTTCGTATGATCGCATTGTACAGGAACCCATTTGGTTCCTCCACTTGGTTGAAGAGCATCGTCGCGTAATTCAAATCCCGCGCGGCGTCGCAGACGTCCAACATTTTCGTCGCCAGGAAGTTGCTCTGCGAGAGCGAACGCTTCAGAATATGGGCGTGGATTTTCTTCAATTCTGCCGTGTCTCTGCAGTTATGTAGAATGGGAACGAAGAGGTCTTCTAGCTCCCTGATGCTCAACAAACCAATTTTAAATGCCATCACTGATGATGGCTGAAAACTTCTTCACAGCGGAATTAAGGAACTTTTGTCACTTGCAACACTCTGACAGAGAGACAGCCACGTATTTGTTCACATAAACGTATGGAAAATGCCAGCCGGGAGGTTTAAGCTCATAATGTGTTCGACGGAATGCCGCAATGAAAATTTGTTTCTTTGACGTGTCTGTGTTCTCTAATATGGCTTTATCTCTCTACTCAAAAATCGGCTCAACTCGGACAGAACCAAATTACTAGCTTCACGCATCCAGCAATCTTTGAGATTGTGCAATGCCTTTCGAGTGTTACTGAGATTCATGTGCTAATTCACGCAGATTGTCTGAAACACAGACGCAATCAGCGGACTTGGATTGCAAACGCTATTCTAAATCTTAAAGCAATCATGGTTTGGCTGGAAGAAGGCAAGACTACGATTTCATTAATTAACATACAGTGCAAGTACAAGAAAGAGGAACCCACTTTATCTAGCTACACACTCCGCAAAGTCTAACGGTATGGGTTATCTTCTTCTCAAATTGGATTCCTGAAAAATGGATGATCCAGAGCATCTCTGGCAGTTAATCGTTCTGATGGATCGTATTTAAGCAGTCCGCGCAGCAGATCGACGAGCAAGGTTCTAGAGCTCTCTGTGTGTCGATACACCATTTCCTGAATTAATACAGAGAATGCACAAGTTAGATGAAGTCCCATAAACCAGGATTCTAACGCAGCAAGCGGAATCGAAAGGGAAAGTATTCACCTTTAAGTTGTCAAGCTTCCTCACAGCTCTAATACTCTCCCTAGAAACTGCTCCTTCTGGCCAATTCAATCTAGTTTTCCTGAAATATTTTTCGGCTCCCCGACTGCAAGATAACATGTTGTTAATCCTCGAGGATTTAGTCTTTTGAATGCCATAAAAGGAAGGGGAAGAAATTATTTACATACTTAGCCTTAGAAATCATGTGCTCTGGCAAAGGTCCTAATACCCTCTCCATCATTGCTAAATGTTCTAAGTTCTCATGTGTCTGGAATAGTGCTCCACCCTACCAACAAGAAAAGTCAAATAAAGTAAACTTACGTTCGCAATTAAGAGTGCGATTAGAAGAACTTCCAAAACTCAAAATGAGTTTTGCACATAATGACACTAACCGTGCATAACTCTATGAGTATGCAACCAACACTCCAGATGTCACAAGGGTAACTCCATCCTAAACCTGCAAGAAGAATATTATCGAACTAATTACCTATGCACTGGAATGCAAAAGAATTGAAGAAAGGGAGAGGGAGAGAAGTAAAAAGGAAAAAGGAGAACTCCACAACTAGATCACTTCAAACAGTTTAATAGGGCTCTGTAATGACCAACAAAGAAAGAGCGGAAGGAACATATTCATTCACTGGCAGATCAGCAATGGTTACCTAGGATAATCTCAGGGGCTCTGTAATGTCTTGTAGAAACAATGGAGCTATGGTTCTTATTATCATATGCAGTACTACCAAAATCAATCAGCTTAATGGCACTCGACTTTGGCAACCACCTATAATGTGTTTCATCTGAAGATGCTCTCTGTATCATTTCAAGAATACGGTAAGATAATAAACCATATCCAGATCAAAATCTGAAATGGTATCAAAATTCAGCCATTAAAGGTCAAATACCTTGGTCGCTGGAAGCTTTATGTGATCAGAAGAGACAAGAAGTATATTCTCCGGCTTCAGGTCAGTGTGAATCAGTTGTAAATCATGCATATCTGCAACATGGAACAGAATAATTCAGATTGAAGAAGTTCAGCTAAATATCATAAAACTGAAAAAAAATCATGTCATCCGTGAATGAGAGGCAAATATGCAAAGAACAAAATTAAAATAGAAGCTAAGAAAATCTACAGACATGCTACAGATTCCAAAAGCTGGCGTCCAAATTCCCGAACAAGATCCACAGGGAATGAGCAGTATTTATTTCTCTTAAGGAAATCATATAAACTTGGTCCAAGCTTCTCAAAGACCTGGTAAGACCATTGAAATGCATTCAAAAACGAAGATGTATGTTTAGTTCCCAATTGCATGAACTCAGTCCACATAGACACCTCGGTACAGAAGTACTAAAACGATGACAATACTCAATTCGTCAAGCATATTAGCTGGTCAACCACTCTTTATCGAGAACCTATCCAAAAATAAGTTCATACAACATTAAAACAATATGCTGTTCTGCACATTCAGCAAAATAATTCATTGGCAAAAGGGGGGAAATGAGAATGGTAAAGATAATATTATACAGACAGATACTAGAGAGATCTGAGTAAATCTAATTGGAAGACAAAGAACAAGAAGTAAAATCAGATTCAATGGAAGATTATGGTGGGATACTTACAATACAGATATGATTGCGGTAATCAAACCAGTTTTGAATTTGCACACAGCTGCAAATGAAGGCCAAAGAATACAAATTAAGGGTGTTCTACTATATTCACGTGGAAATGGAAACCAAGATCAAACTGGAGTAACTAGTTACCGAGAGCTGGATTTATCATTCCGAGCAAGAAGTTGAAGAACATCAATCTCAATCATTGCTGCATCGCGATATTTGCTAATGGAGCGGATCACCTTAATAGCCACGAATTCCCGTGTATTCCTATCCCAACATTCCAGAACTCGGCCGAAGGTGCCTACAACAGCAGCAATTGGCTGAATTCCCCAAGCACAATCATACAAAACTTAAGTTCCCAAGCTCTTGGCAGGCTAACCTTCACCCATCTTACTGAGAATTTTGTCTGTTCAATGATAGAAACAAGGCAAAAGAATAACCATGAGCCACAGAGACACTGCATGTACAATAATGCATAGTGAAAGGTTATCTCAAGCTCACAAATAAGCTCAATTCACCACAACATAACCCTACTTTACAAACAATTTCAGTTTAATTCAGAAGGTGAAGTCAAATTGAAGCTGTAATAACACAAACTCACATCTAGGAGTGAGATTCTCCCCCAGGCTGAAGACATAATGACCTTCACGATCATCAACCCTTTTTGGTGGCGATACATGCTTTTCAGCCCGTTGAGCCTACACACATCCGGGACCCCAAAACTTTCAGTAAGAGATTACCCATAATGAAATCATTGCTCCCCAATCGAGCACACTCTGTCGAGCTGCCGCCAAAAGAAACCCTAACCCTAAACTTCCGAAAATGAACCAACCTCTCCTTCGAGCGGACCAACATCCCATGCAAGCCGAGGACGCTTCCTGATTCGCTCCTTCTCCATCACTCCCCGACTTTCGAATTCCCCCGCTAATGCAATCAACCCACAATCTAATTTATCTTTTCGTTCCTCCTCCTCCGCAACTACACGAATCGATCTGCAACACAGCAACGGGAAAATCCCTCCACGGTACACTCAAACAAAGGTTAACGCTTCGATACTAGTATCGAATTCGGTTAGTCGGCTCTCGATCAAGAAGGTCGATCGTCGATTAGCTGATATGCCTGAGAGAATCGATTATGTTCGCCGGAAAAAAAAGGTGGAAACAATGAGCATTTATTTATCAGCGTGGTGGAATTAACGGCGTCGGTGGAGGCGCCACGCCAGCGCGAAACTAAAAATCGTTGTTATAGTTGGTGGAGGCGCCAGCCAGCCCATGGACCACCATTATGCATTGAACAGCTAATCCTAAGGCCCAACTCCACTTCATCTCCGAGCCTAATTGGGCTTGGACTGGTCTCGCTACAGACAAATGAACTTTAGCGACTGGATATGATGTTGGGCTCCTGAGCTTAACACTTGCCGTCATTGTGGCTGCATTCTAATTCGGCTAGAAAGTGCGAGATTCCGCTCGACTTTTAACTCGATAAAACGATTATAATAATATTTAGGTGGTATAATAACTAGCTTATAACTCGGCCCGTTGGCCGATTAACATTATGCATGTTCATAGTTGATTGTTTATATTCATTAGAAACACGGTCCATTAATGAAACAAATCATAGAATCCAACATTGGACCATAAGTGCAATCGATCTGGTGGGATCCGATGAAGTTCGATTGAAATGTCCCATAAGAACATTTTTCTTTTGAACTTGTATGATTGGTAGGATGAAGGTCCAAGACATATTAGATTCAATTTGATATGGTCTTGGTCAAAGCTGTGTTGCGTCCAGTGTGGTTTGGGGTTGACCATCAAAACTTGAGAGCAAATGACAAAATTAGAGTTACATCCAATATACTAATAGACTCCATCAAAGTAATGAGGCACAAAATTAGACACTCCTTAACTACAGGTTCCAGTAGTTTGAATAGTGAATCGACCTTAACTTTAGTAAATCAATCAATGATTCCTTATTTTAACATAAACATAGGTTGTGGTAGTTGCAACAACCATAACACCTAAAGAGCCAATAGTTTCCACTCTCCGTTGTACAACCAACTTTTTATCCCTCCATCTTCAATCTCTCGACGTATATATTTTAAACCAAAATTCAATTTCTAATCCTCCTTCTGCAACTCTGTTTATGCTACTTTGATGGACCTTCTCTCTATGAACCTGAATTTCTCTATCAATTGAGTTTTTTGTCAGCTTGATCTCCAACTACTCAATCCTCTTTCTTGTATTTGGCGAACTCATCTTCCTCAAGGCAGTTTTAATAAGCTCGTAAAACCAACACTCATCTTAAATTCCATCAATATGCTCTTCTCCTCCTTCTCTGTCTTCACCTGATCCAGTTCACTTCCATGTCCTTCAATACCCTCTCCATTTTCATTAATACCCTGATCATCTACCCCTTCTCTCTCTTCAACTGCTTCGATTTGGCTTCTATGTCTTTCAATATCCTCCTTGTTTCAATCACTACCCTGACCAACTGCATCTTCACTGCTTTCACTTGCTTCAAACTACTTCCATGACTTTTTATACACCTTCCTCAAAATCAAAATCAACTAACCAATATCAATCTATGGCCTTGGATCAGTTTTAAACTCTCTATGAACATCTCAATACCACAAAGTCTAAATCTGAATATTCTTTCAGTTAATCATGAAGTTGAGTTTATCAAAATTTAATCGACTCCTTCTAAGTTGAAATTCCCATCCCCCAAGCTCATTTTTTATTCATTAGATCCCACATAACCATGATATTATACCTCTAACTAAAATAAATCAAAGCACTTTATGAAAAGAAACCGAACCATGAACTTTACCTGCTACCAAATCCAAACACAATTTCTTCCTCTCACCACTTCCCTTCCCAAACCCAATATCAACTTTTACTCCAAGTGTGTTGCGTGAAAGCTTAATTTTACCAATCATTATGCTTGCAATTAGATTAATGGACACCACCAAGTGCCAAAATTCCACGAGACGATGAGTTGTCTTCACTTTGAGTTTAGTCATAAAACTGCTGGCCCGATATGTTTATTAGTTTGGAGGCCATATGATGAGCAATACCGAACCAGTTGCAGCGAATTTACCGGTCACAGTAATGACAATGTGAAACATGTATTAACAAACGCGAATATGAGTTACTTTTATGGATTGACATTAGAATGATGGGATTGGACAATGAGATCGTCCTTAGGTAAGCAACATGTAAATTGGTTCATTTGGTATGGAGGACACAAACCATTAAAATTCTAAATTATTTGGGTGAGTTTGTATTTTGTGTTTTCAAAATCGTGGTATATGAGTTAGGTGATTAAAATATCTGACCCCAAACGAACCGACCCACGCAGACCCCTAGGAAGAGTTTCAAAACTTAGTATTTAACCGTACAAAAATGTTCAGAGAACCAGTCCCCTATAGTTTGCACAAAGATATGATTGCTTCACTATAGTCCTGGAAATTAATGGTAATTTAAGAATTCTATATCGCTTCTACATATTCAATACTATAATTAGATATGAAATATTCGAACCAACAATATTTTGGTTGCAAATTTATGGTTATCGTATATTTATAAGATAGATAATATTTTAAATTAAATATTATACTATAATTAAAATAAAAATATCAAAATCGAAGTATCAAAACACCAAAAAGTAGTTACGGAATATTTTATTGGGCTAGCTAACTGTTGAAAAGTTATGTGATTTCAGATTTTAGCTTCATATATATTTTTAATTTAAAAAAATACAACAAATCTACATAGTTTGATTGATTTTAAACCTTCACTTTGTTTGAAGTGACCATGGTTCAAATCTCAATATGTCTATCTTTTTCTGTAAATAAATAAAAAATACACATAATTGTGAAGGCAAAAATGTCCTTCCTAATTTTCCTCTCATTGCAAGAAATTTGAAAAGGGAGATTAAGTTTCAAATAATTAAATCATATACCCTAAATCTATAGAACTTAAACCTAATATCACATATACTAAGAACATAATCAATGATCCTAATTCGCTAAGATTTATACAACATACCATATGCACTATATTAGGATTTATAGAATTATGATAGGTTGAGTTACGCGATTAATCTATGGTCTAGATAATTTTATTTAACTAAGGAGAAGTAATAATCCTCAATCCATCAAGCGTACCATAGAAATTCCAATGGTCTAGATAATTTTGATAATTATGATAGGTTGAGTTACAACATACCATATGCACTATATTAGGATTTAGAGAATTATGATAGGTTGAGTTACGTGATTAATCTATGGTCTAGATAATTTTATTTAACTATGGAGAAACAATAACCCTCAATCCATTGAGCGTACCATAGAATTTCCAATGTATATACACATACCATTGTTTGTTAAATTTAGCCAATGATAATGGGCTCATTTGTCAATGGTATTTAGTCTTTCAATTATGTGCTTATAATTGTCAATCATTAGGGAAATTGTTGGCCAATGATTTTTGGTCATCCACTTATAGCATTGAAAATGTCTCGTTACAAAACCCTATATCACAAATGTCAAATTTTAAGTTTTGAAATAAAATTTTGTATAGCACTTTTGTAAACAATCATTGTATTCCTACGAACTGCAAAGTCATGTAACCTAATAAATGTAAAAGTTGTAAGACATACATAAACTCAAAATGTACTATTTGATTCTTGGTGAAGAATTGTGTGATCAGAGGAACTCGCTTTGTAAATAATTACAGTTATTAATTAATTCGATGATTGATTGTTGCAGTGGATAGTAGTATGATTTTGAGATATTTTAGCATTTTCTCTTTTTAATTCAAAAAACACATAAACATTGTTGTAGTTCAATTGGTTAGGGATATTGACAATCAATCTGAAGGACTCAAGTTCAAGTACTCTTGGTAATGACATTTTTTTTCTAGTAAGAAGGTATTTAAGTTCTGAGTTGAACTTACAAATTTACCCCTAGCTACAATTAAGGAGAGTGCAAGGAATTTGAAATGCTCAAAATCTCCTAAAGAACGGCTATATATTATAGAGGGATTAATTCGATGATTGATTGTTGCAGTGGATAATAGTATGATTTTGAGATATTTCATTATTTTCTCTCTTTAATTCAAATAATACATAAACATTGTTGTAGTTCAGTTGGTTAGAGATATTGACTATCAATCTGAAGGACTCGAGTTCAAGTCTTGGTAATGACATTTTTTTTTCTCGTAAGAAGTTATTTAAGTTCTAAGTTGAACTTACAAATTTACCCCTAGCTACAATTAAGGAGAGTGCAAGGAATTTGAAATGCTCAAAATCTCGTGAAGAACGGCTATATATTATAGAGGGATTTTATTCATTGGCATATCGATTCAATATGATGCATTCATGATAAACGTAAGAAAATCATAACTTAAATCGAGACTAGATTCAAATAGAATGTTGAATTGCCTCTATGGTAGATTCGTAATATATTCTTGGCTACCGAAATAGATATAAACGTATATGTCAACATTTCTCAGTTGTTGGTGGGAATGGCTTTCCTGCTTGGTACCTTTAGTGGCCGGTTGGGTAATCCTCGACGAGGAAGCGTTTTGCTTGAAATTGTAAGAGCAAGGATTTTGGCACAATTGTTCTCAATGTTTATAGATTTCTACCTTTTGCGGCTATGTGTTTGCTCATTTTGCAGGTACAGCTGCTAATAGGGCTGCCCATTTTGCAGGTACAGCTGCTAATAGGGCTACCCATTTTGCAGGTACAAGCCCTTTCATTGGAAGTTCAACTATTTGTCGACTACCGCACGGTGTTTATCTTTTGTTCTTTGACTCTGTATTGGCTAGGGATTTACCTGGCTACTGTCTATGTTAAAAAAAAGGCAAAATACACTTGTATAGCCAAAACTTTGATGGTTTGGTCAAATATAGCCACTTTTGGCGAAATACCAAAAATAGCCACTTCCGTCCAATTGTTTGACGCTGTTAGTGAATGTGCTGACTGGGCTAACGGTAAGGCTGATGTGGCAAAATTTTCGTAAGTAACAATGCCAGGTGGAAAACCATCATAATTTTACCTTTTTATTTTAATGAGCTTAAATAAAACAAAATTACCAAAAAAAATACATAAAAAAATCTCTCCGCTGTTAAAAAAAAAATTCTCTCACCCTTCGTCCCTTCCCCTAACTCTGCTTCTCGTTCATCTTCTCTTCCCCACTCCACCTCCATGTCTCCACCACTTATCCTAAAACCACTTTTCTTTTCTTACCACACAAAATAGAAGAGAAGCTTTGAATATGATGGTCACCGCTCCTGATCCATAAGAAACTGTACCCCAGATTCGGATTTGGAAACCCCCAAATTCAAGAACCCTAGTTCTTCCTCCCAAATTCGCTAGATTCTTGAATGCAGGCCTGGGGGATAGTGATGCTGATCGTTGACGGCAATAGGAGGGAGTTGATAGCGGTGGTACCCGACTGCGAGCACTAGAAACGACAAGCATGAGTTCGTCGGCGGGAGTTGATGTAGAGGCGCGACCCGTCGCTGTCATTGTCGTCGAAGCATCTCTGTCTTGAGGAGGCAAATCGAGTTCCCCAGAGCCTCCAGCCCCGAATCATACATCCAAACCATGGAGTTCATCTCCTCATATTCCCAAATTCCATCGCAATCTCCTCCATCCCTAATTCAATCTGTCGAACGGGACCGCGGCGGCGGGGGAAGAGGAAGAAGGAGAAGCTCGAGAGCCGGGAACACTGGGGCTGTTCTAGATCTGTGAAACTGGAAGCGGCTAGCGGCGACGGCGGAAGGCGTTAGAGGAAGGTGATTCGTCGGAGGCGACGCGTACGTAGGGGCGACGGTGGGGAAGCAATTAGCGGCGGCGGCGGAAAGCAGAAGAGGAAGGTGGTTCGTCGGAGTCGACGGCATCTCTGGCGTCTCTTGGCTACCCAAAGATCCCATCTTGTATGCTTAGTTTTGCTCGTTTACCCATAAATCCCTTCTTCCCCCATTGCTTCGACGAGAAATTTGAGACTCTTGAGACCCGACGAGCGCCAGATTTGATTCAATCGGGGGAGAGAGATGCTTGATGGCGACGAGGATTTGGGATCGACTGATGGCGACAATAACGGCGGACGGTGAGCACCGACCCGATTTTTATTATTTTTTATGATTTTTATTATTGTATTTATGGTAAACGACAGTAATAAAGGGAAGAATTAATTATTGTATTATTATGCTCTTTTTATTTATGATTTTTTATTTAATTTTAAAGTTAAAATATGACATGGCATCCATGTGGCAAGTGTTGTTGAGTTGTCGATGATGTGTCCGCTGAGTTGGCAGCCAAATAAGCGTTCCGTTAGTTTAACTAACGGTGTCACTGACGCCGTTAAAATATGTAACGGAAATGGCTATATTTGTCATGAAACTTTCAAAATTCTGGGTATATTTGGTATTTTACTAAAAGTGGCTATTATTGTCATAAACGTGAAAGTTTTGGCTACACAGATGAATTTTGCAAAAAAATAATACTCAGGATTATAATATGTATGAAAGGTCAAGGGGGCTGTGAAACCGCGATAACAAGGGGCGAAAGCTGGGCCCACGGATTTCGCCGCTACTAAGCCCACGGATTACACAGCTGGGCCCAGATTCTCAGAGTTCTGCGTGGAAACCACGCGAAAGCCACGAGCCCGATATATATAAAATAGAAAATTAGTGGTTCACTCTCCTTGCCAATTACCGTACGCCACGCTTCCGTCGACTCTGAATTCTGAAATAGCAGAAACAACAAAGAAAAAACAGATTCAGGGAATGCAGTCGCTGCAAGAGAAAGCTTCCGAGTGGAGCGGAGTCGACTCGGCCGACGCTTTCGCCATTGACAGCACCAATCTCTTCCAGAAACTAGGGCTGCAGGCCTTCATCAACCTCTCCACCAACTTCTACACCAGGTAAACAAGCCCGCACCGAGAGAATTAAGCAGTGAGAAACATCATCTTCCAATTGGGAATTTTCCTTCTTTTTCCCCCATTCGATCCAAATTTGAATTTGAAGAAGGTGTTTGTTGTTTCAATTCTAGGGTCTACGATGACGAAGAAGAGGAGTGGTTCAGATCGATATTCGCGGACTCTAAGAAGGAGGAAGCAATCCAGAACCAGTACGAGTTCTTTGTGCAGAGGATGGGCGGGCCTCCCTTGTACTCTCAGAGAAAAGGTTCGGATTTTCGGTTGGCTCTGGTTTTTTTACTTCCTTTCCTTCATGAACTCAATTGCGTTTCATTAGGTAAGCTCTCGATTGTAAATGGTTTTAGACTATCCACCAAAGCAATAACACTGCAAAAATGTAGCCAATGGAGGGAAATGTGTTATTTTCCTATAGATAAGAACTAACTACATTAGCAGGGAATCCAAATTTTGGGGTTACAACACCGTTGTAGTTTCGATGTACTAGAAGTCTGTTGATTGCTACGAAATGGGTTCCACAAGAAGCTGTACAAGATCCAGTTTTTATGAATGTAGGTGATTTTCCAATAGTTAGGAACTAACTACATTAGCAGGGAATCCAGCTTTGAGGCTACAACACTGTTGTAGTATCGCTAGGCTAGAAGCCTGTTGGTTAGTACGAAATGCACGTATGTGCGACACGAGAAGCTGTACAAGATCCATCTTAATTCCTATGCAAAATGTTGTGCTTGATTCCTAGTAATTCCAATGTTGATTGGAGCACGAAAGCGAACTAACTATATAAGATCCATCTTTGAACGTCGGTTTGATGACCGATTGGTTGATTGATGAATGAGGTACTTGCTGTCAGGTCACCCTGCGCTAATTGGACGACACAGGCCGTTCCCAGTGACGCACCGAGCTGCAGAGAGGTGGTTGCATCACATGCAGAATGCATTGGATAGCACTCCAGAGATCGACCCAGAATCGAAAGTTATAATGATGAATTTTCTCAGGCAAGATGTCTCCCAGTTTCTGAATCATCTATGTGGTAACTAACTGGTTTAATCATATCTCACTATACTCTTTTCTTCAGGCACACTGCATTCTTTCTGGTGGCTGGAGATGAACTGAAGAACCCAAAATCGACCAGTCCAGTGTAAGCTAGCAGCAAACTGACTTCAGTGTAGACTTATGTACTACAGCGCTATTGAAAAAGTAGACACCTTTGTTTGTTGTGTAAAACCAATTGGGGGGAGGGGATTTTGATTGTTTTCGAGGGATGGAAAAACTCTTAGAAGACCGAGAATGCAATCTTTTCAAAAACAGAAAAAGAAAGAGTCTCCATTTACTTGCAAAACCAGAAGGTCACAGCAGAATGTCAATGTAAAAGATGCTGAAATTGCTGAATATTGATGAGTTTGTCTTTGACTCTGGAGTTCATCACGACTAATGGTTCAAGACTTCAAGTTATAATAGCAGAATCGCGTATAAGCTGTACTGAATCTGTCATGAAATCAGATTAACGACTAATCGAAGATTAGTGGCTTGAGGAACAATAACAACACCATCTACACCAAAACTGTGGTAAAACCATAATGATAAAAACAATCGATACAACCAGTAGATACGATCCTGCATCGCGAACATTGCAGGGTGGGAAGGAAAGGCTGTAGGAAGCGAAATCAAATCATCCGTCGGACATTGAATCGAATGGTTTAACATTATATAGCTCTATATTAACTATTAAGATAAACAGTTAGATGGAGTCGCAGAAAACAAAGAAAAGAAAACCAAAAATGACTCACTACTCACTACCAAAATCCCCTGCTGAGTTTCACAGGAGAGGACACTGCTACCTTGCAAAGCAAGCAGCGTATTTCTAACTACACATTTAACACTTACCTAGTTTCCATCCATAATTTACCCCTTAAACACGCAACAGACCCTCACATTGTGTCACGACGCCCCACGAACACCACCACCGCCATTCTGCTGCCGCTGAACGATCGACCGCAGCCTCTCGTACGAATCAAAACACGCATGAGAATAGTCCGACATGGCACGAAACAGCTCGGGCAGACGGATCTTAAGGCTGCCCAGCGACTTCTCCCTCACCTGAAGGCAATGCCTCTGGTGAGCTTCCACTTCCTCCTCCAGCCTCTTCTGCAGGGTCTCCACAGCAAACAGCCTCTCCGCCACCGGGTCTCCGGTTCGATCACCACCACCATTTTCGTCCTCCAAAGGCGTTGGGGCTCTCTTCATGACGTACTTCTGGTGCCAATCCTCGAACGCCTGCCTCTTTCGTATGTACTCCCTGCGAGTTTCTTCGCACTTTTCCTTCAGCTTCATCTCTTCCTCCTGGTGGAGCTTGATGGTCGTGATCACTGCTGCGAACGATGAGATGGCAGATTTCGAGATCTCGTCGGGGAGCTTCTCGAGGTGGTCGTGCCACGCGTGGAGCAAAGGTTGGATGGGCGGGGTCTGGACTCGAGGTGGTGACGATATCTTCTCCTTCAGGCTGCTCTCTATGGGGATGAGGTTCAGCTTTAGCCAGCTGTTGAGACAGCTTATGTATTGCTTCTGATGCGTGACAAGATGATTGAATTGGTCGTGCCATTTCTCGACAACATCACACAATTGTGCGGTCTGTACATGATGCTGCCTCGTTGTTTCTCGGATGGCGTGGGCTATATCAAGTGATTTGAGGTCTGTTACGATCTTCAGCTGGCTATCGTGGTGGATTGACATGCTTCCCCACATCTTCGACATCCTGTTGCAAATCGGAAGAACATAGTTAAATTCTGCATCCAAAAATCCAATCATAAAACTGGGGTAGAATCGTACAAAAGCTAGTTTCCACTCCAATTCTAACGAATTCATCGACTCGCCAAATAGCTTTTGCATGGAACCAGACTATATTTGGTTGAATACTCTCTATCAGTTGATTGTATCCCATTGACAACATGCAGGCTCTGCAGAATTGTTTACCATAAGGCCACAGCATGAACTAGGATCAATTAAGCATTCAGCAGCTTACAAGAGTACTGAGAAACCAGATAAGAGAAAGCGAATGCGAGTTATTTTGTTTACTCTACGAGAGCTTACCCTTCGACAAGAGCAACCAGCTTAGGATACAACTGCTGATCGCGTATATGATTGACTTCCGAGACAGTCGAGTCCATGGACTGCATGTCAACTATATATCTCGTGTGCAAATGGCTCACAGCAGCTTTAGTCTTCTCCAAGGATTCAGCACTAGCACCGCGTTTCTTCTGCTTGTTGAGCAATGCCACCTTCCTTTTGTACTCGAGCTTCATCAGCTCACCTTGCTGCTCGATAAAAACCAAGATAAACAGAGATGAGCTTGGGAAAAAAGCAAACTCACTTGGTAATGAATGATGCCAAAGAAACCAAGCATTAACCAAAATACTTCACCTTGACTTCATCATAGAGTTTCTTCTCCCATGCCATCAACTTGTCCAGAACAGTGGCATGGGTTTCGTAATCGTCTGAATCGAATTCATCATTCCCTCCTTCTCCACCGCTGCTTACACCTTTAAACGACTTATTCCACGTAATCACACGCATAACCCTGGCAGAATGATCAATGTGCCCTGCAATTATCCAAGGCGCCTTAGTGTAAACAGAACACTTAAAACACCAATTGCATATGCAAAATTGCAGTCACTTCTGCATAAATGTGGGAAAGTAAGTTGCTGGTAAGCACTTTTCCTATCTTTTAAAAGGGCATCAAGCCGCAAGAAAGGTTCTTTTCCTCGTAACAAAAAGTCATTTCCTTTGGAAGCAAGTAAACAGAACTCTGAAGATTCCCCTAGAACCCATCGAAGAATTTGAAAGCAAGATACCAGCTTTGAGAGGGAAAATGAGTGAGATTTCGAATTCTGAAACCTCTATTGTCAGCAAAATTGGAATGGTAATGGAGTCGAGTCGCTTCGAGCATCTTGCAGACCTCCTGAGTGCTCTCTGAAGCCCTAAGGAAATGATCATCGATCTGACCTAAGACCTGCATCAAATCCACACTCCCGGCAGCAGCCTTCTTCCCAACTCTCATGAACTCCGGCGGAGCCGTTTTAGAATGCTCAATCTGCTTCCCTCTTGTAGCATCTTCTTCCTCTTCCTCCCTCAGGACGGCCTTCGCCTTCGCCGGAGTTATCTCCGGCGTCCTGGGCTCATCGTCATCGTCCACATTTCCCCCAAAATTTCCATTCGCGTTCTGTCTCTCTGCCTCCCCATCGTCTTCCTCATAGTGGTCTTCGGGATCCAGGGTCGGGCCGGGCAAACTGTCCACCATGAAGAAGTAATCCCAAGCCATGCCCTTCGCCTCCGGCATCGGCGGCACCTGGTGATTTCCCGCCGGCGGTGGTGGCGGTGCATCTCTGTTCTTACTTCCTCTATTCCCGTTTCGAAGCCCGTGATCCAATTCCTCTTCTTCCTCCTCCTCTTCCTCCTCCTCCTCGTCTTCTTCAGCGATAGCGACGGAGTCCAAATCTCGCCGGCCCCTCTGCTTCAGCGAAATCGCGGGCATGCTGATTGCGCGCATGATTGGAGGGCTAGGGCTAGGGGAGAAGCTCGGCAGAGGAGGCGGAGGCGGCGGGAGATTGTCGATCGGAGGAGGCGGCGGCGGCAATGGCGGCTGCTCCGACCCTGCATCTAGCGGACCCTGCTGCTCTAGATTGGCGGCCTGAGATGGGTCCGCTTCCCCGTGGGCGTAGTCGTTGAGAGCGGCGCCGGTGTTCTTCAGGGACACTGCGTAGCCGGAATGAGCGGCGGCGAAGGCGTTCCTCGCCGCCACCGCCTCCTTCATCAGGATTTTCCGCTCCTTGCATCTCGTCACTGATTCCTCGTTGTCCACCTTGGACTGAGCGCAGCCCATTCCTTTTTAGTTTCAGCTGGGCAGTCCAAAGAAACGAGCTTGAAGAAGGATAACAATGGCGCCAGAGGCACAGAGAGTGAAAGATGGAGAAGAAAGAGAACAGAGGAGGAGGAGGAGAGAGAGAGAGAAAGTGGGTTTTGCCTTTTGGGGGTTAATTGTTGAATGTGAAATCAATTTTCCAGAGAAACGGCGGAGGAGAAGCAGATTGAGAAGTGTGACTGAGAGAGAGAGAGAGAGAGAGAGAGAGAGGAAACGGCCAAAGCTCAGTGGCTGAGTGAGAGACAGAGAGCAGAGTGTGAACTGTGCAGCAGAGCGAGCTGCAGCCTGCAGTGCAGAGTGTTGTTTGTTTCCTTCTGTCGCCACGCGCCCGCATTATAGGGAAGTGGAGGCTACTCTATCAAGCTAATCGCCTTATTTATATTAACGGTAACTTTTTTTAATTTTCTTCTAGCTTATAGTTATAACTTATAAGCATTTTGAACGGCGTCGTTTTATGGTCTAAAGATGGGTTCGTCGAAATGGCAACTAGGAACGTGTAGCGGGTTTGTACTACACTACAACAGGATGAACCGACATCACAACCACCTCAATGTATGTTATAAAAAAAATGGACCGAATTGATACATTATACCAAACTAAATCGGGCATAATGTATCAGAGTCTCGATCTTACTCGTACATTTTCCTTCCATTTGAGTCGTGGTTTTCATTATTTGATTCGATCTTATCTCCATCATGTGCATTCCAAATACAATCACCTCAAGAAATAAAATGGCAAATTACTATTCTTCCTTCGCTCTGTTGAGATGATGTTTTGTCCTCTCATCCGATCTAGATATGAATATGTTATCGATCTTAGATGCAAAGGAGGTCGATTCTTCTTTGATTCACCTTGCATGTTTTGGTGTTTCGTAGATGTGGAAATCTGCCTGGACTCAAAGAGAAGATTCTGAAGACTGAAGTTCACCTCCAAGATTTTGACATTTTGTCATCAGTCACCCTCTCGACCGAGGTTCTCTCGCTGGTTTCGTTGGTGGGGAGCTTTGAGAGTTTGGTTTGGCGAGGTTTTCGCTGGAGGTGGCTCGTGTGCCTCTCAGTGTCCTCTACCTGGGGTGGTTCTGCTCCGACATGCTTTCTTAGTGCTTGTGTGGTAACCATTCCTTGGACTTCGATGATGGGAGGAAGGTTTGCATGTAGCAGTTAGCGACGGTGAGGAGTCAAGGGACAAGGATAGCAAAAAATACTTTATACCCTGAGAATGCGTTATTCAAATGTATGGAAAAGTATATCATAGCGTTTCAGGAGGAGTATCAAACCGTTTGTGCAGCTAGGGTTGGGGATTCTGAGCTTGGGTTGGACTTGGTCTGACCCCTATTATGTGTCCAATCTTTTGTTGGGTTTGTGGGCTTTGAGCCTTTTTTTGTTGCATTGTTTGTATGTGTACTTTTCCATTAGGCTTGTCTCTTTTGCAATCTAAATGAACCTTTAAAAAAAAAAAGAGAAAGTAGTCATACTTTTTATAGTAACAAAAAATGAATTGTGTACCAAAAATTGGATGTGTTTAGTGGAGAGGAGAGGGAGCTATGTTCATAAGCATCTCTTTAACTTTTTAGATCGCTCTGTTGTGCGAGTATTAAGCTGGGTGTCTAATTGGCGAATAAGTTGGTATATACGAGGTTGGTTGCATATCTCAATTGAAAACTTTAATGACATGTCGTTTAGTCTTTTGTACGATGTGCTCAATTTGAAATTCGAGTTAAACATATTAGATTGGGCATCTTCATAATATTTTTCATGTGGATGAGTTAACATTTGATATGTGACTAGGTGTTACTTTTTGTTTTGGTGAAAGTGATTAGGTCACAATAAGGTGTGTTTGATGCAAGGTTGTCAAACCGGTTTAAATCATTCAGCCGGTCAAATAAGTGGTTTGAGATTTAATGGCCTGATCGGGGGTCTGAACTATTTGAACCATTTTATACATTTTCTAAATATATATATACAAATAAGGTAGTAATTTAAAAATTTAATGAATGAAATGAAATTTACCTTATATGTATCTATTAATAACTCATCTCGCATCACGAAAACCTACCTAACCCCCATAACCGATCCACCATCTCTCCACCCTCTCCCCCTCTCCTTTCTCTCACTCTTTAGGGGTTAGTCCGCTGATTTTATGGATGCTATTTTGGAGCCCGATTAGTTGTACTAGGTCTAACCAGTCGGCCGATAGAGGTTTAACAATCTTGGTTTGGTAACATGTAAGACCTTGTTAGCATCCTAACTCGACTCTAGAAGGAATTCTCTAGTATGATAATGAAGGCTACGTACCTAAGATATCTAGAAGGAATCATACTTCGCCCCCTTTGCCCAGTAGTCTCACCTCTTCTTTGCGGACGACTCATACCTTTTCCTATCTGCTTCACCATAATATTGCACAACCCTCCTCTCGCTCCTCCAAGTCTACGAGGAGTTGAGCGGTCAAAGAGTCAACTTAATTAAATCAGCCATCTTATTCAGTGAGAATACGGATCCTATTGAGGCACAGAGCATGGGTGCTCAATCAGGAGTGGGGAGAATAGAAGAGCAAAACTCTTATTTAGGACTACCAGCTATCCGATCAAGATCTAAGAGAGATTCATTTCTTTTTATAGAGAAGAAGCTTATAAAAAACTTCAAGGGTGAAAACAACTGTCCCTATCCAAAGTCGGGAAAGAATCCCTTATCAGAACTTCAACCACTAACATACTGATCCTCGGAATGGCATGCTTCAAACTCCCCAAGGAAAATTGCAGACGTCTAAACGGTTACGTGGTGAGGTTTTGTGGGGAACAACGGACAATACGATCATTCGATTCATTGCCTATCCTGAAAAAGCTTAGATCATAGTAAATTCCATGGAGGGCTCGAGTTAAGAGACTTCAGTGCATTTAATCAAGCTATACTAACTAAACAATGTTGGAAAATCTGGACTAATCTAAACTTTCTCCACCCCCAGATCTATAAGGGTCGATATTTTACTCAATGATAAGTATTAGAAGCCCCAATAGGCTCAAACCCATTGTGTGGATGGAGAAGTTTGCTATTCGTAAGATATCTCCTTGTTAAGGGGTTAAAATGGCATATAGGCAACATGCAGGATAGCTAAGCATTCCTTGATAACTAGCTACTGGGTGACAAACCTTCAATCCCAAACATCCGATTCCAAAATCCAATTGGGTCTCCTATGGTTTCTTAGTTCATTATAGAAGGCCGATGGGAGTGGAACATCTCAAGGCTTCAATTCTTCTTCGAACCTCAGTATGTCGATCTAATAAAGAGGATCCCTCTTGATAAGTACCACCCACCTAAATCTATTACCCATAATTTTCCATGTGTCATGTGTTGGATAATTGTGAGGAGTAAAATCTCTTTACCCACCCCACGTGGCTCCTAACTGGAAAAGAAATGCTCCACTCCATGATCCTCTACTTACACGTGACCCATGGAAGATGGGAGACTAATTTTACCACCATTTCTCTCTTTGAGTCCACCTAATTCAAAGACAGCTCAATACCACCTGTCTAATACGTGGAGGAAGGGAAGGTAAGACATGGATAGCTTTTTAACCCCACCTAAGAAGTACACTTCCTGTCTTTCACCCCTTCCACATACAAATAAAGAAACCCCTACTATCTTAGTCCTCCAACTATCAAAGCCCTAGAATAAGCACATAACCAATTGGGTTGCAAGCCACTATCACTTACACGTGGCCTTGATAGGGTAAAATCAATTATGTTCTCCCTTAAAATTATTAATTAAATATATTTCTTGTATATTACAGCCCACCATTCAACTTGGTTGGGAGAGCCTTTGTTCCACTTAAACACACAAACTAAACCTTATTTTTAAGCTCATCCACGTAGCTTGTATAGAGTGGCCATCATTATCTTTCCACCACCTCCTGCTTCCCCATTTTCACGTAGCTATACATGAGATAAAGTGATTCCATCAACTAATGACACATGCACTTTTTAATCAATAGAGTCCCCTTACTCTCCTCCACCAGTTACATTGGTTAAATTCATACATCCACATCCTAGCACGTGGAAGCAAATAAGGTGGAAATTGACACTTTATTGTGCTAGTAGTGTGCATATATCCATGAATTGACGTCCAAGGTAAGCTTCCAACCTTCAATTAATATGTTTATTTCACACTTTACTCACGATTAGTAAGGGACACGCCACCTCATGCCAGGAGCAGGAGGCACCTATAAATAGGACGCTCATTTATGTTTCCTCGGCAATCCATCTCAATTCCAGGGAACTCATTTCCTCTGAACGAGATAGGAAAAGGGGAATTCCCGACGAACTTCTTCTCGGCGAATTGGCAACTTCCAACCCCAAAATTTCTCTTTCTTTCTCCCTAGAGCCGGTTCTATACGCCGCTCCGTGTTATTTTCAAGTACTGACTTGAGCTTTGGAGAAGGTCCCAGCCGACCACAACCGGCGGGTCCTCTTTTGCAGGTATTCATCTCGAGAGCTGGAATCCAACGGCAAATCAAAAGGTCAACGCTCTCCGGACTCTACAACGTTCGAGGTCAGCTATTTTAGCTTGGCATCAACAATTGGCGCCCACCGTGGGGCCCGGTGAGATTACTACCTATAGATTTCCAATTCAACCAGTCGAGATGGATACAACGGATTCTCAACTGCATGTTGAGATCGGTCAAGGTTCAACTCCAAACCCTGAGCAAACTCTACCATCCCAAAGGGTTGAAGATTTGCAGGCTGAAATTGAGCGACTTCGTGCTCAGATTCGGTCTGCAACGGAGGCTCCACAACCACCACCGGTTCCTCTACCAACTTTCTACGGGAGTCCCTAGATCCTCCAACAACCATCATAATGGCATTCCGGCAACAACGGAAGCAGCGGCCCAAGATGTCCCCCCAATTGTTCCTCACCTCGAAGAACTTCCTCCCCCGGGGACGTTTTCTCAACCAAGTACCGGTCGCCCCCTTGCTTTGGCCATTCTAAATGAGCCGTACCCGGGAAACATCCATATACCCAACCTTCCGGAGTACAATGGCACCACCGACCCAGAAGATCATCTCAGTTCCTTTGAGATTTTGATGCCTCTTATTGGTGCCTCTGATGCCACCATGTGTAAAATATTTCCCGCCACTCTTGGAGGAGACGCTCGTCGATGGTACTCTCAGCTTCGCAATGGTATCATCAACAACTTCACTGAATTTTCCACACTATTTCGGTGCAAGTTTTATGCCCAAAAGCGACAATCAGTGAGCATTAATCAGCTCATGAATACCAAGCAACGAGAGGGCGAGGCTTTAAAAGCCTATTATGCTAGGTACAGCACCTTGGCTATAGGCGTCACTTCCCTCTCTGTTGAAGTAATTGTCAACACGTTGACACGAGGAACAACAAACAGTCTTCTCCGGGCTTCCCTCATCAAGAAGCCCCCTCGGAGTATGTTTGAGCTACAGGAGCGGGTCATGAAGTACATCGGTCTAGAAGAAGCTTTACAAGATTCCTCTTACGTTGTGCCAAAGCGTAGGAGGGATTCGCCTCCGCCAAACCGAGAAACTTTACAACGCCCCCGCCCAACTTTGGATAACATACCCAAGGCTCAAAAAGATGATCGCAGAAGGGATGGGCCATTCCCTCCAGGCCAAAATTTTACCTCACTCAACAATCCCCGGAGGAATGTTCTCCAGGTCATTCAAGATAAAAAGCTTCCGGTGACATGGCCACCTCGAGGTCGCATAAAACCAATAAAAGGAAAGAACCAATTTTGTGACTTTCATCGGGGATACGGGCATGAAACCGAGGAATGCGAAAAATTGGGAAGATCCATCGAGGGACTGATTCAAAATGGGCAACTTAAGCAGTTCATCCAAAGTTCCAAAGGCTCAATCCAACAACCTTCGTCATCGGACAAAGGAAAAGCTCCACAAGGAAGCGGACCTGTGTTAGGAGTTGTCCCAGTCATACATGGAGGAACTGGACTACGACAGGAATTGTCCACCTCTCGTAAGACGTATGCTCGAACTTTGGTTGGCTCCACCTCCACTATCTCAGATAAAAATCCTATCATTTTTTATTCCCGAGATCTCGAGGATATCGAATATCCCCATGATGATCCTCTGGTGATTGAGGCTACCATCGCCAACTACACTGTAAAACGAGTTCTCATTGACGGAGGGAGCTCAGCCGACCTACTTTTTTACCCCGCTTTTTGCTCATTGGGTTTTCGTTTGGATCGGTGTCAACCGTCCAGTGTCTTTCTTTTAGGCTTCTCTGGCAACCAAGTCCCGGTACTTGGAATTTTACCCCTTCATGTTCGCATCGGCAATGGCGACCAAGCAATCGAGACATTGGTTAACTTTCATGTGGTGGAATGTTCCTCTGCATACAATGGAATTCTTGGAAGACCCTTTCTACATCAAGCTCACGCCATCCCTTCTACGCTTCATCTCAAATTGAAGTTCCCTACTCCGTCCGGGGTAGGTTGTGTCCGAGGGGATCAAGCAATCGCCAAGCAATGTTGTGCATTTTCCCTTAAAGATAAACATGTCACTACTGTTGACACTCGAGAAGAGGTAGCTCGCCCTGTGCCTGTCGACCTTGATGAGGAACAAGTTGTTCAAGATGGCCTTACCATTCGTGTCTCAACCGCTTGGCCTAAAGAAGCACTTCCTCAGCTTCTCAACTTAGTCCGAGAGTTTAAAGAACTACTCGCCCAAGGTCCCGAAGACATGCCTGGACTTGATCGTCGGGTAGCTGAGCATGCCCTAGGGATTCTCCCAGGGTGTCTTCCTGTACAACAAAAGAGAAGGAACTTTGCATGGGAACGACGTCAAGCAGTTGCAGAAGAAGTAGTCAAACTCGCTCAAGCAGGATTCATCCGAGAAATTCTCTACCCCACATGGCTGGCCAACGTTGTTATGGTAAAAAAGGCCAATGGGCAGTGGAGGATGTGCGTAGACTTCACTGACCTCAATAAGGCATGCCCAAAAGACCCATATCCTCTTCCCAAAATTGATCGATTGATTGATGCTACCTCTGGGCACCGCCTTCTTTCCTTCCTCGACATGTTTTCTGGTTATCACCAGATTCCCATGAAAAAAGAAGATCAAGAAAAAACAGCATTCATGACCCCAGTTGGTAACTATTGCTATAGGGTCATGCCTTTTGGCTTAAAGAATGCTGGATCCACCTATCAACGAATGGTTGATCGTGTTTTCTCACGTCAACTTGGTCGGAACCTCGAAGCCTACGTTGATGATATCTTGGTAAAAAGTAACAGTGTCAATGAACATCTGGAAGATCTCCGAGAAACATTCAACACTCTTCGCCTATATGCTCTTCGACTCAACCCTAAGAAATGCGTTTTTGGGGCGACTGCTGGAAAGTTCTTGGGGTTCATGGTAACCCAGAGAGGGATCGAGGCAAACCCTCGACAAATTGATGCCATCCTTCAAATGTCCTCCCCAACCAGAGAAGGCTGTGAGCTCAGTACTTCTTCGTCGAGATGCTGACAACACCGAACATCCGATATATTATACCTGTAAAACTCTACTAGATGCTGAGACCAGGTATTCGCCCGTAGAAAAAGCTGCTTTAGCTGTGGTCGTGGCCTCAAGAAAGCTTCGCCCATACTTCCAGAGCCACTCTATTTGTGTTTTCACACAATTGCCACTCCGAAAGCTTCTCCAACGTATGGATGTAGCGGGTCGAATGATCAATTGGGCCATTGAATTAAGTGAATATGATATCACCTACCTCCCCCGTACATCCATCAAATCACAGGTGCTGGCTGACTTTGTAGCTGAGGGAATTCATGTTACCACACCATCCGAGTCTGAAACATGGAGGCTATTTGTGGATGGAGCTTCAAGTAAGTCCGGATCTGGAGCAGGAGTGCTTCTCATCAGTCCATTGGGTGTTACCCATGAGCTGGCTGTTTGCTTTACAACTACAAGAACTAATAATGCCGCAGAATACGAAGCCCTCCTAGCTGGCTTAACAATGGCGCAAAAATTAGGAGTTCAAAGAATTTTGATACACTCAGACTCTGCCCTTGTTGTCAATCAAGTTATGGGGGCATACGAGGCTCGTGAACCTGCCCTAACTGCCTACGTCAATGCTGCTCGAGCCATTATGACTGATTTTATACATGTTGAGATAAAGCATGTATCACGAGAAGAAAATCTCCATGCGGATGCCCTCTCGAAGCTTGCCACGGCTCGAGATTTCCCTGAAGACAGGAATGTGGTAGTTGAGCGTCGCCCTACTTTGTTGTGCGCTCCTATTATCTCATCATCAATCCCACAAGATTGGCGCAAACCCCTCATGGAGTATCTCCAACATGACCTTCTACCCACTGACCCCAAGGAAGCCATGAAACTTCGGAGGCGTGCTCCTCGCTACCTCCTTATAGAAGGTGTACTCTACAAAAAAAGTTTTATTGGCCCGTACCTCCGGTGCCTTGATGAAGGGGAAGCCGACTTTGCTATCCGGGAAACTCATGATGGATCATGCGGAATGCACGTTGGCCCACGAAGTCTCGAGAAGGTCCTCCTCAGACAGGGATACTATTGGCCCACTATGCGTCGAGACACGCGAGAGTATGTCAAATCTTGTATCAAGTGTCAAGTTGCTGCCCAAGTTCCACATGCACCACCTGGGCCCATGCAAGGAAATATAAGTCCGTGGCCATTTGCCCAATGGGGAATGGACTTCCTGGGACCATTCCCTGAAGCCCCAGGACGAAAAAAATGGCTCATTGTCGCAATCGACTACTTCACCAAATGGGTAGAAGCGAGAGCCATCACTGGACTCACTGCCCAACAAGTCGAGAAATTCTTGTGGGAAAATATCATTTGTCGCTTTAGTCTTCCCCACACCATCATACTCGATCAAGGGACACAGTTCACAAGTGAAAGTCTTCAAACATACTGTGCACGGTATGGCATCCTTCTCCGCTATGCCTCTGTCGCCTACCCTCAAGCTAATGGACAAGCAGAGTCAGCCAATAAAAACATCCTCTGGGGACTAAAAACTCGACTGAATGAAGCAAAAGGAAAGTGGGCGGAAGAACTTTCTCATGTTCTTTGGGCCCATCGCACGACCTATAAAACAGCCACAGGGGAGTCACCCTATGCCCTCACCTTTGGCATAGATGCAGTAATTCCTGTGGAAACTGAGCTTTCCTCCTACCGCATTGAAACATTTCACCCCAACGATAATCAACAGGAGCTCGTTCATGACCTCCATCTCATTGAAGAACGTCGAGAAGACGCTCTCCTCAGAATGACACCCATGAAGGCACGTGTAGCTCGTTACTACAATACCAAAGTAAAGCAACGACCATTATGCGAAGGTGAATGGGTTCTCCGCCGCAACTTTTACCACAAAACAAGCTTAGTAAAGTTCAATCCACCATGGGAAGGACCCTATAGAGTACGCAAAGTGGTCGGCCCAAACACTGTCAAGCTTTCTGATGCTAGTGGCCGAAACATTCCCCGCACCTGGAATGCCATGCACCTTCGAAGGTACTTTACGCCATAATATGTATCGAGTATGCCATAATATGTACATAGTATATGCCATAATACGTACATAGTATATGCCATAATATGTATTACGTGTTTGTTGCGACATGTACAAAAGGTTTGAAATAAAATGGTGATACGTCGCCACCTAGTTTTATTAAAAATCGCTATATGTACAACGCAAAATGCACGGTTACATATCTATGACGAACTACTAATGTACATAGGCAAGATATGCTGCTACATAAACATGACACACATAGGTAATATATCCGAATACCTTTGCGGAGCAAGATACTACCTGTACAGAGAAAAGTTTGCTACCGCTGCAAGCTACACTATCTCACATAGGAGGACCGAAGCCAAGTATTTCATTCAACCAGGCATTCTCGGCCGACATTGCAAGCTCTGACGAGATTGGGCTATCCATTGCCGCAATAAAGGATTGATCCGCAGAAGCCGTATCAAATATCGGGGTTGAAATGAAAGGCTCAATCTCCATGTTACCACGATGCATCACCACCTCCTCGGATGGAACTCCTTCGATTCTGGTATCCGCCTCTCTTGGGATACGTGCCTCGTCAGACTCAGCCTCTGGAAATATGTCACGTGAACCCACTAAGAGCATGGCAGCTCCTGAGGTTTCCCCCACCGATTGTTGCACTTGATGTTGCAGTCGTACTATCTCTGCACGAGCTTCATCACGCTCTGCCATAAGAACTTCATGGTCAGCAGCATGATCCTCCTTGAGTCTCGTCATCTCCTGTAGCAATGCTGCTCCTGAGGCTTCCAATTCTTGTAGCCTCTCTAAAGTGATCATTTGGCAATTTCGAACTTCGCGAAGGAGTGCCTCAACCTCACTGGCTCGACCCCTTGCTTCTTCCACTTTTCTAGTTTGATTACGAAGATCATGCTCTACGCGTACAACATTTTGTTGAGCTGTTATAACCTCTGCCCTTGCTCTCGCTACGCGCCTCTCCATCTCGGCGGCATATTGATTCATCTGCAGGAAACACTAAGGTTAGTTAACTCATCACAATTTACATTGACTAATTAACAATAAAGTTACCTGGTTTTGCGATAACGCAAAGCAAACACCAGCAGCCTCGCCTTCAAGAGGAGGAAATTGATTCCCGATATCACGCAAGGTTTGGTAGTTCATAACGAGGGGGAAATCTGTCCTTCCTCTACCTGGGGTGCCTGAACCACCCCGGCGATGGGACTCTGAGTTATGATATGCTCTCGCCGTCTGAAAACGACTCTGCTCGCCCCCGCGGGCAGAATGGCTCGAGCTACTAGCCTCGAATTTCCTCCTTGAATCATTATTCTTGCCTCGATATGGAGAGGAGCGACACACTCGTTTGTTTTGACGACCAATCGAAGTCGGCACTGCTGGTTCGGGCTCCTCGGAAATTTCACGGATCACCACACCACTTTGAGGACGGGGGGCAGGTGGCGGTAGCCTCGCAGTAAATAGGGCATTCTCTTGAATTTCCATGCATGCTCTAAAATGCGAGTAGGCTGCAAAAACAAAAACGAAAAAAAACATATAGGTAATAAGGAATCACTCAAATATTAACAAGCAATACCCAAACGTACCATCATTATAGACCGTGAAAAAGAGTATAGCCCGAGCCTCAGGAGTCTCGACGTTAATCCTCCCTCCTTCTGATATCATTTTCACTTTGGCGGCTAGCTCTCTCTGTACTGCGTATTCTCTACGTACCGCTTGTCTGTGAAGTCCTTCCAACTCGATATCCCTCCATTCAGAAGGGATCATAACACCCTCAGAAGAAAGTTCACCCGAAGCTGGAGAGAAATAGAAAAACTCACGTTCCCAACCCCGGTCTGCACGACCATATGGAGTCACGAGGCCAAGCGCATTAGGTCTACTATGAAGAGACCATCCAGTAGCTTCACCACGAAGGTAGAAGCATGCATAAAAAAGCTCTGATGAGGGTGACACACCAGCCCTGTGACAACCCAAACGAAAAGCAGCAACAAGTGTCCAAAATCCCGGTGTCACCGTGCTTAACGTCAAATGAGATCTCCGCATCACATCACAGAGCCACGTCGGAAATGGTAAACGAAGCCCATAATCAAGGGATGCCCGATATACAGCATGCCATCCCACACCACGATTTCCTGTGGTAGTATACCGTGTCGGGACCGCATACTCCCAGTAGCGCGGCATATCAAATTGCAACAAAGTACTTTGTACCCAACTCTCATTACGATTAAAACGTCCACCTGGACCTATCATAGCCCATTCTGAGAAATGAGATGTGGAATGAAACATACCATGCCATGGTCGGATAGAGAATGTTGGTGTGTCTCGACGATTAGAGGCAGCTGATCCTTCCCCAGGGACTAGTTGTTCGCCCCTCCCGCGAGCTGGCTCCGAACATGGGACTGGGCGTAGAGGCTTTGGTGGATTAGATAATTCCTCTCGTTCAGAAAACCCCGGGCGAGAACTCGATGGTCGCTCTCGTGACATTTTCGTAAAACTAAATCTAATATATGTTTATCTGTACAAAAGGAAAGAGAAACACGTGGTAAGTAAAAAAAAAAAAAACACATGCGATAAAACATAAAATCAAACAAAAGGTATATAGTTGGTAATTCTTACTTACATTATTGGCAGGAGAATGGCTTTCTCTAGTCACGTAATGGAAGATGAGAGTTTGGGGTATGGGGGTTAGGTGATAGGGAAATTAGAAGCAAAGGTGGATTGGGTTGGAAGTTCACTCTATTATGACGAAGAGAATGGGAGTAGGGTGCAAGATGTTATGAGGTGAATTTTGGGAAGAGAGTTCACCCCTTCTTTCCCTATTTATATGCAGGGCTTATCTGTTGAGAGTTCACACAACCAATAAGGGGGGCAATTGATAAGTACCACCCACCTAAATCTATTACCCATAATTTTCCATGTGTCATGTGTTGGATAATTGTGAGGAGTAAAATCTCTTTACCCACCCCACGTGGCTCCTAACTGGAAAAGAAATGCTCCACTCCATGATCCTCTACTTACACGTGACCCATGGAAGATGGGAGACTAGTTTTACCACCATTTCTCTCTTTGAGTCCACCTAATTCAAAGACAGCTCAATACCACCTGTCTAATACGTGGAGGAAGGGAAGGTAAGACATGGATAGCTTTTTAACCCCACCTAAGAAGTACACTTCCTGTCTTTCACCCCTTCCACATACAAATAAAGAAACCCCTACTATCTTAGTCCTCCAACTATCAAAGCCCTAGAATAAGCACATAACCAATTGGGTTGCAAGCCACTATCACTTACACGTGGCCTTGATAGGGTAAAATCAATTATGTTCTCCCTTAAAATTATTAATTAAATATATTTCTTGTATATTACAGCCCACCATTCAACTTGGTTGGGAGAGCCTTTGTTCCACTTAAACACACAAACTAAACCTTCTTTTTAAGCTCATCCACGTAGCTTGTATAGAGTGGCCATCATTATCTTTCCACCACCTCCTGCTTCCCCATTTTCACGTAGCTATACATGAGATAAAGTGATTCCATCAACTAATGACACATGCACTTTTTAATCAATAGAGTCCCCTTACTCTCCTCCACCAGTTACATTGGTTAAATTCATACATCCACATCCTAGCACGTGGAAGCAAATAAGGTGGAAATTGACACTTTATTGTGCTAGTAGTGTGCATATATCCATGCATTGACGTCCAAGGTAAGCTTCCAACCTTCAATTAATATGTTTATTTCACACTTTACTCACGATTAGTAAGGGACACGCCACCCCATGCCAGGAGCAGGAGGCACCTATAAATAGGACGCTCATTTATGTTTCCTCGGCAATCCATCTCAATTCCAGGGAACTCATTTCCTCTGAACGAGATAGGAAAAGGGGAATTCCCGACGAACTTCTTCTCGGCGAATTGGCAACTTCCAACCCCAAAATTTCTCTTTCTTTCTCCCTAGAGCCGGTTCTATACGCCGCTCCGTGTTATTTTCAAGTACTGACTTGAGCTTTGGAGAAGGTCCCAGCCGACCACAACCGGCGGGTCCTCTTTTGCAGGTATTCATCTCGAGAGCTGGAATCCAACGGCAAATCAAAAGGTCAACGCTCTCCGGACTCTACAACGTTCGAGGTCAGCTATTTTAGCTTGGCATCAACACCTCTACTTCGCCTCCCTGAACAGGATACTAGAGTGTGACACTACTCCAAAGATGGAAAATACGCAATCAAATCAGACTTTCACCTAACCCTAGAATCAGCTTTGGCCTTATATAGAAAACAAATAGTCCATATCATCGATCCTCTCATTTGGAAAAAGACTTGAAATATCCAAGTTCCTCCTAACTTAAAATTTTTATTTGAAAATTCCTCAAGGTCATTCTACCCACAGTGGTTTCCTTACAAACACGCGGAGTTAAGTCTCGATTGATGTTCTGTGTGTTGGAGACATCGAGAGAGCATTAAACACTTATTCTTTAGATGCCCCTAGCCACCAGATTGTGGACCTTAGTGGGATTGAACAACTTCATTGATTCCACCCCGATTGTTAATTTTAGTCTATGGTGGCAACGTGTCATGATCTCTGAGATCTCCCCATTCCACATTCTCCAGTACGTATGTTTACTTCAGAGAATCTGGAAGTCTAGAAATAAAGTGTTTTTTGAATTTTACCAACCTTTTGTCTGTTCTCTAGTCAGACAATTCTACAACCAGGTCCTTGAAGACTCTAGTTTATTTCCCCCTCCACCGCCCCCAGATCGTCCCTCTTTTATCCTCCTTCAGCCATCTAGGAGCCTCCACCAGGTGATTTTTTGAAGATCAACTTTGACGCAGTTGTTGGCGACTCAAGTTGCTCTTCTGGACTTTTTATACGTGGGTCAGACGGGCATGTGGTGTTGGCAACCGATTTGTATCATTTTGGGTTAGTCAACTCTTACTTGGCAGAGCTCCTAGCAATTAGAGATGCTATCATCGTTGTTGCTTCAAGATTTATGACTCACGTGATAGTGGAAGGTGATTCCGAGGTGGTCGTCAATCAGATTCTGAAGGTATCGTCAGATCTTACATTTCTTGTCAGTATGTATAGAGTTTAGGGCGGTTCCTATAGCCGCCAATAGGGTTGGAAATCGATATAGTATCGGTATCCCAATACCAAATACCGAAATCCCGAATACCGAAAAGTCAATCCCAATCCCTAAATAATTTCAGTATCCCAATCCCAATCCCTAAATATTTTGGTATCCCAATCGGTACTTCGGTATCCCAATCGGTATTATCGAATACAAAATTAATTACCTTTGCAATTAATAATTAAATGTATAAATTATATTTATTGTTTAATTTATGAGGAAAGGACTAAGCAAAGAGTATTGAATTAGGATATTATTAAGGAGAATGGAAGAGAGGAGACATATCAAGTTCTTGTCATTGGTAATCGTCAATTTGACGAATTGGAGGTTGAGAGACAACTATTAATAGTGATGAAATGATCTATGTATAATTAAATTACACTCTTGGTGGTTGAGGGTCGTGTAGTAGTGAATGAGAGAGTCTAGTTGAGAGGATAAAATACACACTAGCTTATATTTCAGTATTGATCGGTATATACCGATCTCAATCCCGTAATCCCTAATACCGAATAAAAATTGAAATTCAATCCCAATCCCAAGTTATAATACGTGTATTCGGTAATACCAAATATAGACAAATTCGGTACTGTATTCGCTCTATCCCAAATATCGGTACCAAACTTCCAGCCTTAGCCACCAACAGTGCCGCCCATAAAGTGACGTGTAAAACATTGATTTTGTCTCTCATAGAGCTAGAGTCTTTTGATTTTCTTGAATAGCTTCAATAGATTATTGATTGTACGGAGTAATTGAGTAGCTTTGTTTATAAAACTATTGTTTTTTCTTAATATCACTCGAGAAAAAAAAATCGACTTAGTCAATGTACAACAAAAATAGATATACAGAGTTGGATTCCATTTCATAGTTCGGTGATCATTTTGTGAAATGTTTAGAGTGTAGTGACCTCTTGCTGTTGGCTCTATTGCTCGAAAAAGGAAAAGGAATCGGGCGCTCAGTGCAAGAATTTGAATGAGCAATCGCGAGAGTCCCATCTGAGACTCCGACGCCAGAACAAAGCCACCGCCGCGCCCAGCCGGAGAAGGAACTAGGGTTGTGGCAGATTCAACGCTCACTAATTTCCTTCGCGAATCTCTCCGGTCTACATTCATGGCGTCCGATTCTCCCCAGACTCGGATTAACCAGGTTTGTTTCTGATGTACTGAATCCTCGCAGATTGCGTAGCTTCTGTCGAACTTTAATTTTGTTATGGCGCGTTCTTCTCCCATCGACGCTTTTCTTCTATATACCCACATGCGGCCTCCGCAGGACGTAAACCTACCGATCTTTTGGGCGCAATTGCGTTTTCTGGGCATTACATTGACGAGTTACTGCAGATAATTGTTTTCCCTTCTTGTTTCTTTTGGGAAGAAGTACGGTCTATTGCTGCTTCTTTTATTCTTGTGAATTAACTTGTGATGTGAACTGGGTCAGATATGTCAGTAGGATGACCTCTTGAAGCTCTTGTTTGATTCCCTCCTCCCTGCCATTGGAATTTGAACATAGGATTTTGATAGCAAGAGTGGGTTGTGGTCAAAATCTGAGATTGATATGGGATTGAATTAAGTTCAAGACAGTGCATAACCTGCCACACTGTCATTATGTTTGGAATGACAGTTTTATGCTTCAAAGAAGAGAAAACCCCCTTCACCAGCATTGAAGACGCGGCGAGCTGAGAAAGGTGCCAGACTGACTGTAGAAGGATCACCATCAAAAGGAACTTTGTGCAGTTACTTGGTGGATTCAAAGGAGCCAGACCCGGAAACTAAAGCTGTCCCCGAGGTTCAATGTTCATTGGCTGGAAAAGAAACATCCGAGTGTTCAACTAATGCTGGTAAAGTTGCAATTGAAGGTACTTCGGAGGGTTGCTCGATTTCTGGTGCTGGGGGAAACAACTCAGAACTTAAGCAGTTTGCAGCTGACTTTTTGTCTCTGTATTGTAGGTAATATACTAGATATCCACTTTACGGTTCTTAAAAGGTGTTATATACTGATATTAAGTGTATATTTGTTGAACTCGCATGAAAATAACATAGTGAGTGGCATTTTTTACAGCGAACTTCAGTCGACTGCAACTTCACCATCGAAAACAAATTTGAATGATAATAAGAGATGTTTAAGCCAATTGTCAGAGGCTGGGAAGGATAGAATGCCCAAGAAGAGGCTCTACATAAACGATCAGTTGCAGTCAGGACAGCTTGCTGCTTGTTCTACTTTGAAGAAAGAAGAAGAAAAACAGACTGTTTTTACTCATAAGAACAAAGCACATGTTGCTGGTACCTCAGGAGAAGTAAGTTATTGCTTTTCCGTGTGTCACTCTATTCTCAATTTTTATGTTTGGTCATTTTCTCACGGTTCTAGCCATTATTCACATCTTTCAGGTTGCACCATGTAATGATTACATCCAGCTTCAGCCAAGCTTGGGCAAATGTGAAAATGAGTCCAAAGTGACTATAAATTTGACTGATTGCAGCACGCCAGGGTCATCCAACACAAAATCACGTCTTAATGGCACCCCTAATTCGACACGTGGAAGTTCAATGTTCTCCCCGGGGGAAGCATTCTGGTGTGAAGCAATCCAAATTGCTGATGGTATACATGCTGAAAAGGACAACGCTCTTACCCTAGTCCATATTAATAACGGAAATTGTGGAGACAATACAACAGAAGCTGATAGTAGAATTAGGCTGATGGGGAATAGCAGTTTCGAGGAGTCAGTTGTGAAGCACCCCATAAAAAAATCAGCTAAAGAAGTGTCTCCACTGCCGGTGAAACATCTTGACTTTATGTTGGATGACAAACCCTTGAACTTAGATATCCAATCTGTCGGGACAGATGGTTTAAATGTTTTCAGAGATGACAAAAAATCCGCATGCCTTTTGTCTGGTCTGAAACGCTGTCCAACCACAAACATTTTATCAGGTGCTGGTAAGGCTAGGACATTTCAGGAGCCCGATCGAATAAATCAGGATACAGATATATCACCAGCCAATGAACTTAAAGTTTTAGTGTTTAATAATTCGTCCAGTGCATCTGCAACTCCTTCAAGTTCAGCTCCGCACAAGGATGGACTAGAGATCATGAACTGGCTTCCTTTAGAAGTATGCTGCATCTATAGAAAGAGAGGAATCACGAAACTTTATCCTTGGCAGGTAAGGTGGATCTTTCATGATTGGTTGACTGATAATTATTGCTCTTCAGTTTTGACTTTTGTGACGAGAAAGTGAAAGGTAGCAGTGGAAGTTCCTGTTGGGTCAGTGCTGATCAAAATTTCATGCAACAGCCAAGTTAGTTGCAAAAGGATTTGTCACTTGTGTTGTTTATTCTCTACTGTATGATGTCGCTGACATGGTTTGTTGATCCTATGCTGGCTTAACTGTGCTAGTTTAGATATTATGTCAGCAACGAGTGGCTTTATGAAAATATCATTGATTACAATTAGAGCCGATCATACATGGTCTAATTTCTCATTAGGGATTCTTTCGTATAGGTTGAATGTCTTCAGGTTGATGGTGTTCTACAGAGAAGGAATCTTGTATATTGTGCATCCACAAGGTACCTTCCTTTGCACATTATTTTCTCATTATTAGATGATGTGTGAGTTCTTGAGTGATTCAATGTGGCCTGATAAGTTTATCTTAGACTTTCCTCATTCATAGGAACATATTGCTTACAATGTTGCTTCATTGTTGCAGTGCGGGGAAAAGTTTTGTTGCTGAGATATTAATGCTGCGGCGGGTTTTATCAATGGGGAAAATTGCTATACTTGTTCTCCCTTATGTGTCGATATGTGCGGAAAAGGTCTTATGTTTCTCTTTTTTCCTCTTATTTTTATGTAAGATACTTTTACTGACCCAAAATAGAAGCTGTATCGCCTCATTCGTAGACTCACACATGCTAGAGGATGTATTGAATTATTTCATGTTATCTGGTCCAGGCTGAACATCTGGAAGGCCTTCTTGAACCTCTTGGTAAGCATGTCCGGAGCTTTTATGGTAACCAGGGCGGTGCATCGCTACCTAAAGATACTTCTGTAGCTGTTTGCACAATAGAGAAGGCAAACTTTCTAATCAATAGACTGCTGGAAGAGGATCGTCTGTCAGAAATTGGAATTATTGTCATAGATGAGCTTCACATGGTATTTTCAAGTGTTTATTGCTCGTATTTTTATCTTTCCTAGGAATTCGTCCCAGACTGTCTCATGATTGTTGTAACAGGTTGGAGATCAAAGCAGGGGCTATCTTCTCGAACTTATGCTAACGAAGCTTCGGTATGCTACGGGTGAGGGAAACTCAGAATCCAGCAGCGGAGAAAGCTCAGGTACAAGTAGTAAGGGTGATCCTAATAATGGTTTGCAGATTGTGGGAATGAGTGCAACAATGCCAAATGTTGGAGCTGTTGCTGATTGGCTTCAGGTAACTGGATTACTGGGCATTTTATAAAGTTAATTTTTATGTTAGCGGTCTTCTTGCTAGCTTATCCCCATGAAATGTTGGTGCCGTATTCATGAACCATTTAGCATATAAATTTCATAACATTGAGTGGTTGGAGCTATGATATGCGTCTTTTCCCTTTGGTGCTGTATGCTAGTTTTTCCATCCCATTTTATGTTGTTCTCTGCCTGTTGCATATAGCTCCTTCAAAGTTTTGACAAACTTGTTTGCTGGAAGCATGATAAGGTGTCCATTGGTTTTATAGCTTCTCTTTATGTGGATAAACTTGTTCGCAGGCTGCCCTGTACCAGACAGATTTTCGGCCTGTTCCACTTGAGGAATACATCAAAGTTGGTAACACCATTTATGACAAGAAAATGAACATTATCAGAACCATCCCAAAAACAGCAGATCTTTGTGGTAAAGATCCAGATCACATAGTGGCACTCTGTGATGAGGTATGACTTTTGACTTGTCTCTCATAATAGAGCTGCATCATCAGTGACTTAATAAATTGTTTAAATGTTTCTCTCAGATTGTTCAAGAAGGCAATTCAGTGCTAATTTTTTGCTCCAGTCGCAAAGGATGTGAATCAACTGCAAAACATGTTGCAAAATTCCTTAAAGGGTTCTCCGTTAATGGTCAGAATGATAGTGAATTCGTGGATATTTCCTCAGCTATTGATATGTTGAGGAGGTGTCCTGTAGGATTGGATCCGGTATTAGAAGAGACTCTTCCTTGTGGCGTTGCATATCATCATGCTGGTTTGACAGTATGGTTTCTTGCCAATCTTCTTCAATCCTTTTTTCTCAACTTTTTTTTGGTCTTAGTAATTGAGTTTATTGCCATCTATGTACGGAGAAAAAAAGTAGAAGCTCTTAAGGAGAAGACTGAATTTGAAAGCTGAAACAAATTAAGTCCTTTGATATATATATAGTTGCTGGTAATTTATAGATATAATGTATACTGTATGTGCCTTTTCCAAGCAGCTGCAGTTTTCATAATTTCCAACTCTTGCAGGTTGAGGAAAGAGAAATTGTTGAGACCTGTTATCGTAGGGGCCTTGTGAAAGTCTTAACTGCCACATCGACCTTGGCTGCTGGCGTCAACCTACCTGCTAGGAGGGTGATTTTTCGTCAACCAAGGGTTGGGCGTGATTTCATTGATGGGACTAGATACAGACAGATGTCTGGTCGGGCTGGTCGTACAGGAATAGATACTAAAGGGGAAAGTGTGAGTTGAATTGCTTCCTCTTCAGCAGTTCCACTTATACGTTTTATTGTTTGCTTCTTTCTATATTTTTTGCGCGGGTCTTTCTTTCTATTCTGATTTCGAGTTTTAGGGCAATCCATATATCTTGGAAATGGCCGACAATTCTAAGTGAAATGATGTGTTGTTCATATAAACTTTGCTTTGAAGCGACTACTCTCTGGACAGATGTTAGGGACAAAAAGCTGTCTTCTTGTCATCTAAGTCGAATTATTAAAGCTAGGCACAAAAAAAAAAAAAAGTTTTAGAATTATAGTCCATTAACAGAAGAGAAGTATCACATCTAATAGACCGAGCTTTTGATATAACCAGGTACTGATTTGCAAACCAGATGAGCTCAAGAGAATCATGGAACTTTTGAATGATAGCTGCCCACCCTTGCAATCATGCCTCTCCGAAGATAAGAATGGCATGACACATGCCATTTTAGAAGTAGTGTCTGGTGGCATTGTACAGTCTGCCAATGACATCCATCGATATGTTAGATGTACTCTTCTTAATGCTACAAAACCTTTCAACGATGTGGTGAAATCAGCACAGGATTCACTCCGATGGTTATGCCACGGGAAGTTTGTCGAATGGAATGAAGATACGAAACTATACAGCAGCACTCCCCTTGGACGTGCAGCTTTTGGCAGTTCTCTGTGCCCTGAAGAATCACTTGTAATTATCTTTATCTTTCATTTTTACCAGTTTCACCTTTTAACTCAATTTTGTGGATGCTTTCAAGTTTTTTCTCTTTCAATATTGTTTCACGACTGTCTTAGGTTTGTGGTCATTCTCCTTTTGTTTTCTTAGACAAGGTCATTCACATTATAATCCTTCCTGGTGGCATTTTTGTAGATTGTTTTAGACGATCTCTCTAGAGCAAGAGAAGCATTTGTGCTAGCATCTGATCTGCATTTAGTGTACTTAGTGACACCAATAAATGTTGATGTTGAGCCAGACTGGGAAGTGTATTATGGAAGGTTCGTGGAACTATCTGCTATTGATCAGGTATAATCCCTTATAGGTTGAAATGGGAAGCCAAGTTAATCTTTCATTATGAAGTTTTCTGGTCCCTTTTCTTTTTCTTTGTATGGTTGGTGACATATCAGTTGGTGATACCATGCTTCTGGGAATATACCAAAACGTTCCATCGTTTTTTCAAGCGTTTACTTGAGTGTTAATGTTGTCACATTACCATATAGTTCTCCCTCATTAATGATCAACCGCTTACCATATTCAACCTATGGTGGGTAAATTGACAGTTTAAAGATCCATTTGAATTTGAAGAGAGCTGTGCTTCAGGGATTATGGTACCACTTCGCTAAGCATGTTCTGCTGTTGTGTGAAATACTGCAGATTTACATCATCATTTTGAATTTTCAAGTACCAGAAATTAGAATGATGTTTCTCCCTTCCATTGCTGTTCTCTCTTTCACTCCTTTTTGTTCAACATGGTTCTTATGTATTTTTACTGTGTGCCTTCTATTGTGTTTCCTTGTAGTTCTTTCACACACTATATCTTCTTCTTTTTCTGACAATTTCATAAATGAAGTCTGTTGGAAACCGAGTTGGGGTCACAGAGCCATTTTTGATGCGCATGGCTCATGGGGCACCCATGCGGCATTCGAAAAGGGCAACAGTCAATTCAGCAGCAATGCGAGGGAAACTTGAGAAACATGCTAGCCTTTTAAGCAACAATAGCCTTTCTGATGAGCAAGCCCTTAGAGTGTGCAAACGGTTCTATGTTGCTCTCATCCTGTCAAGATTAGTACAGGTACTTCATTCTCGAACATTTTTGGCAACACAATTAGTGGCTTTTAGTTATCGTGGCTATCTGAAAGTTGCTTCTGTTTACTGTTTCCCCCTTCCCTTCTCTCTGCCTTATACTTCCATAACATGTGAGTTGAGATTTGATCCTGATGTTCTGGTTCTGTGTACTGTTTGAACTCGGCATACAGGAATCGCCTGTAGGGGAGGTTTGTGAAGCTTTCAAGGTAGCTCGAGGTATGGTCCAAGCCTTACAAGAGAATTCTGGAAGATTTGCATCTATGGTAACTTTATTTTGCGAAAGACTTGGATGGCATGATCTGGAGGGCCTAGTTTCCAAGTTTCAAAATCGTGTTTCTTTTGGAGTGAGAGCTGAAATTGTGGAACTTACTACTATTCCTCATGTTAAGGTAATTGTGTGTATTCCTATCACATTTCATAGTGTTCTATATGTGTCTTAATCTTTGGTTCATCACTGCTGTAAAAATTGCCCGTATATTGTTTATAGGGTTCCCGGGCAAGAGCACTCTATAAAGCTGGGCTACGTACACCTCTTGCTATTGCTGAGGCTTCCATTCCTGATATTCTCAAAGCTATGTTTGAGGCTTCGTCATGGTCGACCGCACAAGGTGAATCTGTTAACTATGGAAAAGCATATTCCTATTGCATCATAATGTTAGAATTTTTGGTTACTGCTTTGATTGGTAAATAACCGCATCTTAAAAAATTGTCAAGGAGTATCTTACTCTCCCTTCTGTTTTATTTGATGGCACTCCATTTGTTAGTACTTAGAACCCAAACATAGGAAACAGGAGTCTAATCAGAACATGATCTGCCAATGAATAAGAATGTCAGGGATTCTTGTGCTCTGTTATTTGAGTGAATATGTGCAGTCATATACGCCATATCTTTTCATTTCTTTCTTTCACGAGCTATAGAAAACAGCTGTTAAATGTCTCAGGATTGAATGATGGTGGTGGATGCTGTGTTCTGCTTCATTGCTGTACATAATAAACGCAGGCTTGCTATGCATTTCACCTAGCAGGCAAACTTGAATATCTAATACCTAGGTCCCAGATATTGTTGAGGATTGTTCATGTGCCATACTAGTGGGTTTCAGAATTAGACATTTTGGATTCTTCCACTATAGTTACTGTTTTTGCATGTTACTTACGCTGGGCCAAGAAAACTACAAATTCAAAACCTTCTACTTTGGCATCTCATGTACATGTATTCTTTATATGGAATATCATCTTGTAGTTATGGTCTTATTTTCCTTTTTCGTAAGGATTGAACAATTTGTGAATGTGCTACAGAAAGTTCAGCACAAAGACGTATTCAGCTAGGAGTTGCCAAGAAAATAAAAAATGGTGCCAGGAAAATTGTGCTTGAAAAAGCTGAGGAGGCAAGGATTGCAGCTTTCTCAGCTTTCCAGTCATTGGGATTGAGTGTTCCTCAGCTTTCTCGACCTTTGCTATCAAATGATGCCCAAAATCCTGTGGAGCAAGGAGATATAAGGGCTGAGAAAACTGATGTTTCTTTTCATGCAGAAGAGAGCAAACCTCCTTCACCTAAGACCTCTGTTAAAGTTGTTTCAGTAGGGGAAGACGTGACAGCAAAAACACTGGATTTCGGTCCAGTGGCCCAGGGAGGAGTAAACTTAACTAGCTCACTGCATTCTAAGGATATGGTAGATCCCATCCTACCAATCAGAAGCTCAATCCTCAAACCCACAGCTGATGGTAGTAGTGGCCATAATGGAATTGCTGATGCAATTGTTTCTGTACAATCAGGAGAAAATGGCAACCTAATGCAAGGGCATACGCACATGGTGTGCGGATTAGAAGAACAATATGATCAAAGACGTAGCGATAACAAAGAGAAAGTGGGTGCTAAGGGCCCTATTACTGCTAGTAGTATTTCTGGTGGATTTGATTCTTTCTTGAATCTCTGGGATGCAGCTACAGAATTCTATTTTGATATCCACTACAGCAAACAGGCAAGTCTAAATTCTGATGCCACTTTTGACGTACATGGTATTGCTGTCTGCTGGGAAAACTCTCCAGTGTACTATATCAAACTTCCTAGGGATCTATTGCAGTCTGATGATAAGGGAAATGGTGGCTCAAAAGTGGGCACATTCAGTGATACGGATAATGTTCTGCCAACCGAGAACTGGTTGGAAAGAGTTCAACAACGATGGAACAAAATTGGTGAAATCATGAAGAAAAAGAATGTCAGGAAATTTACATGGAATTTAAAGGTCCAGATTCAGGTGCTCAAGAATGCTTCAGTTTCTGGTAATAGGCTTGGCCATTTCAGTACTGGTCAACAAGATTTGGGCCTTCATCTGGACAGCTCAAACATATTGCTTTCTCCTACTAATATTAAAGAGGGAGTTGACTTGTCTATTGTGGCATGGATCCTTTGGCCTGATGAAGAGAGAAACTCGAATCCAAGTTTGGAAAAGGTTATATCATATTATTTCAGTAAATTTTCACAAAAATTTCTTTGGACAATTCTTTTTGCATGTAATATTGCTTCACCTCTTATTTTACTCTACTTGTGTTAGTTATATGTATTTTGAGAAGCTTTTCAATATCATTCTAATGCAGGAAGTAAAGAAACGATTGTCCAGTGAGGCCATTGCTGCTGCTAGTTGGATTGGCAGGTGGAAGAACCAAATGCGAAAAGTTGCATACAATGGCTGCTGCCGCCGTGTGGCACAAATGCGTGCCTTATGTGCTGTTCTTTGGAAACTGCTCATAGCTGAAGGACTTGTTCGACCACTGGATGATATCGAGATCCCATTGGTAAATCTGTTGCTTGCTGATGAGTGATTGTTACTGGAACAGATCCTTTGTTAGCAGATTTCTTTTCCGTATTTATTTATTCACACATTTATTTCATTTTTTCCCTGTTGAGGCAGGTGAACGTCTTAGCAGAAATGGAGACGTGGGGAATAGGTGTTGACATAGAGGGTTGCCTTCAAGCTCGTACTCTGCTTGGGAAAAAGATAAGGCTTCTTGAGAAGGAGGCTTATCAACTTGCTGGAGTTCATTTTTCACTAAGCACTCCAGCAGAAATCGCACATGTTCTGTATTCACGTCTGAAACTGCCATTACCTGAAAGACTCAAGAAGGGGAAGCAGCATATAAGCACTGACAAGCACTGCTTAGATTGGTTAAGGTACTGAAGTTGATAATTTCCAGTTCATTTTTCAGCGTACCTGTGCAAGTTTTCTTGGCAAATTCGTGGTCAGCATCTTGTGTGCCACTTTAGTTTCCTCAAATTATGAAACATTAAGACAATATAACTGTTAAAAATTTGAGTAAGGTACCCTGAAGTACAATTTGGAAGGACTTTGAATGCTTTTCATGTTAGGTGTTGGTACCTTTTTTTCTTGGCTTATGTCTAGCTGTATGAATTGAACACTTAAGCTCTAGTTGGTTTATGTAGAGGAAATGGGAAATGAGATATAGCTTTCAGTAAACGGTGGGGCCATAACTCTTTCAGAAGCTAATATCACATTGTTTGGTATGCATGGTGACCTTCAACCTCTTCTGCCTCCTCCCTCCACAGAATGTCCATGTTGTACCAAGGGTACCATCAGCCAAGCACACATTATTTCTTACAGAGTCCTACCTGTGCTACTTTTTACGTGTATCTCTTAGATGACTTCTGTTCAGCTTGTTGTGTTATCTTCAGTCAACTTCTGTGTTTCTTGTGCCTCTCTACTCAATATAGGCAGAAAGCTCCATAAGTACCTGCTTCCTTAATGCTAAGAGATTTACTTTGCTTGCTCTCTACATTTTCAACTTAAAGTTATGCAACTCATGAATAAGTATTTGGTTCCTTGCAGACATGAACATCCCATAATACCAGTCATAAAAGAGCACCGGACCTTGACCAAATTGCTGAACTCTACACTGGGTTCAATATGCTCACAGGGTAAGCTCTCTCTGAAGTCACAGAAATACACCATTCATGGCCACTGGCTTCAAACTTCTACAGCCACGGGAAGGCTTTCAATGGAAGAGCCCAATCTTCAGGTGAGGGACAGATCAATTTGTATCCTATGACTGACCTAAGCATGTTAGTACCATATCTTGTTACAATGATAATTTTGATAGTTGTGAAACATTTATTTGATTTCTGCAGTGTGTTGAGCATATGGTCGACTTCAATATGAGGACTGATGAGAGTGGGCATGACATTGATATTAAGCATCACAAAATAAATGCTCGCAATTTCTTTATTCCTACTCAGGTAATTATTCGGAGTGTAGCTGCAGCTGTTTCGATTACCACAAATGCATGCTTGATAAGGAAAGTGCAAATCAGAAGGACCCTTTATTGCATATTGGCCTTTGATTGGCAAATCTTACATGGAGTACACTTGGTATCATTGAGAATGAATTTGTCTGAAGTTATGCTAACAATGACTGCAGGAGAATTGGTTACTTCTAACAGCAGATTACTCACAAATAGAGCTCCGGCTGATGGCACACTTTTCAACTGACACTTCATTGATTGAACTCCTTAGCAAACCTCATGGTGATGTTTTCACAATGATAGCTGCCAAGTGGACTGGGAAGTCAGAAGACTCTGTTGGCTCAGATGAGCGAGATCAGACAAAAAGGTTGGTCTATGGAATTCTTTATGGTATGGGTGCTAACAGTCTTGCCGAGCAACTGGATTGCAGCCAAGATGAAGCTGCTGAAAAGATTAGAAGCTTCAAACACACTTTTCCAGGGGTTGCATCTTGGCTCAAGGAAGCAGTTTCCGCTTGCCGCCAGAAGGGGTATATTCCTTGTTGTCTGCAGTTCTACCTGAGCTCTTTTCTTGATGTCTGGTGATGTTTGTTTGTAATAGCTTTTCTTTTGAGTTTTAGCAAAAGCGAAAAAAGAGTGTTAGGTAAGGGTTTGCAAAAAATCGAGTTGACGTGATGAGGGGTTCTTGTCCAAAAGAAGATAGCGTATAAATAGAATGTTCATGTATGTTTGGTAAGGAATACATTCCTTTCTTCATCGTGTTTCTTGTTAAGGCACATGAATAGTAGGTTTCTGTTGCAGATATGTGGAAACTCTTAAGGGAAGAAAGCGCTTCTTGTCCAAAATTAAGTTTGGCAACAGTGAAGAAAAAGCTAAGGCTCAGAGACAAGCAGTTAACTCTATTTGTCAGGTATGACAGGATTCTTCTAGTTGCTAAGAACATTGGCTAATCACAAGTGTTCTAAACCACTGAATTCCAACAGGGCTCAGCGGCTGACATTATCAAAATAGCAATGATTACTCTATACTCGGTAATTGCTGAAGGAACTGATGGAGGAGATTCGGGTTCTCCCCTTGTTAGTGAGTTCCATATGCTGAAGGGACGATGCCGAATTCTTTTGCAGGTAACATTTTACGACCTCTATAACTTTGTTCGAAGTTTTGTGAAGTTGCAAGTGTTTGATTGAGTTACCACGCTCAATTTAGCATCCTTTGTGGAAAAAGAAATTAGAGAAGTGAGAACTATGGATTTTACACATTCAGGTACATGACGAATTAGTGCTGGAAGCTGATCCCTCTGTGATAAAAGAAGCGGCATCGTTGCTCCAAATTAGCATGGAAAGAGCAGTTTTTCTTCGTGGTTTGTATTTCTATATCTTCCTATTTTTGCCATGTATTAACGTTTTCCTTAACCCCTGAAACATCATTCTGACAGTCTAATTTGTTACCCTCCAGTTCCGCTGCAGGTCAAACTGAAAGTTGGACCAACATGGGGTTCATTGGAGCCGTTTCAGGCTGAGAATTATGCACTTAGTGTTGAAGATCCCGGTTCTTGATGAACAATTGCTTTTTCTTTGCTTGCAATTAAAACAATACTGATGATAATCAAGACTGAATCGAAGTCAACTGCAGCAGTGTGTAGTTTTATATACATGTAGGTGATTGATCCCCTTCTGATTGCTTACAAATTGTATATCGCAACCTTTCTCTTGGAACTTTATGATATTGATCTTCTGATGATGATAACTGGTCTGTCGTGTACTTATTTCAGCAGAGATCAAACTCTAATGACGTACTAATTATGGTCTGATTATATCAAATTCCCCTTGCAGATCGTTCACTGTGGAATTAATAACTACATTGGCTGTTGAGTGTAGGAGAAGCTTTCACAAAAATTCAGGTTAACATTAGTTGATTGATTGATAACCTTGTCAGGTATGCTCTCTTGCATCCTTTTGTGTCTTGTTATCCTTTTTTTTTTTTTTTTTGGGTTTGGATATACAAATTCTTGCTACAGTTGTGACTTTCCCAATTCCTGCTGTTTGATCCTTGCGTACACAAATGGGTTAGCGCAACCCTGAAACCAGAATTTATTCTTATAATTAGACCCATTAACGTGTTTGATCTAAGACTCCCTCATTACTCTTGGATATCCTACTGGTACTTTAGTTTTACTGTAACTCCCCATGCAAGTTAAACAAATAAGGCTGGTTGTTTTATTACTAAACGTATAGACTATAGTATATTCGTCCACTGTGAAAGCAAAGCATTTTAAGTGTACATAACGTGACTGTAGTAAATTTGACGAGTACATTATTAATAAGAAAACCTTACAACACTCCAACTGTAGCTATCCTGAGCTGACCGATACAACTGGGCCGTGTTTGGAATTTGTTTACTGCAGGATGCACCTTACTTTTTGGGAACCCAAACAACATGATCCTGAGGAAGGAAGTGACAAACTGGAACGCTCCCTGGTTTAACTTTCAGCAGCTGGAAAGCCAAATGCTTGGGGTTCCACCCTGAAGTATCCGTATGACACACTGCGACTGCGTTCACCTTCTTTCCGTCGGCGCCCTCCATAGGAACGACGTACGCCCTCGAGGTCTGGGTGGTGTGGCAGTAGAACACAGCGTAAGCATACTTCTGGTTGTGGCAAACCACAGACCTGTAACCTGGCAGCTTCTTCACTCCATCTTTGATCTCATACTCCTGCTTCTTCTGAACTTCACTGTCCTTCACTTCTGTAGAGATGGCCTCCACGTTCCTGCCGAGCTTCGAGGTGCTGAAATCGACCATGGACTCGAGCGACGTGGCACAGTACTTCTCCTCTCCTTTGATCGCGGGGCTCTCGCATTCCTCGATCGTGTTCTTCATCGTCTTGCCTTCCTGAGACTCCGGTTCGACCGAGAATTGGTTCAGGATCTCGGGCAGCTTTTCGGATGAAAATGGGAACGAGCCGGCCACTTGTCGAGGTAAAAAGGTGGACACGTGGCGGGTTTCGGTGAAGTCCAAGTTCATTACTTTGCCAGGGTGGATGTCCTTTTCCAGGAAGAAGATTGCTGTGTTGGTGTTGCCGTGCAGTTGATCCGCGGTGGCGGCGTAACTGTACACGAAGGGGTTTTCCCCCGGTTTTACTCCGACGTAAACGGGCCTCTTTCCTTTTTTCCCTGTGTGTACTGACACTCCGCCTTTGCCCACGCCGACGTTTGTTCTGCCGCCGGGCTTCCCGGTGCTGACGCCAACGCCGCCTTTGCCTACGCCGACGTTTGTTCTTCCTCCAGGCTTCCCGGCGTTGACTGCAACTCCGCCTTTGCCTACGCCGACGTTTGTTCGACTCCCGGGCTTTCCGGTGTTGACGCCAACTCCGCCACCTTTGCCTCCGACGGCGACACGAGTTCCCTTGCCGGTGTTCACGTTCACGCCGCTGCCCTTCCCAACGTTTACCGTTGTGCCACCTGGTGGCTTTCCTTTGGCTGTGTCGACGTTGACTCCGCCGGCGCCGACGCTCACAGCTGTGCTCTTGTCTTCCAGGAAGTCTGCAAAACATGCAATGGTTTAAAAGAGGGGTTGAAAATGGATGATTCATATTGTCATCTGGCAGGCATCTGGTACGTTTCTGGTCTCATCTGTTTCAACTTTCAAGACTGCATGAATATACTTGTCTACCCTCTAGTTTGCATCATATCTAATGAATATTAAGGAGTCGTTTGGATGTGAGAATTCATGAATCGTCTACATATTTCATGGATGGAATATGGTGAGAGTGGATTGTGAAATTCCATCTTTAGAAAACAGAGATTTGACATTTTTGTGTAATATTGTCCAAGTTTTTGTTTGCCAAATGGTGATTGGAAGCTAAAGTTGGGAGCTTTTTTTATTTCTGCCAGGACAACACTTCTAGCTAGCTTTCTAGATTCAGTGGATTGATTACCTGGCTCCAGAAGATCACTAACAGCTTTTGGCATGGGTGTGTTTGGCAGGACAGATTTCCAGTAGAGTTCAGGCGGCAAGGCAGCATGGCTAGCCACAAGTGCAACCTGCAAAACAAGAAAGGTAAATCTGAGATCTCTCACAAGGCAAAAAGCAACTAATACTACAAAGAAGCAATGAAGTAGCCATGAAAGCATACTGTGAGAAAGCCAAGAATGTGGAGGGGATTGGACTTCATATTCTTTCCTCTTTTGATCACTACAAACAGATCTGAGATGGGTATTCTTTGGCTGATATGGCAAAGGGTTATATGGAGTTGGGAGAGTGGGTGGGAGCATTTATAGAAGACTTCTCAAGATAGTACTGGGAATCATCATAACAGCATTGTTACACACACCTACATTAGCAGCCACCGCTTTGAATGTCTCACTGCCAAACTGCCCCAGTCGCTCTCTCCCATTAATGAAGTTGGACACACGTTGGAAGAAGAGTGGTACTGTGATCAGTGGTGGCAGCACGGGACTTAAGAAAGTCCAAGTGAAGAAGTAAAGACTTAATTCTGCAACGACGACGATCGTCTCAAAGAGTTCGAGGCGTCAGGAATGATTGGGACATTTGTGATTTGGTTTTGTACCTTGGCTCGGGAGTTGGGGTTGAAGGAAGATGATTCTATATTTGCACAGAGCAGATAACATACACTGATTCTACATTTGGGTTGCAGCCATTCGTAAGATGCTCGCATTTGACTACGATGTTCAACTCATGTGTTCCACGAGAGTAACTCTTGGTAAGCTGATTATCTTGTCCATTAGAGCCGTGAATCGCTTTTGTTGTTTGTCATTTCATCGATTATAACAGACCCTTATCTACCTTATTGGCTCGTATATGAAATTTTCGAGATTTGCCTAGCTCTATTCGATTAATGTACCCAGGTTATGATACCATATTGAGAGCTCGGTCTCTTGGAAGAAAAGGAACGGCATTTCATCATCTGATGTGGGGATCTGTACTGATATGATGAGTTATTAGGGGTGAGACTTTTGTGATGTTACACTTGAAACAGTCGTGTTTAATTGTGCATGGACTTTGGTTGCTCCAAGTGAACAAACAACCACCATATTAATGGAGGTGGTCAGTGGCAGTTGAGGTAAAGGGGACCGGCCATGGTGTTGGAATGAATGCTTCAGTTGGGAGTTATGGGGGTGACATTTGGAGCTTACTGAACTGTTTCTAGATGTACTTTTACAATTGCAGGTTTGAATTGAAGATGCCGGTTTTAGGGTTCTAGATTTTGGGGGAAAGAGTTGGCAGTCCCAAGATGATGGGTCAAGCTGCCTTCCATGACTACCCAAATGTGTCATTTGGGCTTTGGAATTAGATTGGGTTTTAGGATAGGCGTGGTGGTAGGATTGGGCTTTGGAATTAGATTTGGTGCTTTTATTTTTGGTTGCTCCAATGATAATTAGTGTAGATTGATTAACTGTTCTTTAGAGATGCACAAAATACTTCATTGATCTCACTAACGAAAAAGGTTTTTGTTGGGGAAGTATGAATGAGCCTGTCTATAAACCCAGAGCCTGATGGGCTTAGAGCCCATTAGTGGCCCATTGGGACAGGCCCTGAGAGATACCAACGGTAACGGGGCGCATGGCGACAAAATAGGCTCGCGGACAAAGAAGTACGGTGAAGGAGAATCAGAAAAACGCCACGAGGGCGGATGGTCCCCCCATGCGCCCTGACACCAGAGTCTGACGATGCGCCACGTGGAGGCGCTGGACGTTGGACCAGACCAGGCATTTAATGCGTGACTGACGAAAGGCTTTGTGACAGAAGTTGGTCGGAGCCTGGTCGAGGGGTTCGAGTAGTATAAATAGCGCTCGGTAGGTGGCATTTACTGAGGGCGGTTTCTCTCACTAAATCATTATTTCTTCGCTTATCTCTCTAGAACTAGCACTGACTTGATCGTCGGAGTGCTAACGAGTGGCTACAGCCCTCTAGGCGCTAGTTTTGCAGGGTCTAAGCGCCTGCGGTGTGGTGGTTAGGGTGCGATTGGAGGAGGGAAGCATCCGGGCATCAACAATTGGCGCGCCAGGAAGGGGGCGCCAAGCTTGAGAGGATATAGGAAGATGGAAGACTTGAACGAAGAAAATGCAGGCGTGGACGATTCGAGAACGGAGGATTCCGGACATGAGGGGAGTGGGCAACGGTCTAGCCCAGTGGTGAGTATGGAAGTAGAAGAAGAGAGTCGTGAGCGCCCCTCTATGGAGAGTGATTCGTTGTCCAAGAGGGAACTGTATAAGATCATCGCGGACCAGGACAAGGCAATAGCCCTGCTCCGGAGGGAATTGGAAGGTGGAAGGAGCGCCGATACGAGAGAATACAGCCCTCCAGGAAGGAAGCGCGACAGGCTCGTGGATGATTCGGACGTTAGTGAGTATGGGCGCCCATATTATGAAGGGTCGCATGTAGAAGTTGCCCCGCCTAGGCGCCCGTCTGGGTGGAGAGCGCCTGGAGAGTTGGCCGGCTCCGGGCCGGAGGAGCAAAACCCATGGACGCCTAGACGCCAGACGAGGCGCTTTGGGATCAGACAACCCCTGGCGCAAAGTGTCCTGATGGAACCAGCAGGAACTACCCTACCGCCTCTGACCAGCTATGATGGGGTCACTGACCCGGAGGATCATTTGAATAGCTACTTTACGAAGATGCAGCTGTATAACAGCACGGATGCCACGCTATGCAAGGTGTTCCCCTCGACCTTCGCGGGAGTAGTTTTGGACTGGTATCATCAATTGGAGGAGGGGCGCATTGAGTGCTTTGAACAGTTCGCGGAATTGTTCTTGTCCAAGTTTGCGAGCCGGAAGCGTAGAACACTAACTATAGGCGCCTTGTTTAAAATCAAGCAGAAGGATGGGGAGGCGCTTAGAGAGTTTTACGACCGGTGGATTTCGGTCGCCATGGCCGTGAAGGATGTGCAACCGCCCGTGCTGGGCGTATGCCTAGAGGAGTGCACGAGCAGCGAGGAGTTATGCCGAGTGCTGTCGAAAAAGGCTGTAGTTTCAACGGAAGACTTGGATAGGAGGGTTCAGAAGGTGATTGCATTGGAGGAGACCTTGGCTGCAAGAAGGGCAGAGAAGAGGCGCGTGAGCCGAGAAGAGATTGAAGGGCGCCAGGCTCCCAGACCATTCTTTATGAACAACGCCCCGCAGAGGAGAGTGGAGAGTCAGCGCCCCTTGCCCAGGAGTGCGGGTAACTTTACGGAATACAACGATTCCTTGAAGAACATTTTG